GAGATCACATTTAGTGCGACTTTGAGACCAGATTTGTAACTCAAATCAAATGGCCCAGGTCCTGACACTGGTTCGTCAGGTGATATGTATTGAGAAGACAGTATTTGATTTTCATCCCAATGTTCCCAGGGTATATGTACACTGCATGATGCCCGCTCTACGTACAAAGTATATATTGTATGCAATGCAGGTCATTCCAGGATCCATTTGCCCACCAGCCTCACTTTCCACTCCTGGGGCAAAAGGAAATACAACACAGGTAATCATCAAAAGTACGAGGATTTCGATTAGGCTAGTGAAACCCATTTGACCCTAACATCGGCACGTCCCCATCCCAACCAGAACGTCGGATCCGGTTGGGGGCGCAATGACATTGATCCACCGAAGTGGATATTTTGGATTTTGACAGTCCCTGGCAGATCCGCAATCGGGCAGACAATGGGACTTGCATGTCTCGGATTGGGGTATTTGTATTTTCTTGCATTCAATGTATCCCAAGTTCTGTGTACTTATTTGGGTCGTAACAATCCCTCGAGAAAAGGGGCAAAACAAGCAGGTTTGGAGCAGCTGTCCGGGCAATCGACGGAATGTACAAACTTAAGCCCTGAGGAGTTCCTAGCCCCTTTTTCTGGTCATCTCTCTGTTACATATGAATTTTATTATTCTAAGGTTGTTTCGGCTCTAAATATGAACTGCAGATTCCTACTCCCAGCCCACTGGGTCGAGGATTTGACACTTTCTTCAAGTATTTGCTTTTTTTTTTTCCGCCTCGCGGGAGAGATTTGTATTTTAATTCCTAGTTTGGGCATGAGGCACCGCCACGGCTTCATGGATTGTCAGCCCCAGGCATAAGAGTTACACATCGAAAAATAAAAACACAAATCAGAAATAGATTAAATGGGAATTAAAACCAGAATTTCTCAGGAAAATCCCCACCTGACCTTTTGGGCGCCCAAGCTGAGTGCGATTCCACCCATTTTCCCCCAATTTTTCTCAATTTCAATTTTCGATTCTCTCGAGTTCTTTCCCCCTCGTTGGATACTTTTGCCCCCTTCGCTCTATCATATCCCTAGCTTTTCGGGAAACCAGGAACCCACCAGGAACCAGCGCACCGGGTTCCCGGGCGATCGCAGATGTACAGGCCCGAAACGAGTTTAGGCTGTAGATCACACCGATCGGCGACTAGCGTCCCCCTTATAGTAGATAGTCTCAAATACTATGCCCCTTCTCTACCCAAGCCCCAGGTACCCGGTCCAACCATGACACGAGCCCGATGAAGACATCGTGCTTTTCTCCCTTGCTACTGGTATGTTCATTCGCTGATTCCATCTGGGATTTTTCTCCCTTTTCGATTTTGAATTTCTATATTATTAATTTATCTTTTATTGTTTTTCCCTCTCTCGTTGATTATCTATGCTCACGATTCATCAGATTCGTCATATTCGAGTTCTCGATTTCTCGCTTTTGCATTTGAGGATTTTTTATTACTTTTTCCTTTCCCTTTTCCACCGGGAAAGTCTGTTCTGCTCAAGTCTAGATTCAGTGGATCTTCTGGCGTTCCGACTATATATATATACATGTCGGCCCGGACTATTGAGGTATATACCCGTGGACTCTGTGATTTATTACTCTACGCATCAGCTGAACCCCAATCTGCCAGCACCATCCAAGTTGAACAATAAGAGATCTCCAACATAGAGGCAAGGACGAAACAACCGAGCAACCACGGAGAGAATCACCGATAACTCAGTACCTGATTCTTCAAGGTTCGTCTGTCTCTAGGATTCCATCAAGCTGGCATCCTACGCAAGTCCACCGCTGTCCCCTCAGCATTGGGCCGACCTAGATCTGCGAAGGTCCGTGTGGGACAGCCTCATGGATGGCGACCAACGTATGAAGCAGCATGAGCGGTTGATGGCACGATCTGGTAATGGTACGACTGGTGGCCGTGCAACCGATCATTTCGAGTCGACCATGCACCCACGTGTGGAACCAACGGGGATCTCGCAGGCGCCAGAGCGGGCTCAAATGTCCTACGACTACGGATACACAAGCAGCTCCTTCCACGGCGGTTCACTACAGCCCCACGAGGTGCCTGGTTACCCGCCAGAATTTGCGCGATCTCGCCAGGGAGTAATTCAGCAACAATCGCAGCATCAACATCAACATCCACAGCAACAACCTCGGCGCCGGACGCCACATGACCCTACGCCGCCATTCATCCCGTACGAGTCGGCAATGCTGTACGGCCTCAGTCAGCAAAATCCAGCCCAAGGACCCTTCGACGTTGTTCCACAGTACTCGCCACGGCAGTCTGCAGCGATTGAAGCCCTGTCGAATCAATTTGCAGTTCCACAATATTTCGCCCCAGAAGAGTCTACCGCTACTGGGGTCCCAGCTCTTTCAACTTATCTGGGTGCAGGACAAATTTCATATAATCACCCCGGTCCCATGGCACGCCCGAGCACCACGCAATCCTTTCCCGCTACTATGTCCGATTTCACTCCCATCGTTACCGCGGGGTCAAGCCGATTGGACCCGCCTATCCAGCATCATTCAGACCCTCCCCAGCTGCCTGCTTCGGGTCTTTCCTCTCTGGAAGAAGCTTACTCCCAATACCAACGCGCCTTGCGCAGCACTTTTGATCAGACCCGTACAGGACGATTGGTAGAAGCAAGCCGATCACTGTTGGAAATCTCCGAGTGGCTTGTGACTAACTCACGCGATCTTGGTAAGTCTACTATTTTTCCCTCGGATTTTTCGTTTTTTTTTTTTTTTTTTTTTTTTTTTTGGTTTCACTTAATTTTTTTTTGGCTTTTCTGTCTGGTTGTCTTCTGGCGGGTCGTTTTTTACGCTACAAGTTGCGGGATAGCTTCACCAGGTCTACATGCTATATGGCTGGGATAGACAAGTCTTGTCTTACTGAATCGCACTCTGGACTGGACCCTTTTTTTCTATTAATCACCTTTTTTGTTTATTATTATGATTTTCCTGTTCTCGTTTTGCGCCTGCGGGCACGCGTCATTCAAGCATCATCTGACATGTTTTGAGGAGAGACTAATTTCGCTTTTGTGACACATAGGAATCCTACGCGACGACAATCTTTCTTACCCTGACCGCCTGGAGCTGTGGGAAGAATTCAATATATGTTGGCTGGCCGTGTGTCAGAAACAGAAAGACCTCACCTCGGATTATATTGCAGGTCGTCAATCCTCGCAAGTTAGCTTACTTTCTCGAGATCGCATGGAGGTGATGGGGAAATCCCTGATTCAGCTCTGCGATCAATTAGAGCAACACGGGCTAGTTGATTACCAGATGGGGATTTGGGAGGAGGAGATCCTCTGTGGTAAGTTTCAATCCTATTCCATTAATTTTATGCAGACTAATGATTTCTCAATTAAATTAGTGCTGGGTCAATGCCTCGATCTACTGGAAAGCAAACCCGAAGTACGCTTGGCAGCGGTTCCTGAACCCACAGCAGCCCCGCGGTCTTAAAACCCTAACGCTTCATATCATTCCCCGCGCCCACCTCTTTCCTAATCTCGATCGCTGTTTGAATACCACCAAAAGGGCCCTCACAACACATTCATCTCGGGGAGAAAAAAGCGGAAAGTACAGACAAAAATCAACAAAACACGGGCTGGAACGAATTCTCCCGCCACGATCGCCATTGGTTTGTGACGGGCAAACACAAATGACGGGCGCCGGCGCCACGGATAGGCTATTGCCTACTAGCGCCGCGCCAATCGCCCGATGATCACCCGTATTTGAGATCGGAGAAACAAGGCGCCAATGAATCGGTCATCACTGGTGATCTGATCATTGATCACATCCCAATTTACTACTCCTCGACTTCTCACCTCAGCTTTACCCCTCTCACCTATCCCTTCCCCCTTCTCCTCTTCCTCCTCCTCTTTTAGCTCCGGTGCTCAATTCGCTTACTCCGCTTCCCCGCTTGCCTGCCCGGGTCAAAATGTGATAAGATGAGATGAACTGAGAGGGCAGGATCTATACTACGCTAGTATGAATTTGTCTGCGTGACTGTGAGCCTGACTCGCTTCGGACTTTGATGAAATTGACGAGTACAACTTGTATATACCTATTTGTCATATGTGATAGTGACTTGTCTACTTATTCTGTCATTACAACCTTTGTCAGTATGGAACACTGGATGTGTCAAGTTAGCGCTTAGAATGTAAGGGCCCATGGAATGTCAACAATAGTCCAGAAACGGCAGCCTGAGACTGCGGGCATTGACCGCCTTTGTATAATGCCAGAACTGTTCGTGCTTGGACAACTCCAATCCACGTGGTTTTGAGTTGGTCGTGGTGGAGTTGCACAGGGTATCTTGTTTGTCAAAGGCACAAATCTCCTAATAAGGAAGGCGCGATTATCGATGATAAGCCCATCTCTCTGTTTCAAATTCGAAATTTCCCTTCTTCTCGTTCCTTGTTCCCCTAATTCTCGTCATTGCAAGCCGCATCATCTATGGTCTATCAAATTCAGAGACAAAGCAGGACATACGAGATGCAGGGTCATTCATGTACCAATTCAAGATATCAAAATGGCACCAACATATCAGGTCATGTATACACATGCAAACATTCTGTCTCCTTCAGATGTGTCACGTATTGGAAATAAGGAATGCAATAATCCTGTCCAGCAGCCCATATCCACAACTCTTACAAAAATAAAAATATGTATAATATTTTAGCCTGCCAATGTATTTCAAAATTTAGACCAGAAATTATCCCAAATTCCAGGGAGTGCTAGATAGGTATATTGGAATCTGCACGTTGCTCTAAAATATCCAAATATCTTCAATTGACAAGGTGTGGTGCACGCCCCCACTTGCCTGGCCAGAGTGGGGGTTCTTGCAGCCTCAGCCTTCACTAAGAAGCCGCAACCGACTAGAGTACCTAGTTTTCACCACCAACTCATACTGAAAAACATTCTTCCTTGTAACTCGACAGAGATCTCCAATTCCAGATCTAGCGACAATGTCTGATCCAGAGAAAAAGTGCTCTGGGGCCGATTGCGACAACAAGGCTGGAACCCTGCAATGCCCAACGTGTCTGAAGCAGGGTGTGGAAGGGAGCTACTTCTGCGCCCAAGACTGCTTCAAGAGGAACTGGGTAGGTTACGCCCTCGCATACAATTTCTCCGTGATTCTAACATTGAACCCATCTAGTCCACACACAAGGCGATGCATAAGGCTCAAAAAGGTATCGTCCAGGCACGTGCCAGTTCTTTATATATGAGATATCCCTAATCGCAATTTAGCTGGCGGATTCTATAATCCGTTTCCGACATACAGATACACTGGATCTGTTAGACCCGTTTACCCACTTTCGCCCCGACGATCTGTGCCCAAAACAATTCAGCATCCCGACTGGGCCGAAACGGGTATTCCAAAGCGTGAGGCGCGCCTAGACAGGAACAAGGTCGAACTCTTAGATGAGAATGGCCAAGAGGCCATGCGCAAGGTGTGCAGATTGGCTCGAGAAGTACTCGACATAACCGCTGCAGCGATAAAGCCTGGAGTGACCACAGATTTCCTGGATGAAATCTGCCACAATGCCTGCGTCGAGCGAGAGGTGAGTGAGGTTCACTCCTGCGAAATAAATCAAGCTGCCCACTGAGACCGAGGTAGTCATATCCATCTCCTCTCAACTACAGGAAATTTCCCAAGTCATTGTGTACATCTCCGAATGAGGTTGTGTGCCACGGCATCCCGGATCAGCGAATTCTTCTAGACGGAGACATTCTCAACCTTGACATTTCTATCTACCACGGCGGATATCATGCCGATTTGAACGAGACTTACTACGTTGGTGACAAGGCTAAAGCGGACCCAGACTCGATCAGACTCATTGAAACGACGCGAGAGGCCTTGGACATGGCTATTGCGATAATCAAACCAGGTGTACCCATTCGAGAGTTTGGCAAGATCATCGAAAAGCACGCGACCTCCAGGGGGCTTACCGTCGTGAAAACTTGGGGTGGCCACGGTATCAACTCAGAGTTCCACCCTCCTCCTTGGATCCCTCACTATGCTAAGAATAAGGCTGTGGGAACTTGTAAACCTGGGATGACTTTCACCATTGAGCCTATCCTGGCTTTGGGCAGCAATCGGGAGGTGTACTGGCCGGATGAGTGGACAAATGTCACCGTGGATGGCAAACGAACGGCACAATTCGGTGCGTATAGACCTTTTAAAGCTCAGTTTGAAGGCTACCGGCTCTTGAGGCTAATTTGGGTTCTTATAGAGCATACTATGCTTGTGACAGAAACAGGCGTCGAAGTCCTGACAGCGAGACTGGAGAACTCGCCAGGAGGGTCGATCCCTATACCGGATGTTGCAGTCGGAAACGCAAATGGAAGAACAAACAAATAATGGTGTGGACAATCATCTGGCAAATTAGCCTATATGTCACCACTTCTATAACCATCTAGGCATTTCACATCAGTTCATATGCTGTGTGCACCGGGCTGGACTGTGTCGCCAATTATATCTGCTCATATTCGGTGCTGACTGCGAGACTCGGCCTTGAAGTCAAAAGCGCGTGGTGATTGGCCTTACCCAGGATTCATAGATGGCCCTTCGGCAACTGGATTTGATTATATGGAATGTAGCTACGGTTCCACCTGTGAACTGATTCCATTTTGTCTGAACTTAAGGTTATACTATACATGGGTACCTTCATAAAGACTGCTCAATGTATGTAGTAAGTTCAATAGAAAATCAAGTGGTGATGAGATATCATGATGAAAGATCCATATGCATTTGAGTACAGGATATATATAGAACAGAATTGGCGACGGGCTGCCATGGCAGGTGAAATAATACAAGGTGGATGAGAAATAAAGAAAGACAAAAGCATCGCTGGCACCAATCCCACTTTTCAACGCTTGACCCAGGTAGGCATTTTGCGAGCCTTGACGTGACCCGGCTTCTTCCTCTCCACACGACGAGCATCGACACTGATAACACCAGCTAGAAAAATCAGTTAGCAAATCTCCAAGCACAAGGTGCATAGCATAGATATACTTACACTTTCGCAAAATCGGCTTCAAGCCTGGCTCATGAATCAACAATGCTCGCCCAATGGCCAAAGTGATAGCCTCGGCTTGGCCTGTCACACCACCACCGCGCACACGAGCCCACACATTATACTTGTCCAACCGCTGAGTACACCGCAGTGCCCACAGGGCGCTCTCACGATCATGCACGCGCTGGAAAACCTCCACGATCGACTTGCCATTAACAAGGACCTCACCCTCACCCTCAACTAGGCGCACAACAGCAGCTGACTCCTTACGCTTGCCCTTCGCCCGCGCAAGTCCATTCTCATCCACAACACGCGGCGCATTCTTTAATGCGTACGGGTTTCCGGGACGCAAAAATTCCCGAAGGGCAGTGCGAACCTCTTTCGGCACGAGGCCGGGCTGGATCCGGTTCAGTCGCTGCAGGATCTTGACCAAGCTCTTGTACTTCTTGACTGGCACAGCTTCACCCACGAAGTCACGGAACTGTGCAAGCTTGAACCAGGCCATGCGTGGTGCTTCGCCGGGTGTTACGGTAGGGAGACGGGTGTATTTGAGTTGCAGGGCTTCCAGGCGGAGGACGTGGTCGGTGAAGCGTGGGTTGCCGGAGAAGTAGGAGGGGGATGCAGGAATGATTCGGGCAGGTTGGAGGCGGAATAGGTCAAAATTGATTTTGGGAGCCGCAGTCACTTCCTGCGGTGGAGGCGGCGGCGCCTGCTGCTGCTGCTGCTGCTGCTCCGAGATCACGGGTTGCTCCGAGACCACGGGCTGCTCGGGCTCAGTCTCGGTCGCATATTTACGAACTGTCTGGCGGAAAGCCGGGATCGTGGACCGAGATGGTAATGAGGAGTGTAGCCGCAGCGCTTGCATTGCCGAAGCAATGCCATTGGGTGTGCACCGAGCCATTTGGGATGTGATTGGCAAGGGACCGGTCTGCGGAACGTTCTCTGGCGTTGGCGTTGAATTGCTGTTTTTCCATGTATCATGTGACTGCGGATGATCTTTTACTCCGAGCTTCCGATGCCGCGCTATTCAAAGCATAAAATTTCAGCTTCTGCCCCTCCTCCTCCCTTTCTTCTTTCTTTTTTCCCATCCTTTCTTTAATACCCAATTCGCTTTCAAAATGTCTTTCGGAAAGCTTTACGGTCTCCCCGTACGTGTCGATGAACTCCATCCATACCTTTGTTTATCTTTCTAACCCCTTTCTAGGAGAACGGGCGCACCCTCTCCATCCTGGTCGCTGCCAAGCACAACGACCTGGACATTGAGCTGGTTCAGACCCAGCCCAATGCCTCTGCCAACGTCAGCAACGCTGCGTACCGCAAGATCCAGCCCCTTGGCAAGATTCCTGCTTTCGAGGGTGCCAACGGCTTCAACCTGTCCGAGGTTATTGCCATCGCTATCTATGGTACGTGTTGACAGACTTCAATTTTTTTTTTGTCGCATTCTTCATTCGTCTCCCCTCCCCTTTATATGATGAGTTTTTAGTTATCCCTGGCAGAATGTAACAATAGTGTTACTGTTGTGTTGAGAAAGACTACTTCTGAAAAAGAATTCTACACTTTGTTGGGAGGAAAAATCGAGTACCCCGCTTTAGGGGGAAATTTTTTCGGGACCTTGGGATCCTGCCCCTCCCTTTGGATCACATTGCCCTTTTGACATTTCTGATTGCTTGACCTATTGTGGATCCACCTGTCAAAATCTCAACTAACATGCTTTGGTTTTGTAGTGACCTCCCAGAATGAGAAGACCACCCTCCTTGGCAAGACCAAGCAGGACTATGCTTCCATCGTCCGCTGGATGTCCTTCGCCAACGGCGAGGCCCTCCCCCGCCTTGCTGCCTGGTACCGCCCCCTCATGGGTCTTGAGGGCTACAACAAGAAGGTTGTTGACGAGGCTGTTAAGGCTGCCGTCAACACCCTTGCCGTTTTCGAGAACCACCTCACCGAGAACACCTACCTTGTTGGCGAGCGTATCACCCTTGCTGATATCTTCGCTGCTGCTCTCCTGACCCGTGCTTTCGCCACCGTTCTGGACAAGAAGTACCGCGAGGAGAACGTCGCTTTCACCCGCTGGTACAACACCATCATTAACCAGGCCGCTTTCAAGGCTGTCTGCCCCGAGCCTAAGTTCGCTGAGGAGTGCATCAAGTACACTCCCCCCAAGAAGGAGGAGAAGCCCAAGCCTGCTGCCGCTGCCGCTCCCGCTGCCGCCGCTGAGGAGAAGCCCGCTGAGGCCCCTAAGCCCAAGCACCCTCTCGAGGCTCTTGGCAAGCCTACCCTCGCTCTTGACGAGTGGAAGCGCCAGTACTCTAACAACGACACTCGCGAGGTCGCCATGCCCTGGTTCTGGCAGAACTTCAACGCCGAGGAGTACTCCCTCTGGAAGGTTGACTACAAGTACAACGACGAGCTGAAGCTCACCTTCATGGCCAACAACCTGATCGGTGGTTTCCAGGCCCGTCTTGAGGCTTCTCGCAAGTACCTCTTCGGTTGCCAGGGTGTCTACGGTGTCAACTACGCCTGTGTCGTCAAGGGTGTCTACATGGTCCGCGGCCAGGAGTGGGAGCCTGCCTTCACTGTCGGCCCCGACTGGGAGGGTTACGAGTACACCAAGCTCGACCCCACCTCCGAGGCTGACCGCAAGTACATTGAGGACATCTGGGCCTGGGATGCCCCCGTCGTCGTTGACGGCAAGACCCTCGAGATGGCTGACGGTCACGTCTTCAAATAAGCGCATCGCTCATCGCGTTCGCACATTTCTTCCCCCCTTCCTTGGCCATCCCCGAAATACCCCAGAGAATGTGAGATTTGGCCCACCCTCACGTCATTTATCCGCTTCTCTTTTCTCTCTCCCCATATTATAACTCCCCGCGTCTGATCTGATGTGGTTTCGCCGGAGTTGCAAAATTACTTTTTACGCGCCGATGTGGTTCATGTTCATGGTTATGACGTTGTGATGCGAGATGATTGACTCGCGCTTTGGTGTGATGCATCAGAGCAGCGTTGTCACTGCTAGTTACTGTCTAGCAATGGAATAAAGGAGTCAAGACTGTGTCTTGATGAGCTTATTGCTAATGTTCCCTTCCCTTGCTTGCTACATATTCGTAGAAGTGTAGACCTTAGCACGGATGTCAAATTGCGATCCAGCCCTTTCATGGCTGAGGTTGTGCCGAAGAAGTGCTTATATCGAGTGGGATTCTGTCCCTTTAATTAACCAGTGAGTACTAGATTTGTGCCCAACGGGAAACCGAGGTGGCATACGTCCATTGAAGATCTGGCACATCCCCAGTAAAAGCTATTAGTTAGATGACAATGATATTATTCCAATTTGCTTGAATCATTCCTTCTTCACTTTAGAGTCCGTCTTCATTGCTTATCTATCTGCACTAGCTACTAGGTTAAAATAAACCTATCTAAAGGTTTACATAGACTTACCCACCGTATAATCACTGACGGTTTACGCAGACATGGCCATCATCACGAGACTCATGTTTGCCTCTATTTCTCGACGCGAAGTGCCTTGGAAAACTTCGCCTGAGCATATCCATCCCGTTTACTTGATATCCAGAAAAGCTAGAAAGTGACAAAGAGTCCAGTATGGTATGTATTCCATAATTTATACCTAGTAGAAGCATATGTACCGATGAAAAGAAATTAAGAGAAACGCAGTCTGGCCTCAACACGACCTTAGGCGTCAAGATCAAACCGAAAGCTCAATTCTTCTTCATCCCAAGTCCAACTTCCAACCGGTCCAAAAGCGAATTCGTAGACTCCTCGGACGTAGCAGGGGAAATGGAACGGTGGCGTGAATTTGACTTGAAGACTGGGATATCCTCAGCAGCAGAATGAACAGCACTGGAAGGATCAGGATTCGTGAAAGCGGCCGGTGAAGATGAATCCACAGGGATATCTGTCGTCTCTGCATCTTCTAGTGCTGCAGATGCACTCGCTTCTCGATTGCAGAGCTTGTGCCGTGATTGGCTGGGAATTTGAGCAGAAGATGTAGGAAGTACGGGACCATTTCCTTGTAGATTCGTGCTTTGAGACTCTGCTTCTCTGCGGCGTTTTCGGGCTTTGCGGTTTAGTTTTACTCCCTTGGCAGCCTCCTCTGATGGAAGTTCGGGATTTGCGAGATCAGTGGCTGTGACTTCATCGAGAGGAGGGGCGGAAGGAGCAGCAGCGCGTTGCGAAACGGCCGCGGCTTGTTTAGCATCTTCCTGTTCTTTGGCTTCCCTTTTCTTGGCTTTCTTCTCAGCTTTCCTGGCCTTCTTGAAAGCCTTCTTTTCTGCTTCGGTACACGTTGCGCCTGGTAGCTTTTGACCTGCTGGAGGTAACACCGGCGGAAGTTTGGCTCCACCATCTTCAGATAGATCGAGATCGTCGTCAAGCTGAGGCTTCTCAGTATTGATGTCTAAATCCAGGATCTTGCAATTCTGTTGCGCCTGACGTTCCTCCCAGACGCGTAATACTTTGCTGACGTCGTCGTGATGAGACAGTACGTCCAGTCTTGCGAGTACTTTCTGGAAAAGCTCCGATTCGTCAATATTAGGATCATTGATGAATTCCGGGACCTCGAGGATATTGTAAGGTTCACTGAGAGCCTTGATCTTGCTGTCGTCGATCAGAACGGTATTTGTTTGATCCCAGCGTTGGCCCGCAGGAAATTGAAGTTTTGAAGTCGAATTTTGTTCGTTCTTGACTTCCTGCAACGCGACACCCTTTTTCTTAGGGCTGTTGCCTGGGTAGGCAAGCTGGATGTCTTGGTCATTCCACACTTTATGCAACTGCTTGTACACCTGCAACTTAGCATTGTACTGCTTATTTGATAGCCCAAATTTGTCGCGGCCCCAACAAGCCACGAGTTTCCGTTTGTGAGCCTTGGAAGGGAACAAAAGCTTGACAATAGCACTGAGAGTCGGCGGTTTCGAGCTGGTCCATATCATAACAGAGTAATTCTGGAACAACTCATCCAGGAAGTGCTTCAGTCCAGGGCGTTCGGCGAAGACGGGCGGTAATTTACGATGTTTGCGGCAAATTAGAGTACCATTCAGATCGAGAATGACCAATAATGGTCGTTTTGGACATTGCTGTGGCTTCTCTGAGGCTTGCTGCATATACGCCTTTTTCGGCGTAGGAACCGTCATTGGTGGTGTGGATGATCGTTGCCTTTCCCTTTGGCTCAGTTGTGCCGCGGGCCCTGCCATGGTACTCATTGGTTGCATGCCCTGGAATGCTTGCATTTGATTAAACGGCATCATGGGGAATGGCGGTATTGAGTTGTTCATGAGAAATTGTGGGTTCATAAAAGGCATACCCGTCGTTGCGTCCATTTGTTGGCCTGTTGGATTCACGTTCATTGGATTCCATAATGGAACATTGTATGCGCCGAATGATGTGGGAGCTTGGTTTTGCGGTGAATTCCCGAAATTTTGTTGAACATTTCGTATTGAGTCGGAGCCATTGTTGTTTTGGGAATACCGATATTGGTCGTGTCTGCGACGATTATATGTACCATCATGTTTCGTATTATTGTTGGGTGTGGCATGTCTCCCGCCGCGTGAACTTGAACTTGCGCCTGAAGTTGCACTTATAGGCTGGTATCCATTATACTGTTCTTGCCCTGCGTACCGATGGCTCTGACCATTCTCCATTGGTTCAATGCTCGTATAGAGGGGATTGTACACAGGATTGGCATAACGGGGCACCGAATCGGAGAACGGAGGCGCCGCAGCAGCGTTCGACACGCGCCGTGGTTTCTTATTTTGGTGAGACAGTTTGAGAGATTTTGCCAATCGCAGGCGGGGAGGATCGCCAGCAGGAAAAGACTGTAAGGGAGTAACAAACTAAAGAGGGGTTAGTCCGGTTCAATTGGAAGTTATATACAATATTTAATCAGGAGATTGGATGCGTTGTACCTTATTAGGTATCCTGTAGGATTTTCCTATATTCGTTGGCCGGGTCAAAGAACGAGAGAAAAGCGCAGACGAGGATGAACGAGGCATAGATCTTTTGACAAGTCGCGAATTTGGATGGCGGTTGATCGATTGCGCAAAAAAATATCTAATCAGCTGTTATCGGTCTCACCGCCTATCGGCAGTATTTTCTTTTTTGCGACTTCATTTGCACCGCTTTCCATCGTTCTCAAGGTACGCAAGTTTCGGTGAATTCACTCTATACCATGGCCATTTCAGACATCCTGAACCGCCGTGTGCGGGCAAGGCCAGATGATGAAGATGATGTCTATTCCTCAGGATCTGGCGAAGAAGTCTCCCAAGACGAGAACGAAGTCGAAGAGGATGTTGATTCGGACGATCAGTCACAAGAGGTATGCGATTTGCAGCCCTGTTAAACTTACCAGCCTATGTGCTCATCAATTTACTCTAGGAGGATGGTTCGGATTCCAACGGTGAAGGTGACGAAGACGAAGATGAGGGCTCCGATGACGCCTCCGAGGGAGAAAGTTCCGACAAAAATGACAATAAAGATGATTTCCAGGCATCCCTCAGCAACATCTCATTCGGGGCTTTAGCCAAAGCTCAGGCGTCTCTGGGCCCTAAAAAGCGAAAGGAGAAATCCGAGGACTCCACAAACGCCTCCCCGCTCGACGACATCCGCGCGAAGATCCGCGAAGCGCGCGAACAGAAACGGGAAGCCGAGGGCAAGGCCCTTGGATCTAAGGACAAGAAAGACAAGGAGTCTCGCAAATCCAAGCACGCACCTATGGAACAATCATCTAAGCGTGCTGTCACTAGAAAACGCACGGTTGTGGAGCCTCCGGCCGTTGCTAAAGCTCGTGATCCGCGGTTCGATGCGGCTGTTATGGGCTACAGTGGAGCAGGACGGTACTCGGAAGGAACAAGCAAAGCCTACGCATTCTTGGATGAGTACCGGGCATCCGAGCTGAAGGATCTCAAGGAGCAATTCAGCAGGACCAAGAATCCGGCACAGAAGGAGGCGCTGAAGGCACAGATTCGGTCTGCAACAGATAGACTCAAAGCCGACGAGAGCAAGAAGCGAGAGCGGGAGATCATGGCAGAACACAAGAAGCATGAGAAACAGTTGATTCGTGAGGGCAAGAAGAGCAATCCGTACTTCTTGAAGAAATCGGATCTGAAGAAACAGGTTCTGGAGAAGAAGTACGAGTCGATGAAATCAAAGGACCGGGCCAAGGCCATGGAGCGTCGGCGCAAGAAGATGGCCTCCAAGGAGCGCAAGGAGATGCCCTTTGAACGCCGTGGAATGGGCGGCGATGACGAGCCTCCGAGTTTTGGCAAGCGTCGGCGACTTGCTTAAGATACCCAGGAATTTCTCTTTTGCAATGAAAATATTAGAATGCATGGTGCTGTGCATATATTCAAATATCCAAATGTCTTCAAGGCTACAGCATTAGATTCCAGCAATATGTATTAGGGCAAACCAGCATTGATCCGCTGAAGACAAAACTTGCATCGAAAATCCCATTCACAAATGCTAGATCCCAAAGGAAAAGAAAGAAAAAAACAACATCCAGAAAGAAGAGGTATATAGTAGAACAAGAACTCCTTCCCAATAAGAACGCCAATTCAAAATCAAATGCATAAGTCCCCAAGTGCAGGATTTTCCATGAGCCACAGGCTCACCACTATCGTACCATGGATATAAGAGATGGGAAGTATAAACATCAGTGTCATATATGTGAAGGGTGAAGACCCAGACTCAATCACTCAAGACCAGCCAGAGAGTCGGATGAGAAATGCTGCCTTGAAAGGAGTCATTCGATTTTTTTTTTTTTTTTTTTTTTTTAAGAAACCAGATTGGTGTGTCGATGGAAGCCACAGATCGCATATAGCGATGATAGCAAGTGAGAAATAGAGCGTTTTTTTGATATGCTTCACGGAAGCTTGGATCACGACTAGACCAGACTCGGGGATTTTGTGCATATTTACACAACTGTTCACGAATGGAACAGATCCCAAGCCCGAGCACAGAGGCCAAGGAACTCTTCTTTCTTTTTCCGTTGGGTCTCGGGCGAGTCTCGGCCTGCACCGAAGGGACCGGTGAAGGTGGCACTGGGACCAGAGTTGGCAGCGGGGTTAGGCCGATAATGAGAATCAGGACCATGTCCCAGTGGGGGGCTTCCGTTATCATTTTCGTATTCGCTGCGAGGGCGGCGGCGCGCAGTCGTATCCGCGATCTGCATCGGAGCAAGGGGGGCACTTGGCGCAGGCTCTTCCCAGGTCAGGGGAGCAGTCTTAGGGGCAGTATGCATGGTCTGCGGGGATGGTGGGGTGGGCGGTTGGTGCCCACCATAATGCACAATTCGGGGAAGCAGTTCTTCCCTTCCCCCGAGAGCTCCTGGACAGCCTCTTCGGCCGATCGGTACTCCCGCGGCCGACTGGGGGTCTGAGACATAGCAGGTAGGCCTGGAGAGGGCATGGGTGCCAAGTTTGATTGCGAGGAGTTGCTGCTCGACGCATTCACGTAGAGGCCTTGCTGGCGACTAGGCTCTCGATCCCGACCAAGCGCATCGGATCCAAACACATCAGAGAGAGGGGGTAGACGGTTGTTCGTCTGGGTGGCCGGGACTTGATGCATATGGGACGTAGCGCCTAGAGTAGGGCTCTGATTGACGACATGACGAGTCAAGGGCTGAGGTTGGTAGCGGCCGGTAAAGGTCTGATGCAACGGCGCCGACTGGATTACTCGTTCATTTGCAAACTGCGATGCCGAGGGTGGGACGATCGAAAGACCGGGTGGTGGCCGTCGCTTCGAGCTACTCCGAGGAGGCATCCCCATGAATCCCGATTGTGAAGACGGCCCGTCATCTTTGCCGGGTTTCTGTAGTCGTGCCTCGATTATTGAGCGCTGCTGGTCGCGCACAGATAGACTGCGCTGCAGTTGTTCTCGCATGATCGGATCATGTGTCTGGAAACCGGGGGACAAGCAGGCTAGGCCGACATCCTGCATAGTGACACCGTCACGAGCGGTCATTGGGCCTCCGGGCGGCCGAACGGTCAAACCACTGGAGGAGGGAAGACTTGTCGAGAGATCCAACTTGCGGGGACGGGGCCGAGTCTGTATACGGGGCGAGGAGGGCGGCTCCTTTTTCACGGTAATTTTGGGACCCGCGCTACCTTGCGATCTGCCCGATTTGATTAGCCTCCTGCTCCGGAAGTCTTTTCTTTTTTTTGATCGCATCCAGTGTTCGATATAACTTACGGAGACGACGGGTCTTTTCTCTCGGGGGTTCTATTGGAATGGGCATCTTGTGAACTTGCCACTCGAGGTGGAGAGGAATTCGCCGCAGGCGGAGGGGCCAGAGTCGGGCAATTCTTGGGGCTGGGATCGCGGGTGGTATGCGGCGAGGATAGCTGAGCTGCCGGCGCGGATGCAATTGCCGTCGACATCGTGAATGTTGGGAAGATCAGATCCGATCCGATCGCTTTGTCTATTAGATGGCAAGCCCTCCCTGTTTCTTTGTATAGCTATTTGTTCCCGGTCCGGGATCGGCGTCCAAGCACCTCGGAGACTTAAGAGAGGAGCATCAATGAACAGATGAAAGCGGGGCTAGGATCGTGCCCTGGATGTTCAAGCGAGGGTAGATCAATATCCAAGTTGGAATGAACGAAAATAAAGGGTTGGGGGAGGTTGGATGGGGGGGGAGTTCGGCGGTTAGGCGGCAAGTGTGACAGATCGCAGGGGGTAAAAAGAAAGAAAAAAAAAAGTCCAGCAAGCAACAAGCGAGAGAGGAGCTTCAGGATTTCAAGAGAAAGGAAACATGGAGGTTCTGGGCCCCCAAGGGAGGAAAATATTAGTTTAAAACCTGCATTAATAAGAAGGGGGGCCTTGGGACAAGTACCAGGTACTTGATTCTACCGTTGATCCAGTAAGATCAAGCAGGTCGACAGTACGCGACAACAGAGTTCATGGTGGAGCAGGGGCTTCCACTCTGCGGGCACCGGGCGTATCAGAATCCCCCGGCTGAGACACGACGTGTTTCTACTCTGCTTGACCTCTTCATTGGGGTATCGTGAAACATTATTGATTCAAAGAATTTAACTAGACTCGCTTTTGGTGAGAACTCACCGGATGCCGCTTGTCCATACTGAGGGTGGTCCCCCAATGCTGCCGGTGATCGGCATCCTCGTAGATCACATCACACGTCAAACATGGCGCTTACTTCGACCAGGAGTATGGTTCCCGATGTGACACTAAGTTGGGGGCTGCATAGGCGGAGTTGCTTTTGATGAAAAATGCATGAGCAATCCATGATAAATCATTGATCTAACATGGGCGCGAAGTGGATCATGAACTCTCACGGAACCCTTTGCCGACCGTCCAAAACTTGAATTCCCAGCTGGACTATGCCGGTCATTGGTTGCCGTCCACACGGACTTGGAGTTCAACACGAGGGCACAGATCGGGTGCTAGGTCCCTGCACTTCAGATCAGAGTGGACTTGCCTACACTGCAATTTCCAAGGGAAATGAGCCTGGTCAAGCCATTCACTAGTTCGATGGTTCGTTTCCGTGCGGCTTATCGATTGGATCGCACATGAGAAGTTTGATGAGCTTCCCCGCTCTCTTCCTTGCACCCAAACCTCCCGAAAATGATCTCCAAATCCATGACTGCCGCCGATGTGATAGGTCACGAAGCTGAACGGGGGTTTCCCCTTATGGAAGGCGAACGGTGTCTATGAAACCAGCCACAGGGGTCACTCTAACCTAAACGGGTTTCACTTGTGCCTCAGATCCATGGTTCCCGTTGAGATATAACTCGCGACTGATACGCCGCCGTGCTATACTGGACTTGGGAGCACGCCTCGTCTAGATCAGTTTAATCTAGCATCTATCTTCAGATGTATATTCGATACGCCCACCACACCATTGACTGCTCAACCTGTAACTGTCATTGTCGTGGGACAGGACTCACAACACTAGTACCCTAGCCCAACAATTCCTGCCCGACAGTAACGACATAATCATGAACAGCTATACCGTCCCTAATGGATGACAGCAACCTTGGGAAAAATCCGTTGTGTCCAGTGCATGACTGTGAAGCCCCAAATCTACTTGTAGACCCGAAGTGGTAGGCGGTGAGCCCCACTATCGATAACCCACTTTTTTTTTCTTGCGGGCAATTCCAGTCGCCAAAGTCGTCACTTGCCTTCACGCATCGCTATTACTTGCGAATTTATACACCCGGTAACCAATCTCGGAGTTTTCAGTCGAACTGCCTGCAAAGTCTACCACCACTTCGCCACTTCACCAACGAGCCCGAGCTCAACCTCTCCACGATCCACACGCGTCCTCCCCATATCCTCCGTCTCCAATCCCACAATGCCTGGCTCTGTCCACTCCCAAGATGCCCAAGACCAGTCCATGATGGATGTCGAGCAGCCACAAGATGAGTTGATGCTGGATGAGCGCCGCATCCTGGTGGTATGTCAACTCGGGGAAACAACGTTTACATTCTAGCATAAGATCTAACCATTGCATAGCTGCCCGGTTCCTCAGAGACCGCCGCATCATTCCAGTTTGAGGGAGAAGGTCACACCATGGGTAACGCTCTGCGATTTGCCATCATGAAGAAGTGAGTGTGCTGCTCTGACACCTATAAATTGGGTCTGATCTTGTATCACTGACTGAAACTAGCCCGGCCGTGGATTTCTGCGGTTACACTATTCCTCACCCCTCCGACGCGAAGATGCACCTCCGTATTCAGACTAGTGGTAAGCCAACGCCGATCGTTCTCTCGATACCGCAACAATTCATCGATCGCCTTGACTAACCCGAAGCTCAGACTCAACTACTGCCCTCGAAGCCCTCGAGAAGGGTTTCAATGACCTGATGGACCTGTGCGACGTTGTTACTGAGAAATTCACCATTGCCCGCGACCAGTTCAACGAAGAGAACAGCAACAAGATGCAGTCCTGAGCGATGGGCTAAAGCTTCTTTGCATTTGTGTCATATGGTACTGGCGTTTTGGGTAGATCTGTTTCAAAAGCTTATTGATAGTTCCTTTGCCGACAATTAATGGCAGGAGTCACTTACACATTTACCATTCAAGAGAAGCCTTTGGTAGCGATAGATAAAGCAGAGAGGTTTGATTTAGACTCGTAGGTGAAATGCTTTTTCTTTCTTTCTTTCTGTTTCTTTTATTTTCTTTTCTTTTCTTCAATTTCACCATATTCCGCCTTGGTTCCTGGTATCGAATGTGCTTTCATAAATCAGAGAGCTGGTAATCGATTGAAAATTGAAAGTGAAACCGTATACTGAAGGGATCAAGGGAAGTTTAATGCGGATTTAATTATATATTTCAAAAACTAATTATCTCGTTAGGTTTTAAAGAGGGTCGAGGAAAGGAAGGGATCATGTTTTTATATTAGTCAACACTCTCAGAACAATAAGTACATGATTCTGGATTCTAGGTCATGTTACCTATAGTAGTCATGAAGTCAACTGCCGCAAAAGCAACCGCAGCTCTCCCGATCCCCAGTCCTTGCTGTTGATAAACATACCCATATTGGTCAAAGATGTGGAGGATATCATTTCTCCTATTTTGCGTGGCCAGTATCATAGGTGATAGTCCCTGGCTATCTGGTCGAGTTGGATTTGCTCCATGATTCATCAGAAGCTTCACCATCCCAACGTTCCCACTGGCCACGGCCCTGAAAAGCGAAGTCCTAGTCGAAGCCCCAATTTGATCTGCTGGGGTGCCAGCGCTTAACAACAGCTGTGTAATCTCAATGTGGTTGTTTCCAACGGCAGAGGTAAGAGCCGTATCGCCATTGATACATAATACGTTGGCGGTGGCCCCGTAGTTTAGTAAAAGAGTAGTCATGCTCAAATTTCCACATGTGACAGCCTGTGACAGGGCTGATTTGCCACGGACATTTGAACCGTTAGGGTTCGCTCCATGGACTAAGAGTAGCTTGGCGATGTTTTCGTACCCTTTCTGAGCAGCTACGGAAAGGGCTGTCTCCCCATTCTTTCCCTTCAAATCTGTCTTGGCTTTGAATTTAAGTAGCAGAGACACCAGTAGCTCGTGGCCACGTGATGTAGCTATGATCAATGCCGTCTGTCCATTTGAGTCCTTGGTATTAACACTAGCGCCCTTTTCTAGGACCTCTTCAATTCGGTCAACTTCTCCCTTTCGGACTAATGTGAGCAGCCCACTTTTGTCCCCTGACATCTTGAATCTCAGCCGTTTGAGTAGACTAGGCTGTTTTCCCCGAACTTCAGGTGTGGTAGGCGGTGATTCACCTTGTGAGATCTCTTCTGGCATTACTCTGTTGTCCAGAACCTCATTACGTCGGGATTGGGCCGAAGACTTGGAGTCATCTTCTGAAGCTAGTTGATGATCAGTACTTGAGATATCGTTGTCCTTTACGGCTTTTTGAAGCACCGTAATGATAAAGGCACGTTCCTGGGTCGACTGCTCAAATGTAACGCCAAAGTCTTGTAGCTCGCCTTGTAAAAGTTGCCATTTGCCGTCTGTTTCGGGGTTTGAAGCATCGCCAATGAGCCCAACCACAACCTGTATATCCCGCTTTCCTTCTCCGAGCTCACAAATATAAGTTTGTAGCAGTCGCTCAAGATTGGCGTGGGAAGATCTGAGAATGATATTAGAATTGAGCTCGGTTTGCCATCAGTGAGATGAGAACCAACATACATCGCCATGTCTGCATTAATAACCCTAAACTCGAATATCAAGTCGGATAATCGGGCGCGGATTTCCAGAAATTGAGTCTCAAGGGAGCTTTGCCCAGTGAATATTTGGAGATTTTGTAATTCCAATAAACAACAGTGACAGTCCTCGAATTTGCTCCATAGCTTCGGACTTGCATGATCATGACATTGTACGGACTGCTGCTCAATATTGCCAAGAACCCCAAGAAGCAATCCAAGCTCGTTCTGTGTCTCCTGCACGAGACCGGCTGACCCGGTGGTTGAGTCAGAGAGACGGGTGAGTATCAGTTGGATGGCTTCAATCTGAGGTGCCACCTGGGCGCGCAATTCCGAGGAGGAAACCGTCATTAGAAACTAATTTTAGAAGAAACAAGCAATAAATAAGCAAAAGTGTAACTTGCCAAGAAAATTCTGATCGCTATAAATTAGAGTCATTGTGGCAAGGTACACCTAGCGCTGGCGCTAAGGTCGAATTCGGCTGATGAGGGCGGAATATCCCGGTCCTACCATATCTTTCGATACGAGAGTTCGAAGCACATCCATCCATGCATCTAGAGTCATCAGCAGTTCATTCTTCACATTGCCTATGCACTGCCTATGGCTTCCGTTCAAGCAGATCCAGTAGTAGTATGGCTAGGCGTATGCTAATAGATGGAAGATATTCACCAGGGCTTCAGTTGATAATCATTGCTGTATACCCTTCAGAATTTATGATTATGCCGACAATAGACCAATCTTTCCAGATCTCGAAGTTCTCTCTGTTTTCCTTTATCTCCTGTCAAGCATTCAATAATCAAACGGGGCTGTATCACGTTGAATGTACTCCTTAACCCTATCTGGGGGACGGCCGTATGTGGCTTGTATTTCAGCCCTAAATTGAAGTTTCGTAATGGGAACCCTCAGTTTTCGTCAACCAAGACACAAGATCCGATTTAGAGAGGGTGTTTTTGGGCTTCGACTTAGTAAAAACCCTTAGCCCTTTCTTTTAAAAATAGATAGAATGTAAAACAGAGAGAAAACGAATATAATTTGAAATAAATTGAGAGTAAGAATAGCTATTTAAAAACTCTATATGTAGATTTCTAAGTATAGCGATTGTCAATTTGCAGACATTGTACTATCCACCTTGACGGATCTGTGATGGGTGCAAAACACATACCGCTACGACTCCCGTCAAGTAAGACTCCAACCTCAAGAACATGTAAAAAGCTGGAGGATATGGTTGGATTTCGGCATTGTCCCATCTTCAAAACTTTTTTTAAACACCAAAAAAATTGACCGACGCAGGGGTCGAACCTGCAATCTCTTGATTCGTAGTCAAGCGCCTTGCCATTGGGCCAGCCGGCCTTGTTGATATATGTGTGGTGGAAATTTGCAATCACAAGTGGAGCCGTTGGGTTCCGAGGATCGGCTCGAGTCTCCACTATAAAGCCGACCGGGCCGCGTCGCCAAGCCCTTTATAATTTGACCCTCAGTGAGTGAATATCTACAGTCCTACTTATTGAATGGTGCTAGCATATGCTGAATGCTCCAGATAAAGTTTACATTGATTTGTACAAGGCACCCACCAAATTTATAGATAATGGTTCATTTATACTGTTATTGATTTTTACGGAGAAAGATGCATATACCCCTCGGGAAATATGTATCAAACTCTGTCATAGCGACTGGTTGCAAGATTTTGAGATCACTGGAAATTTTTGGGAACGAGAGCACGGATATCTTCGGTGTTGCTATCATGAAGCTCGATTAGATGTCCCACCACAACTTCCTTTCACCTTGAAAGGTTGATGGGATTAAGCATAGGTATGTCTCACTACGGTGTCCACAGCCTCCCTTACACTGGCAGACCAGACCAATTGATGCTACCGTACGAAGGCCCTAATATTTCCGGGCCCAACCCATATCAAGTTGTCTCGTTTGATCCGTTCCGGGATATTCACAACATTATATGATATGTTTACTGTATATAGGTCTTCGTTATTGGACTCAGCAGTCTTCTATCTCTTGTACTCTGGCTGGAGACAATGACCGCGAACTTTCCAACGCCGAAAGGTTTGTTTCCCGATTTTGATTAGATCGGGTCGCATTGACGGTCGCCGAACAACCCTTATCAGCCCTAGGCAACATGGCCCACTCGCTGTGCATACTTGAAGATCTTCTCTTTCTTTCCGAGTCATTTGGTGTACAAGTGGAATCACTTGTTCCTGATGATCTATAAGAAAGAACCTTTCTGAAGGCCACTGTGGTCAGTTTGTAGAGTAAGGGGATATTGGCACAAATTATTCCACACAGAGGCTCATATACAGATAAAATTCCAAGAGGAACACCAGTCCCTAAAAGCAATTAGTTCCCTGAATGTCAATTTTTGGAGTATCCAGGCCTACATGTGAAATCAGACGATCCTTGTGAGACGACAACTGTTAGACGGGCAAGAGTTACGCCGCATGTGCTCCTCAAATTAGCACAATATCGTAGCATCAGAGACAGGGACATAAGACATACAATAGACCAATGGCAAAGACTCCTGCAAGCTCCCACTTCCGTTGTCGCGTGACATGGAGTCTGAAGATAATCGGCAGCGGAAGCAGGAATACCCAAATATCGGTAATCAAGTTGGTTATATTGGTGAAGTAAGAGAATGCCACTAAATCGAGACAGGTTCCCTTTATATCTAAATCCCAAGCTCTTTGTACCGGGAAACACTGCAGTCCGAGACCGATCTCCATGGCCGCGAGCCACAATACGACGAAGATGGCGGTGCCGATCACAAATCGGCGGAAGACTACCGTGCTGAAGATGCGATAGTAAAGAGAAAGAATTGCTAGCTTAGTACTTGCAATAGCCCAGTCGTAAAAATGGCTGAAAACATAGTCGCCCTAGTTAAAATCAGTCTTTGAGATGGTATGGTGTGTGCGTTCATATCGTACCCGCAGGAAATTTTCTATGTCTTCGGCTGAGAGGGCTTCTTCGTGCCGACCAAAGCCATAAGGCGGACCTATGATCCAAAAAGCTCATGATTAGCCTCCAAGTCCAATGGCTTGGTTGGCTGTGACAGCTCACCATAGACTAAGCCACTTATGCACAGCCCAACGGCTATGGACTGGAACAACGTGATGTTAAAACGTGTGCTGCTCAAAGACGAGGATCAGAGTGGCTTTAATGATTTGTAGCACTGACTGTAGCGATGATAATCATCAAATCGTCAAACGCGATGGTATTCTTGGAGGAGGGCCGTAGTTTCACGAAAAGGCGTAGTCCAGTACATGTAATCATTATTGGAATCGGGATAGAATAACACACGGTCACTATTGTGACTCGTGACGCATTTAAATCAACTTGACCCATCATGATAATTTGAGCCTAGGTTGTTTAAGGCGTCTGGATCGTCGCAAATGTACATGTTAAGTGTAAAAGCTGACTGAAGGGATGGACAAGTCCACAGCACAGGAATGAAGGAGCTGAGCAGTAAGCGATACAAGCAAGGCCTGATGCTTGCCTGAATACTTGAGGTGTTTCAGGGAGACCAAGCAGTGTCACGTTGGGGGCTTGATGATATTTGTCATATTGCTTTTCCAAGGTCATCGTATTCGCTTTGTTGGGTGCACGTGTAACATCAAGTCTTGGACTTGCACGTGTTCATATATATTGATTTCGATTGTCTTTATTGTCTTTGATTCCTTTTACCCTCCCCCCCTCGTTCTACTTGGACATCATAATCCAAATATTTTATTGAAAATTGTGGGCAGGTGTACTGAGCATCCATACGTCTCCAAGGGATGCCAAGCATGGTGGTGAGGTTTGTACTACTTTGATAAGCTTCGGCCCCCATGTTGCTCTGTTGTTGGGCATAATGCGACCATCTGTAATTGGTGAGACCGAATGACTTCCGAGCCTAGATCCTCCACTTTTTGATATCATACTCATTTTGACGCGACTATATCAATTCAACGAAAATCGTGAACTCTAAAGCGACTGGGGTTTATCGTCACGCGCCAAGCAGAATCAATTTCATGGTGAGCGCTCATCTCCATAGGCGCGCACTTAGTTTCACGGGGCATTGTGAGTAAGCAGGCCAGATGCCGACAGCCTTGCATGAAATGTACATGAGGGGCTGGGATTTTCACCACACCACACCTCCAATCAAGTCACCGCCATTCCTTACTTTCCTTGTCACAGAAAAAGAAAAACCAAGCTTTGGCGATCAGGCCAGGATTACCTTCATGGGGATAGGCAGCCTGATTCTTCTCGCATTTATTGCGACCAGGGTTAGCCTAGCTGCTCCTGCTCATACAGCTAGCCCGGTGGTTAATTTAGGCTACGCCAGCTACCAGGGGTACTATGACAGTACTCACGATCTAAACATTTTCAAGGGGTGAGATTCGAACTCTGCACCTTTGATTGGTTATTTTGTGATACTCACCCTCCCGGACTAGAATTCGTTATGCAGCCCCTCCAGTTGGAAAGCTCCGATGGCAAGCTCCACAAGCCCCCCCAGTGAACCGGACTTCCGTTCAATATGCCATTAAGCAACCTCCGCTTTGCCCCCAGTCTGGTGGTGCGAAATTGCCCAAAGTTTACGGCTTCAATTCGGCCCTCGGTGATGAGGACTGTTTGTTCTTGAATGTGTATGCTCCAGTGGGGGCAAAAGATCTCCCTGTCCTTCTTTGGATCCGTAAGTCCACGCTCAGCTGAACTTTACAACCATGTGTCTAGGAGTTATTGTCCCTAAAACTTTATAGATGGGGGCGGGTACGGTCTTTTTGGGGCAATCTACGACCCCAGTGAGTGGATCAACACGAATGATCATGGGTTCATTGCAGTCATGATCCAGTACAGACTGGGTGCTTTTGGCTTTTTGTCATCGGCAGATGTGCACAAATATGGCCAAGCCAACGCAGGTCTTCTGGACATGCGATTTGCTCTTCAATGGGTCCAAGAGCATATTGAAGCTTTCGGCGGCAATGCATCTCGTGTTACGATGGGCGGTGAATCGTCAGGTGCAGGCTCAGTGATGTTGCAGGCAATGGGCTATGGGGGTCGCGAGGATCACTTATTCAACAATGTACGTGCGATGCTACATGAGGGAAGGTTTGCTAATCCATGTAGATTATCGCTGCCAGCCCGTACACTCCGGCTATGTACCACTACGATGATGAAGTGCCGACAATTCATTATCTTCACTTTGCAGCTCGGGCAGGATGCCATGATGGAAAGCTTATTTCCGAGTCGGCTATCTTTGACTGTCTCGTAAATGCCGACACAGAGACCTTGCAATACGCCAGCGCAAATGTTTCAGTCTCGGGATCATGGGGTACGTGGGCCTTCCAGCCTGTGATAGACGGCGAGTTCATTCAGGAGCTACCAACCACGCAACTGCTCAAAACGAAAGTGAGCGGCAAGCGTATATTGTCAGGTGTCAGTTCAACAATTACCATCGACATGAACTGGGCTCTGAAAGCTAACTTTCCCAGAACAATGCCAATGATGGCGTGCCCCTGAGTCCGCCTTACATCAACACCACCGACGGTTTCTTGAGTTACATCAAAAACACTTTCCCATTGTTCAATGCATTTGATTATTCTCGCCTGAAAGATATCTATGGATTCTGGAATAGCTCCCCCACAAACACTGGCCCTCGGTACGACACCCTGGGTGATCGTGGCCCAATTGCTTTGAACCAGTCAGAGATGGCGACAGGTCTTCAGCAAACTATTTTTAACATCTTTGCCGAGACAACGTTTGATTGTGCTTCGTATTGGCTTTCAGATGCTTTTTCAAGGGGCCCCGCCAAGGAGAGTTGGAAGTACCAATTTTCTGTCACGCCTGCATACCATGGTGCAGACTTGACCGCATATTTCTCCGTTGGAGCGCATACACCCACTCGTGGCTTTATACATTCATTCCAGAAGATTTGGGGTTCCTTCATTATCAATGATACCCCAGTAATCTCCATCGCAGATGCGAAGGGCTGTGCGGAAAATTCCACAGTCCCCGAAGCCACAAATGGGTATATCTCATGGCCAAAGTGGAATGAATCCTCACCTGTACTGATGAACCTGAACACCACAGGTGGAAAGACAGTCTACGACCACATTACTGATCAACTATCGTACTGGCTCCGAAAAGGACCTGGCGTAACGAACATGTTTACACTGGCAGATGCATCAAGCTGGGAAGGTGGTCGCGGAGAGCGCTGCAAGTTCTGGCAAAGTGTTGGTCCACGGGTGCCACAATGAGCTCCGGCTGTCTCATGTTCCAGATGTGATGTGGTAACTCTGGTAGGTGAAGTTCACAGTATTCATTATCTTCGCATATAGATATCGTTTCGAACAAAAAAAGCAATGATAGAACTGCACATAGACAAGAGCAAGTCTTCAATAAAAATGTCGAGAAAAATGTCGAACGTAAATCTCTGAATACACAAGCTTCCTCCCATACACTAGTCTGATTCATAGCTGAATCCCGTCAAGAGAAGAGAATCTTGACAATTCTCCATTTTGATGAGGAAATTGATGTCATTGAGAGACTAGGCCTTTGCTTAGATTGAAAAGCGGTATATGCGTGAGTATTGATTCTTTACAGGTATAGTGTACCGAGACCTCGGTGCTAATGCGGACATGCACAAGAGGATTGTGATAAGTAGTAACTCTGCTCGTGTCCTGGAAATGATCCAAAGGAGTAAATGATTACATTGAAATATGAGTTCTATCGCTGAATTGAATTCTATCAGTTGATAAGTAAAAAATCTTTTGCAGACCCGGAATTCGAGGGCTTATCAATTCAATAAGCGCCATTCGGCATCGGATATAGAGCCTATGCTAATGCTTATTTCTAGGCGTTCACACCCAAAAAATCATAATCAGAGTCTCTCGAGGTCATTAACTTGAGACCAGGTGTCAATTGAAGCGTTGTCTTTCATGTTGACCTTAATTAGGCGCCGAGATAAATTCCACTCTATATAAACTGATCCAGTGGACCTACCGAGACAAGTGTCCTCAACACAATATGCAATGGCAATGTCCTTGGAATTGTGCATGTACCAGGTGGTTTCAACATCACTTCGAGTCTGGAGCCTCTCCATTCCGCACAACAGGGACAGACGACGATCCAAGCAACGCCTTTGCCGACCTCCACGAAAGGCGCAGTACATAAAGACCCAAACTTGCAAAGTTGGCCCATACAAGCACAGCAAAATAGATCAGAACCTTGGGCGGAATCATCTTGAAAATAGCGACCGGATCCACGCCCACTTTCTGTTTGAACTCGTCAATCTCCGCTACCGCCAGGGAAGTATTCTCCCTGTCTGAATCACTTTGATAAACATTATCCGGATCCTCGACAAACGCATCAGTGTAGATAGCGGTTGCGATTGCGCCTCCGAAAATGGTCATGAAAACCATTAGCACAGCCTGAGAGAGGAGTTCATACAGCCAAGCACATGTAAAAACGAAAGTTGCGAGGGCTTCTCTGCGTGAGCGGAGGTAACCGGTCGTCAGGATGTGGGCAATTGAATCATTTTCAGTTGGCTGTGTGAAAACAAGGAGCCGACATGCCAAGTATGTGAGGAGGCTGATCGATGATGCTGTTCCGATGAGGCTGCGGTTATCGTTGAGCGCATTTAGAGCGGAGAAACCCAGAGTTGTAATCGTCCAGGAAGTCAAAAGGACAACAGAAATTGTCGTGAAGACCCTAGAGCCGAAGGAAGAAACAGTATTGGCCATGATTGAGCGGTGTGAGGATAGAAAGAAAGAAGGGAAAAAGAAGCAAAAGAAAAGAAAAGTTCATTTACTTTAGCGCCTTTGGGGGCTATTGCAGCCTAGTGCTACCTATTTCAACTCCACCTTAGGGTCCAGGGTCCAGGGCCCACATCGGATGTCGCGGAGCACAATTTGTAGAATCAAAATAGACAGAGGGTCAAAGGTTATGAATTGGTGCTTGCATAGCCAAAAGGACAATATGGGATGTTTGTCGGTGAGCAAAACATTTGTCTAAGTACATAACCGATGCATTGCTGCCTGAAATCTCTGGCACCCAACAAAGCTTTAGGCGTGTAGAACTTTCACACACTCTCTAGTATAGACATTCCGTCTATCCCCTTTGCTGCCATCTTCTGCTTCGCTAAGAGGATACCCTAATGTTCGCCTAAGTTTGTTGTGCCAATCGGTCTTGTAACTCTACCATGAGCGCCGGTTTATGCCAGATGAGGTATACATCGTGGTCAATCCAATTCTCACTCTCCTTGCAGATCTCCATGTCGAAATTGCAAACAAGTTTGGTGAGAATTAGCCGTATTTCCAAGTACGCGAGGCTTCCAATTTTCTGGAGTTAACACACTTTGAACGAAAGCGGGGTCTTGCTGTGAATGAATACCTACTTTTTGCCTAGACAACCTCTTGGCTCCAGACTGAAAGGCTGCAGCACATCCCTCTTGTCATTGCTAATTCTCGCATCGGTCCCTGACCAGCATTCTGGGATGAATTGCTCCGCAAGAAAAAAGTTTGTAGGAGCGTGATAAGATGAGTAGTGGTGAGTGGACACAATAACCTGCAATGTACTCTCAGTGACTGTTTGTTGGTACTTGCCAGAGCATAGGGATATCGTCACTTACATTTGCTGGTACCGAGTATTCATATACATTACCACCATCGTTCGGTACGACTCGCGGTAACTCTGTGACCAGAGGAGGGTACATGCGAAGAGACTCCTCAGTCACGGCATCCAGATATTTCATTTGGGCGCATCGAGTCGATGTAATATACTTATCTTTCAAGAAAGTCGAGCGCACTTCATTGCATAGGTTGGACATCGCGGTGGTGCTCTTACATAAATAGAAATAACATCCCGAGAGGAGTGACGCAGACGTTTCGCTTCCAGCCACGGTGAAGCTGTATATGATAGTCAGTCAAGGCCTAGGAAGTAGACAGATCTAAATTCATATAGCATGGAATTTGCATGAACACCGGCTCGACTTATAATTATCTGCTTTTCATTAAACTGCTCCTTCTTATCACTTAACCCGTTCTTTAGTAGAGTAGATTTAATGTCGGCTCGATTTGTCCCTATCATTAATCGACGGTCGGCCTTTTGCGCACTAAGATTAGAGTGCTTAAGCAATTAGGTTCGAAGATACTCCGGTATAGGTAGTCCACTTGCCTTCCGGAAGAGGAAGAATTGGTTCATCGCCATAATAAACGCGATTCCCTTGGCAGTGCTAAGTAGAAGTGCAATCCAAGGATGCATTCTGCTATCTTGCAGACAGCCAAAAGGTTCAGCGAACATCAGATCGCCTATGGTATCGAAGGTGACAAAGTAAAATCAATCTGTCATATTTTCCTTGGCTTTGTGACCTTTTCCCTTAATGGTTCGCTCGGGGAGTCGGGAGAAAAACAAATCGACTAGGGATATCACAATCCCTTCATTTTCAGGTAGAGACTTGTCTGAGAAAGCATGAGACAACAGGCGGCGATGTCTCGAGTGAGTCTCGTTGTCCAGGATTCCAATGAGACTATCGCGAATGCCGTTCGGTTTTTCCGCGTAGAGCTTAGAATCTTTAGCAAACTGTGGCTTATTCGGACTTGCTGCGTAAATATCCTGGAAAGCCTGCGAACTGCTGAATGATAGCTTATCTGGGCCAATGCGGACGACTGGACCGTACTTATTGTGCATAGCCAGCATGGTTCTATGATTTCGTCCGCGTAAGATGTCGATAGCTGAGAGAATGGCAGAAATTGCCCATAGCTTCGGACCTGGATACGACAGCAGTGGAGAAAACATGAGATTGTAGCAAACATTCCATGTTATGTGGACTAGGGTCTTTGTTTTCTTACTTTGGCCGTAATCGTAGTCTGACCAATGATGTTATACGGGGTCGGTGAAAACACCAATGTTATCAAACTGGCTGCCCAGAGGAAGCCCCGAGATGAAGGATATTCCAGACTTTCCATCATTTTTAGAGGATTATGTGCACCAAGAGTGTACAAATTTGCTCTCTTGACAATAGAAGACTTTCGTTTCATTCCTGAAATGCAAGGACGAGGCCGAAGTGCGGGGCAACTGAGAAGTTCAAGCATATCGGTAGATCTTTACTACTCGTGTATCTGTATGTACGACTTTTACTCGGATGAAGATCAGTATTCAAGTTGGGTAGGCGCAGTAGACGTATCATATGCCAATTAATGAACAGCAAGGTTTCATACGCCATCGGAATGGTCATCCTCTACCTACAGGGTCTAGCAGGTGAAGAGCTGCATTTCGTTTGTGTATTATCATTCAAGAAGATGCCGCTAACTGTGAGGGCTTTAGACCACGTAATAAGGAAGGACGTTTTTGAAAGCTGCAGCCCGTCCTATAACTGATCTACGGTGATATAAGAATAAATATGTTATTAGGCCTTGAGCAGTAACAAATAGTCCGTCGTACCATTACTATAATGATCGTCTCTAATATGCAATATTGTGTGGACCAGGGATGGAAAAATAAATTCCTAATTAACACATGAAGAGTCTAGGCATTTGGTTATATTGCTCCTTGATTCATTCGCTGATAGCGAGATGTTGCTGATACACTATTTCTGCGATGGGAGTGTCACAATTACTGTTAGTTTCCTGATCTCAAGAAAAGCATTCTTAAATCGTGATCGGATTATCTTGAGATGCTAAATGAAAATGACCAACACTGTGTCTTAAGAACAATGCTCCAGACCGCTAGCATTGGGGTGGAAGTATCCCCGATCAATCAACGCTTCGTAGCTCCAGTAGTCAGCTTGTGTTCCTTGTCCATCAACGGTAGCATTGCCAGAGAATTTCCAAGTCCAATAAGATGCGCCGTGCGAATATTTGTGAAATGCACCCAAACCGTAGTTCAGGTTGCGCTCGCGCAAAGCAAAGCTATTGTTATATTGCGTCTGAATAGACCATTCGCCGACAAAAGTGGGAAACTTTCCATCGCCTGGAGTGGTTTTAGCATCGGTGCACATGTAAGATGGCACGTTTAGAGAAGTGGTGTTGCGGCCCTCAAAATAATAGTTATGCACGTCGAAAACCAGATTCTCACTGCGAGAGAAGTTGCCAGACCAGTATTTCTCGCCCTTAAAACTGCCTTGGAACATGACGGGAATATTCTTGTTCACCGCAGTGACACGGTCAAGCACTGCTTGGATATACTTCAAGACCCAAGCGGCACCTGCATCGGAGAGAGCGGCGGAGGTTCCGAACACGGATAGATCGACATTATCGGCCGGTTCGTTAATAGGCGAAAGGGTGTACGACTCCGGGTGGCCGGAGCTCTGGATGAACTCGATAACGGCATCCATAACTTGCATAGAATAATCGAAGTTGGTCTGATTGTTGAACCAGCCCCAATGACCAGCAGCCTCGCCAATAGTCAAGCCATTGATTCCGCCAGGAAGACCGTGGACACCAAGGACGATGTGCATCCCATAGCGCTTGATAGCATACGTAGCGATGTTCTCGAGGTAGGTAGTCTGGTTGCCCGAGTAGAGTTTTGAGCCAGGATACTTAATCCAAGCTGCGTAGGTTGTGGGGATCCGTAGAAGGGTGATACCGGATTTGGCGGCCTTGTCAATGTCGGCAGTAGTGATCCAGCTCGCGTAGCGCTTCTCAAGCACTGTCCCACACTGCGAGCCGAGGTTTTCACAAAGACCCCATTCATCCTCGGCACCTCCAGAATAGGTGTTCCACCAGAGTGTGTCGATAGTCGATTCCTGGACGAGCCAGCCGCCGAGGTTGACGCCATATGCCTTAAATGACTTCCAATCAACATATTTTGCTTTCTCTGTTCGGCTTGGGAGAGCCCCCAAGGCGCTGGGGATGCCGAGAGCAAGTAGAAGGGCCGGTTTAAAAAACATGCTTAGAAATTCAGGTCGCCAAATTGAGAGAACTATACTTCGATAATATGTCGGCAACCACGAGAACAATTAATGGCTTTATAACATCCATTGTAATGAGATTTGCATCTGTCAGAAAGTCTAACATGTAATCTTAGCCAATGGACCCGAGCATGGATTTTCCGAGCAGGTTCAAGAGGATGACAAGGAAATTGTCAGGACTGTGGACTTGGCTTCCAAGCACGCTTTACTGAATACAGAATCGGCAATGAATATCTTACGCATATAAACTTCTGCTGTTTGTCCCGGGTTTGATATTCATTGCAAAATCGGTGTACATTACACAATGTGGGCTTCCAAATGAAATATCATTGTCTAAACCTGGCGTTTCCCATTTCTGTATCTTATCGAAACTGAGACTTCATCGTCTGATGGGGGTGAAACTGTATAGCATTCGACCCACGGGGCCCGATCTGAACAATGTTTGGGGTGTGGGGATGAGAGAATATTCCGGGGAAAGCAAACAGCCGAAGGGAGATGGCAAAACTTCGGCAAGTTATTTCCACTGTCACTACAATTGCCGCGCTCCATCCTTCATTTAAGCCACGGAAGTCTCCCGGTGGTGGAGACCAATCGGGATCGGGAACTTTCAAAAATTGTTAAAATCTGGGTGACCCTCTGGTAGCTCTCGGCGATGTCGACGAGGCAGCTTCTCTCTTTCTCTCTTTCTCTTTTTCTTTTGCTATGCAAAGATCAATTCCCTTTGATGGCCGTGAACAAATTATGGATTGTTCTCGCGAGCCAGCATGATCACTATGACAAAAGGTTTCTTTGCCCCTAACGCGGGAAGCCGAGCTCGGTGTGAAGTGTTCCGAGACAGCCCCACTTCTCTCTCTATACGGGTCGGATTTCCCGACTCGCTTACAGTAGTCTCAGTCCTGTCGATGTGTTCACGAGCCAGGCTCACGAATTTGAGACAATTCTTGTCATTTTGGGGCTCGCTATCGCTTCCGCTTCCCCAAGATCGAAATTTCAAAACTTGGTATGAGCGACGAAACGGTCGAGCGTGGAAAAAGGCACAACATTAACTGTAGCAAGAGAGAAGACAGATCCGTCACTTGTGTGAGGACAAACATAAGAAAGCAAACTTGAGAGAGATGGGAGGTCTGAAGATAGACGGCATTGATTTTACTAATAATCAAGGCTAGAAGGCCACTGGATCCTAGAGCTGGCAATGTATTGGCTGAAAGTCTGGGGACTCCAAAGATTCGATCTGCATGGCTAAACCCCATGGGGATTTGCGCGGACCCGGACCCGCATTTTAGGCATCAAAACTAAGACGGGACTCCGGGCTAGTACACACCGAGGATAAATTGATGGACCCATGTCGAATCACGCGTCTCGATGTCGGAAACTCTGCTCATACAGTCATGGGCCCACAGTCTAGTCCTGCCAACCAGACAAAACTTTTGGGTTCAGTAGGACGAGGCCTTGGGTTTGTTGGGGTAGGCTTATTTCCATTGGACCTACCCATAGCGTACGTGGCTAGGACCTCGAATGTATATATGTATGGAGTTTCCCCGGAGTGAGAAATTTTTTATCCCCAGGTTCCATTGTGAGCCTTTCAACATTTGAAGGTTACCTACCTACCTAAGGCGAAAATGGCGAAGATCACAACATTACTGTCGGCCGTGTTCTTGGCCATCGGAGGTAATTAGTCTTCTGCTTTTTACGTCGACGTCAATTCTAACAGGGTTTCATCCAGGTTTCCTCTTCGGCTATGATAGCGGTATCGTCACCTCCACCATAGGCCAGACCGAATTCATCAAGTACTTTTCCAACCCTAATGACACTGTTACTGGTGGCATTGTATCTGCATTTCAAGGTGGTGCAATTCTGGGCACGATGATCAACATGTTCACAGGTGATCGGCTGGGCCGCAAGATGTCAGTCTTTACTGGTGCTTGTATCTCGTGCTTTGGATGCGCTCTGCAAGCTGGCGCCGTGAACATGACCATGCTCATCATCGGTCGATTCATTGCCGGCGCGGCGGTTGGTATGCTCACCTCAGTCGTACCAATGTATGCCGGTGAGATGGCCGAGTCTTCGACTCGTGGCATGATGTCCGGTTTGTTGCAGTGGATGTTGAGCTGGGGATACCTGGTCGCCCAGTGGCTGGGATATGGATGTTCATTTGTTGACACTGCTGTTCAATGTAAGTCAGAACTTGTGACGATTTTGCATTCCGGAAAGCTAACCCAAATCCAACCTTAAAGGGCGCTTCCCTCTCGCTTTTCAGTGTATTCCTGGTCTCACCCTTGCTTGTGGTGTGTGGTTCCTGAACGAATCCCCCCGCTGGCTTATGGAGAAGGATCGTCACGACGAGGCCCTCGCTACACTGCAGAGGCTCCACGGCGATGGAACTCCGGAGAAGGAACAGTACATTGAGCTCGAGTTTCAAGAAATTCGCGAGACCATTGATGCCGAACGTGCATCGACCAAGATCACGTGGAGCTCCATCCTCACCAAACCCTCTTGGCGGCGGCGTCTCATTCTGGGATGTGCTGTCCAGGCCTTTGGTCCGCTGTCTGGTATCAACGTCATCAACTACTACGGCACTCGCATCTATGCATCCCTGGGCATTGATACCAAAACTTCACTCATGATCATTGGAATTTCTGGAGCTTTGTCAATTGTCTACTGCACCGGTGGTCTCTGGGCCTTGGAGAGAGTTGGTCGCATCAAACCTCTGATCATTGGATCAGCCGGAATGGCTCTTGCCTTGGTTTGCAATGCCGCTATGTCCCAGCACTATGATGAGAGTAACGGCAACGAGCTTCGTGCAATGGTGGCCATGAATTTTGTCTTCAGTTTCTTCTACACTTTCATTGGAATTATCTCATGGGTCTACCCCGCTGAGATTTTCCCTGTAGACATTCGCAACCAAGGCAATTCGGTTACCACCTTCACAAACTGGACCATCAATCTGGTTTTTGCTCAATTTTCGCCAACAGCCTTGTCCACCATTGGATTCCGTTACTTCTACGTTTTCTTCGTGTTCAATATCATTGCCATGATATGCTATATTCTATTCTTCCCGGAGACCAAGGGCAAAACTTTGGAACAGATGGATATGCTGTTTGGTGATAGCAATGTCGCACCTTCTTCTGTTGAAAAGGTCGGTGCGGAAGTGGAACACGCGGAGTGACGAAATGAAAGAACTTATCTATGTGGATCTGCTCGTTGAATAGGAACGTTTGTATTAGGCAAGGCGCAGTGTTCAAAAACCAGAGTAGTAATATGATCGAATGCATACCCAGGTACCTGATGATTTACGCTACAGTAAGCTATCCTGATATCTGATTGTAATTTAAGAGTGACTGAGACTGAGGTTTAGTGTATATCTTGGCTCAAATGAAGCGTCATAATACATAGATATATGAATCTGGCTTGGATCAGGCTGGGGAATATGTAATAAGCTTAACGGCCCGATGATATAGACCAATGGTGTTCACACCCCGCTCCTCCTGGGTCCACCCGGCATTTTGGTCAATCACGACCTGGGAAATGCATTAAAATACCCGCTTTACTTCCAAGATTTCGCGGATTTCTGAGGTACCGTAAATAATTTTGCCTTTAGCGGGGTATCTGCTTTACAGTGTTTTCCAGGAGCGACGGGGCGGCATGTGCAACCCAGGCTGTTGAATACTTTTATGTTGACCTTTTCGGCTTTCAAATTTTGGATGTTTCGCTGGTCGCGAGGGGAACTGATACTTTGTAAAACCCTATTGATTTTGTGCTTTTTCACTGGGTGGGCCAAGATGGTCGGACCTCAAGATCACATACAGAAAACGAAAATTGGTCTAGCTTAAGCTTTCGACCTTCTTGACAAACAGCTGTGAGCGAATATTCATGGATAGATGTTGAATATGATCAGATTGTTATCAGAGTCGAACTGCAGATCTATTGACATCAAGAGCACAAATGCTGGCCAAGATCTATAGAGAAGATTTCTTTCTCTTTAGCCTGTAGGAACTCTTTATGCCCACCACTCTACACAGTACTTTAGCTAGTTCACATACTGTAAACCTCTCTATGTTTTAGTCCTTTGCCTCTATGACCCTCACCTCAACTTCGCGCTCTGCAACTTGAGCCACGGCAGAACAGCATCAACAACAGCACAACCTTGCTCGGGAAACAGAGCATGGGAAGCATCATGGATAACAACAGAGGTAGCCCGGTCAGGATACAAACTAGTCGTCACGTTCCACTCGCTCTTTGGCTGGAACGGATCGTCGGCAGGAATAATCTCAAGCACCTGTGTGTCATTTCCCCCGCCCCATTGCGACGTTAAGCTCCCGTAAGCCTCCACCGCGCCATGCTCCATAACCAGAACGTCGGTGTACCACCCATCAAGCCACAAATGGGCATCATGGTTTGGTGCAAAGAACGCGGTCTTCAGCGCGTCCAGCGTCTCAGCTAGAGGAAGCGAAGCGTTACCAGCGATAAATGGCATGTTCTCAACGCTTGTAGGAAGATTGATTCCCCCTGGTGCGGCGACGACAATCGAAGATACTTTTTCAGGATACGGCATAGCGATGAATTTTGTCAAAAACGTGCCGAAGGCATGGCCGATGACGATTGCTTCGCCGCCACCGAGTGTGTCGATGACGGAGATGATGTCTGCCGCTAGGTCTTCGAGCGTAACGTTTGTCATTGGGCCAGTGGACTCGAATGTGCCGCGGGGCTGGGGGCGGAGGACGAGGAAGCCCGCGGCGGCGAGCGCAGAGCTGAAGTAGTCGAAATCATCGCTACCGTCTCGTCCGTACGAGGGGATTATATCGACTGTAGGGCCAGAACCCTGCACGATAACCTGGAGGTTGGCTTGTGCGCTCCGCACGAACTGCGTCGGCCATTTGTAGTTGGCGACGGGCTGAGTGAAGGAGAGGAGGGCATATGCCCAGGTCGCTAGAGACGCAATGATAGCAACGATGTGAGAAAAGCGGACCGTTTTGTGCTTTGATTGTCTGGATTACAATCAATCTTGGATCGACATCAATCTGATTGTTCCTGCCGACCCTGCAGGGGTTTCTTATACCCCAATATCTCTGCTTCCGACGGGGGTACTAGAGGCATGCCATAAGCAGGGCTATTCGCGAGTTAGATTCCTAAATGCCGGTTAAATGCAAGAAAATGACTCTACAGACTCGTTGAATGCCACCCAATTCCCCGAATTGCCAATCACACATGCATCTAAAATTACAGATATCGGCCAAGATCTTCCCACAGGGATTCAGTGTGGTCCTAGCGGTTGGAGATGACATCGCTGAGACACTGTAGTCGGCAGAAATCTTGCAAGAGCGTAGTATCTAGTGACTGCCCAGAGATGAGGAATTGAACGGTGAGACTTCGGATCCGATTTAACCTACTGCATTTGGAAAGACCATATCAGCCGCTTACTCGCGACTAATTGAGTGGTCTTTAGAAGCCTATGGCATCGATCGGCTGCCACTAAATGATGGGTCTTGCCACGTTAGGAAACTGGTACTTCGTACTCAAGGATGCCTTGGCATTCGAACTGGGAATAAGTTAGATGGCCGAGTCGCTCATCCCGATACATTGCTCACGTCTTAGGGTTCAATAGCCCCTCCCTGCATGAGCATTCAAAGTTCGAACTGTACCTGCCGTACCCGTGTCTCAGATCCTTATCATTGCAGTTCTTGTAGCATGCGATGGTTATATTCACGAGAAGGTACGCAGGCCACAACCCAGTATCATAGGCATAGGTTTACCCTTATACATGAGCTCTGCGTACCAAGGGGCAACAGGTTAATCACGGTGAGAACCAGGTGACAGAAAGTCACCATCAATACAGGGGATCCAATTTCTAGTGGTGTTTCTAGCGGAAGCGCCCGCTTATCTCCACTGAGCTTTCGTGAGCTTCCTCTCTCTGCAGTAACTTAGTAGGGTTCCAACAAGATATCGTGTTATACAATTCTCCCAAGTCAAGATGGACCTGTTCAGAATTGTCCTTCTTACTTTCCAAAAAAAAAAAAAAATCCATTTTCGGTGAATCTGCGTACCGTGGAATTTTGACATACACAAGTCGAGTCCAGACTAGCCTGTTGGCGTGCGCTAAAGGCGGCCAAGTATGCATGCTGAGTAAGACTGACTCATCGCGTCAAATTTTCATATTCGGTATCCGATCATCGCGACTATTTGTCGTGTTTCAATTTTATATCAGGGCTTGTAACATCCTTGCATGGTTCGCGCTTCTTCGCAGCTGATCACACGTCGACGCACGGACACAGAAGCGGAGAGGGTCGATGGGACTTAGCATAGATGCCCGATTGTGCTGCGAACGAGTTAAAAGAGGGATAGCATGGCGAAGCACTGCCCCTCTAGATTGTTCGGACTTAGCAGCTACGTCACATTTAGAGCGAAGGAAATCCGACTGCGGCGTGCTCGTCAGATCCGGGTCCTCGGCTGGATTATCCAATTCTTTAGTCCATCTAGCATAGGGGTTGATGCCGATGGCTGTCCTGTCCCTGTTACACGGGCACGGAGTTTACAGAAATGAGATTGTAATAAGACCGAAATCAGATGAGTCAATTATATTGTCGCTGAGGTAAAGCCAAAGAGACAAAGATTTCATACCGAATGGGACACGGAGTTTCCCCTAATCTAGGGATATAGCCTTATGCAGAAGCACTAGCACTACACTAAAGTCTCGTGTGGATATAGTAGTATACCACCACAGCCACAATTTCACCAAACATGCAGTAAAGGCAAGCAAGGCAGAGGATTGATCGGTGACCTCGGAATCCATTTAGAGAGATTCGTACAATCTTTAAGCAAAAGATTGAAATTTCTGAAATTGTTCACACAGACCTTGAGCTTAGTTTAATCGCGCTAGTAACTATCGTTATGTCACAGATGCCGCCTCATCTTGCCGCGAATAGCAGCTCTTTTGTCTGTGAAACAGCCCCGCCTCGTGTGCTCATAGAGTATGACCTAGATTGGGAACGAGTAAATAGCATGTCTCGCACTTTCGCAATTGTAACGTCGGACTTGCTGATCGCGTCAACCTCTAGAAACCACGGAAAACAATCTCGAGGTCTGAAGTTTACAAGACAATGGTGGATGCTCCCATCCAGAAGCAACTACATATTTGTGTAGATTGATTTGCAAATTCGGTTCTTTAAAGAATGATATTGGACCGCTGAAAGAATTAGTAATAAATGAAATCTTGATTGTGACTTCAATCATGGCTTAGCGGTGGAAGGTAATCCTTAACATTGCACTAATCAGTTCTAGACTAGGGCTGTCACCATTACCACCTTCTTCGGTCGTAGAGTTCAGTTGTCACTATCCCCCTCACCTTCTCATTCTTGCACTACATGATTTATTCTATTGTGTTCTCAAGTACATACGACCATAGGGTGTGGAGAACAGGGCTTCCCGTCCGCTCAGCCGTACTTAAGCCACACGCCGGTTAGTTAGTAGTATGGTGGGTGACCACATGCGAATCCTAACTGTTGTATGTTTTTCTTTTACTTTTTTGATTTTTGATCATTGATTTTTGATGGAGGAAATGCCTTGCCGCCCTATGGCTGATCACACTGAACACCCTGAAGCCTCTCTACTCTTCACCCTAGCACCCTGCACTCCCTTGAAGAGCTGACGTGTCCCCTGTTCACTCGGAAGAAATTTTTCATACGGTGATTATTACCATCTATATAATAGAGATCTAGAAAGAGGCATCACTAGCCATGGCATTCTGTTATCTGGATCTTCGAGCACTAAAATCGGTCTCTTCTGGAGATCGACAAAGAAAATGTCATCCAAGGAATCTAAACAATGCTGGACATGATGATAATCAGTGTCCCGAGGGCATACATGTCGACCAGTCTCTTTGCAAGCCAGTACCTCCGCAGAGCTAGGAATGTGCAGGATGAAAGAGAGAATCGGCAAGAGCCTTGATCGAATATAGATCTAGCCAGAAGGACTCGTTGAGATAGTCTCCGTTGAGCCTGCCACAACTTAAACTGTTCGCCTCCATTCATGGATAGTAACAAACAGGAGTTGGAGACAGAACTCCCGGTGATTACGCTTCCCGCCCACCGGCTTAAAAGACTTGCGATAGTGTCCAAACAAAATGCATCCGTCCCTTCATCATTTCGCAGGGGCCAGATCTGAGATGCAGTTTAAGGTTGCCCTCTTAATCATCGCTTTTTGCCCGATGATATGACCACATGGCTCTTGGCTTGAATTGTACGTGAAGTTCTGCGGGTGCCCAAATCAAGGAGGAACGACTACCAAGCATAAACAATGGGAGTAATTTAGAATGAAACAAGGCTGTCAGAGCTAATATGCGTGTCTTGAATGCGATGATAATCACAAGATCAGGAAGTCTATCTTATCCACTTGGGCAACTGGCAGTAGCCGAAGTGACAGATCCTTGTACGTAGTTCGGGAAAAATGGTTCCCATTTTAGCAGCAGCGCTCTGACCTACTGCTTATCTTGCATGGTCTGCATACGGAACTCCGTCGGACACAATCCAATACACCCCTCTTTCCATAGCACACGTATCATATAACATGCACGGCCTCTACTGCAGGAACGTACAAGGAAATACCGATACCACACCTATTCCATGTTCGTATTCAGAGCCACCCCGGATTTCGTCCCCGACCCTCCCGACAAGAAAATTTCTCCACAGTGCTTGATGTGGTGCTCTGAATCAGACCTGGGCTCCACTATTTTGCCATTGAACCGTGACCGGAACTGCTTTCGCCAGTAAAAGATGCAATGGATAGTGTGCCACTGGACGCTCATATGGACCAAGGCCTCGGGGTGATCTGCTAAGGCTGCCACCTCGTCGGAGTCAATCTGGATAGTACGTTCCCGATCGGCGTAGTAGATCCAAGTGCCATCAGGGCCGTCGCCCATTGTGTTAAATTCTTCCGCTAATTCATCGTCGCGGCAATGCTCTGGAAGCCAAGCCATTGCGAGCCCGTCGAATCGGCAACCGCGAAAAATTGCCTCTGCGACGGACTCTCCACAATCGCATCCCCTTGGCTCAACGCTGGAAGATATTTGGCCTTTAAAAGGTACTTCATTGACACGGAATGGTTTTGCAATGATTGTGAAGGCGCCCCAGATGGCCAGTGAGTAGAGAAGGCAAGACTTGATAATAGGGACAGAGATGGCTAATAGCGTGCGCCTCGGCTGCGTGACTTCTGATCGCTGTTCAAGGCCAGGAATCTGCCCATCGCCTCCCTCAAAGAAGTGCATGGAGGACATAGAAGGCAAATTCATGGGCTATCAAATATGCGCTAGAAAATATGTCGCAAAATCTGATTGTTATTTCCAAATGCACCGTGATCATTCGGAAAGACGTGAAAGGCCAGTCCAATGACGGTAGTAAAGAAGATATATACAATCGTCCAGCGTTACAACGCAGAGATTACTTGTTAGCTGAAAATTACACGATCAAAGTGGAGATACATGTCTGTGGGCCTGCGGGGTACGTACTTCTGTTATCTGAATTCAAGAAACAAGGGACCAATGAGACTTTCATGCCTAATTCAAATCCACAATTAGCTGAAAACGCAATTGCGCCCAATTCAATATTCTACCCAGTTTTCGAGGGATCTCTGCGGCAATATTGTGATCTAAGGACTCATTTTTCATCTCTTTGGTCTAATGGCTTCAACAAAATACTCCGCGTTGGACTCTGAGAATGAGCCAGAGACTGAAACCCCGAAATTTTGTGAGAAACCCCGATTCAACATGCTCACCTGTTTGGTATCTCTCTTCATTGGGATGGCCGTTGGGATTGGCCTTGCCAGCGCCTTCAATCCTACAGTCCGGCTGGTAGCCAATGCAATTGCCAAAGCAAGCTTAAGACCACCAGCGGTGAATGTGGAGGGTGGGTTTGTCTTCAACGCCGAAACAGGAGAATCCAAATGCGGTACGCATTGGTCTGAAGCTAAACGTCTGGGCTGCCACTTCGACGTTATGGCCTCGCGATGGTACTCTTCAGAGTGTTTCAACCAGGATGTCTTAAGCGAAATGCTCCAGGAGGTCAATTTCAAGTGGTACGCTGACCGGGAGCACACCGAGGAAGTTTCCCGGGATATCGTCCTCGCCGGCGAGTTTGAAGCTGTCTATCCGGACAATGATTACCACATAATGCATTGCCTTTACTTGTGGCGACGACTGCATTCCGCTATCATCGAGCATCGATACTTGGATGATGACGTATACAGCTACGGACATACATTGCACTGCACCAGATTAATTATGCAATGGCCAAAGGGGATAAATTCCACCACAATTGCGACCTCTGGTATTCCGTATTGCAGGTCAGAGCCCCTGTGAACTCGATAGCCAGATGATTTTTCTTGCCTGAGTTGGTCTCATAGCGGGAAAAGAGGGGTGAATGGGCTGTTTACAGTGCGGATTGATAGATAACCACCAATCGCATACTATGACCCTTACTGGCTATCGAATATACCAATGAAAGAGTGATACCGACAATCTGTACAGACTATCTTGCATTGCACTGACGCGTAGTTGTCAATACGACAGGGGTCAAAGGAGATAGATTGGGAAGGCTTGTCTGAGCCGATACAAGGATGTTACTGCCCATCATGGATTGCATTATGAAAGAATGCTCCCCTGCAAAACTATTCGTGGACAAATGTCCCTTGCTATTATCCGCTGTCTCTAGCGTATTGGTGCCCATTCGCTCGATATGATGGTCAAGGTTACATCGGCTCTAGGAATATGCAGGAATTGGAGAAAAAGCAAAGGCGTCATGCGGGATGCTTCTTGATATAAATCCTACGAGTCATTAGTTTCTCTTATGCAAGTGTTGCATTAGGGTCTAAAATGCAAAGCTTCGTAAAATTGTACCGTCTTGTATCCTTAGTCAAGTTTCGCGTATCGCTGTATGAAACCGGCAACACTACATGGATTATTGACGATATATATTCTTTGTCCCAACCATGGGCAGTTTGTTGTCACCGCTACTGTACAATTGCACATCGCAGACATATCTTCACCCGCCCATTTTGACGCTCAATTTGCCCATTCCATCGATATGAAGGTCTTCACCACACTGATGTTGCTTTCGGTTGGTGCGTCTCAGACAATGGCATTGATGATACCACGCTCCATGGCTGCTGGCCCTGTCGCCGAGGAGGCCGTTCCCGAGTACAGCAAGAGGTCCATGGCTGCTGGTCCTGTCGCCGAGGAGGCCGTTCCTGAGTACAGCAAGAGGTCCATGGCTGCTGGTCCTGTCGCCGAGGAGGCCGTTCCTGAGTACAGCAAGAGGTCCATGGCTGCCGGCCCTGTTGCCGAAGAGGCCGTTCCTGAGTACAGCAAGTGATATGGTGAGTGCCAAGCTAAATCACAGTTTCTTCATTCTTTCTAACCGCCTTCCTAACGCGCAGACGTCACATTCGGGGAATCTGCTGCGCACGTGGTCATATACCTGCTGTGGGACTTGGAGACGGCCTCGAGTATTATTAGACGCTTTCTATCCTTTCCTGCATTTATCCTCAATCCGAGTAATCATGACCTCAGACAAATCGCAGTTAACTTGACGGGGCACAGACTCTATCTACCACTATTCGTCGACTATATCTGTAGCAAAGTAGGAAGCAACATATACTATCACGAAATGAATACTATAATTTCGGCTCGCTTCCATCTCATCTTAATCGCTCTCTCACAAGTTGATGGCTCGTTGACATACATTTCTGTTGATTTTGCGTTCTTGCGCGAAGCCCAGTCTCCGGAGTATGACAAATGAGCGTATTTATTGCTCATAGTTGTCATCATGACCAGGAACCTTGAGAGCATCAAAACTGTCTGGTAGCAATCTCTCAGTCAGGTCCCAAGTCGCTCGCTCATTGGCAAACGCTGTCAAAGCATCCAAATCCACACAAGAATGTGTCTGACCCCAGCCTGTGCTTCTAGCCCATGCCCCAGTCTCGCCTTCCAAAGTTGTATCTGCCGAACATAGAATACTCTGTCGCAGATATTCCACGCAGTGAGCGCGGTGCTCAAGCTTTTCCATCTCAAGCATCGCCCATTCTTCCCGCGAAGTTCCCATAGCGGTCATGAGGATGGACTTCAATCGTACATCAGTGGAATGTAGTAGTTATTGCCATGCGTAGACTTACCAGACAGTGTAGCTGGTGATAGACCGCCAAGATATGTCCTTCGTAGTGATCGCCTTCTTCGAAGACATTGTCCATCTTAAATGGGGGATGAAGGACATCAAATTCCTCAGTTTCCGAAACGGTAACGTAGCCACGACCCGCTATGGGAAGGGAAAGAAAGAATATCAGTCACGGAGTCGAGTTTACAGTTCCTAGCCCGAGAAAACTCACGCGGGAATAGGCTATGCCAGTTTTTATGAATCTCTCGCATCCGGGTAGCATTCAGCAACATCTGAGGATCTTGATAATCGATGTCCGGTCCAAATCCCGCTGTATTACCGAAGATAACGGGTTTCCGTGGTACTGCCGTGAAGATATTGGGGATCAATAACTGAGCAGATACATGATGTCTCATCCAAGAGATACTTACGTGTTGGCCCGTAGCTGCTTTTTTTAGCTGCGTTTGATTCCTTGGAATTCTGCCCAATAGACACCAAGGTGATAAAGAGACAAAACACGAGGAATCCTTCGAATATCAGGCGAATGTCGATGTATTTCCGCAAGGAGATCTCTCGAGTTTTAGAGGTGCCTTCAGTCAACAAGCCAGTGGACGAAGTAGTGAAATCAATGTGCTTATCATCATTCCCATCCCAGTCTTCTGAGCAGCCCGACGTCGCTACCATGGCTGGAAAGTAAGTATATTATGCGCGGCGCTGGAGAAAGCTTTCAGGAAAGTAAATTCTTTTCGGAATTTCGAGATCGAAGTAAAAGGTCACATGGACTTTGCCAGTTTATCACAGGGCCTGCTGATAACCGTATATTAGAAGATAATCAAACTTGAAAGCGGGGCTTCATCAATACCGCTGCGTAATGCAGATGTAATTCCCGTTCGTACATCATTTCAATACGTTCTCAGAAAATGACTATTTCCTTCGCTTATGCATGATTTCGTACTATATTAGGTGGCTGCGTTGTCTAGCCTCGGCTTGCTTTTGGGTTGATTTTATCTTGCACAAAAAACCTATGCCGTTTTAACCGGATAAACATCTTCCCAATAGTCGACGGACATATCACCGAGTGGCACGAAGCGACCGCAGCAGAAGTCTCAAGATGCAAAATCGACTTTTATCAACTCGGCAATCTCAACTCGATGAACCGGACGATGAGAGCAGATGGTCTCCTGTTCAGCTTGCAGCTGCGCAAGGGGATCTATGCGAAGTACGGCGGCTCTTATCTCAACCAGTAGACCTTAATGAGCCCCCTATAGGCTACTATGGACAGACAGCCCTTCAGGCCGCTGCTTATAATGGCCATCTCGCCGTGGTTAAGATACTGTTAGCGGCAGGGGCAGACGTTAACGCCCCTGGGGGAAATAATGGTGGCAGGACAGCGGTGGTACTGGCCTCTGGAGCGGGCTATCTGAATATAGTTAGCCACTTAGTTTCTACGGGTGCAGATATCAACCACCCACCCCATCAGTACATGGGCCGAACTGCCTTACAGGCCGCCGCCGAGGGAGGCCATATCGAGCTACTACGATGGCTGCTCGAACAAGGCGCAGATGTTAATGCGCCTCCCGCGAAGAATCGGGGCCGCACCGCACTTCAAGCTGCTGCGTTAGGAGGTCACGCCGATATCGTGGAAATTCTCCTACACCGTAAAGCCGACGTGAATACCCCCGCCGTAAGGTATCACGGCTTTACGGCGCTTCAAGGCGCGGCTTTTGGAGGCCACCACCGGATTGTCCGTCAACTATTAGATATAGGGGCCGATGTGAATGCTCAAGGCTCATATTATAATGGGTATACGGCGCTTTCGGCGGCAGCAGAATGCGGCCATTATGAGATTATCCGGATGTTGCTCGATGCTGGTGCAGATCTCTCTGCAACATCAGGAAACAAAAAATGGACGGCGGCACAGATTGCGATTTTCCGAGGGCAAAAAGCCATCACGGAAGTTTTCCGACAGACTAAGCGGACGGAGAAGATAGTATAAGGCGAGTTACTCTCGATTAGACCTGTGCAAACCGGGACCCATGGGACTGGGTGCCTGTCCAAATCCCAACTGCCAAGATCCCATGGGATTTCCCATAGGACCCCATGGGATCCCAAGTAAATCCCAACTCTACATAATTTTGGAAAAGGAAATGGATAAATTGAATCTTGATTATGAAGGTATTCTTTGCCGTTTAGTCTTTGTGTATTTTTCCTTTTAAATCTACTATCTAGAAATATTCCTTTATACTATTCTATCTAGCCTATTCCAATTAGGCCTATCAAAATTTAGCCTAAAATTAAGATTAAAGATCTTTTATCTTAAGTCCTGAAGGTAAAAATATTTAGTAAACTTACTAGTTCTTTACCTTTTCTCTAGAGCTTTTTAATTTTTAATATACCGAAAGCTATTTAATCTTTAATATCTTCTGAACCAAGAAAGATTCTGACTAATGCTACCTAATGTAGCGAAGACCGGATCTCATGGGAATCCCATGGGACTAGGTGCCTGTCCAAGTCCCAACTGCCAAGATCCTATGGGACTTACGTAAGTGGGAATCCCAAATCCCATCATGGAATTCCCATAGGGTCCAATGGGTCCCGGTCCTAAATGCACAGGTCTACTCTCGATGATCGTCAGGAAATGCCGCCAAGATATTGAAAGGACGCATTTTAGTCATATACCGAGAGACCAATAATGACCATATTTGATTTCTCGGTTATAGAACAGTCAACCACAGAATTGGATATTCGATTCGTGGAAAATTGATCTGGCTTTTCAATGAAGTTTTGCTGCGACGCAGACGACAAAGTGGCAGATTGCAGATCGAGCGATGACTAAGGCTTTTGTGACATAAAAGACTTTCTACGCATAGGATAAGCAAGACAGACACACTTTCCCTTCCTAACCACCCCTATGTGCTCTCATCTCATATGGTCCCACTCGCCCTGACCTGTTCGCAGACAAACAGGCAGAGGCGAGTCTCCCTACGGGTTCCCTTTTTACCTCTAGTTCCACATCCTCTTATTATCTAATGTTCTGCCGATCAAATATATGCGACCAAGGTTCGACGGATAGCTATTACAACACAGTTATCATGCCAATTTCTACCTTGTTGAGTGGAAGATGGCTTTTGCGAAACTAGATAATGAACAGGTGGTTCAGCTATTCTGGGCGCCTTATACCAGGCCTTGGTGAGGTTTGTGCTAGGTGGTAGAGCCTTGGCGCTGGCGGTGTGATAGGTGGGTTTCAAGGGGTTTCAGGACTCTGGTGTAGTCACTGTGGGTCGTTAGATTAGTGGTTTGAGGAGCGTAAATGCGAACAGATTATCGGAAGTTTCTGCCAATATTGAGAACTTCTTAGAATGATAACCGGCACATGCCGTACATGATGATAAAGGAAATTGAAGTCACCAGGATTATGCTTTATGCGCATTTTGCTCAAGTGATGATACCCGCTTTAGAGGAGAGAAGGAAGAAGGAAAAGAAGCTCACCTCAGGGGATTTTGCTTCAGATTTCACTAATTACCTTTTCTGCACGGGCTGAATGCTCCGGTGAGCGAAATTCAGGTGGGTGAAGAGGTGCCGAACTGCCCTGATGAGGGCTGAATAAAGCGGCTCTCGCCTACTTTCATCCTGGGGTTCTTTGTTTGAAGTTTATGATTCTTGCCCGTATAATTAAAAGCACATACGACCATAGGGTGTGGAGAACAGGGCTTCCCGTCCGCTCAGCCGTACTTAAGCCACACGCCGGTTAGTTAGTAGTATGGTGGGTGACCACATGCGAATCCTAACTGTTGTATGTCCGCATTCACCCATTTTTTTGATTTGTCGAGGAAACTTCCCTTGTCGCCCTACTCTTCAGCCCGCTCAGGCCATTTACCTGAATGCCCTGAAAACCACTATTTTATACCTGAACATCCTGCACGTGCCTAAAACGCTGACGTGGCCTTCCTCTCCTTTGCTGACCTTTCCCTTATAGGTTCATCGTTGTAGTCACTACTCTCTTGTTATGAAAGAAAGTTTCTAACCTGTTTTCTAAGGTAGAATGATTATGTATCCAGAAGCCATTAGAACTAGCTCAAATCTCACCCGAAACGGTACTGAATCAGTAGTGATTCAGCACTAGTACGAAAGTGAGCTCTAGACTCTGGAAGTGAACACATTATGATCAGCTCTCTAGAAGTAAACTAACCATAGAGCTTGGCCTCCTTACCTCTCTATACTTGAGGAAGGAGAAGAATCCTAATACCAAGATTCCTTCCTTAAGAATTAGTTTTGCAATACATCTGAATCATATTGACTTGGAATATAATTCCATTCTGATCTAGTACCATTTCACATATACAGTATTTAATATCTAATTCGCATTTTCTTCACTATCTTCTTACCTGGCCTTCACCGCCTTACACATAGGTATTTTCAAGGCAAGGAATATTGACTAGGTAAAGTCAAAGATGTCACATAAAAGTAAGTCATAGCATAGACCAAGACCTAGCTTAGCGAGTTATGCAGGTGATTTTCACTACTTCTCTACCTACCGCCATATTCACCGCCTTTTCTCCGCGGAGTAAACCCCAACCACTAGATCCACTACCAAGGATCCACTACCCAATATGTCGATCCCAGGCATGCTCAATTATGCTTCAGACAGCGGAAATTCAGTGGTTCTGGCACCCGAAACCGCCCCTCCCAGTCCTTCCCCCGAGCCATGACTCTGCGTAGATTTCCCTTCCTTTTGCGCAGATTACGTCACCTCCTACACCGAATACCCTCCAGTAGCAATTCACAATTGTGTCTGAGAATGAGCTGTACGATACTCCAGAGCTTGCAATTGAGGCAATAATGTCCTTGCGCAGCAGCATGTTTATGCTGTATCGAGGCGCCGGTCGAAGCGTGATAAGCAGAATGTGGATACAGATACAGTCTATGTCGGTTGTGATCGAGGGCGTGATCGGGGTCAATTAAATGAGTCTGATACTGGAGAGAGGTCACTATCTCAAAGAGGATCATTTTAAAATATTAGGCTATGAATATTGGACAGCTCCAAATATTGGAGAGCACAAATTTAGCCCGATAATATTCGAGGGATTTTAAAATTAGTGAGCGGGAAAATTCAAGAGTGCAATATATTATTGTAGGCTTAACGTGAAATTACTATAATTCTGAATGGCTTCGGTATTAGTCGGATATAAAAAAATTTGCGCGCAATGGACTAAGGAGCAAAGGAGTAAAGGCCCGCATCATCATTTGCGCGCGCGTGAGGATATCAATGATTGGTTGGAGCTTTTTTCTATGAATCCTTGCGGGTCATTCATTGCCCAGAAGAATACCTTGGCCGGGACTTTAATCAGTTGACCTTATCCTCGTGGACCAAGTCACGTCGAGGCCCGGTAGTCTTGATACCCAATCAAGCCATTTTGTCGATACAAAAATCATTCAAACGGCCAATAACGCTCAAACTCAGCCTTTTACTCATCAGTTTCAGCCAATTGCTCCAGTATCAGACCTTTGACCTCGTGGAGGGCGGCTTTACAATCATCGTATCTCTCGTTCTCGATGAAACCTTTATCCGGCCACAAATCGCCCATTTCTCCTTGACCTCTGCGATAAGCTCGGTTCCTGCCACTGCACCGTCACTATCTAATTAATGCGCTCAAAATTCGTTTCCGAGAAAGCGAACGGGAATGGGTGTCGCTGATGACGGCAGGTAAGCCCATCCAGGTGTCTTCCAACCCCACCAGAACCGATTGGAAGTGCGCCTCGCCGTATTCAAACATTTTATGGGCAAGGAATAACACCCCGTAGACTGCCGTTTTTCGGGACTGACTACTCGATATAGATCTGAATTCTTGGCATGCATGAGTTTCCGCCATCCAATGAAGACGTTTCGGATGTACAGCAGCGGCCTGGTCTTCTGGTGTCAGCCCGGAGAGATTCGGCCGTGGTGCCGAATCGAGCGTCTCAGGTTGTGGATGGGTTTTTTGACTTCATTGGCTTCAGCAGTTCCGAGGGAGTAGGTCCACGCAGACAGGCCTTCAATCCTGCGGTGGTCCTTCCCGCTTGAGTCATGTTCCTGCAATCGAATTATTGATAGCGGTCGGTCGGGGGCTCGCGGACTTCTGGAAAATGCACGTGATCTGAAGGTTGCTTGATTGTTTTGTTAAAATCTGGTATCATCTCCAGGGGGGTTGTTTAATCAACGTTCAACAGTACTTAGAATGAAGATGCCGTCTTTTGACGAGAATCCAATTAAATCATGGGAAAAGACCCTTCATTGACACTCCAGGGCTGGAGTACGTCAACTGAGGGCCTAACAAATAAAAATAATGGAAGTTAAATGATACGGACCTGACAAAGATGAGGGTTTCAGTGTTCTTGCTCATTAGATTTGAGCAAGAACACTGAAGTATGCCGGTATACACATGGCCACGTAGTAGGATAAAGGCAGTATATTCTAGCAGAACCATTTCAGATTGTATAAATTGGCCTAAAACTGGTGCAACAACCTACACTCTTCGAGCGAGTCTCTTGCCCCACCATCAAGATATACTGTACTACTCCTTATTAGGAAGTAAACCGGAATATCAATATTCCTATAGTAGTCTTACAGTGACTTACTCTTATTATAATACGACGCGTTGTCTAGTAACTATATGAGCGATCTAAGGGGACTCGAATTTTCCATAATACTACAAATCAGTTTAACAGTGAAGCTAGAATATAGTAGCCGTTTTCGACAAGCAGGCCATACCATTCAAAATTCAGAGATTATTAACTCTGCGCTTCTGCCTATATCATGCCAGCAAGTAGGCGACCTCTTATTAGATCCTACTCATGGCCTCATCTGACTCTCCATGTATATTGGTGGCGGCGTCTCGACGCATTAAAGAAACATAACCTCAAAATGGCGCATACATGCACCACTACTGTGTCAGTAAAATATTTTCTAGGATCCTTATAAAACCAACAGTAATTACAAAGACCCAGAGGCCCCAAGCCAAAGATGCGCAATATTTACAAGCTGTTGACTTAAATTTTATCTTAGATTCAACTCATGCTAAAATAATACATCTCCCTATGGCGAGAAATTTCTCAAAAATGTGCGGATTAACATTTAAGCACAGAATAAGTGGCATCTCCACGTTCTCTTCGCTTTGTTCAGGGTCCCATCTTATTTCTGGCCAAGCATCATGTAGATGAATGCGTAAGAATCCCGTCAAAGAATAATGAGCCAGCAAGAATGTCTTTGCTTTGGTAAGGCCGGATGTTGGAAAAAATATCGGGGGCTGGTCGGGTGTGAAGTCTGCACTTCCGATATCAGGTTGAGGGAAGTCCTTAATGAAACTTCCAGTTCCTGCTAAATAAACCAGAGTAGGCGATTTCAAGATCCTTGAAGGGAGTGCAGAGCTCTTTGCAGCTTCTGTCGTCCAGGCGCTTTCCAGAGTCCTCGGAGCCAAACGGCCCACAATGCGTCCTTTGTATCGGAAAGCAATTTGGCATTGCTGAATATCATTCTCCCAATCAGGCTCAATATGCGAGGTGAAATCTTCGTCGAGGCCCGTGAAATTTAAGTCGTGAATGCTGAGAATATCTTTCCGGTGCAACATCGGTGGCTTGGAGAAACTTGTGTCCTGAGCACCGCTTCTAACAATGCCCCTAGCGTTGCTGGGAATGCAAGTTGGATCGGTGTCAAGAAGGCAAAAGGTTGTCGCGTTGTGTTTCGAGGTAATCGAACCCAAAATGCAGGCACTTACCACCGAAATTTTACCGTGAATGCCGATCGTGGAGTCGTCCACAGCTCTTAGCTGGTCATCCTCCGCTCCTGCCATCAATAGTCCGAGCAACTTGAGCATACCTGCGCGCTCAAAGTGGATCGACCTTGTCCCTTCGACCGGGCGCGAGTGGTCTGATAGTATCGTTCGCACTTGGCTTAGAAGATGCGCATCAAACCACTTCCAGCTGCCATAGGCTTCTTCAACAGACAGCTTCGAGATATCAAGAACTTTTCTTAGCATTCCATAATAGTAGCCGAGAACATAAACTTGCAATTTGCTGAGTATGTCAGGTTTGCTTTGCAGACGACGAAAAAACCCCTTTGAATCTCGGCCAAGCAGCCCTGGATCTTCTTTGCAAATCTCCGATACTGAATCAATCAGGGCAGGATTCGCAATCGGAAAGCATAGTGAAACCACATGATATGTTCCATTTTCAGCCCGTCCCACACTTTCGGATTCTTCTAAAAGCACAAAAACGTGTTTCCCAGTACCTGTGATGGACGACATCGCCGAGATAGAGATTGATTCGGAAGCAGCTAGGCCATCGAGAAAGAGCATTCGACGTTTGTTATTCTCGTCCGCTGCTCCAGGCCAAACGGATACGCACTCTTCCATGCATTCCAAGGGAATTCTCATTCCCGAACGTTGCTTTTGGCAGTCCAACGACATTTTTGACTCCTCATCATTGTGCATAACAAGGCCGGAATCAAACTGAACCACAAGTCTGCTTTCTAAAACGTCTAAATCTTCTTTGGGATTGTGTACAGTCTCCAGCATATCGAGACCAATTTCTTGAAGGATGACTGCAAAGGCAAAGACATCACTAGAGGTTGTTTTAAACAATTTGGATCCTCTTGAACCCTTAGCCCCGGCGACCCAAACTAAGAACCGAACAATTTCTGGAATGTCTTTGTCAGGAATACTACCGGGCAATCTTACTCCGGATAGAAGCAGAGATTGCCAAACTGTTCGAGCCTTGGCTATGATGTTTCGAACCAAAGCTGCAGATACCCAACCTTGAATATGCTGAGGTAATTCTCGTTGAAGAAATTCAAGTCCATCGAGGTGTTCTTCAAAGAGCACAGTGAGGAACTGAGACAACGCTTGCTTCATGCTGCTCACCCCAAGAGTGGCATCCATCGCACTGCTTATGATGGTCATAAGCCAGCTAAAAATGCCCATGTTCTCCACAACTGTCCCCGTGTGGCCACCTATCACACGTTTCTTTCCGTTGTGGAGCAGGGTCAACCGCACATCCCACCGCTTGTGAAGGGCCACTGGGTCAATCAGACCTTTCCGTGGAATCAGGTCTTCAGGATCGACCCCCATGAAGTGAAGGAGCCCCTGATCCTTGACTGAATTCATGACCCAAGTTCCGATGGCTCGCCCAGCTCCTGCCAGCACAGCGACATCTCCAAGTGATATCCCCCAACTTGCAAAGTCGCCAGCACTGAAAGTGACTGCCATCTAATCGAATAGACTCGCTTATGAGAACAAAATATTTATTCAAATGACCTTGCGATCACGTATGAGAGCAGATGAGGTGAGATTTTGATGATGTTAATCCTAGAAGCGGGGCACGCGGAGGCGGGCAAATGGCTTATGAAGAGCAAAAATTACTTTATTAATAAGTTAATCACGTTGATCGTGCTTTCTTATCTTTAAATACGTTGATTCGACCAGATGATTTCCACGAGTTCACTTGAATGGCTACGTGTATGCTTACAGTACTATACCTTCGGTCAATCACCACTTTCCACGTAGCGGTTTGTTTTCGCCAAGAACAAATCTCTTGGCCCGACAAATGAAAGCATGTTTTGGTCGCCAATTTGGCAGTGTGTTTCCCGCTATCAGGGATAATTCTGGCTTTATACCCAGTGTATTGCTAGAAAAGGTTGTCTTGAAGCAAAGAGTGTCTTGAGACAATTATTGCCATAAGCCAAATCTTGCTACAAGACAAAGAGTATGTTGAGACTGATTAAGAGAGATACTGAGGCTGGGATTTTCCTAGAATGTCTGACTATACGATCTGAACTTATATGAAGAAAGACATTTAGATCTACAATACTCTCATATGCAGAGGACACAGATCGGTCAAGATTGCAAAGACACTGATTACTTTCTACGTGTACTATAGTATATACAACATTGTCTAACATCTGTTTTTCAGACATTCCGCAATGTTGCTCCACTCTGGAAGCCAGTTAGCTTGTGTTTTAATATTACTAAGGAGGAGGCTATTCTCTGTATGGCCGGCTCGCTAATGAAATACATTATGACCCGGCCCGAACTTACTACTAATGCTCCTAAAACTCCTTTTTCCACGTTGGAGTAGGATAGCAACTGTATTTGTTTTTTAAATACCAGAATATCTTATGGAAGTTAAAAAATAATTAACCAAAATAAGAAGTGATTGCGTTAATCACCAAGATTCTCGCCCACTATAAGTAAAGTTTGACTCTAACCCTACTCATGCTGTACATCGTCCGAGATGCATAGTCCCATGGGTAAGTCCTCGTTAGCAGGTTGCTAGGGAGGCGGCTTGAATCATGTCATAGGCATACAGCTATACTTAAAAGAAATTTTGGGTAGATATGAATAAAAACACATTTACGCCTTTGGTCCCTGAGAAATTATATATTCAACCATGCGTGACTTTTTGGCGATCGATAAGTACAGCACAGCAGTAAATAAACATAGCTTGCCAAATAGTGTCTATGACTTCTATTGCACAAATTTGCCCGTTGTATCTTCGTCAACCTGCTTCAAATCAAGATTGGTTACCTAAGTGGAGTCGGATAACTGGCAGAAGTTCTAATTAGTTAACTTTTGCTTCTTGGAATGCTATCATAAAAAAACTTGCTAGTTGTGAAGTAAGAAAGGCCCAAAAGCCCGAAGAATCTGCTGATAGAATATGAACCTAGCCCGTCTCGCGCATGCGAATCCTTACGCATATATCAGCGTTGCATATCTTGCTGTACTCATATGCCTTTTTCATCATATTTGTTCTGCGACAGTATTGTTTGTAGCGCGTCAACTTTTTGGACGTTTCTCTTACTGTAGCCATTCTCAGTGATCGTCTTGGAGAGATATCACGAGGCAGGGGCTTGGGGTGGTAGTTTTACAAAGTATGAAAATGTCAAGAATAGCCGGTCAAATACTTCATTTGTAAGTTCAAATTTGGATATGAGATTCCAAAACACCTAAACGAGCCTGTCTTTTTGACTTTGACAGACACTGAATAGCATATCTTCATCAAGTGGGCAAAGAGTGAAAGGTCCATAACCGAATAGGTGTGAAAATGAGGGGAGATAATATCTCCCTTAGGTCTTACCCAAAATAGTACTGAATCAGTGGTGATTTAGCACTAGTTTGAAAGTGAACTCATTATAATCAGCTCTCTAGAACTAAGCGGATCATAGAGCTTAGTCTGCTTACTTCTCTATACTTAAGGAAGGAGAAGAGTCCCTAATTCTTAAGGACGTCTAGGATTCCGTCCTTGAAAATCAGTCTTGCAATCAATTTGGATCACATTGGGTGATGGGGTGCCCGGATTCCCCCAAAGAGGGCTAATAAAGCGGCGAGCCGCCCACGTTACGCATCGTGGGCGCTAGGTGATCACCGACATAGAATAGCTGTTGTATGTTTTTGGTGTTTTCTTTTTTATTTTTCCTCATGGCGACGTCGAGAAAATGTCTCTTTCTCTTTATGAGGAAAGCAGGAAGCTATTCTACGTAGTATCTGGAAAATTCGACCGCAAACCTTCTCGTCTCTCTAAATATTATGCGATTAGGAAGCTATAGAAAAAGCCAAGAGCTACAAACGCCCTCGTCAATTAGCTCAAAAAACTCAATATCACGAGCGAAGTCGTACTTCTCACCGAAAAATGCCTCACAAATGACGCTTTATCTTATCGCACTGAGCTCATTTAGGACAGAGCCCACGAACCCAATAAGGACTTTTGGAGTCGTCTTGTCGCTCCACCGTTGATAAGTGGTGATGCATGACATCAACTCAATATTATAGATAGTCGGCACTCCTTGCTTCGTCCTTCATCCGTTCTTCTCTTTACTTAGAATCTGAAACTGAAAAAAAATAGAAATACAAACAAAGAGACCCGTGGAAACTGGGCCACGGGACCTCGTATAACTAGGCGATGGCGGAATAGAACCAGTCTAGACTCACGCTACGGTTACTTACGGCCATGTTAGCTATAGAATAAATACGAGACATGCGCCTCCAGTGTCATACCCGCTTTTTGATCTAATCATTGATTCCTTACCTTTGGTCTATGTCAAATTATGGCTACTATAAGCTCTGGGAGTTGCCTGTGTGGCAAATGCACCTATAGCTACACTGACAAGCCTGTCATGAAGGTATGCCAAGAATCATTTATCTGCCTTTTATATTTTACTCTCGCCTTACCCATTGATTTTCTTCAAGGCAATTTGCCATTGTCCTCCGTGCAAGAAGATTTCTGGTGGTACCAATACCCTTAACTTTGCCGTTTTGGACCAGAACTTTACTCTTACGAAAGGCAACCCTACGTCATTCTCAATCGACCACGAATATGGAATGATTGTCACGGTATCCTTTTGTCCGGGGTGCGGAAATACATTGTGGAAAGAGGCAACTGGTGAGGGGATGAAGGGAATGAAGTTGATCCAAGCGGGGACGCTTCAGGACACCTCGAAACTCAACGATAATATTGACGCGGAATTTTATGTCGAGAGAAGAGTATCGTGGCTGGCTCCTCTTCCTGACGTTGCGCAGAAAAAGGAGTTTTAAATTATCGAACTGAGCGAAGTCATGACAAATATTCCTGTCGAGGCATGAAATGGTGAGAGATAGTGATGTAATAAATTTGAATATCGCTGTCAGCGGCTTTGAAACAGGAAAGAAAGAGCATTATTATCTAGGCGAGCGTGACGTGACATTTCACACCATAACAATGTATCTTATCATTGTCCATTAGGTGTGATAAATAATGTATACTCGGAATAGCATCATTATAATGACCAAGAGTGACGCTGAATATCTCACCGGCATTCGTTATTCCATTTATCAATGGAGATACTGCAGTTTGTACCGGTTGTGGGACGACCAGATTGGCAACCTAGACACTCCAAAAGAATTTCATCTCTCCAGGGCTATTCACGTTTCACTTTCGAGCCCTCATAAAACCCAAATTTTGGACCGTTTCCTGATTTAGAAGTATCATTTATAACTCTTATATGACCGCAAGGGAGTGGAAGTCTTTCATCCAAGCATGCCTACATTGACACCCGCAATTTCAGGATACTAAGATAGTACTGGTGAATCTGATTTTTGAGAATGAAGGCTTGGTGAATAGTGACACATATTCAAATTATATTATAATTCCCCCCCTTTTCCTTTTGGTTGTTATTAATATAGCCTTTTACTAATTGGGTCTTCCCCTTTCAAAATCGCTTCGACATCGCTCAAAATTAGTCTATAATGCTTTGATGTATATTTTGTTCTTTAAGCCTACAACTAGATGATTGATGAGGTATTCCTCTGCAAAAGGAACACTAAATTTTTCATCCGCTCACAATTTTCACTGCGAGTGATTTCAACAGTCTTGTATATAGTGTAAGGCCTCGTGTTCCCCTGGTTCATCTGTTTATAGAAATTATAATGGACAAATAAGTCACACTTCAGACTTGCATTTTTGTTTAACAGAAGCTATTGACTGATAGGTAGCTTCAAGTCGCAGGGCCAGACTTGATTATAAATTCGGAGGTCACATAGACTTCTAGATTTTCCCCTTCGGGCAGCATATACTTTTGACTATCAGCATCATCCGATTTGCCATTCCTCCGTGACTCAATCACTGTTGCTTTTTGTCCTTCTGATTCACATAGCTGCTCAAATTTGCTCCTCCTGCGCGAACTATGGGTTGCTGTTCCAGTCGTGGCCTCGTTCTGAAGGGTGCCAAGAGGATAGGAACGACTCGTGTTCGGGGTCCGATATGATTTGTCCATAGATGCACGAGATTTGAATAAAGGCCCGTAGGTTGGAATGCAGGAAATAATGACCTTTTCGGTTGAAATGTGTTAGTATTCGATGGTTTAGAATGAAAAGTATCTGTTAAACTTCGACTTACACCTAGGCTGACCTCCACACAAGACCAGATCACAATATTTTTACTGTCCGTGTAGGTCACTAAGGCCTTGACAGTGAATATCCGGATGACCTGAATCACGGTAACGAAGAAGCCCAGAGCAAACAAGCAGACGAGAAAAATTTTCTGCTTGGCTTTGAGTTGCAGTCTCCAAAGGACTGGCAGAGGCAGTGCAATAATAAGTATGTCCAAACCTATGCTTGTACCTGCCAAGGAAAAGTAGAACGGAATAGTGTTGATACAATGCCCCTCAAGCGAGCTGTCCCATTGTTTTGCAATCTGTATGATGTTGTTTGTAAAGGATTCCCTTTCAAAAGACTGACCTAGAAAGAAGGGCTTACTGGTGCGCAGGACATCGATATGATAAACGTGAAAATCAGTTGATTGATAACGCAAACAATGATGGCGAAGATAATTATTTTTCGATATAGAGCAACAACCCCGGCGATGCGCAGATATGAAGCCAGTAATGCAACCTTGAATCCGAGAAGATCGAGACAATAGATAGGTCCACCAGCGTACTGTATCTAGGAAATGAAACGGAATGTTCAGTGGATTGGAAGCAATCATTCCTTTCCATCACGGCACACACCTTGCTAAAAGGAATCACATTTTCTTCCGGGAAAAAGGCCGAAGTGAGACCTTGACCCCATCTTGTTTCTGAGTGAAAGGTCAGCCAGGTCTGATCAGCAAGAATTGGCTTTCCGCGGCATCGACTCACGAGCAACAGCGATCCCAGCATAAGCAAGAGTCATTATAGAACTCGCCAATGAAGAATAATCGTCAATCCACAAGAGTCGATTGCGACTTATTCTCACGTAAAACCGCAGGCACACGGCGAAGAAGGAAAGAATAGAGAACGTCAAACAGACACCGATAACTTTCGGGATCTCGCTGTTTGGATCTTCTTCGTTGAGATTATAGACCCAACCCATGATTGAATTGGCCAGTCACGGATATGGGTGTGTGCAGTGAGGCAAGAAAAAAGTATGTAGGGATGAGACTATTTTCATCATGCAAACCTGAACTTTGCAAGCCCTTCGCAGCAGCAATAGAAAAAATAGAGATTGAGTTTTCATAATCGACCGAACAGGGATATGCGCCCTGGCCAAGCCTCGCGGGAACAAAGTACCCTTGTCATGCTTGGCAGGCACGGAGGGGAAGGAAAATTATCTATAATATTAAAGCTCAAATACGTAGGAAATGGGCACATGAGTGTAAAATTTTAGGCTGGGATTCAACTCAAACGCACTGCAAAAGAATTAGCTTCCAGCCTGGCTAAGTCTCAACCTCACACTACTAGCCAATTCTAATATTCCAAGAATTTTAGGGTGGTAATCATTGCTCGCTCAGGGAATTAAGATGCTGCCTTGAAGGGCCATTTGCCCCGCTAATTTGGAGTTAATATATCCCGCATTACCCCAGTCTAGTCCATTCACTAGTTGACTAGCCGAGACTGAGCACGTAATTCGTGTAAAAAGTACGAAGGATTGTGAGCTCTGGCAGCGAAGTTCCCATGCGCTAAAAAAATCAAAATTCTCTGCCCCCTGAATCCTGCATATAGGCGCATATAATTAAGCCCGAAGTAGTGATTTAATATAAATTGCGGTATCGCTACGGCGGACTGATAACCTAATTGATGTTTTTTTCCACGTTCACCCTCGTCTATATCATTTACTAGCCGAGATTAAGGCCGCAATCTGTCTATAAATTACGGATAATTTTTAACTGTGGAAGCGGAGTCTCAAAGGTTAAAGATTATTCTGCCCCTGAATCCTGCATGCAGGTGCCCATAATCAAGTCTGAAGTAATTATTTAATGTGGCATCTGGTACCCTTGCAACAGAACGATGCTGCGCACGATGTTTCTCCGCAAATCGTTCATCGCCTTCCTATTGGCCTTGTCGCCTCAAGCATTGGCCTCTTCGACATGTCGTTGCTTCCCAGGTGATTCTTGCTGGCCATCTGACAGTGCCTGGTCACAATTCAATAAAACTATCGAGGGACAACTTATTAGTACTGTCCCGCTTGGTACACCATGCCATGCTCCAAACTACAATGCCACCACTTGCGCAACGCTGAAAGCCGGATGGGTGCTTCCAGAGGAACAGTATGTCGATATCTATGTGAAAACTTTCAAAAGGCCAAAGCTCAATCTGTGACTCTTCTAGTTATGAGTCCTCTTCCTCAGTCATGGCCCCGTTCTTTGCTAACGGAACCTGTGACCCATATCACCCTGTCTCAAAGCCTTGCACCCTTGGCAATTATGTTCGGTACAGTGTGAATGTCACCAGCCCGTCTCACATTTCTGCCGCCTTGAAATTTGCAACAAAGCACAATATTCGTGTCATCATTCGGAACACTGGTCATGACTATAATGGCAGGTCGACCGGAGCTGGAGCTCTTGCAATTTGGACTCATCATCTGAAGGACCTAGAGATCCATGACTTCAAGGACAAACACTACACTGGCAAGGCCATTTCTATGGGCGCTGGTATTCAAGGATTCGAAGCTTATGAGATTGCGGATGAGAACGATCTCCAAGTCGTGGGAGGTGAATGCCCCACTGTTGGTCTGGCCGGTGGATATAGCCAAGGAGGTGGACACTCGGCGCTTTCCTCCCGGTATGGACTAGGCGCAGATCAGGTCTTGAAATGGGAAGTCATCGATGGCCAGGGCAATTTTATCACTGCCACTCGAGACAACGAGTATTCCGATATCTTTTGGGCTCTGAGTGGTGGCGGTGGTGGCACCTATGGAGTCGTCTGGTCAATGACTTCAAAGGCGCATCCTGGTACCCCCGTTTCCGGCCTTAATTTGACTTACACAAGCACCAACCTCACGGCGGATACGTTCTATAGCACCATCGAGAAGTTTCATGAGAACCTTCCTGCTCTCGTGGATGCGGGCGCTATGTGTATCTGGTACTACACTAACGCTTTCTTCGAGATCTCCCCGATCACTGGCCCCAACATTCCTGTGGCCAAGTTGGTGGAGCTTCTTGAGCCTTTTACCACAAGTCTTGACAAGCTAAAAATCAACTACACCATGACAACAGGTCAATACAGTAGCTATTATAGCCAATTTAAGGATATGCAAGGCACGATTGAGGTTGGTACTGCGCAATATGGTGGCTATCTCATTCCAAGGTCGGTGGTAGAAAACAACAACAAAGCTCTGGTTCAAGCCTATCGTGAAATTACGGAAGCTGGCGCGACCTTCATTGGTGTGGGCTTAAATGCTTCACATAAAGTCTCTGGAGACGTTTATAATGCAGTCCTTCCTGCCTGGAGAGACGCACTGATCGACACAACTCTAACTACCCCTTGGGAGTGGGATAATAATACTCTAATGCTGGAACGTCAGGACCAGATGACATACGAGTTTATCCCCAAGCTGGAGGCACTCGCCCCAAACTCAGGTGCCTATATGAATGAAGTAAGTTTACCAAAGATCATCACTATTCTATCATCTTTAAAAAGACTTTGCGCAAGTCACTCACTGCTTTGTAGGGCAACTTCCAACAACCTGATTTCCAGAAGGTCTTTTACGGCAAAAACTATGATGCGTTACGCAAAATCAAGTCCAAGTACGATCCTCATGACATTTTCTACGCCAAGACCGCGGTTGGATCTGCCGAGTGGAGAGAGAGAGAGGATGGCCGGTTATGCAGAGTCGACCAATGGAAATCCTCGTGGGTCGCGTTTGACAAAATATAAAAGTTCATGCTAGGTCAATAGTGACAGGCATGGGAGAACCTTGAGATCATTATCGAAAAGGTTGATACATTTGTATCAATTTTAGCTGAGAGAATGTCTTGTCCTTAGATATTTCTAATACAGTGCTCGATTGGCAGAGGAGCTATCCCTGAATTATGGAGTTGCGGAAAAGAGCGGAAAAACCTACTTGACCATCTTTTTCTAGTGACAGTTATTTTTGCTTTTGCTGAACATGACGTTGAAAGGGCAAAACACCCAAATCAACATTCAGAAACACAAACTGACATCAGATTAGTAATAAGGATGACACTGATTTACAAAAAACATCATGACGCGCATGTCAGCCGAGAACCTGAGATCTCTGGATAGATTCTCATTTCATAATGACTTCGATGGCTAATTAATACTGGCATGTCCCATTTCTGTCAGCCCGCAGGCGAAAATCGTAACCGAGCAAAGTTGCAAAATTGAGTCTTCTCCGCGAAAGACCTAGAGCTTTGTCAGAGCGTTGAGTCGCTTCATAATTTCTAGCGCTTCATCAATGAGCTCCGCGTGCGCTGTTTGAAGGTCCCCGACCTGGGCCTCCATATCCAAGAGCCATGGTCCCTGGAGCTCCCGGCCATACTCGCTCATCCGGATCGCCATGACTCCAGGGGGCAGCGGGGTGCTCACTCGGTCTGGATTTCCTCGGACTGCGGTCCGGCAGTGTTTTCCAGCCCTGTCCAGGCCACTGTGCTGGCTTCTGGCGTTTGCCACGAAACTTGCATGGGCAACGCGAAGCTCCTCCATCTCTTGTTCGAATGCCGCAATCTCCTCCTGCGTGTAGAGTTTCGAGTTCTGGCGGGTTTTGGGGCTCAAGGGGCTCGCGTTGAATGAACACCGGTGCCCAAGCTTCTCCCAGTGGCAATTAGCACACTCCTCAATCCCATCTACCCTTACGCAGAAGGAGAAGGGGCCACAGCGCCTCCGGCAATGCGCGCACATCTCCTCGGGGTCAGTGATCGCTTGACCCACGCATTGCATGAGGATTGCCTCGATGTTTGCCAGCAGTGAATTTATCTTCGTGAAAAAGGTGGTCGCTGTCCATCCCGCTCGAGCCCCAGGCCGAAGGACCGGTTCGTTGTTCACGTGCATCATCAACAGCCTTCCAAGGATTTCTCCTTCAAGACCATCACCCTGCACACCCCCGGAAAATTGAAACGGAGACTCAGTGATGAATTTGGCCTATGGGCCTGGCACCATGTCTTCAACTTTAGTGATTGGCGCTGGTAGAATCTGCGGTAGCCCAATGGCCCGCGAAGGAGGATCAGCTGGAACCCTATAAAGGGGGGTTCTGGTATTGCTATGGCTTCATTATTCTACTGATCACTGATTAAAAGTAAAGAAAACTTACTCCGCCATTGCAATGATGAATATCAGGGTGATTCTCACAAGAGGCTTGGTTAGCGAGGCAAGAAGCTTGGTCAGGGTGAGGTAGGCAAAGGGGTATTGGTGATGGGAAAAAAAAAGAAAGGCCCGTGGACTGAGAAGGTGGAAAGATGGATAAGGAAAAAGAGAGAGGAAGAAGGGAGTTGCAAGAGAAATATCAATAAACCCGAGGACACGTTCTAGTGCGATATCCAGGATGGCCTTAGGTTTGATCATGGCTAGGTCAGAATCAATTCACATTTAGGCCAGGACTAGGTATATTAAGTCAAATTAAAGTAAAAGATAGGTCCATTAACTCGAAAAATATGCTAATGCAAACCGGATCTTGATTGCCTATTTGTCCTCTGCGTCCTCCAAACCATGGAAAGTGTAAAGTGTGATGTGGCTCCTGACTAGCAATGGCCCAGCCGTGATCCATCCCAAAGCCATCCGGGATTTTGCCTTGGATCCTGTCCCTGATCCAAAACCCGCCCTCCTTATTGATCTAATCAGAGTCTACGAATTTTACTTCCTTCGAGATGCCTTCTTTGATAAGGCCTCGCTTGCCTGTACCGGGGTCTCCAATCAAGAAGCAACGTGTGTCTTCCGATGATGATACCTTGTTTCCATACCCTACTCTTCCAGACGACTGTGTCAACAAAGATGATGGTCACACCCACCAATGGGATCGGTACATGAGCTAGGACGCGTGCGAATTGTGCCTAAGATGTTTTTCAGCTTGGGTGATTGACAGATATAGCTAACTATTCCCCAGCAACAGACTTTATCGAGTGGGGCAACAACAAAGTTGCAGAAAATCGTTCCTTGATCGAACCGAAGGTGACTGAGTCCAATCTACGACTGTTTCGAACATACCATCCTTCTCTTGGCCAGTTTGGCACGGTACTTCTGGTCGAAGAATTTGAACAAACGTGGATTTGGGTAGCCTCGCCGGGTCTTAGCACCACCAGGTCGATTAGCACGCATGCCGGGGGTCTTGAAATTCATCCGAAACCAGCTGGATTCATTGAGCGAACAACTACGATGTGGCCAAAGTACCGACCGGACCCTATCAGTATACTGACACCCCGAAGATTTCTTTCCCGAAAACAACTTCATCGGCTACGAGAAATGTTCCCTACTTCTCTTGGCGCCAGAGTTTTGATAAGTGGATTTATCGTGATTCTTTTCAAGAGTCGTGCCAACATTGAGAATTTCTGGCAACACGATGGGCTCGCAGGTACATTTGGCGCTTTAAGAATAACCTATGAATTACTTGAAGACATGCCGACACAAAAGATAGTTTCCAAAGGCGCAGCAATTACCGCAACGCCAGACTGCTTCGATGGTTACGCTGCGCTGGGATTGAAGATTCATTTTCCGGGAGGTCAAGAGGCGATTACGGCCCCCACGCATGCATTTGCCGCTCTCCGGGGAATACGCTCAGCTTCGTTCCTTCGAATTGCAGATTGCTACATGAACCGGTGATTTCTCACCCTGACTCTTACCCTATTTATTGCGTACTCACCTTTCTCAACCCTGCCCCCTGGTTACGCGACACTAAAGTGGGAAAATTTCTTGCCAAAAGGATATTGTTCTTTCCCGTACTAATGATAGTACATACACCCGTAGGTTATGGAGAACAGGGCTTCCCGTCCGCCCAGCCATACTTAAGCCACATGCTAAACGAGGTCAATTCTCAATGGGCCCTCGCTCTATCTATCAGTTTACAACGGCGAGCCAATTCATTTTAGGGTGAGTGTGGGTGATATAGGTGAGAACTCTCGAGAATGGGGGTGAGAGATGGGAGAATCTCCAAGGCCTTTGTCCATTCTGCCTGAGCGATGTGGCAAAAAGGTCAGACGAACAAGGCCTTTCAGCTCGGGCTAGTTCAGTGGCCTTCTCTCGCGATGGGTTCACGCCAATTCTCGGAAAAGCTCCTGGCAATATCCTGATATCAGTATCAAGTGACTGGCTCATTATGGCCCACGCCGGCATGCTGGGGCCGACGGCTAGGTATTTATAGAGTCTTCAGGTCATTTCAACTACTTAAAAGAATTATCACAAGGTACATTGTGTGAAATCTTGGCGGCTTTGATGAAACGCAATCAATTAGTGTATAGAACAGCTTCTACTACGCTCACGCTTTAGCACCCGCCAGCTCAGATAGGCCGATCATTGACAGTCCTTTTCAATACCTCTCTAAGGCAGATTCATGATTTTGGCAAAGCCTTGTGTGTACGGAACGTTGGAAAAATTGATATCAATATTGAAGATAGAAACATGTTGTGCAACCAGACTCTCATGTGCTGAATAAACGAAGGCATCATAACGTGCTTTCACTTCGTATGAAAGAATCTCTTTGAAGTCTTCAACGGAGTTGGCCGCGCGCTGTAGCTTTGTTCAAACCTGCCTAGGTTTTGCCTGTGTCACAAGCATATCCATTTCGGTCTGTTTGGTAACCCAATTGCCGACTACGTGCCAATGCGTCTCTGGTGAAGCAAGCTCAGAAGCGAAGTGACGGTAGAACTCGGTTACGAATTTGTAAATCTGCATCATAGCGATATTCTTCCCGATGCACATCCGAGGACCGGCGCCGAACTTTCCTAAACATTAGCTGGATGAAAGACGGTCCTTAGTAATCTGAGCTTACCGAAAACAAGTTCCTTTTCATCTCCTGAATGCTGTCTTCGGGCCCATCTAGCCATCGTTCTGGTCGGAAGGTCTCTACATCTTCTCCGAAGATGTCGGTATTGCGATGAATTACCCATGGATTTATTCCCACGATGGTTCCGCCAGGTATGTGGTATCCATCAATACGAGCACCCTCTGGCGGCGTGACACGCTCGTTGATGAGACCTAAATTTCCATGTATACGCAGAGATTCGTTGATGACGGCTCCTCTAAACCAAATGCATTAGTGCTTGAACGAGTTACAGAACCCGGAAACCTACAGATAAGGTAGCTTCGAGCTCTCTGTGTAGGGTATTGCATCCGTCGACCGATAGTCCTTTATGATGGCGGCGAGCTCAGCACGGAGCTTGGCCTCGACTCGAGGTGACCGAGCAACGTAGTACAAGATCGCTCTGAGAGTAACAGCAAGTACGTCGTGACCGGCCATACTAAGGCAGTTCTTGTCAGCAGTTTCTTTTACCAATGGTGGCTCACGAGACCTACAGATTGATGTAAATTGATCCTGTGATATCTCGAATAGAAAGCTTATCCGGATGAGCCTGTCGGAGTTCTAGAAAGCTGTTTAACATATCCGGGGTCTCAGTAGGCCTTTCGAGACGTTGACGAATTACGGTGGTGGTGTACTACAAGGGAGTAAATATGTCAACATGAATGTACATCCCCTTCTATGAGGAGGCTTCTAACCTTTAGCACCGGATTGAGCTTCTCCGTTCCCCAACGGGTCTCTATTAATCTTCGCATCACTTGGAGGAAGGGCGCTTGGCCGAACTATTGAGCTGAATCAGTATTTTTCTATGATAGCAAGGTTTTTCAGAATAATTTACCAATCCAGTTTTGATCAGTACGTTGTCAGAGCCTTCAATCATTCCGTTAAAATCTCTGCCGGTATCCAGAAATCCGAATTTCTTGGATACATTCAGCTCCCCGAGGCAATCGAACGCGAACAGATGTACCCATAAGGACATATCCACATTGGTTGGACCATCATCCCGAGTCACATTTCGCAATTGATTTGTGAACATTTCCACACAGGTATCAATTTTGGATTCTAGGTCTAGTACGGCGGCTTTCGTGTATAGACCACCAATGACCTTTTTAAGCGAAGAGTGGTAGTTGACATCTCGGACTGCAAATAGATTCAACAGTGGGCTGCCTTCGAACGGGGCTGCTGTTGGTTTATAAAAGTCGGACTGTCTTTGGTCTCAGCTCATCAAGTTATAACATAGATACTCGAGCCTCAAGGTGCAAGATTTTCTCACTTTGGGATATGCCTGTCTCGATCCATGAATAATATGGAGTGCCTCGGGACTTGAGAATGAGACGTGTTTTGGACCAATTCGGACAACTGGTCCATACTTCTTGTGTACAGATATGTTACGTCGTGGCATGTCATCGTTGTAGACAGCCAAGATCTTCCAGAGATTGCAAAAGCTTGCAGAAAACGGTCCGGGGATAGCATTAAGACCTCCATGATAGCGTGTTCGTAAGAATTGAAACGCTAAGCAGAGTGCACAAAGTGCAAACAATATCAAGGAATTCTCCATGTGTAGTTCTTAGTAGCTAAGAATGTCATTCAGGACCAGTAAAGTTGAAGGGGCAAAAGTCATGGCAGCAGAACCGCTTGAAATAAACTACTTGCTTACATGAGCTTTTTTCTCTGCCTCAGTTGTTTTGGGTCGATACCTCAGCGGAAATTTACAGGTGGCATCTGGTAACAGGAAGAAATTCAAATACGGAAATCTTTCTCTGGTGCTGTATTACCGTACTAGTGGTAAGGAGTTTGCTATAGCCTAATGCAACCGAGCGTCATGCACATCTTACCGGAACTGGATAATGCTGCGAGATAAATACCCTGCTCTATGCATGCATGTTAGACGGGAATATGTACGGCCTCCCACTACTGCATCTCATAGCCACCTCTGGGGTTGCCTTTTTCATCTACCAATCAACCGAAAGAATGATTTCAAAGTATGTGGTAGGAGAAGGGGCCTTTTTGGTCCATTCATATGCTACTTACTGTTCCAATTGGTCGCATCAGTCAAACAGTGGAGTGACTGATGTGGTCGCAAAATGTACAATGGGGAATCGATTGTTCATAGTCCGCTTCAGATATAGCTCGCAACGAAAGTCCATGAGTAGGCAAAGTGCTCTAAAATACGTCTAGCAGATTACGGATACCGAATCCATGGGTGTCCCGAATTCCACGTTTCACATTTACGCCAAAGTTTCCAGTCTGGACTTGTTATCGGATTTATGTCTTGTCGACCCATCTGTTAATGGTTCCCGGTAATAACACATAGTCATGCATTGTATAGAGTAGAGTGTTCGAAAAAGGTGCTCGAGAATGTTCAAAGAAGTGAAGATGTTAGGCAATCAGCTCGACAACAATCCACTAGCGGCGGTATCAATGCAGCACCGACCATCCACGGCCATCACTCCACATAATACAAGATATTTGAATGTCTTTTATGAATTTGGTGATACATTTTCCGGATTTTCTTGAAATAGAAGGCTCCATGCTGGACGCCTAAGGTCTTCTCCAGGAAACAGGGGACGCTGACGCGTTCAACGATATGTTCTGCAATTAAAAATGATCAGCATTATCGAGATTGGTGTAGAAAGCAAGCAATACAAAATTAGCCAAATTATATGAAATACTTTCAGCCCCAGCGCTGGTCGGCGGTTCGACTTCCCATTTGAGATAGCCAGGGTCCAAAAAATGATCTCAATAATTATACGAATGATATTACAGTCTGAAGTTGTAATTCATGACCCGTAAGTATGGTGTTATGAGATTTTTCACTCGCTTACATTTACCAGCTTCGGGGCCGCTTGCCCCCCTACGTTACCTGTCCGAGATGTTATAAAATCACTTATATACACCTGACTTGCAATCCCTCGCCGTGCAAACAGTTTTTGACTTATACCAATGGCTAAGACTTTACTTGATGAAAGCCCCGAATTTCAATTCGGGCATTGTCAATTCGCCTTGAATGGCGTTTCCACATCGTCGGTGGACCTTGAACGTCGAGAACATGACACAAGAATCACTCGCTATCCTTATTACCCGGTTGAGCTTTCGATCTGGCAGCGAGTGAACTCAGAGCTCGACAGCTTTGAGACTGTCCACCATCGCTACTGGTGGAGTCGTCACACCGGAAAAGCTCTTGCAGTTCTGCTATACAATGCTCGATACCCACCAGACTTGCAATATTGGAACCTGAGATTTTTCGCTGAAGCCGTGGCTCCTCACCTTGGTGTTTCTCCGGAAATCTTAGGGAGTGACACCCCAATATGGCCGAGCTTCATGACTGATGATGGAACTCCTGTCGAATTAAGCTGGGACTGGGGCACAAAGGATGCACCGCCGATGGTACGGTACTCAGTGGAGCCGATCGGGCTGCATGCAGGCACCTCAGTTGACCCTGGAAACTTGACTGCTGGACCAGCCTTTCAAGAGCGGCTGAACCGCTCACTGCCGACTATGAGATTGGAGTGGTTCCATCATTTCAAAGGTTTCTTCAGCATACCCAACGTCAAAGAAGGCGAGTTTCATGAGGATACAATAGATCATAACTCTAGTATCTTCTACGGATTTGACTGCTCAGAAACTGAAATCACACCAAAGGTGTATTTCTTCCCTAAGCTGAGAGCAAAAGCATCCGGCCAATCAAATCTAGATGTGCTCTTCCAGGCGATGCGCACCGCTCCTCACGTCACTGATAAAAATTTCAAGGCTGGTGACATCTTTCACGCCTTTTGCTCCAGTGTGGGCAACAAACTGCTAGAGCACGAGATGCTAGCTATTGATCTTATTGATCCGCTGCAGTCTCGGCTCAAGATCTATTTCCGATCCCGCGAGACAACCTTCAAGTCAGTAATTGATATCATGACGCTTGAAGGTCGGATCCAGAATCCTAAGCTGTACGAAGGACTGGTAGACCTCCACAGGCTCTGGAGCGCGCTATTTGGAATATATGCAGTGGATCAGCCTCTACCCGAAGTTGAGCATCGCACCTCAGGGATACTCTACAACGTCGAGTTCAGGCTTCGCGAAGCAGTGCCTGTGGCTAAGATATATCTACCGGTTCGGCATTACTCTACAAGTGATGAGGCTGTGATCCGTGGATTGAACGACTACTTTCAAGGCCGGCAAAAGGGCAAGTACATGCCTGACTACATCAGGGCTATGAGTACACTGTTGTAAGTTTAAAATGCTGTTTTTGATCTAGTCATTTGTTGGAGAGCTTACACTAAGATCTTCTTGCAGTACTCCGAAGTCAATGAGAGAGAGGTCAGGTGTGCAGACTTATGTTGGGTGTGCGATTCGACCAGATGGCACACTGAGGGTGGTTTCCTATTTCAAGCCACAAGTACCAGTACACTTGTTTGAATCGGAGGGCTGTTCGTAGCCATCAGTGGACTCTTCCATCATGGATTCAAGTTCAGAACAGCGAAATGTTTACTTTCTGCACTATTAATCTATAGGCTGCGCGTGTGTGCTGAGCTTCCTGTGTCTATTTGTCAAGCCCTTTGAATAAATAATGGAGCAAGACTTAACGATAAGGCATATATCTCTGGGGGATTGGCTTTAGAAGCCTTCTAGTCCAGTTTGTTTAGTTTTAGCCTGCACATGTACTTTACATGTTTATCGACGTGTTTATAGAGGAGCTGGTAACCCCGGATCTCCGAAGATATACAAATTTTACCTTACTACCGGTTTCATGGTTTTTGAGTTTCTCTTTCCGTCCGATTACATTGAATACACTTTCGTTCCGAATTCCGCTAACTGAATCGCTAAACTGTATAGGTTAAGTACGCTGTGCCTTGACCTCCAGGGCCACTCTAGTGTAGAGTTACAAACGGACTTCCTGTTTTAGTAGGTGCCTGTTTTTCGCTTTGAGGCTCATACTGTTATTGTCTTGGTAATTTATATTATCATTTATCAAGTGTGCGGGGTTCCCGTTTCAGGTGACGGGCTGCAGAGTTGTAAGCATCACCGGTATGTGCCCCGAATGAATCGGGAGTGCTCGATGTAGTATCTCCGTTTTTTGTCGGAAAGTCTCGACAAATCACCATGTTTTGAGATTTGTTGACAAATTTTCTTTCAGGGTATGGAGCTAAAGCAAGGTGTGGGTGGTCGCCTAATAACTAGTAATGGCAGGTGAAACGAGGCGCAGGCCGCATATGTTAGATACATGTATTTCAATTGATATGCGTTGTGATTGAGCTTGCATATATACCTGCCGAACTGGAACGACCGAATGTATGTCAGCTTCGTAAGTTGATATGCATGCACATGTATGTGTGATGTGATCTATCATGCATATCTGCTGAAACAGAACGACCTCGCTACTTGTTTACCTTTGCATATCTATAGCGATCCCTTTAGCCGGACGGATCATTAAAGATCAGCATTCTGGCATTACATACGTGTACGACGTCCACCTAGGCACTCCTGTTACTTCGGGCACAAAAGTTCGGTGTACTCGCGTCGTCTCTGTACGCCACACCATATTGCGCTCCATCTGCGTAGCCTCCTGGGCCTGGTATTACTGGGTCTATTCTACCTTGCTATTACCAAGGCTTCATAGCACGCGGAGTTTTTATCCCTATTCCATTATAACGCCCAGAACTGCGGGCCCCCAACATCGTCACTATGTATCACTCGGATATTGTTCTAAGGGAGTGGGAGCTCCTGGAGGCTCTGATCTGCGGGAAGAACTCCGCCAAAGTCGTACTTACAGGACGCACGCTGAGTATCCCAGATGTCGTAGCTGTCGCACGGTTTGTTGCCCCACGATCCTTTATCCGACAGTTCAGTACACGTTCGTCTAATTAAAAATTGCAGTTACAATGTGCTATCAGATATTGATCTGTCTGCTATCAAGGCCATGGAAATGAGTCTTAGCATACTTGAAAAGAGACTCCTTTCTGGGGATGTCATATATGGTGCGCACTTATTGGTAGTTACTATTAATGCCTTGAGCTGATTTATTGTGGCCACAGGAGTGAATACGGGGCTGGGAGGCTCTGCCGACATCCGAACCAAGAAACTCGTTGAATTGCAGCGGGCACTCATCAGAGAGCTTCACTATGGTATTCTTCCAACAGGGGAAAGAGATCATCGTCCTTTGCGGCTCGAAGAGGGTTTATCCAAGCACTGTCATGATCTATCCCTTGAATCTGGCCTTGAATGCACATACCTACCTTGGTCATGGGCTCGGGCGTCAATCCTTATACGTATCAACTCTTTGATTTCTGGATGCTCGGCTGTCAGGCCTGTAATTGTCAAGCGGATGCAGGACTTGTTGAAACACGACATTATTCCAATGATTCCTCTACGTGGTAGCATCTCCTCATCTGGTGACCTCAGTCCCTTGTCATATATCTGTGGAGCTATCCAAGGTAAATCTACGATTCGGGTGCTCTCCAAAGGAAATCAACATGTCTATGCGGATAGCGCTTTCGAGAAGGTTGGACTAGAACCGGTGGTCATACAAGCCAAAGAAGGACTTGCCATGACAAACGGCACGACTGTGTCGGCTGCAGTGGCTGCCTTGGCTCTTCATGACACCCACAGTTTAGCTCTTCTCGCTCAGATCCTTACTGCCATGAGTGTTGAGGCTCTGGCTGGGACATCAGAGAGTTTTCATTCATTCTTCTCTGAAGTACGGCCACATCCTGGTCAGGTGAGTGTCTCACATTCCCTTTTCCCCCAGGATCTTGCTAAAGCCTGTGGAAGGTGGAATCTGCCCGGAATATCCTAGATTTCTTATCAGGCTCTAAGCTCACGAAAGTGAACGACGGAGCCCACTCCTTACTTCGTCAGGATAGATACTCAATCCGGACCGCACCACAATGGCTTGGTCCCATTCTGGAAGATCTTAGCCTAGCCCACCAGCAAGTATCTATCGAATGCAACTCTGCGACAGACAACCCGCTGGTGACACCAGAGGGCGAATTTATCCACGGTGGAAATTTCCAAGCTAAGTCCGTGACATCCGCCATGGAGAAAGCGCGACAGGGTATTCAGGGGATCGGCCGCATGGTCTTTTCTCAGTGCACTGAAATCATCAACCCGGCAACGAACCGAGGCCTTCCTCCGAATCTGGTAGCGGAAGACCCTGGTATATCTCTGATATTCAAGGGATGTGATCTCAACATTGCTTCATTGACCGCTGAGCTGGGCTTCCTTGCAAACCCAGTCAACCACGTTCAGACAGCCGAGATGGGAAATCAGTCCCTGAATTCGCTGGCTCTAATATCGGCCCGATACACCCACACCGCCAACGAGGTTCTATCGCAACTAATGGCAGCACACTTGATCGCAGTCTGCCAAGCCCTCGATCTACGCGCCATGCACGCTCAGTTCCTGGAAGGTTATCATCCTGAGTTCATCAAATTGGTTAATGCACATTACGCTGAAAAGACGCTACCGTCGGATTTCATTCCGAAGATACCGGACCCCACTGAGGTCTCAAACAATCTTTCGAACGGTTTAGCCGACCCTCAAGTCAAGCCAGTCGAGTCCAAAGCCGTCAATCCCATCTCGGAGCTCCTCTGGACGCAATTGCTCGCGGCCTTCGATACGACCACCAGTATGGACGCCGAGCAGCGATTCCCAACCATGGCAAAGTCGCTGCGGTCGGTACTTTTAGACCACGTGGGTTTCAACATGTCAGCTGATTTCACCCCTCGTCTTCAAAGCTTCACCGAGGCCCTCAGCGCCTCCCTGAACGATGCGTGGTGCGCGCATAGGGACGCGTATCTGGTTCACGGTGATGCTTCCGGCTTGCTCGGGAAGGCGTCAGGAGCCATGTATGTGTTTCTGCGGCGGACGCTGGGGGTACCTTTGCTGGCGACGCGGAATTTATCGACGCCGACGGTGGGCGGGATGAACGGTAAGTCAGAGGCGCAAGGCGGTGTGGAGGCGCCGACTGTGGGTTCGTATACAGGGTCTGTTTATCGTGCGTTGAGGAACGGGACGCTTGCAAAGGTTGCCGTGGATATTCTTAGAGAATCTGTTCAAGCCGAGGTCGAGATGGGAAACTCGGAGTAGTTGGCAGATCAGTCATAGCAAAATCAAAGAATTTAGGCTTAGATGACATTGACCTTGGGCATGTGGTAGCAATCAATTCGAGTTCAGTCTATGACAGGTGTTGCGAGTGGAGTGATCCCTCCAGGTAAATCAGCGCTTACTCTCTCTTCTTCTTTCTTTCTTTCTTATTCCTCCTCCCCGCCAACCCAATCACTCACAATACAATGTCTTAATTTGTCTGTCTTGCCCCTTTCATACTCGTATGCTTCTTTGTTCTTGTCTCTTCTGACCGCGTCGACTAGCACATGACGTGCTTATAACAGGTATAACCTGATTTATTGTTTTTCTCTTTACATATTTCAAAAACCTATATTCATAATTGCCATCCATGCATCATCTACAACTACCTAGTTTACTATTATCTAAATAGTAAAACTTATTCAAGATCACTGATACGTAAGTATCTCCTCAAAAGCTTCTAATATATCATTTTCAGTCCAAATAGTACGCGTTCAGGTGATGGCAGTGGTGCTCAAAATAGTTTCTCGGTCAAATCGATATTGACAAAGGTCGTACCTATGGTTTCTGGCCAACCACAACGACCCTGTCGAATGCGTACATAGCGCCTTTGCGCGACTCTACTGAAGCTGTTTCCATCATTGCGATCATCGATGATTTCTCCGTCTTAGATGATCTCGGCCTGTCAGCGAGCATCTCGTGTATAGGCAAGTTGCACCAATGCATCGCAATGCCTATATGTCCCCTTTGGTCATGCCAGTCCGTCGTGACATCTAGGAAACCCTCGTTTCTGAAGCTTTCTGGTAGCATCTTGACCCACTTCGGGAAGAGTCGTGTCTCTTTTGGCATGGTTTGCTCCCAAAGCTCCACGAGACCATTCGTAGATACACTTGGCGATGCGGTGTTGATACGGAAGGATGGAACATCAACCTCACACCACTGTAAATATCCGCCAGGTTCTGGACGTCAGAAAGTGGAGTGTCAGTCCCGAAATGTGGCATCTCGATCGCAGAGGGGAAACTCACTCAATAATTTCTTCAGTTTCTGCAGTATAGGTGTGGTGTCTTCTTCGATCACGAAGGCAAAATGGCGTAGATGTACAATGTCAAAGGCTCCAACGAGATCATCTGGTACGTCTGTGAATACATTCCATTGTCTTAGGGTCAGGTTATCTGGAAGCCACTCCCTAGGCCCAACTTGCGTAATGTCGATATCTATGCCAACAAGCTCCGTGGATGGATTGAGTTGCGACAATAGATCTAGTAGCCATATCCTGGAAAACGTCAAAACTGGCTTGTATTGTTATGATGCAGGTTTATTTACCCAGTCCCTGTGCCAACATCTGCAATCTTCAAAGACTTTTGAGTCCGCGGGATCTTCGGATGCAGGCTGTATCCAAACATATCTTTCAAGATATAGTGCTGAAGATTGAGTCTTTGTTCATGGTTAACCATGCCCTGTAATTCTAGAGGAGGTACTGAACAAACCGATTGAAGTCGACATAATCTCGAGACAGAGGATACTCCTCGACGGCATTCTTGACTTCTGACATTTTGAACTAAGACGGAGACGTGAGTTGTATACAACGATTCTGCAGAACATGGCCACAGGCAATACTAAAGGCTTCGTCCAATCACCAATATAACGTGTCACTCATTTCAGTGGAAGGGCAGTAAGTGGCGAACCTTGCCAAAATCAGTTTTCTATTCCCGGGTGGCCTCAATTGCCAGGGTTGCAGGTAGAAAACTCGGAAGATGACTTGACTCGCTAAATCGGAAGTACAAAGCGAGATCGGCGTCTTGAAAAGGAATACCAAGAGTGATCTGCAGGGTGGTTGGTCGGTAATACGCTATTTACCTTCCTGGTATCACTGACCAATCCGGCCTGCTTTCGTATACAATACTGTACACTTGAAATCGGTCCCACATATTCTCCACATGTGCAGATCCACACCAAATTCCCATTATTTAAAAAACTTTGGATGAATGTAGGGTCAGCTTTCAGCCGCATCGTGGCCCACGGGAATGGGGGCCGAGTCGTGCCCGGAATGCGAGGATGCATGTACAGTATACTCACCAAAATATGCATGGCACCTTAGTCCTCGTATGACTTCGGTTGCGACGCGAGCAGTGCAGTGAGGTCAAGAACATATCCAATCAGCTTTTTTTATTCCATACGGCCCCAAATGCACACAATATGTGCTGAGATATAATAATAATAAAATACATCTGGATGAAATAGCCTAATGGGCCGGCCCGGGTGGGGGTAGGGGGCCTAATTACCCTGACCCATACCCGCCAATGGGCTTGTGCAGGTCTACATGCGACTCCGTAAGCGTTGACGGGAGACGGTCAGATTTAAAACTGGGTGGTGGGGTGATGAGTTTAGCCCCAAAAGCCAAGCTAGCCAAGTGTTTCCACCTGGCATGCATAATTCAAAGTGGGGGGGGATCAGCAGTGGTAAAGTATGACAATACAGAAATGAAAACCCTTGAAAATATGGGGCATGATAAAGTGTCGTATGTACAATACAATACAGTAAGCAGCGCTTAATTCGGCCCAGCGCATAATGACTTTTTTTTAATGATGCCAGAGGGTGTAAGTAACACTTTTGCTTACTGCATATCTAATGCAGGCGTGTATAGGTCGCAGGGACAAGAATACGGGCATAGGGAAAAGGCAACTAACGGAGTGAGCCTATGGGTTGGTTCTGCCTTCTCTGAAGAGGCGGCCTGGTGACGCCTGAGGACACATTGAGCAACAAAGATAGCATGTACTATCAAGAAGGATTTGCGGCTCTACCATCGAGATAGTGGATATTGTGTCCTCGCATCTTGAACTTTGACAACGCCAACTGTATTATGGGCCCACGGAACTATCTATTGGAAAATCTAAGGTGACAAAATCACAAGAACGCCCCAAAAGGGGATATCTATGGTGCTCGGCTAGCAGGCTACGCTCCTAAGCCCTTCTACACAATCGTCCATGGGCATCTTCTGTCCAAGCTTCACTGCCCACCGCAGTATTAGCAAAGAACAGGTCTTTAGGATCATACATCTTCTTGATACTGCGTAGCCTGTCGTAGTTGGTACCGTAGAAAGCACTCTGCCAGTGTTCCTGCTGAAGATTCGCTTCGTTCAGATATGCACCGCTATGGGGCGCAACCGCTGTCAGCGCGGGTACCGTAACCTGGTTGAGGTATTCATCTCCGGCCAAGTTGCTGCCCAATGACGCCTTGAAGTCCCACGGCGCGAAAGCCAGGATTGTTACAATGCTGTCGCGCCACGATGGGAACACGGAATTGGATGACGGTTCGTTGCCCGCAACGGAGTGTGCCGCGTTGAGTGCGATACCTCCTGTTTGGTAGCCACCGCCAGGCTGCACGCTGAGTTTCAGCGCGTCAACGAAATCCAGGTTCGATGTGGCATTCTCGAGTACCCTTCGTGGAATCAGTCGTCCGCCAATAGAGACATCGACTATGTTGATAAGCGGAAGACCATAGGGCAATGGACCCAGATAGTGGTCAAAATGCTCCAAATACGTAGGGAATGAAGTTATTGAGGTGGTTATAGGTACACCTAGGTCGTTGATCTTGGAGAGAAATGGCTGTAGCAGGTCTTTCATCTCATCTTCACTCTTGCCTGGTGCAGTCAAAGGAATGACCACAAAGCTTGTATTGGACAAAGAAAAGAGAGCTGTGCTTCCAGAGTCCACCATATTGGGGACCCAAGTAAAGAACTCTTCGACCCCTTTCCAGAATTTCTCGTCCGTAGTACCGGTCTTGTTGATTTCGAGATATGCACCCCCGACGATGCCGTCCTTGAAAGCTTTTACAGTCACCGAGATGACAACACCGTACGTGCCGCCGCCACCTCCACTAAGAGCCCAATAGAGGTCTTTGTTTTTGGTGGGTGACGCGATGAGGTGTTTTCCAGTAGCGGTGACTACTTCCCATTCGAGAACCTGGTCTGCAGCCATCCCATACATGGAGCTCAGGAGGGAATGACCACCCCCCTGAATATAACCGCCAGACAGGCCAACAGTGGCACATGAGCCCCCTACAATACGGAGGCCATGAGAAGCCGCTGCTGTATAAGCTTCGAAGGCCTGAACTCCGGCTGCAGAGTCTCAGTATATTACTCAAAAGAATAGAAGTAGGCTGGAGGCTCATGCTACTCACCTCCCATCTTCATTGCAGGTCCAGTATACTCCATGCTGGAATAATTAAGGAATCCCATATACTTCATGTTGTGAGTCCAAAGGCTCAGCGACCCCTTACCAGTGGACTTCCCTAGGTAACTGAAAACGGTTAGCTAGAATTCCAACTGTATATGTAATTGAAGTAAACTAACTCATGTCCAGTATTCTTGATAACAACACGGACATTGTGTTTCTGTGCGAAACGCAGTGCTTGTGAAACATCGTCGGCAGAACTTATATTGACGGCATAATCGACGTAATTGCCGAGAGTACATGCCTTGGATGGAGATGTGAATGGGTCACAGCTCCGATTTTGCCAGTAGGGTGACATGATTTCCGATGGATGGGGATATCTGGTCTTGGATCAGTAAAGATCTTGTTCGATGGCCTCAATTCCAATATTGAGACACCAAACGGCCACCACCGCATGATAGTTACGTACTGAGTTTGAGGCAGCGACCACACTTCTGCTAGAGAATTGCATGCCTCCTCGTCATAATATGGCTCGTGGCATATTGATGCGAGGGGAGTTGTTTTAATTAGTCTTCCGTGTACGGTGTGATTTAGTTGGGACCATGCTTTGAGATCTGGCCAACACCTATCTCCTGGGATGCAAAGACAATTGGATGCTGAATCATTTGACCTCTCTGCCACTGCTAAAGGAAACAAAAGCAGCGAATATGCGAATAGGAGAAGACTTCTGATAGGCGAATACATTTTGCGATTGCTGGAATTCAACAAGGGATAAACAGGCAATGGAAGAAGTAGCTAAGACACAGTGATAATGGCACTTTCACGTTCGATCAATCTTCCTATTAATACTCTACTACTTCTGTTTTAGCCCTGCTCTCTCAGGTCGTTTCTACAATCCCAGAATCAAGAGCATTCCTAAAACCGGGCGCAAGCATTGTGGCGCCCCCAAATAGAAGCTGAGTTCGGAGGTTTCTATTAGAAGGAATGCAGATTAGTGGAGGATGTCTAGGCTTGATCACGAGAGCTACGATGAGGCTGACTGGTTCAGTACCTTTGCATTCAGGTACACGATATCGAAAAACTTGGCATCTTTGCCCATGTGGCAATTTCTGTTATCGCTGACTGGATAGATATCTATTATTAGGCATAAAGAGGAACTCACTGCCTCCATCTGTTCGCCCGGGCCTGCAGCTGGGTGCCTCATGCCCACGCGGCCTCCAAATCCTTGGCCCCTGCATGTGAATTCTCGGGGCCGTAGTACCGAAGCGCTCACCGGACAGACTGGGTGCGGGGTGGCTGATTACGAGGAGCGCTCTACTTGTCTTAGATACCTAGCAATAGCGAGGGTTTCGGACAGCTGGTATTTCAGCTGAAAGATACTCATCCCGCTTTCTCTGTAACGAAAATATTTAATTTATTTTTTTCTCTTTAAAAAACAAAACTCAGCATAATTGCGTTACATCATTAAAATCTGTCATTGCCTCTTCCTTCTCATGGGAGTTTTATTACAATTTCAGAACCCCTGAACGACTCAAGGGAAATATTCAATAGAAAATAGGGAAAAGAATTACGCTTCTGTCACTCCCTGCGTCTTATTTTCTACTCCCTAACCCCCAGCACCACACCTTCCAGTGTTACAGCCAGGCTGTATGCACAAGCATATGTGTGCAGCTACGTGTAGACTGATACCGTCAGCAACTCCGAGCCTGAGGTTGCTCGCCGTTCCCCACGTGACTCCACTACAATTGTATAGGGAAAGAGAAACAAAGAAATTCGAAATCAGGTGACAGAATTAGCTTCTTTCACGTTCTTTTAATATAAATAGTACTTTTTCGAAAGAGATCTTCTTCGCTTCTTCATCCGAAATCTTTCCCCTTCCAAGGTTTCGATACAATAAGACTTGAACTTCGCTCTCATCCCACTGCACCCCAACCAATCATTCCACTGCCCGCAGAATTCATCTGCCATGTCTTCCCCAGACCTTCTCATCACCGGTGCTACCGGCTTCATTGGCTTCAAAGTTCTCCTCGGGGCCCTTCAAGCCGGGTACACGGTCCGAGCCGCTATTCGGTCCCCCGAGAAAGCCAAAGCACTTGCCTCCCACCCTATTATAACTGCTTCTGGAAAAACGAACAATCTCTCATTCGTCGAGGTTCCTGACATCACCCGCGAAGGCGCTTACGATGAGGCTATCAAAGACGTTACGTACGTAGTTCACCTCGCCTCGCCTCTCCCTTCGCCGTTCCTGGACCCACAGACCGGCATCTACGAGCCAAATATCAAGGGTGTGAGCACCCTACTTGCATCCGCATTCAAGGAGTCATCGGTGAAGAAAGTTGTAATCACGTCTTCGGTGTTCGCAAACATACCCTTCCCTCCGAATCCAAGCCAGGAAATCACGGCTGAGACCAGATTGCCTGACCTACCGGGACCTTTTGATTCGATGCTCCCCGCATACAGTGCCGGCAAGATTGCAGCGCTGAACTTCACCGATAGGTTCATCAAGGAGAAGGAGCCTTCCTTCACCGTTGTCAATGTCTTCCCCGGGTTCGTCTTCGGTCGGGACGACCGAGCTCTAGAGGTCAAGGACCTCTATGCTGGAACCAATCGCATCCTTCTAGCAGCCATCACTGGCAAGTCTACTGATAGCCCTTTGCCAGCAGGCGCCACTCATGTGGATGATGCCGCCAAGGTACACCTAGCAGGATTGAAAGAAGGCATTGCTGGGAACCTCGGCGTCACGAAAGTCCACGACTTCAACGATGCTTGGAAAGTCGTTGAGAAGCACTTTCCCGAGGCTGTCGCGGACGGCACATTCACACAGGGAAATCAGCCAACTGTGCCTGTCAATTGGAATGCTCATCAGACCGAGATTGATCTCGAGTTCAATTTCAAGACGTATGAGGACATGGTTGTTGACGTTGCCGGCCAGTACCTTGAGCTGTCTGGCAAGAATAAGACTTGAGTCTTAGACACTCCCATTCGGTTAGGCTGAAGCCACTCAATTGAATTCCTTTTAATTATCACTCAAGCCAATGAAGCTCATGTAGACAGTGTATTAGCTTGGTGCCCCACATGTCAAATTGTTCGTCAGGATCGATGTCCTTCGTCAAATATGATAAATAGATATTGTGTGCCTTTTCCTTAAATATCTACGCAAGTACTCAATTGCATACTCGAAGTAGTTTCTATCATAATTTCCTATGTATTGGCTGCCAGAAAAGAGTATGACTTAACAACAATTCATTTATATGGCACATGTCATAAGAGGGCGAGGGACACTGCTGAATCGATTCAAGCAAAGATGGATTTACTTCCTCTTCTTCAAAACCATGTCCATTTCGCTCTGTCTCGTAAGCCAACCACCAGAGACAGTCCAGTCCTTGTCTGGATCTTCCAATTCGATGTCAAAGTTTCGATAGAGCTCAACAATGATCTTGGTCAGCTGCATCATGGCGAGGTTCTTGCCGATGCAGTTTCTCGATCCGGCTCCGAACTTTTCACTATTAGCTTTGACAAGATCTCTTCCCATGTATTGTTTGAGTGAATGACGCACCGTGAACATGTTTGTTCTCATTCTCGTCACATCTTTGGGATCGCTGTCGATCCATCTCTCCGGCCGGAACTCATGTGCGTCCTGACCGAATATTTCCTTGTCGCGATTGACCACCCAGCAATTTACACCGATGATGGTGCCTTCGGGAATATACTGTCCGTGTAGGGTGACGCCGCCCACTGGACAGCGGCGTTCGAGAATCAAGCCAGTGCTTGGGTGGATCCGGAGAGCTTCGTTCGTGACAGCTAGTCTGGTCGATTGATAAATGGTCAGCTTCAACGGTATGTTTCAGGGAGGCAATGATGACAATAGGGGAAGTGACGACGGGCTTGCTTACACATAGCTCAATGGTGTGATCTCAGTGTAGTTTGCTGGATTAGACAATTTGCCTGCGGTTGCTGCGTCGTCAATCTCCTGCTGCAGCTTCTTCTGCATGGCGGGATTCTTGGCAAGATAGTAGACCACGGCCCGAAGCGTGATGGCCACAACATCGTGGGCAGTTACCCTGTATAATTTATTAGGAAAATGCGTAGTCCTGTGCACTCCATGTGTCTAACATACACGTTGATATACGCTGCTGCGATGACATCTCTGATGGTAAACTTCTCGGGGACAGACTTGTGTAAGGCCAAGAAAAGGTTTAACATGTCGTTTGACTCGGTCGGGGTCGCCTCGCGTTTTTGAACGAGCTCCAGAGCAAACTATTGTTCACGAATCAATAACTCGCTGACCGGTGAAATTCCGTGAGTACTTACATTGAACAGCGGGTTCTCCTTTCTTGTTCCCGTTGCGAGAGCCTTGATTTTAGCCCAGGCTCTTTCGATTGTGGTAATCTGACCCCACTAGATCGTATCCATTTGGGTCAGCGTGGGTTGCAAATGAGAAGGGAGAGGTGGAAGTTCCGGTTCAGGGAATGCATACTACAGCGAAATACATCATCTGATCATGGTCTAAATGACAGATCCCGTCAACATCGGTGCCTGATTTCATGAAGCCTAGCATCTCAGAGAAGTTGACAGCCCCTAGAGAATCAAAGGCGTAGTACTGGAGCCAAGCAGCAAGATCTACAGGCGCCGAGGCCCTGGTGCCGATGATCTCATTCATCTTGGAGATAAAGAGCTTGGTGCAGTCATCGAGATGGAACTCAAGGCCCAAAACAGCCGTTGTTGTGTATAAAGATCCCATTGTGCGTTTCAATGCTGCATGGTACTCAGCATCTTGGGTCGAGAAAACATTGTGCAGGTCTGTGCCTTCGTAACTCGGTTGCAAAATTCCGTATATACCGGACTTGATTCAAGATATCTGTCAGCATCTGGGACTCGAAAATGGGCGAAATAGAAACAGTAGTCAATATGTAATTACCTTAGTGAAGCCACTCTTGGATCGATGAACAATCTGTATGGACTCTGCGCTCGAGGCGGATATGTGATTAGGCCCAATTCTAACCAGCGGGCCATACTTTTCATGAAGTTCAGTATTAACAAATGGCATCTTCTCTCGGCGGACCATATCCCATTTCCAGAGACTAGTGACACTGGCTAGGAAAGGGCCAGGAATCTTGTTGAGCCCATGGAAATAACGAGTGCGAACCAAGTAAACAAGGAACAAAGTTAGGGCCGTCGCAATGTAATCCACGATGAGAGAACGGCCAACGGGGAAGAGAGCCTGTTGTGTCGATTCAAACATGTTTGGCATGGTGAGGCAGTAGGTTCAGATTCGTATTTTCTTGGTAAGTTCAAATATGCTTGGGGAAAGATCAACCCAGAGTAGACCGTCGTTAGATACAGTCCTTCCGGAAACCGGTGTCAACACTTATACTTCGATTCTTTCGCGCGCCCTAATCCGGAAAAAAGGAAAAAGGATAAAGATGGAGATTAAAAAAATAAGAAAAAATAAATTAAGAAAATCAAAAGGAATAAAAGGGCGAAAAAATTAAAAAGAACAGTCCAAGATTCACTTTCGATAATACGCAAATTAAATTTGGCATGCAGCAAACTTTCAGTATGTTATTTATACACGTACGCGAAGAACATAACTTAGTGGTACTGTACAGTACTGTATGTGTAAAAGTCGTAATAAACATTGTCAGTTTGTGGGGAGCCCGTATACGCTAGTACTGAGGGAACCGATTTTTATAATTGCTTGTTTGAACGAACTAAGAGACTGCTGTTACAGTGTCACAAGATCTCAGTGGCTAAAATTGTCTTGAAACGTGAGTATTCCCCGAGTTGATCCAGTATACCACACTAAACCAACGGAGATTTGGGTGGCCGCTGAACCATCCAGTCTCTAGTGGTAAAGTACCACCTTTCAGATCGACAGTAATTCTTGTGGTGTGGTTACACATGACTACATGACTGGCCGTCCGCACATTTTCCACAATCAGTTACTGCAGTGGGTAATGCCTTGATGATCGTATGAAAGAGGAATTGTTTATCTATGACGTGGAATATCAGGAACATCCTAATGACAGACACATTCGCAAGACTTGAGGTTTAGTAAAGATGCTTGTTCAATCGTGTCATTCTGACAACAAAAGCCTAAGAGCTCTATCATACATGAGAATAGTCATCTTGCCCCCTCTACGCACCGAACTTCCAACCTATGGTAAAGAGGCACGTGCATCGATCGCAGCTTCAAAGGTCATCTGGGCCAACTCAGTCGCGAATTCAACATAAGGCGAATGACCAGAATCGAGGGCAGCGGTGCGGACAGGCGCTCCTGCATCGGCTGCATTCTGGAGGCAGAATTTTTGGAATTCGGGCGGCAGCCAACGATCTTCCAACGATTGAATATAGATTGTGGGTACGTCTTTCCATGCAGCATAGGTTGTTTGCCCAGTCAAAATCGCAGTGTTACCCCATTTCAAGAGCTTGACCTGCTCCTCTTGATCCTCGGGTGTCAAGCCGTTATACAAGAGCCAGTTGGGGTCTATGGGAAACCAAGTGCTGTTGTCGCTGCTGAATTTTACGAGCGAACTTCTTCCGGGAAGATTGACGGCTTGCACCACTGTTCGAATCGTCTGGCCTTCGCTGAGCATGAATGCGGCCGCGTAGATGAGACAGACCACGCCACCGGGTAAGCTCCTCGCCTGTCGGTCCTTGCGGGTAAGGTTTCTGATACCGCTGGTTCCGGCGATGCCGCCATATGAATGCATTAGCATGATGACCTCTTGGCCGGCGTCGACCAGACGCTGTACGGCTTCGCGGACAGTCTGTATGTCCGCATCGAAGGTAGAGTTTGGAGGTTGTTGGCCATTATTCGTTGGCAGGGCAGGACAATGGACCTCGAAAGTTTTCGCTTCCAAGGCATCAATCAGCTTTTGGTATGCTTTGGGTGCAGTCCAAGCCCCCGGGACGAGGACGACGCTAGGTAGCGTCTTAGACATGATTGGGTATGCCAACGATAGAAGAAAGAAGAGAGCGCAAATGCTATGTGAGGCGAGCAATTTCATGTCAAGCTTTCAGCGCTTTGAAGGCTCCAGCAACCAAGTCGGTAGGCTACGAATAAGTGGAGCCTTCCAACGTTTGGTTTATGAGGGAGCTGCTTTGTCTGATAAATCGTTGTTGCGGGGCCGTTTCTTTGTTTGGTTATCCACGGTGGATAAGAGATAAGAGCCACCCCCAAATAACGATTTTCCATACCGCCCTGTGGACCACCCACTCTTTTTACCTTATATGTCAACCAGCAGCAAGATGCAGCACACTAAATTAGATTAATCAGTCTGCATTTGAATACTTACGACTAGACTTACCCCTTTCGGTGCCACCTACAGCCCGCGCCCCACTGCGGCTGGCAGATACTGTAGGTAGAGCTTACCTGGCAGGGCAACGTGGGCGCCAAGACCCTAGTTTCAAATATTAGTGGTAAGGCATGACAGTACATAACCAACAACATGTATGAAATACATACAAAGGAAGCTCATATAGGGCATACGACGCGAGGTAACAAGCTAGTTCCCGATTAGGAATAGCGTATAATTGCCCCATCCCCATCGGTCAAATATGCATGCCGGGGGGAGGAGAATTCGCTGCCTTTTTTGATTCAGGCCACCCATATGCAGGACTCGGTCTGGATCACAATCAAGGGGTATATGCAATGGCAAATCAGCAGTGATGTCTGCCGGGTGGTTCTGCCTTCCTGTCTAAAATGAGTTGCTAAGATCATGTGTCAGGGTGCGGGGTCTGGCAGCACAGAAATTGTTGGAATTGATTCCAAATTAATAGAGTCAGGCTATCTCACACAGTACATGTACAGGTCAAATACAGGACCTAGCTCAAAGGGCTACAAAGCTTCATTGAGCGGGCAGGATCATGCTGCAGTCAGCTCACCCGCAGGGTAGCAGGAAGTCGAATCAGGGTTGGCACTGACAATGATGCCTTGTAACAGTTATTCTTTTGCCATTCAGGTGTCAAGCAGTATTGAAATATCTCTTGACTGCTCGGAGTCACAGACCTGCATACCGGCGGCATACACGATGCAGGTAAGGGGACAGACTTGATACCGTTGGATTCAGACATGATCAGCATGCCTTGTAGGCTTGTAGCAAATAACAGTCATCGTCGTCCTGGGGGCTGACTTGATACTTTCTTTTTTTCGTGGGGGAGAAAAATTGACCAATGACGTGCCTCACTGGCTCATTCCAGTCTTCACCATCGCTAGAAGTGAGACTACCGTCGAGTCGTTAAAATGCATCAAGGCTGCGCGGCTGGATCCTTCTTGCTATACACTCATTCGCGTGTGAAGCCATCGTTTTCAGGCTAAGTTCTTTGTGCCAAAGTACACTTTTCCGGTGAAGCTCCGGCCAAAAGTATTTTCCACTATGTCCAGCACGCCCAACCAGCCCTTCGTGGAACACCCAGATCGGGTCAGCCCGCGCGAAATTGACGTTCTCGCACTCGATGCCGTCTTCACTTTTCTAGCCACTATCTCAGTAATCATTCGCTTCATCACCCGGAAATACTCCGAGTTAAAGTTTTGGTGGGATGACTGGATGATTCTCGTGGCCTGGTTTGCGGCTATCGCATTCTTAATTCTGGGCGTCGTGGATAGGACTGTCGGTGGTGCGGGCTATCACATCGAGACTTATACTCGTGAACAGCTCACGACCTTCTTCAAAGTAAGAAACTATACTCATGCCAGACATTTCTTGCCACTTTCCACTGTGCCAGTTAAACGATAAAATACTAACAGAGCATTGGATTTTAAGCTGTCCCTCTCCGTGACTGTGGTGTATAACATCAGCGTAACGTTTTCGAAAGCTTCGGTCTTGTTCTTGTATGAGCGCATCTTTTCTATCGACCGCCGACTACGTCTCTGGATACGAATCATGATGTTCGTTCTCGCTGCTTACCTCCTCTCCGCGTCGTTCGGTCTGATCTTCACAACCAATCCCGTGCAGGCCCAATGGAAGTACTGGATTCCACACACCACCATCAACAAACTGCCCTTCTATATTGTGATCGGTGTTGCAAATCTTCTCTTAGATATAGTGATCCTGAGCATACCTCAGACCATAGTATGGAAGATTCACCAGTCGTTGGAAAAGAGAATGTCGATTGCTGCAGTTTTCATGCTTGGGGGCTTGTGAGTTTCCTAACCCCCCTCTGTCGCATGAGAAACACTTTCTAATATCGTAAATTTGGCTCTACAGCGTGTGCATTGCAAGTATTGTGAGAATCACGGCCCTTCTCACCATCAAAACGAAGGACGTAACGTGTAAGCATCTCCCAGACCATGACCGCCTGAAATTGAATCTTGGCTAAGGAACCATCAACAGACAGCTTTCACAATTCCACGATTTGGACCTTGATCGAAATGAATCTGTCAATTATCTGTGCTTGTTTACCGGTAATGCCCAAAGCAATCAAATTAGTCAAGCAGAAGTATGAGCAATTGACCTCGAAGTCAACCGGCTCACAAGCACCGCTCAAGGGAGAAAGCGATTATTGGCGCTCCGCAGATTCGAAAAACAGAAAACCACCGTCTTCGACCGCCATTTCGTCATTTTCCCAGCGGTATCGGCCTTTGTCCGGTTCTTATGTGATTGCTGGAGATGCCGAGTTAGCCCCTCTGGCACGACCACTCTCAGCGCACCTGAACCACAACTACGAGATGGATCACGTATAAGAACCGTATATCCATGGTTTTCTTTTCCAATTATCTGAACTTTTCTTTAGAAATACCTAGACTGCATAAGCTGAATTACTATTATACAAGGAAAATTCAAGGCTTAATGACCGAGCCTATACCAATGTGACTCACTCATGAAATACTATGTAATAAAAGATTTAGTCAAAAAAATAAGTCAAAGAGTTGAATTGAGTTAAGAATTTATATAAGAAAACTCATAAACTCGATATAGAAATCAAATATGCTTTGAATTGTCGGTTCTCATCCTGGCAGAAAAAAGGCAGAATTCTTGATGAGGTACCACTTTCCAAGGTAGGAAGGAATGTCGAAGGAGGGACTATCAAGTTCAATGAAGTATTGCGATCGCATAAATGAGAAATTTTACCAACCAGTCTAATCGTCTTAACAAAGTCCAGATTTATATGATTGAACTATGTCTGGGCATTATCATAGTCGTATCTAATGTAGACTTTCGAAGCTTTTTTGGGTTGAGAATCATTGGGACTAGTTGGAACGGTGATTACCTAATATGGGTCTGGAGAAATTCTCCTTAAACCTCCGGGGGTCTAGACCTTGAACAGTGATGATGGGCGCAGCATAGTACATAACGATCATGAAGTATCGTAGTCGTCGCGAAAAGTTTGCAATAATTTTGACACAGTATCAAGTGCACCCTCATTTTCCCCCAGGGAAGGCTTAGTAGGTCTTCGACTTGGTTAAAGCAGTTCATCCGTTCTCCAATCCACCACTCACGTGCCACGTGTGTCAAACTCTAATCGCCTCCGCACGAGTTAAAATCACGTGTACCTGCATAGCCCAGTAGAAATCTGAAACACGTCTCTGCCGGCCTGAATCTCACTGTCCGACAGATGTATCCCACAGACCAAAGAGAGATGCACGGCCCAAAGTTCTGATCAGTCTCATGACCTACCGACTCCTACCCCATGGCCGGTGAGGGAGAAATGGCCGGGTCTGAGAATGGATCAGTGGGCGGCAGCATTTCACGAAAGCAGAAGAGGTGGATACCGGTATCATTACGGCCTCCTTTTTTATTCACAGTGGCTGCATTCTTTCTATTGATGGCCTTGTCGATTGAATTTCTTCGTCAGTATTCCAATCGTCACCATGGACTTATCCATCTCAAATCATACGAACAATTGGGGAGCCACACTTCAGGGGTATACACTTACGTGCCTACTGCGTTTGCTGTTTTGGCCGTGGCATTATGGAACATCTGCGCCCTCGATATTCTGCGGCTCGAGACGTGGTTCCAGCTAGCCCAGCCAGCAGGGGCTCCTGGGACGGTTCTCTTCACTAATTATTGCTTTTACTATGGCGCCCTGACTCCCATCATGGCGGCACGTAATCGACATTGGATTGTTCTCTGTGTGTCATCGATTGGCCTGGTTCTGAGAGTCATGTTGCCTTCCCTCATGTCTGGACTTGTATATCTTGACGAGCCGATTATCGTCTCCACAAGACATATTGACACCTGGCCCAGTGTCGTAAACCTGGAGACACAAAGCGCTTGGCTAGAAAGCGCGGCATATCTTTCCAAAGATAGGACGGATACCCTGGTGGATACATTTTTCTTCTACCAAACTCCCGATTACTCAATACCACCCACCTCGAGGCCCGTGAGCCGCGGCTCTGGGGGCTCGACGTGGGCACTTACGCAAGACGTCTACTGGGCCGAATTGAACTGTATGAAGACTCAGTCAATTGATATAAGTCCAAGCATATGGACTGACCCTACATCCGCGGAAAAGGCTCTCACATGGAACGTTCGTGAAGACAAATTCCTAAATGCAGACTCTAATTGTCGGGTTGAAATTACTTTTAACAGTACTTCTCCAACCGAAAATAAAATATCCCAAATACGGCATTGGGAGCCTTTGGACCCCAATGGCAACGGATTTACGTCTACTTTGAACAGCACTGGCTGCAATTCGTTCTCGTTGATTGGACTCATCATTGATGTTGACGCCACATCAAAAACGTTGGCTTCCAAAGCCACGGTCTTTGGATGTGCCTCTTCGTATCTACGCGCAAAAGCAGCCATAACGCTGCCTGCAAATTCCTCTGTTGTCGATGTTACGAGTGTCTCGAACACGACGGCCACGTTAGCCTCAACGGACCTCAGTATTTCAAAGTTCCAGAACCTGCTTTTCGCAAAATATCTCCAGGATGACCTTTCGCTTTGGGACAACGGTCGCCTAATCAGTTCAACTGGGGCTACAGGTGTGAATGGTACGTTGATACCTAGCGATACCCATCGGATTAGCGTTGCTCAATACGAGCGAGATGTCAGCAGTCTTTGGAATCGGCATTTTGTCGCCTCTTTCAACAATTTCTTTGACACAACTATTGATCCTGCGCGGCTCAATGTCACTCTCAATACCGCCACAATTGTATACAGCGTTATTGGTCATTCTGCTCTTGTTGCCGAGGCTCTTCTTTTTTCAGCCTTTATACTGCTCATAGTGGTATCCTTTTTTTATCCACGACGACCAAATTTTCTCCAGTCGGACCCCGGATCCATTGCAGCGCAATGTGCCCTAATCACCGACAAGCTTTCTTCTCTCCACCAGTTGACCCCTTCTGGGTTGGACTACACCCGAGCCACACCTCGACAGCTTCGTCGATTTGCTCGCACGCTGTGGTGCAAATGGACCAATGGGCCTAGTGGAAATCGCCTGGACATAACCTCTCGTGAGGGACATGTCTTATCACCGTCATCTGAAACGTCTCGAAAGCGGCGCAAGATACGACCCATTTCCCGACCGCATTTCCTAACGCCACCATGGTTTGCGGTGGAATTTTTGCTGATGGCAGGTGTTTTGGGTGCATTTGGAGTGTCATTCCAGTTCATTCGCGTGGATAAGTTTGATACGTCCGACTCGAATGGAACGTTAGCTGTCGCGTATTTTTTAGTATACGGCCCTACTGTGATCGCGTCCATGATCAGCTCCCTCTTCGTCTCTATCCACAGGCATATAGGCTATATGGAACCCTGGATACAGCTCAAGAAAGGGATGGCTCTAGCTACAGATTCTCTCACGGTGAATTACTGTTCCCACACACCTTTAACGGTCTGGAAACTGTTCCGTGAGAAAAGGCCTCCTCTCTTGGTCATGCTATCCATTGTTTGTATGCTTGATTATGTCTTGACCATCGTCAGCAGTGGAATGTTTGAGCCGTCGGTCGAATATTGGACGGAGCATACAAATGCCTTTGCGGTGCAATATAACGGCTCTCGCTTCTTCAGCCCGGAAGTCCGGGCACAGTTTACTGGCAACAGTCTCATCTCGGATAGCTTGGTCACCGGCAAGTCCCTGCTCTCGTGGACTACCCCCAGCCTATCTTTCTATCCACTTGGGATCAATGACCCCGATGCTGAATGGACTGATTGGACAATGTATACGGCCCGCACGCGTGGGGTTGGAGCCGAGCTTCAGTGCGAAGAGCTCGATTCAAGCCAACCACGGTATGACAATGCCTCAGGCTCCTCATACTGGGACTATACTACTCCCGCGGGCACCAACTGTACCGCCGAGCTGCCAAGTCAGATTGAGCATGGCCAGTCGGTCAACGCGACACTTCATTTTGGAGCCTCACTGAACTCAAGCATTGCTTGTGAAAGGTCTTTCCTCGTGGGTCTCTTCGGACACCTGAATAGCACCAATATCACAGACAAAGCTTTGGCTACAGCAAATCTGGGCGTTTTCCATTGCAGTCCAAAAGTTATAATCGAGGATTTCGAGGTTCGTTTTAATCCCGACGGAATGGTACACAGCTCCACGCCAATACCCAAGACCTCCATTACAAGCGGGCCGATGTTCCAAAATGTTTCCAATAGTCTTGTGCCATTCAGCCAGGCCTTCATGCGACAAACTCAAGCCAACACCACCTGGGCGGGGCTTGTAACAACCCAAGTCTACGATATGCTCATCTCTGACCCTACATCTCATCATCATTCCTGGTCACATCCTCACTCCGAATTTCATTCTAAAGCCCAACACGCATATTCCCACAGAAACGAAACCCGAAAGCAAGCCTTGGTCCACACCCTGCAAGACGTGTACCAAGCAACATTCAGCACATACACAACTCTCCAGCGCGACCTCTACCTCTCTCCCCTCGATCAAAACGCAAATAAAACTATTGTTGGCACTATTTCGGCCGCGGTGTGGGAAATCTACCCTTCCAACACCACAATCGTCATCATAATCATTCTTCTCTCCCTCGATCTGTGCGTGCTCGTAGCCGTTTTTTGGTTGCGCCACGATCAGTATGCAGGCCCACCAATCCCTCGCTCAGTTGGATCTCTAGTTCCATGGATAGCAAACAGCAGTATGCTGAATGACATCCGGGATACTGCAGAATGGACTGAAGACGAGCGGAAAAAGCACCTCCAGCTTTTGGGGCACCGGTATCGGTATGGAGAGTGGGACCGAGAAGGTGGACGGGTCGCGCTTGATCATGATGAGAAGCCTATGACTGAAAACGAGTATGAGATGAATGAATGGCAATTGCCACGCTCTGATCAAATAGAGGACACTCAAACATCCGGCTAATGAAACGTCGGATCGGGAAGAGTTCAACAGGGTATATTGTATTTATATAGACGCCGAACTTTGGCGAGAATATATTTAATGTCATGCAAATAATGGTACGATGAAGACCTTCTTTTCGAAGTATGTACTTGAGAACATGTGAATACAGATTCAACAGATTCCATCACCGTAAAGGTTCGCGAAAGATCATCTTGCGGGGAAAAGTAGCCTGTAATGACGTGAATTTGGAACACTCACTGCCCCATCTGGTACAGGTGCCCTAAACTAAATGCCCCCTGTACGTTTCATCAAATATTGTCTTTCTCGTTCCTCCATTGAACCACACTCTACACCTTCCATGGTTTGGCCTTTTCAACTCCCTTCATCTACCCCGGTTCCTCCTCCTTTATCTTCAAACATCATCTTTCACTCTATATCTTGAAACGATTTATCACAAGCCGAATGAGAGAAAAAGCTTCTCTTTGCTCATTACCTTCCCTTTTCTCTTTACCTTCACTTTTCCCTTGCTTTTTCTTCACCCTCATACCTCTCTCCCACTGCTAACAACAATTCGCCAGTCATGTTAAGGCATTATGAAATAAGCCTCTCTTGCCAAACAAGACGACTGTGTGAACAAAGATGATGGTTACACCCCGGTACAAGAGCGATGCGTGCGACTTGTGGCCAGTATGTATTTCAACTTGGGCGATGGACAGATTTAGCTAACTATTCTCCAGCAACGGCCTCTGTCGAGTGGGGTGACAATAAAGTCGCAGAAAGGCGGTCCTTGGTCGAACCGAAGGTCCCGTTGCCTGGTCTAGTAGCCCTTCGAAATTATATATTCATTTAATGGTCACTAGACTTTTGAAGCCAAGAAATACCAGAACCCACTCCCCAGCCGGCCCAATTCCTCCGACCTGCCCAATATAAGGTCATTTAGCATACCTACATGTCCTGTCATTCGACCAACGGTGACATCCTCACCCCCTGCAACTGGGCAATCCCTTATTATCTTCTCAATTTTCGAATTGTTTTAGGTTAAGTTGTAAGAACTCTTTCTTTCAAGCAGCGTTGTGAAACAGATTCAAAATTAATAAGTTCCCAGCTGATCCTCCTTCGCGAACCATCGGGCTACCACAGACGCTACCAGCGCCAATCACTGGAGTTGAAGACATGGTGCCAGGTCCATAGGCCAAATTCATCACTGAGTCCCCATTTCAATTTTCTGGGGGTGCGCAGGGTCATGGTCTTAAGGAGGAATCCTTGGAAGGCTGTTGATAATGCAGGCGAACAACGAACCGGTGCTCCAGCCAGGATCTTGAGTAGGATGGACAGCGACTACTCATTTTCACTAAGATCAATTCGCTGCTGGCAAATATCGAGGCGATCGTCATGCAATGTGTGGGTCAAGCGATGACAGACCCTGAGGAGATAGGCGTGCATTGCTCACAGTGCTAGCTATATCACGGATCCGATAATAGAAATCTTGTCGTTTAGCAATAGATCGATAAGGAATCCGTGGATACAGTCTAACAGTAGTAGGAACGGCTGGATCAGGGCCTTGAAATGATGTTTTGGGTTCACAAATGTTACGCGATCAGTAGTATTATTTCAATCGATGCGGTCAAAAAGGCCGTTTGAAAGAAATCAGGGACAAGATTGGACGGAAGAGACGGACTTCATGATTTCTGACTAACTTGATACAGGACCGTTGGGAGCGTAATGATTGAACGCCACATTACCGGTATGATAATGGATGGAGAAAAGCGCAGGACTGGAGGTCCAGAATAGTGATAGTATCAAGTACATACTCAGGTACCTACTCGGTCACACTAGACTGCCCTGGAATGGGAGGGTGATTAAGGCGTAATATCCACGGAGCCAGTGCCTTAAAATGCTGTCTGATCTTTATCCCTGCCCGCATGAAGCGTTTTCCTGCATGTCCACTTGAGTTTGGTGAGGTGATGTATAGGCTCTTCAATAGTTGGAATAGTATTCGGGACTGTAAGGTGCTAGGTGTTCAACGAAGTTTGTGGTGTTCAATCAGAGGGCTCTTTGGTCCGGACCCGCACATGGGAATTATAATGGGCCCCTTTATAGTATGGTGAGTGACCATGTGGGAATCCTAGTCCTCCTGCTGCATCATTTATTCGAATAGCCAAGGCACCTCACCTGTGGACAGTGATACAGTCATGCGTCAACGCTGGCAATCAGTGGAGGTGTCGAAATCGCAGCATAAAACACGGTGGGCTCTGATTGGCCAGTGCTATTAGCCCCCAAGGCAGAAGTTACTGAGTGTCAGCCTGGGTTGAAGAGAGCTTCCCTGATACTGATATTATTGGCATAGCCGGCTCTCCTGGCTCATGCGATATCATCATCGTCCGACATGTCCAATCCCTACGAGCTCATATCCAAAAGCCGCTTCCACCGTCGCGTCACTCTCGATTGTGGAGATGGTCCGCTCAGCATCAGTTTCGCCGACATGGGCTGCGAAACTGGCCCCGCACTGCTTTTCATTCCGGGGATGTTCTCTTCTCGCTATCCCGGCATTCCGCTCCATGTGATAGCAGAACGCGCCGGTGTGCGCCTCCTTGTGGTTGACCGACCGGGCATGGGCGCATCGACTGACGTGCCGCTCGCTCAACGTGTCGCCGCCTGGACAGACATGCTGCCGCGTCTCTTGGCACATCTCCATATTCCACGCGTGAGCCTCGTCGCGCATAGTGCTGGTACTATATACTTGCTCAATACCTGGGCACGATGCCGTGACTATATCAACCCGGTCATTGCTGTAATAGGTATTGATTCCCACCCCCGTCCCTAAACCAGTATCTGCACCATGAATTATAATGAAAGAACAAGATGCTCAGTCTTGCGTATTTAGCTCCCTGGGTTGATCCAGCGCACTCGCGCGTTACGGCGATGCAGATGGCACAGTACGTGCCTACAAAGGCATTCGCAGTATGGAATCTTATCCCACGTTTCATCGTGACTCAAGCAAGCCCCGTGCTGGCATCCAGTGGTACCGTTTTTCGTCGCATGTCACTACGAAGTGAGAGTACCAATGAAACGGAAGAGGATCTGTCGTTCCTTAATGACAACCGGCGACGTGTCGAACGCGACTATGGCGTTCCTCGATCCGAGCAGGAGGAACTCACTGGTCTTGCTCTTCGCTACATGTATGCGGAGAATACAGTCGGAGCCAATAGCGAAGCTCTGCAGTGTCTACGCAAGGGCGACAGCAACTGGGGGGTCTGCTCTGATTATGCAGTATGCGCGCAGACCCTAGCAGGCTACCAGGCAACTCCAGAGGACAGATTTAGCATCCACGCATACTTTGCCGCGAAAGATTTCATGGTGGGTAAACGGGGGAAGAAGTATTTTGAAGACTGCTGGCAGTCACCCGGTGTGGAGGCGATTGACTTCGTCTCGAGGGAAGTCGAAGGGTCGGATCATGACACCATTGCATTTTCAGTGGAGGTCTGGGAGGAAATCTTCTCGTTCGTCAAGTAGACCCATGTTTCTGATGATCAGGTCTTGAGGATCAGTGGTATCACATACATGGCTGGTCACCTTCATCATAAACTCTTCCTGGTGGAACCAAAACCGGCATCACATTTCCGATACCCAGATCGACATACCTTCGTTAGGATACATATTCTTTCTGCTGAGAGATGTATAGTAAACCTTTCTGCCAACTTAATCATATGCTTGGAGGCAATGCTTTTCGCGATGTTCAAATCATCGGGAAATTTATGTAATCTGATCCGGTATGTTTCCGTGATGATCAAACACCCCAGATATCTGTGTTCAATCATTTCCTGTATAGTCTCAATGCAACTGACACGCTCAATACAGAAGGTATCAGGGCCTGAACAGCGGGGACGCTTATACGATCAGATCTCAATTTAGAAAGGATAGTGCTTCATTTAAGAATATTCTCTGTGGTCTTACATATTCTCAAAAAATTTGACCCCATCTTCAATCTACAAGTCCACATCTCTCTCCAGCTCGAGCAGTTTCTGACATGGACGACTCTCCATCCGGTTTGACCGATTGTGCAACAAGCCCAGAACAGTCTCTTTGAAGATCCTCCCCAGATCCTCCCACAAAAAGTCCGGTATAAGAGCTGTGGCAAAAATGCGCATTGAACTGACAGGAATATATGGGTGCCAATTCTCTCTTCGTTCTCGGGTTAGCCTGAGGCTGAACCTCGTGAGTCATGAATAATTTCCGCCCCCACGGATCACATGTGAAATAAGCTTTCTTGTTGGAAGTGGATTGAATCAAGCGGATCGACATCTTTCCGGTTCGGAGACATTCTCGCGGGATATTGATACTAGTGACTATTCGGGGCTACTGCCCGGCATTCGGACCTTGCAACTCGGCGAGCTCTGGTATATCGAGATCATTAATAATGATGATGATCAAACATTAAGATTGATCTATAAATGATTGGGTTTCCCACGGTCTGTCTAACTTTTCAACAAAATTCTTTACAATCCTTTCCAGTCCCCATAAATATACATCAACGGCCGCGTGCATCTGGACATGTCATTTCTTCCAAGACCATCTCTCCATCCAGACCTCGCCGAAGTACATGACCAACTTCCTAGGGATGATGAGATCAGCACACCCGAGCAAATCGCCAACCGCCGGAAAGCCCTCGACTTCACATTGGAGTATACCCTCCGAGGAAGAGAAGATGTCTTTTCCCACGAGGAAAGAGAATTCACTGGACCAGCCGGTCCACTGAAAGCCTCAGTCTTCCGTTCAAAGCAATCCAAGAACGTCAAACCCCCAGGAATCCTATTTATTCACGGCGGCGGCCACGTATCTGGAAGCCGTTTCCTGGGCATTGACTGTGCCCTAGACTGGGTGGAAGAGTTCGGTGCCGTCCTTGTCTCCGCTGATTATCGTTTTGCGCCGGAAAATCCCCAGCCAGCACAGGTGGAAGACAGCTACGCAGCGCTGGAATGGATGAGCGCACAAAGTCAGGAACTTGGGTTCGATCGTGATCATATCATTGTATGTGGTGGTTCGGGTGGTGGAAACCTTGCTGCTGGTGTGGCTCTATTAGCGCGTGATCGGTCCGGACCACAAATTCGGGGCCAGCTGTTGATGTATCCTTGGCTGGATGATAGTAATATCACCCATTCCATGATGCAATTTGCGGACCTTGCGCCGTGGACGAGGTCGAACAGTATTGATGCGTGCAACTATGCCTTGGGTGTGAATCGGGAGCATGCTACTATTTATACTGTTCCGTCGCGTGCCAAAGACCTTGCAGGGTTGCCGCCGACTTGGATTGATGTCGGCGATGCTGATGTGTTTCGAGATGAGAATGTTGATTACGCGTCTCGGTTGTGGAAAGCGGGTGTCTCAACTGAGCTGCATGTGTGGCCGGGGTGCTGGCATGGGTTTGATGCTTTCGCACCGGACGTTCCAATTAGCCGAAGAGTAAGATCGGCGCGAAGTGAATGGGTGCGTAGATTGATCTTTGGTTAAGAAGGAACATTGGAGGAAATTTGAAATGACTTTAAGAGGGCTCGGCGTAAATTAAAGACAAAATTGCAGATATATATCATTCACTCGTACGAAACCCTATGGCGAAATGCGTCCCTAGACTAAAGTCTTGAAGGAAATAGAAATGATTTGGCGACCTACTCAGACAATATGTACACGTTATGTCTCCGTCAATGGCATCACACGAGCTGCCACACGGACTGGCACTTAGTAAAAAGGAAAAAGAAGCAGTGGATGGGTTGAATGTAAAACAAGTCTTTTCAATTGCGGCCCTCCAAGAAGCCCGACACGAAGTTGCGTGGTAGTCGTGCACCAGGGTCTTCTTCTGCGCGGAAGTACTTCATGACATGAGACAGCTGCTTCCAGTAGTTGAGGGTTTCCTAAATCGATGTTAGCATAGAGTCCAGTAAGAATGCTTTGGCAGCTAGGGATCCAATAGGCGGAGATTCAAGCATGGGTGCAAGACATCAAAGCCAAGTGAATTTCCATCTCAATGTTTCCTCCATTGAGTCTTATGACTGACCTGGAACTCGGCGTGGCTCTGGTAGAGCAGAACATCAATAACGTTCAATTGGCTGACGTAGCGGTGCTTCTCGAACTCCTGGCGAATCTTGGTACGGATGACGGAAACGGGCATGTTCAAAGAGTACATGGTCTGGATCTCGGGGGACTATAGTTCGTCAAGTATCATGTTAGCTGGTTATCCGACTTGAAGTTGTGCTGACCATATCTCCCGCAACGATTGGTCAAGACGTGGGTCTGGGTTTCTGGGGTATACTGACAGCGCGCAACCACTCCCGGTAAGACTTGAGGACTCGGAACTTCGCATCATTCAAGTTGAGGGCTATTGAAGCTTGTTAGCACCCTATGTATGTTCGGAGACTTCAATTGTAGGAGACCGCTCGTTGGCGATCGGAACTCCTCGGGGAGATCGACGAAGAAAGGACACATACAAGAACGTGTCCGTTGCGCAAGGTAGGTAGGGTTGATGGTCATGGTGGCGGTTCTCTCGGTATCCCCTCAATCCAGTCAAAGTACAATCTCTGGCGTCGAAAAGAGAGAATTGGACAGTCGCTGGTGAGCTCTGGTGGGACGGAGGTTTCGTAGTCGAGGTTGAGTGGTGGCCCGGGCGTCTCACCGCCTTCCCCTTCTAAAATTTTCCTACCAATTTTTTGGATTTGACGATTGAGCGGCCAGTTTCAATCCATATTTCCTGCTTTTTCTCAATCACTTGCAGATTCAGTCGGTGATATTATATTGGAGTTCAGTTTGGCGTGACTGTGCTAACTTCGGAGCCCTCGCCGAATTACCGATTTCCATCCCACACCACGTTATCGCCTTCGGCGCATTTCGATCTCAAGTCAAACTACCCTCCAAACTTTCCTTGCGCTGCAGAAAATGGCGCCTACCAAAGGCTCTTCAAAGGGTGCCTCCTCAGGTGGGGCCAAAGGCTCTAAGCCGTCGTCTCTGTCGTCCGCCTCGCGTGTGAGCAAGTCCAGCAAGAAGAATGTCAAGCGTCCCCCGCCGAAGGAAATGAAGACCAAGGCGCGCACTGAAAAGGAAAACCTGGCCAAGAAGAAGAAGCGTGTCTACACAGAGGCTGAGCTTAACCTGCCCAAGTTAAATACGATCACACCGGTTGGTGTTGTAAAGCCGAAGGGCAAGAAGAAGGGAAAGACCTTTGTGGATGATCAGGTACGCCACCTTTCCCGTCATAAGACCCCAAGATGTTTATGACTAACAATACGTCTTCGTGCTACAGGAGGGTATGATGACAATTCTTGCTATGGTTAACGCTGAGAAAGACGGCCAAATCGAGTCCAAGATGATCAAGGCACGCAAACTGGAAGAGATTCGTGAAGCCAGACAAAAGGAGATGGAGGCCCGACAGGCAGTGAAGAGCAAGAAGTTGGAAGCTGTCAAGGACTCTATTCGCAACGCGAAGAAGGGCAAGGGTATTGAAGAGAAGTCGAGCGAGGCCTCGACATCTGCTAAGGGCGCAAAGTCGTCCAAGCCGAAGCGGAAAAGTGTTTCTTTTGCTTAAGGAAAGTGTTGTCTATACCATTATGTACCTAGACTGGGTTCGGCGTTTGTACGGGGGTTTATCTTTACATCTGTCAGATCCAAAATATTGTGAATAGCGTTAGTCATATTCAAGGAGTTTCTCCGAAGATTGATAAATTCATGTATGCCAATTTCATGGATTAACTATTTTATTTCCCCAAAGATAACTATTCCAATGCATGCTATACTTCAATCTAAAATGTATGCACTCAAATTGTATCCGAAATGCATCTTGATGACCATACGTAGTGCTGCACCTTCACATATTTGCTTACAGCGTCATCTTCATGTCCATCCTCCGACGTAGAACGCTGTACTCGGGCTTTGGCGCCAGGTCTGCATCTTTATCCGAACTGGGAATGCTGGGAATCTTGCCAGGCAACTTCTCTGGGCTCTCAACAACACCGGGAATCTGATGGTCAATTTCCTTTGCCATCATATTTAAGAAGTTGTTCACCTGATTAAATCAGTCAATATGTCTGACTGCACGTGATCGATTCGTTAACTTACTGGTTTAGCGAACCACCGAGATCCACCAATTTCAAACCACCCTAGATGGCCACCCCATGAAGTGGTCACCATGACTCCATATGGTGTTTGAGTCATTTCATGGAATGGCAGTGCCTCGCGTGAAGCAATCTACTTGCCGTTAGCGGGGAACTTCGCAGAAGATAAGTCTTAGAGCTTACAGGATCATCCTCTGCTTGGAGGCACATGAATGGGATGCGAATATTGAGCATCATATCAGTGGATGCAGCGTCACGGTAGTATGCGCCCTCGGTAGGGTAACCCCATGCCGGACATTGCAAGGCCCTGTATAATCGAATAAGAGAGTGGATATCAAGCAAGCGAGATATATACTTACCGGTCAAATTCATGCAAGTAGGTGATGTTCCTCACTGCTTCGACATCGATACGAGGGTTGTGAGAAATTTGATCAACGTGTCTGTTATCTCTTAGTTAATTGGATTCATGTTTGTTGTCCCAAGGGGTGTCTTACCGTTCGAAAAGCGCTTTCATACTGGTACCCATGGTCTTGCTGTACACTTCCCGGCCTATCCAGGTCTGCTGCAGCGTGACTGAACTGACATCCAAGTTCCAGGGACTAGCGCAAATCACAGCTGCCTTGATTTGACAATCCTCCCCTTCCTCTCCGAGATACTATGATAAGTGAATATGAATCCCGCCAAAAATGGCATCTTTTGGTAAATACGTACATTGGCCAGAATATTAGCTCCAAGTGAGAAGCCAATCGCGTAAAGCGGGCGGTTGGGGAAGGTCTTTCGAAGCCATTTCACAGTCTGACGGACATCCCAAGTCGCCCGTGCATTGTATAGAACACCTGTGCTGATCTTAGACTGCGCACAACCTCGTGCGTTCACCACACACGCTTCCCAAGAGCCATCCTCAACAAGGGGGGCCAGAACATGTCGCAAGTATAATTCATGAGAACCACCGCTCAGGCCATGCAGAAGCACAAGCATGGGCTTGGAGTCATCGGAAGGAAGATTCGCGAATTCCGCCTCGGAATAAAAGGATGTACGAGGGGGCAGACCAGAGGGTTGTGTATACTTCCTGTCCTGGTCGGTCAGCTCACCCTCGGGAGGCATGTCATACGGCTTTACGACAAAGTCGATCGCATATTGTCCCATGAGCATCTGGGTATCAGACTCAAACACCTTCCGCTTATAGTACACCGGGACATTGTCATGCTTATACACGGTCCAGCCGGTCTGCAGGTGGCCGTTAAACAAAAACGGATTGAGATGACAGGTGTCCGGAGTCGCGCTTCGGCAGACATCCACCAGGGAGGTCTGTTCTTGGACGCCCGATTTCCCGACTTTGGTCAATAGAAGTTTATTGTCTTTAGCGTGATAGAAAGAGATCCGACCGCTTGGGCGAACCCATGACAAAAGGCCCATCGCTAATAACCCGGATAAGAGAACGGTCAGAGGAAATGACGTGAGGAGCGCTGATGTGAATTCAGACATGAACCACAGAATCAAATGAGAATGCGAAGAGCCTATGCGAATGATCTATGCAAATCTTGATTTTTCTTTTTTTTTTTTTTTTTCTTCTATGGGACTTGGACCTGATAAGAGAGGGACCTCGGCTGAGGGGTTATGCAGCGTCACGGGATATAGTAATGCACAATGAGTCAGCAGCGCAGCCCCAATCGGGTAAGGTACATAGATATGCACGATCATTGTCACGTGATACCCCAACGCGGGTTTGATGGGCCCGCCCCTGATTGGTCAGCAGAGGGTGACGGTGTGCATAGATCGGCACTTCTAGGCGTGGGCGTCATGGGACTGACGACCTGGATCTTCCATCATTTGACAGGGTCACAATTAATTAAGCCAGCTCATGGATGCGAACAACGTTCGCCCTGATTGTAGAGCCCATTCTTCGGCTAAAAATACGAGCGATGATGCGATTATGTCCAAAGCGGCAAAATACTTTCCGCATGCGGCGACCCAGAACAGCTTTCGGAAAATCTCGTGGAGTTCAAACCCCTGGACAATAAGATTGTAAGACATACTCCGGGTTTGTGGATTCAGGAACAAATAGGAAAATAAGGAGAAAAGGGAGGGAAAAAAGGTTTAGGCTGCATCGGGGATCATAAGACAGAGAACGGTGATCTTCCCCGTTCTCACCCCAGCCCTATACTAGGAGTATGTAATGCTGATAACATGGCCCGTAACCTTCTGTGACCCAATCCCATGGTCCGCTTTCGTGCAACTTTATCAGGCTGGAGGCTCCTTTTAAGGTCAACAGATCCACATGCTCTTTTCCTTCTCTTTCTCTTCTGAAGGTGTTGCCTCCTACTCGTCACGCGATACATGTCGTCTTCACCCCAATATGGTACTTCAGTATACTCTGCAGACCCTAGATTCAACATTTTAATCATTCCTCAAATCTCGCATGTGGCCTGGTCATAAAACGATCTTCGAAAGACCTCTTTTCATCAAAAGGCTCTAACCTTGCACTTATTCATGGCGTTAACGTTGTCGTCCTCTGGAATACCAGAACGCTTTCTACGAGCAACAAGCAAGTTCAAAATGATCATGAAGATGAAGGCCTGGCCAGCAACACGCTCACGGAGACAGCAGAAAGAGGATACAGGCCGCTCTTATCTGATGGAACTGCCCACCGAGCTACTACTGGAAATCATCTCACATCTGTCTTTGATACCGGAGGCTGCTTTTGCCTTGACCTGCAAACGCATGTTCGCCATCTCCGGAGAGATTTTATTATCAAAATCTTTACGATTTACTCGTGATTTTGCGCCTCTATTCCACCACTATCGCAACGGACACAACTTTGTTACGCCACGCTGGCAGTTTATGTCCTTGTTGGAAAATTCGCGATGGCGGCTGTGCTCCAAATGCTTGAAGCTACACCCGCGATCCGCATTTTCATCCCGAGAATTAAGGCACAAGCCTGATGACCGCACATGCAACTTGGGCGAGCTAGCGGGGATTGTTGACCTGTGCCCATGCAAGAAGATGACATATCGCGACAAGCTAAAACTTGCGGATGATCTGCAAGTGCGAAAGACCACGCTGGATGCTCTAGGAACCGAATATGGCAGTACGGTCTCAAATCGATATTGCTGGCACAAATGCACCGAGCAGTATGGTCCCACAGGGCTCACGGTGTCGCTATTTCCTGAACTCAATGAGGAGGGTCAACTGGTCGTGCGTACAGAGTACCAGCTCACCACTGAGTCGGGCCAAGTAGGCAAGGAGGAATATATGACCCCTCGATTCGGATGCGCCCACAGATCCGTTGATCTCTGGCTCTCCAGTGTCTATCAAACCACCATTTGCCGACTCTTTGACAATTTCTGCGCCTCCTGTCGACGGATCTCAGTCTGCGCCACCTGCAACACTACACTCACGTGTCATCGAAAACAACCATTTCAAACGGATGTATCTGGCAAGGTCACTTATTCTTTCTACACTGAGAGATCTCTGGGGGGCATTTCAACAACGCCTGATGCAATTTGGGCTGCCCAAAGGATTCATCCAGCCGAGCCGTCAATCAGCGTGGAGAATTGCAATGAGCTCTGTCCCTGGACGGTGCGAGAACACCCGCCTCTCACATTTACACCCAGCATAGATGAAGGAGTCCTCTCACCGGCTACTGATGAGCAGCCTATGGATTCGTTGTATTCGTCGATCCGCATGTTATAAAGCATTTTTGGTTATCGCGTCAGGACGTGGAGCATCGCAGAATTTTGAAGCGTTGGTTTTTTCTTTGTTGTTCTTTCATACTATGTGTCATGGCGTCATTGGGCAGTATTTGGATCTAGGATATAATTGTTTCCTCTTTTATGTATAGTAGTAGTATAGAAACAAGTGAAAGATATTAATCTCGGAATATTTGGAGCAAAACCGTATAGTAAATTGGTATCGCAACGCTTATCAGCTGACCGCCGCGAGTTTCTCCGCCCCGACGCGGAAAGCGGCAGTGAATTACCATCCCGCGCGTTTGGAACATCGGACAGCTTCACTTGGTGACAGCGTAAATCGGGGCGATGAGCTTTCCACCTCCCAATTCCGGACAATATCCGTACATCCCTCATCCGCAGTACCAGTCCGGCCACGTGCCCCCGCCGCAGTTGATATACAACAATGTTGCGGCCCCTTCGCCATCGCCATATAATAATGGCTATGGCAAGCCGCCAGTCTACCCACCAGGCATGATGCCGTATCCTTCTGCATACCAGGATTTTCTTCAGCAACATCAGCCACAGCAGCACATGCAGCCGCCGCATTTACAGCAATCCCCTCTCATTCACCAACAACAGCAAATACAGCCTCAACCCCAACAACGAATCTCTCAGCCGCATCAGCAGCAACAATCCCCTCGCCATCGGCCGCAGCAGTCTTTACTTCCTCATACCCAACCGCAATCACCTATGGTATCCCATGCGCAACATCAGTCCTCTCGTCCACTTCCGCAGCAGTCTTACATTCAGCCCCATCAATCCCCGATACTTCAACAACCTCGACAGCTGCATTCGCCACGACAGCAGCAGCAACACTCTTACATTCAGCCACGTCAATCCCCAATCCTTCCACAATCGAAACCCCTACAATCTCCACGACAGCAGCAGCAGCAGCAGCAGCCTTACATTCAACCACGTCAGTCTCCGATCATCCAAAAAACCGAACAACTGCAATCTCCTCGCCCGAGGCCACCAAAGTCTCCCGTTCAAAAGCCCCAACGGCAGCAGAGCATATCACGCCCGGCTCCTCCTAAACCGCCACCTGTGAAACATTCTCCGGTTCAGCAACCTCGCGTACAGCAACCCCAGGTACAGCAACCCCAGGTACAGCAACCCCAGGTACAGCAACCACAGGTGCAGCAGTCTCTGGCGCAGCAGCCACAAGTACAGCAGCCACAAGTGCAACAGTCCCAGGTCCAGCAGCCACAAATGCAGCCTCAAATTCAGCAATCTCATGTGCAACAAACTCAGGTCCAGCAGCCACAAGTTCAGCAATCTCATGTGCATCAAACTCAGGTCCAGCAGTCTCATGTCCAGCAACCTCCATCTCTACCGCCAAGTGAGCTTGAACATCAGTTTGTCAACCCGGCCAATTTGTTTGTCGAGCCACCTCTCCCTACTGCCCCGCGGTCTTGGTACACATCATCTTCCCAATATGTTGACCCAAGCGCCCTGACGTCTTCCTCTACGGTTGACATACCTTTGATCCCTCTACCCACTACTTCTTCGCCATCTCTCCCTCAAGCACCTCTGTCTCAAAGTGCTCCGGTTACTCAAAGTGCTCCGATAACTCAAAGTGCTCCGATAACTCAAAGTGCTCCGATAACTCAAAGTGCTCCGATACCTGAAAGTGCTTCGATACCTCAAAGTGCCCCGGTAGCTCAAAGTGCTCCACCAGCAATTGCTTCGAGTAATTCCCAACCGACCCAAGAACAGCCGAGCTTCCAGGTTTCCCAACCATTGAAAGCTGAGAAATTTTCACCACCTACTGCAAAGCAAACACCTGCCGCAAAACAAACCCCTGCTACAAAACAAACCTCTACTCCAAACCCACCATCAACGCCAAAAGTGCCCGCCCCATCTGAACTGCCTCATCCCAAACCTACCCCCTTGTCTGCTGTCCATGCGATCCCACAAGTATTGGTTCCAGCACCTTCCCCGGATTTCATGCAAAAGCAGCAGCCCCAGAAAACTCCGCAACAGAAAAAGCAGACTTCTCAAAAGGCCAGTGATAAGATAATGAAGTCTAATAAGCCCCCAGTTGACTATCAAGTCTTGCTTCTATCGCTGGCCGATGAATATCTTAATGCCGCTCACCGTCAGGGGACGCAAACCGCGCTGATATCTCACCCTGCGGATGTGGAGGAGTACTACAAGCTGGTTGCAACAGGGCTTGGATGCTTAGAAGCTGTGTTGAAGGTTGGTTTTTCTCCATTTTATTGTGTTTTCATTCGTCAATTGACCGTATCAACAGAATTGGAGATTGGCACCTCGCAAAGAAGCCCTAGTGCGACTTCGCTATGCGCGCACGCTGTTCGAGGAGACAGATAATGACATTGAAGCGGAGACAGCTCTGAGTAAGGGTATTGACCTTTGTGAGCGGGTAAGTGGAATTGTCCCGTTCTGTTTTCTGCTCTGTATTGACTGTTGCAGAACCGCATGCTGGACTTGAAATATAGTATGCAGCATCTTTTAGCACGCATGCTCCACAAGACCAACCCCAAAGCTTCCCTCAAAGCTGTCGATGGCATGATTCAAGATGTCGAGGCGTAAGTCGCCTAGCAACCTGCACTTAGGATTGATTTTAACGTATGCAGATACCGCCATGCGGCCTGGGAATATGCATTTCGATTCCTTCGAGTCTCGTTATCGCTATCTTCTCCATCTCATCAGGACTCTGTTCAGGCTCTCCACCACCTGAACAAGATTTCAACCATGGCCAGTCGTAACGGAGACAAGGCTGTCTCGGCCATGGCGGCCGTCATCGAAGCTCTGGCACATCTGCAACAAGGGAATAGCTCTGATTCTATTGAGCAGGCGCAACGTGCAGTAGCCATTGCGCGAAGCCACCAATTAAATGACGAGCTCCGTCATATCCCTCAGCTTGTCACTTTGATCCAGATGGTCGATATCTGTTGCAGCATTCTTGAATACGACGTCAATCAGTCCGCCCAAAAGCTCAAGGTCATGCAAGCCTTGGTAGATGAGACACTGAGTAATTCTAACTGGCGAAGCGATGGCTCATTTTCTGTTCCACTGAATGGCAAGTCTGCCGGTCCATCTTCTATTGACACTGGAGACATACTTCAGGTCGAAAACGGCACTCTGCTTCTGAGTTTCAATTGGCTTCCTCAACATGATCTCTATGCATTGTCTTATTTTCTAAGCTCGATCACGTTGAGCGCAAAAAATTCCTATGATGGTCGCAAAGCTGAAAAGTATCTCGATGAAGGGCTTCGAATGATTCAAGGTACGAGTCCTCATTTTGAAACACCGGTTTAGCCTTCGACGCGACGGCCTAACTTTTTTGCAGGATCTTTTACCGCTCCACAAGAAATCCCGGAGTCCATGGTGAACGCAGCACGACGTGTCGAATGGCGCCGATCTCTGTACTGTAATTTCCTCTTGCAGCGTGTTTTCTTGTCGTGCTCTCGAACCGACTGGGATATGGCCAATACATCCCTTAAGGAACTACGCCAGGTCGTTCAAGAAATCGGATCCGGTATTACCAAGCCTATCGAGTGTTTGATGGAATATGCTGCTGGCACCATTGCTCAAGCTACGGGAGATCTCGTGAGCGCCTTCAACATCTTTCAATCGCCTCTATTGTCACTGTCGTCTTCAGCTAGCAAGACGACACGCAATGACCCTTGTCGTGATACATCTATTCTTGCCGCACTCAACACCGTCCTACTTATTCGCGATCCTGCACACCCGTCGCACTCTCATCTTCCGACTGTGATGGCTACTCTCGAACATTTCTGTTCTACCAGTCCAAACAAGTACATCCAAGCAGCCTATTTCCTAGTCTGCGCCACTGTCCAAACTGAGTCGACCATCCAAACCAAGCAATATCTTCAGCAAGCACTGCAGTCTGCCACAGCTATCAGCAACAGTCAAATTACCTGCATGACTCTCACTTTCATGAGCTGGAAGTACTTCCGCGGAGTGGTTGGTGAACAAGCTGAAAAGAGTGCGCGGGCTGGTCGAGCTATGGCTAAGAGAGCCAATGATCGTCTTTGGGCTAGTGTAACTGATGAGATGCTGGCGGACACCCTTGAGCGCCAGGGTAAAGCCGATGAAGCTCAAGGTGTACGTGAGGAGGGCCAGCGACTTATTATGGGACTCCCACCGGGCTTGAAACGACCAGCTTAAATTTATCGATGCATTGGCTATTAATGTCCGACGCTAATTGCGTTATCAGTGATGATGCTCGTTTTATTTTACTTTTTTTTTTTCCTCTTTTTCCACTTATGATTTCCTTGGACAGGCACCTCGTTTATGATACCATTCCATAAATAATGGACAAGGCGTTACTATTATTTGGATTCTCTTTAGCGTGATGACTGCATGGCGTATGATTTCTTTCTTGCATCAGCTTAAAAAATAGCTCTTCATACAATATGAGGTATAATACCCAGACTCGGATCTTTATAAGCCAAAAAGAAAAAGAAATCAATAAAATAGATCGGAATGATAGAGTCTGTCCAATCACTGATGACTGCCGACCCAGGTGTGATCATTCCTGCACCTTGCTATCTATAAAGGCAACCAATAAGCCCAACATCCATGCTAATGTACAAACTCCCTGGTATAATCGAATCCAACAAGATAGCGCGGGGCGTCAAGGAGAACAGCTTGATGCAACTCACTCGCGTCAGAAACAAGACATTGAAAAAACAAGAGAATAAAAGAAATGGAAGCAAATAGAGCCCCTGCTCAACACCATAACCATAATACGCCAACAGATCACTAGAATCCGGAGCTCGAGTCCCGAATATCCGGTCCTCAGCCTCTGCGAAAGCCCACAATAAAGATAAGATTAAAGCACCGCGAAAGAATTCCCGCATTGAGGAATTGAACGATAACAGTCACTTTTGTGTGACTGATCGATCGATCGATCGATAGAAAAGCAAGATAAAGAAGAAAGGAAAAGGAGACGGACATTAGCCGAGACCAGCCCAAACTCCCCGAATCCTGCGCGCAAGCTGAATGTCCTTTTGCATAATGGTAACTCGTTTCGCATGCAGCGCGCAAAGGTTGGTATCCTCGAACAAATGTACGAGGAAAGCTTCCGCAGCCTCCTGCAATGCCTGGATAGCCATGGATTGCCAGCGCAACGTGGCGCCCACCTCTGCGGGGAGGAGGTCAAGTGCGACTTCGCGAACGAGACGTGCGAATGGAAGCTTAGCGATGAGGAGGTCGTAGGAGCGTTGATAGCGGCGAATTTCCTTCAATGCGACGGTGCCGGGCTTGTATCGGCGACGACGGCCTGTGGGTGTCGGATCACCGGCTGTGATTTTTTTTTTTTGGTAAGTCTAAACTCTGGTTCATGGAGATTTGATTGAGATCAAGCGGGGTTGTGGATGTATGTTGTGTGCTTGGTTGTTTGCAACGTACGTTGGACATTGGATGTTCGCTTTGCTTTAACTTTTGTCACTTTTATGCCAGCTGTTGACTTGCGCGCTGCGCTTGGGGATGCTTCGGCTGGTCCTGCGGCTGGTTCGGTTGGTGCGCTCTTACGAGGTCTTCCGGGGCTCTTTGCAGGGCTCCCGGGAACTAATCGTTTGGCTGATTTTGTGGGCATTCTGGGTGATTTAGTGGTGATGAGCGGACAATTGGTGTTTTAGCGGGGTGGATCTGGTGGTTTGAGCGATTGATTTCTCCCGCTTATGGGGGTCACGCGTCGAGGAATGAGGGATCCCTTGCAGGGGTGTGATCGAGGAGATTATGAGGAATACTAGATGAATTAAAGTATTCGACAGGGATCGATAAGATTGAAGAGGCTCGAAAGGAAAGAGAGAAAAAAAAAAAAAAAAAAAAGTCATAGAAATCACCAGCGATATTGAAGGGGCTGGGAAGGTCAATATGAACTAATTGGTCTTAGCTCTCTACAACGGTGATCGGAACGTGACATCTACGCGCGCGCGTCACCGGTCACGTGCACCGATAAGCTTCACCCTATCGTCAGCTCATAAGGTTATCAACTTCCACTTGTCCTTACCCCATCTGTTACACCTACATTCGAAATTATGGCTGCACTGTGGGAGAACAACGGGCAGATGGGCCAGTTTCCACTGGAGCAGTGGTTCTACGAGATGCCACCTGTCACCCGATGGTGGACAGTTGCCACCGTGGCAACCTCGGTGCTCGTGCAGTGTCATATCGTCACCCCATTCCAGCTATTCTATAGCTTCCGCGCTGTCTATGTTAAATCACAGTACTGGCGCCTCGTAACAACATTTCTCTATTTTGGTCCGCTCAATCTCGATCTTCTATTCCATGTTTTCTTCCTCCAACGATACTCGCGCCTGCTGGAGGAATCCTCTGGCCGCTCCCCGGCGCATTTCGCCTGGCTCATCTTCTACGCCATGTCCTCGCTCCTAGTCATCTCGCCTTTCCTATCATTGCCATTCCTTGGTACCGCCCTTTCGTCGAGCCTTGTCTACATCTGGGCCCGTCGCAATCCGGAGACTCGGTTGAGCTTCTTGGGCCTGCTGGTCTTTACAGCTCCTTACCTCCCGTGGGTCCTCATGGGCTTCAGTTTGATCGTGCATCGCATTGTTCCCAAGGATGAGATGTGTGGCATTGTGGTCGGTCATGTCTGGTACTTCTTCAATGATGTCTACCCAACGCTTCATGGTGGCCACCGGCCTCTTGATCCGCCCATGTGGTGGCGTCGTCTCTTTGAGCAGGTTGTGGACCGACCGACCGATGCCACGAATGTAAACCACGAGTTTGCGGCGGCGGCGGCGCCTGAGGTGCGATAAAATTGCTGTGGTCTCTGGATCCCTGTGTTCTGGACCGTTGAGTTTTCGTATGGTCAATGGAATGAAACTCAACTTGCTCCAAATGACATGGCAAGGGATGGCGGTATAGTCTAGTCGAAAAATCACCACGTCGCTCTAGTGACTACCGAACATGCTGTCTCCGTTTGGCACGAATGGTTGCGACCATGGAATCGAACAAGGGCCGGGCCCTGCATTTTGTTTCCGGGACTAAGTACTCATCATGTCCCGTACGGCGACATGGAGCGAGATCGACTGGTCAACAGCACGGAGTTGCTTATGTTCATGCTGTACCATGGCATATTCAAAAGAACCATCGCGAAGTTGTCGAGGTGGAGGTTTGCATCATTTCTTAGCGTTACATAGCGATAGATACCCGAACGTCTTGTGAAGATTCAATTGGAATTGAAAGTAAAATACAAATGGCCAATTGCATCTGCGACGTCATAATAAGAAAGCGTAGGCAGGCAATACATTGCAAGTCCCTTGCCGGGGTAATTCATTCCTCTTTGGGTAACTTCGATGTACAACCAGGGTAGAACTCCTGGCCTCACAGCCCCATTCCCCGCCCCCAACAGACAGATCGGCTGTCTATGCAGGCGATACTGGAGACGGTAATGTTAGGCCGCCACATCTACATTCTGGACCCCCTGCCCCAGCGCAATTGGGGGCCTGGTGCTAAAATGGCGTCGAATAGTAGAAGAAGCCAGGTTAGGGCTGATAAGGGTCCTATCAAAGATTTGGCATGTGCGTGTACAGGCCTCAAATTACCCCCTCCCCCGCCCCTACAAGTAAACTATCGCAACTACCGTGGCACCTCCACAAAAAGAAAAATGCGTGGCCGATCCGCATCTGCGTACAATGGCGATGTACGTCATGCTCATCAAAATACGCCGATCGGTACCGTTTTAGGCGACAAACCGTAGGTCTGGAGAAAAGCACGGATAAAATCATAATTCATTCTCACTGTGGAAAAAGATAAACGACAAAAGATGAGTAAAATATAACCAATCAAACCCCAGATCGAATCGAATCAGGCGAAGCGGTAAACGGAATCCCGTTAGCCCGATCAAGTCAAGTGGGTATGGGATTCGTTATCACGAAGTCCGCCAAAAGATAGGGAATGAGAATGCCTGAACCTGACTGGAGCGAACCGTGGGTTTCACCGTCGCCAAGTGGGCTAGGAACGGAATCCAGCTGGCTGCCTGAGGCAACCCGTTTCCACGTCCCAGAGTCGTCGCGCCCACGCCTATTTGGGGCAGTTTTTGGCGGGTCATTAACTACCGTCCGTAAAGGGCTTAGCGGTGGGGTGCAGATGAGCCACTGCCTGACTAAGCGGTCTCCACCATGTGGGTTGGCGTGGAGTTTGGTCCTCCCCAGATACGAGTACGCTTGTTGGGTTTTTTTGGGAAATGCAAATTAAATTCCCTTCTGCGTCTCTCGGCACTAGTTTTAACTAGTTTGTCACCCCCCACTGTCCATTAGGGAAGAAGTTACGATTACGGTAAGTGGGCTGTGAGGGAGAGATAAATTATAAATAGCGCAAGATGATTTGTCTCGTGCATGTTGGCGTTTGAACTAAGTCTGGATATGGTTGGGGGCGAATCTGCAATCAGCAACGGCAATCTCCTACGGGGTTCCTACGGCCGAACGACCTCGTGGCAGTTTGACGCAATCTACACGTCGCTAAGTTGGGTTTCGAGGCAAATTCTTACGCTTGTGTCTAGGCTATGGAGGCTAAGCACTTGGCGAGCCTCGGCATTGATACGTCTGCAGTACGGTACAGTCATGGGGAACCAGCTTGGTTGACCCCCTCGACGACCATCTCCCACAAAGGATCCATACACACAAAGAATGCATAGAGGCATCAGAGGCTTGCGACCAAAGGAGGATGCTCGTATACAAGGCAACAAGTTAAAACAGTCAAGCCACTCCACTAAAAAGTTTGCGTAATCCAGGAGACCAAATGGGCGAGTAAGAAAGGACGATGGGACCAAATTGCCCCCACCCGTACTCCGACTCCACCAATCCAGGTACTGGAAAGCTTAACGCGCGGCGAGACTTGACCGGTTTTGGTAATAATCGGTAATAAACTTACATGGTGCAGTGGAACCCTTCAACTCCAGCCACAGGCTTAAAAGCGTAACGGAGAACTTCGCCCCCTTTCTGTACTGGTACCATGCTCGTCCCCTGGTACTTGCTTTTGCCCTCATTCCCTCAACAACACTCCTTTTCTATTTTAGCTTTGGTTCTTCCCCACCCGTCACTCCTTATTATCGTCCTTTTTCTCCTCACATTTCCCGCGTGGTCTCAACCTCTTTTTCTTCCACGCAATTGTCGCCAATCCCGTTCATGACCCACTAAAAGACGACCACCTCCTCCTCCCTTCGCGGCGCCTTGGGACCTCCTCCAGTGGTTCTGCTCTCTTCGCAGCCTCGGCGCGCCCTGAGACGTTCCATACGACCACGACCTTTTTTAACGACCCCGAATTCTTGAGCAATTTATATTTTGTCGCCTTTGCACTCCTTGCTAAACGGACGTTGGATTCCGTCTCACCTTTCACCATGCGGCGCGGACTTTTGATCTTTATTCTGGTCAACCTCCTTATTCTATCCCTTTTAATACGCAGCGTCTCGACGCTTTTGTCGCTTCTAGTTGAGGATGCCGCTGCAGACGCCATTCACCGTTCGGAGCTGCCGTCGCCCAATTCCAGTTTGATCGAAACGCGCCCTCAGATCATCCCCAAGATCATTCACCAGACCTACAAGAACGAGACCATTCCTGAGGTCTGGCTTGAGGCTCAGAAGAGCTGCATTGATCTGCACCCAGATTACGAGTATATTGTACGTTTCTTCGCATTGGAAATCACAGACAAAGAGATCGGGGTGCTAACAATGACTTCAGCTCTGGACCAACGAGAAGTCGCGCGATTTCATCGCTGCTGAATACCCCTGGTTCTTGGATACCTTCGACGGCTACAAGTACCCCATTCAGCGTGCGGATTCCATTCGTTACTTTGTTCTGGCGCACTATGGTGGCACATACATCGATTTGGACGACGTACGTGTCTCCAACAATGAGATCTGCAGAAATGGGTTCAATGGGTACTAACTTTTATTAGGGTTGCAACCGTCGTCTCGACCCCTTGCTCGCCTACCCTGCTTGGGTGCGCCGCACCGTGCCTACTGGTATCTCCAACGATGCGATGGGCTCTGTGCCTCAACACCCATTCTTCCTCCGCACGATTGAGTTGTTGCAACAGTACGACCGCAGCTGGCTGCTCCCCTACGTGACGGTCATGTACACAACCGGCCCGCTTTTCTTGTCAGTGATCTGGAAAGAGTACATGCAAGAGAAGCCTAGCGAGTCAGCGCGTGTGCGCATTCTGATGCAGGATGAGTACAATCGCTTCTCCTGGAGCTTCTTCACCCATCACACGGGAAACAGCTGGCACGGAAAGGACGCGCGCTTTATCTTCTGGGTACGTGACATGAATGAACCCCCCAAATTACGAAAGCATTGCTAACTTTACTTTAGATGGGTCAACATTGGGTGTTCCTGACCATCATGGGCTTCGCTCTGGCAGGTGTTGTCGGAATCTGCCTCTGGTGGACCTACGGCCGTGTGGTGCTCCTGGGAGCCCAGTATCGTTACCGCTACACCAAGTTGCCCTCGATCATCAGCCCGTCCCGTCCATCCTCTTCGCCCACCCGGCGTGCGCGACGCATGATGCCCACCCTGCTCCGGCGGGTCAGTTTCAAGGAAGACGAAGAATCGGCCGGGGTCACAGAGACCTCATACGAGCTTGGTCGTCGTGACGACTGAAAAGATTCGATCTCCATCCTTTTCCTTTTGTATTTGTTGTGTATCGATACGGCCTTGGACACGATCTGCATCAGCATTTATTGTACAACTTTTATTTTTATTTTCGTTTGAGAGCGCATGCATGGTGATCTCAATTCCGTGGCGGGAACCGGGGTTGACGCTTTCACCTGGAGCACATTTTGGGTCTTCTATCTTTATTTACTGCTGGAGATGGGCGACCGTTCTTTTCCCGGTTGCTCTGGGCTTCTGCTTTTTTTCTTTTCTGTCCCCTATTTACCCTTATCAATTTGTAAACAAAGCTAGATTACGATTCGTGGGATCGGAGGACTTGGAATATTTCTGATCTTTGCATAGATCGGATATCTCTGGGGATTAATGAATATGAATGGCTCCTAGCAGAGCCTGTTTCAGCTGAAAACGATGCATGGTCTTTTATTTAGTTTAAAGTTCGCGTACATAAAGCTAATTAAACTTTTAGATATATGGTGAAATAAGAACAGATGCTCCCCGGACGCCACTACTACTATTGAATTGTGGCTTCAATATGTCTTTACAGACATGTGAAGACGCGGGGGTGAATCTTGCGGTCAAAAGGGCGTATTGAAATGGACTGCAATCGATACCTAAATTTCCCCGGATGCCGATCGCAGACCCTTGTCGTCAATCTGATACGCTACCCGCAAACCCTAGTTTCAGACCCTGAAACTTGTTCCTCATACAATGTGTTGTATGGTTAAAGCAGAATATGGCTTGAACCAGAATAGTATACTAGGTATTCATAGACAATTATTTTCAGTAGACTTTAGGGCCAGGTTTCAGTTTTGAGACGCTGGTCCTATCACGAAGCACATATTCCGCGTCTGGCATTCTCCGCGAAAATCCCTGGCACGCTTCTTTGTAGCCTCCACTACGCATCATTGAGCATTTCCCAGCGGAATTTATGGTCCTGACCTGATTTCCCGCCTCCTTCCCACCCCGTTCAGATATGCCAGGGAGTCCTTATAACCCTTCTTTTCACCATGACTCTTTCACCATCTTCAATAGTGACTATTATTCCGGCAAACTTCAGATATTTCCCAGATATACTTGTCCGTTCCACCTATACCTAACTATCAGACCATATATACAATCTATATCAACATGTGGTCCATCGCCCTTACAACAACCATCTTCCTCACTCTTTCAGCCGCATCCCCAATCAAAAAGCTCTCCCACCACAAACAAGACACAGCCCTAACTGAAGCCCAAATTATCGAGATCGCACCCACATCCAAAACATGCGATAATCCACCCGCCGAAGGCGAATGCGCCACCGCCGAACAAGCGGCCAAGTTTGCCTCGCAATCTTTCGATAATTACCAGGTGACCTCCAAAGCGGAGCAGGCCGCTATCCTCAGTCTGATGGCATTTGAGACCGATGATTTCAAGTATAATAAGAATCATTTCCCTGGGGTGCCGGGACAGGGTAGTAAGTTGTTCTTTCATCTCAAGTTATCTGTTGTGCTATTACAGACATTAATCTAATACCTTTATAGCTCGCAACATGCAATCTCCTGACTACAATAAAAAATACGCCAACTCTATCTCTGCGCTGAAGGACAAGGTTGCAGAAGTCTCGAATAGTCCTGCTGATCTATTGGATCTGCTTCGTGAGGATGAGACTTATGACTTTGGGTCTGGGGCTTGGTTCCTTACTACGCAATGCTCGGAGGATGTGCGGTCTGCGTTGCAGGCTGGTGATGAGAGTGGATGGAAGAAGTATATTAGTGAATGTGTGGGGACTACGGTTACCGATGAGAGGAAGGAGTACTGGCAGAGGGCTGTAAAGACTCTTGGTGTGACAGACAACTAAGTTGATCCTTGGCTGGGGGCTTGTTGACGGTTTTTTGCTTTCAGGGTGGAAGGTCTTTATGGCGATTTGGTTCTGGTGTTAAGCCCTGAAAGCTCATGAATTTAGTGACATTTTTAACGGGAATCCGAATATGATTATACTTTGATTTACATCAATTTGGAATATGAATGCTTTCCAATAATCCAGTTGCCAAGTATACAATCGACATAAATCATCATAAATAATCTGGTATATCATTGCACCATAACCTCATCTATGTCAACTTTTTCGAACATGAAAATATTTACAACACTCCACTAAAGCGCTTAGAGCACACCCTTGGTGCTAACAATATCACCCGCACCCACCTCACCAGCAACCCTCCGGGTACAGGCAATCCGCATAGCAACGGCCAACGCCTTGAAGGCAGCCTCGGCCCGGTGGTGATCGTTATCTCCGTAGGTGCAGCCAATGTGAAGAGTCACATCAGCAGCCTGAGCGAAACTCTGCAGGCCGTGTGTGATCATCTCAGTGCTCAAATCGCCAATCTTCTCGCGCTTGAAGCCGAGATTGATCACGGCCCATGGGCGGCTGGAAAGATCAATGACAGCCCACGAGAGAGCCTCGTCGAGGGGAGCATCACCACGACCGAATCGGGTGAGCGATTGGCGGGGACCGAGGGCTTTGGTGAACGCTGTGCCGAGGGCGAGGAAGGTGTCTTCTGTGGTGTGGTGGTCATCGACTATAAAATGTTGTCAGTAAACTGTTGTGAGACTCTCGGGATCAATGCATTCGCTACTGAACCCATATCTCACAGGCTTCAACCTACTGTAAAGATCGCCCTTGGCCCGCACGGCTAAACTCCATCCCGAGTGCTTTGCGAGCGCATGCAACATGTGGTCCAGGAACCCAATTCCGGTAGTGATAGTGATCTGCTGTGTCGGGGTGAACTGGGTGGCATGGCTAGAGCCCTTCTCGGGTACAATGCCCTTCTTAGCTGCCTCAGCTTCTTTTGGGTCTTCCGGTGCGGCGAAGTGGGTGGAAGGTTCGTAGGGTGGGAGGACACCGCCATCCAGAGAAATTGAGACCTGGATTTTGGTCTCATTGGTGACCCGGGAAACGACGGCGGTACGAGCAGACAGAGACATTTTGGGCGAATTGGAATTAAAAGTGGTAATAAAGGTGTTAAGGTATTGCGGGCCCGGGGTTTGAGTCAAAGGGATAATCCGATTTCTGCTTTATCTGAGTCGCTATCGGGAGAAAGGTTGATCCGTTGGCGTCACTTCGGGGATTCGGGGTTTGAATAATGGCTCTTCAGCACTGGCTGGTCCAGAAGTGAGATTTGTACAATTGCTTTGGTGCCAGCTCTTGTTAATTGATTACCTCTGGCCAGTTTGCCTATTGCTTGGAGCTTCTTCGGAGTATCAGTCCAGTATTCCATGCTCTTCCCCTCCAGTTCCCCACTTCCGGAGCTCAACATCGATAAGGCCCATCATCTGGTCTTAATTGAAAACGCCTTGCGTTCATTGATATTGGCATAAACTCAATTGCAGCCATCATGCCAGCTCCATCAAATCAGCGAGCTGACATTGATCCCCCGGAGGAGATTACTTCCGTGGCGGTCCAAGGGTTTATGACGGGTGTTTTTCGCGTATGTACTGAGCTTTCGATGCTCGGAAACCCCAGCCACTAATGCTAATATTCATTTTGCTCCTTCCACAGTTCGGGTCTGTTTCCATTCTTGCTCATATGATCCTCAACCTCCCACACCCGTTCATCTTCTCTGCGCCCTCTCCACCAGCTACACAAGACCAACCCCGTCCCCGCCAATCTCCTTTCTCCCGGGAATATCTCCGGTCACGACTTCTACACCGACCAATCGAAGGCTTTTCAGAATGGATCTCACCGACCGCCCGTGTCTACCGGGGTCTCACACCGCAATTCAAGGTTTTTCTGCAGATGGCGGTCATGACTCTTGGTGGCTACATCTGGGCTGAGCGACGAGTGGCCGAGTATATTGATCTGATTCGGCAGATTAAACGGGCTGAGAGACGAGAGGCGGAGCGGGCATCAGGCACACGTCCATAAATGTAAAAGTTGCATGACACCCGAGGGTTTTGCTTTTGGATGGATCACCCGCTGCCTCGTCTGCAGTGCAATTCGCCAACACGGCTTGAGATAAGCAGGGACTTTACGGTGACCTTTGCTGTTCTTTGCTGCTTTGACTTTCATCAGGCACCAACAACTCTATGACGCATTCCCGGGAGTGTTGACTGGGCTTAAGTGGGTTAACACTGGACCTCAATTCCCTTTCTTCCTGGAGGAGTCGAGCTTTCTCCGGTGGCGTTGTCGATCTTATTGGGATCACCCTTGGTCTGTATTTTATTATGATTATTATTTCCCGTGTGGATTCCCCGACGTCAACATTACCCCTGGAGCATCAAGGCGCGTGGAGCGCGCGAGTGGTCGATCATGGAGATGTGGGGACGGAAGATCCGTCGACTCCAGCGCATCAGATAGATCTTCTTCCCCCTGAGAACCTACCGGGGCTGTACAGTATAGTTATTGTAGATATGAAGCTGAAGCAGTTCCGAGAGACGTACGCTACTGTCGGTAGTGCCTCCAGATCCCTGTCATAGTGGGCTGCACTGTCGCCTTGTTCACCTTAGCGGACGCATTACCCTGGATAAGTGGAGCACGCCTCTTACGTGGCCGGGTGAATGCGATCGCTCTTCCATTCGCAGATTGCAGGTTGCATCGCAACTGTATGTCTCAAAAGGTGGTGGCTTAAGACGCGCAACTGTTTATATAAATATCTTTTCTACTCAAAACTCCATTCCGTCTACCGAAAGTTCACTTTGTTGAAAATTCTAGAAGTTTAGAATCGAAGTCACCGTTGAAATAGAAACAGATCGAATCTCCAATCGAACTGAACGGCGGAAAGCGAAGTCCAAAAAAGTAAAATTGAAGCCCCAAAAACCTGAAACATCTGTTGATGCTCACTGGAACTGCATCCGGCCATTCCTCACCTCTGGACTTTCCCCTTTTCTTTCTCCCTAGGTCGATCGAGAATCCATCTCTTGGTCTCCACCGCTGCTCCTGTCATTCGTTGGATTCATTAGATTGAATCGCTTTTCCCTTTTCTTGACTGTTTGCGTTTGGGCCCCTTCTTCCACTTCAAACCTTGAAATCCAGTTCAAGGCCTCTTTTTCTTTTGATCCCACAGGATCGGCACATCTGACCTCATTACCCCGGAGGAACAACCTGCTCTATCGGATTGATCAATTGATCACCATTTGATAAGGCCACTCGGACGCCGTTTTTGGCTGGAGTGTTTTGACCATAGCTCCGGATTCCCCCCTTCCGGCGACCTTCTCCGGTGCAACCATCTCTCGCCACATTATTGACAGCTGCCACTGGGGACTGGTACCCTAGTTTTAGAAAAGTTTCCGGATCCGCTTTGAGGTCTTGCTGCTCTCCTTAGCATCTTGCATATCAATTGCTTCCCATGGCGCCGTAAAGATCCATTGTACGTTGCGCCCGTCTCCCCGCTTTTCCCAACCGTCACGAACTGCTCGGGGCTCGCTACCGTTTACGTCTCGAGCGAAATCCTCCCCCACCTCGAGCAGAACCTCAGGTCCTGGGTACTAATGTCGTCGCCAATGTGAAGGACGAGGGTCGTCGATGAGATAAACTACTTTCTCTCCACCTTTGCGCCACTCCCGATTGCATCTCTCTTCACGCCGTGAACTCAATTCTCCATCACTCCCAGTCATGGCAGAATTCCTGGGCAAGAAACAGCGAAGAAAAAGCTTCAGCGTGTTCAGTCCTTCTTCCACAGCCCCCTCGTCGCAGCCTCGGCCTCCTCACAGTCGAACACCCTCAGATGACACCCTGACCAGAGATAAGAAAGCCCGCCGCAATTCTGGGTTCTTTGGCCGGCCCCAGAGCCCCAGCAGGAAAGCCAACGGCCCCAATGTACTTCGTCGCCCAGGGACGGCTGCCGCAGAAGTCGCTGCCTGGTCTGCAGCCATGTCCTCCACACCCACCTTGGAGATCCCTCATCCTCGTCGAAAGTCATTACAGAAGAAACGAACGTCGGTCTTTGGCTCGTTAAAGTCGCTGCACTCGTTGGACGACGATGATCCACTTAGCGCATCCGTCGGCTCGGTGGACGAGCATAACACCACCAGTCCCCGGAATACGATTTGGTCTTCAGCAATCCTCCACTATGGTGAAATCCAAACCACCGGTGGTATGTGGAAGCGGAAAAGCCAGTACCTTGTGCTAACTGACACGCATCTGGTACGCTTTAAGAACCAGAGCAAGGCCGCGGAGACTTTTCCCTCAATTCCACCTTCTTATAATTCCCGTGCTCCGGCGTCGCACCGCCAGTCTGTGGCCTCGATCAGTTCATTGCAGGACATGCAACTGATGGTCTCGACCGAATCATCAGCCGGTATTCCACTGAATAGTATTATTGCAGTCTACATGCTCGAAGATGCACGGCTGTCTCCCACGGTTGAGGTGGCCTACTTGGATGAGCGCACGCACAAAGCATCTTTGATTCAAATGCAAACCCCTGATCAACAGGAATTGAATCTCTGGATGGTGGGTATTCGTCAGGCCGCGCAGTTAACACGATTGAACGACCCACTGCCGTTCGATCGTGGTGCGGTAGAGTATGTAACCAGGATGTTGGAACACGAACGAGATTACGATCCGGACACCTTCCGAATGTTCCGCGTGATACAGATCGCGTCAAGCAAATCGCCCACTCGTTCATCCTCGGAGGACCTGACCAAACTGTCTCCAACGGGCTGTTACCTCGTGATTGGGCTACATAAGGCCCATCTCATTCCCATGCAAAAAGCTGCCAATCGGTCCTCGGTCGTATCCTTATCGGACATGGACACAGTCACGTCTTTTGGCCTAATGAACTTAACTAGCTTATCTATGGAATACGGAGATGATAGTTTACATTTGACTTTCCGGTAAGGACTCAAAGTTGCTTGTGGTGTACAAGAAACTCGCTTACATTAACCAGGGTCCCCTTGCGGAAGTCATTCAATGTGTTCTTGGCTTCCGTGCATTCCGTGGAAGTTGCTTGCTGGATCCGGCAACATACAGAGTTCCTGCGCCCGCTGTGGACAAGGCAACCGTACGACTTCGTTGTCCCACCTGATTTGCACAATGCCGAAAACTTCCCTCCAGTTGCTCTAGACGAAGACTATGGCTGCTTTGATCGAACGTTAGTTGCCTATTCCGCCAGCTACGATGTCGATACTTCCAATATTCGCTATACGATCGACTTGGCATGCGAGGATGCTCCTTGCTTCCGTCTTCTCCGGTCAGCCTCAAACAAATCCTCGCGATACAGCGCCTTGGAGCTGATTGCGGTCATGCGTGCGCTGCGATACAACGAGTCATTTCGGTCTATCTCATTCCGCGGTATCAACCTTGATGCTCTACAAGGCATTCGTGATATGCATGGCGTAGACCCCGATGTTCATCTCGACAGGTCTGGGTCACTAGTGCATATTCCCGGTCAAGGAAGTTTAAGCGTTTTATCACAGGAGGTGCGAGCATTGGCGCTGAAGAGTACCTGGCTTCGTCGTTTGGACTTTGCTTATTGCCTTACTCGAACCCCAACACTGGACAAGGGCAGCCGAGACCCGGGCTGCGGAATTCCCGAGGCAATCTTTCCGGTCTGTCGGCGTCAGATGACCAATGTCGACTGGGTGGTTCTGAACGGCATTAAGCTTGGCGAATCGGATCTGGATTATCTGGTTGATGCCGCTTCACAGAGCCAGAGTCACCTGCGAGCATTGGAGGTTGGAGACTGTGGATTGTCCGTTCACGACTTGGATCTACTGTTGTCCACTCTAGTAGCCCAGGAAACAACGCTCGAAGCGATTAACATATCCGGAGTACAAGGTCGCTTGAACCCGGATGTATTGCAGCAGTACATTGGTTACTTTGGCCAGATCCGGAAAATCAACCTTTCTCGCATTTCGCGCACGTCTGGCTCGGATCCGCTCATCACGGCAGAAATGTTATTTAATTGGCAGCTCGAAGAGCTGATTCTCAGCCGCACGGCTGTCAACCGTGAAACAGTTGATTCTATTGCGACTTATCTCGCAAGTGACCGTTCACGAAATCTTCGTATGCTTCGACTTGACCAGTGTGGTCTTAGTGGAGAGGATGTTGCTATGTTTATGCACTCAATGTCTGCTGGACCAGACGCTCCGCGAAGTCTTCATTTGCATGTCAATGAAAATCGGCTTGACAATGGCTGTTCTTTCCTCTTCGACGCCATTGCGAAAAACTTGACCCCGTCTCATGTTTCCATGCAAATGATTGATTTCAAGAAAGAAGAGCATTTTCGACAACTAGTCGATGCTCTTCGAAAGAATACAACAATCCGATACTTGGATATCTCCAAGGCGTCGCTTCCGTACGACGCAGGCCCTGAGACTTGCAAGGCATTGCAGCTCATGTTCGAGCAGAACGACACTCTCGAGGCTTTAGATATTAGCGGCGAGAATGCGCACCTCGACGTTGCCCGGTTTGGCATTGGACTCAATCTGGCATTAACCGGCCTGAAAAAGAATACATCTCTCAAAGTTCTCCGCATTGAGCATCAGAAATTGGGTCTCCAAGGCGCCAATACATTGGCGTCGGTTCTAGAGGAGAACGAGTCATTACGTGAGGTGCACTGCGAGAATAATGATATCAACCTGCAATCCTTCACGGTATTGGTTAATGGGCTCCAGGGCAACCGGACGTTGCTTAGCCTGTCCTCTATGGACCGTGATCGAATCATGTCACTCGACAGAGTGCGACGAGAGGTTGACCATGTCCGTTGGGACGCTAATCCTGTGCAAAGCTCCACAGCGAACTCCATCCGTCGCTCCCTTCACGCAGCAATGGGTGTTCGGTATAGTGGATCCAGTAGCCATAAATTGACCAAGTCAGCACCAGCGCATTCCCCATCATCATCAATGGATGCCTCTGCATTCGCAAGTCAAAACGTTGATTTGGTCTTGTCATCACTGCAGCGCAAGTGGGACATGGAAGTTGATCGTTTGCACCGATATCTCCTTCGCAATTACAACTTTTCTCATGGAATTACGGACTCCGATATCGATGACAGTGCCAGTGATGGACGGCCTGCAACCGCAGCCAGCCTCGGGACTATGTTGGACAATCTGAAGTTTGAGGTTGCCGTGTCGGCGGATGAAGTGCAGCCCTCCCCTCCCGAGGAGCCTCCTATATCCATTCAAGTCACTGTAGACAAGCCGGACCCTCTTCCCAAAGCGAAGCCAACGGTCAGGCGGAAGTTGTCGGCTAAGACCAGCCGAATGAAGAGTGAGCCTGATCTCCGGCCCCATACAGCTCGTGCCCAGATCTTTCCACCAGAGTACGGCACCTCGAGCCCTTCGTCTTCTCGCCTGGCTTTCCCTGTTCCCGCCATGCCTACCGCAATTAACAAAGCGAGTAGCGTTCGCAGCGCACGCAGCTCTAGCACTGTCTCAACCAATGCCGGCAGTGCACGCAGCACTTATGGCATAGCCTCATCTACACTGAGGGGTTTCCTCACAGGCGGTGCCTCGAAGGAGCGTCGCCGAGTCGAGTCAATACGGCCTGTTTGTGTTTCAAATGACAAACCCCCACAGCTGGACTGGTCACCGCCCAAGTTGGACTTGCAGGAGCTCGAGTAGCTTTTGTTGCTTACGGGGTTGTACTTACAATGTACAAATATGGAATATCCCCTAACCCTTTCCTCCCATCTTCCTTCTTTCTCTTACTCTTTCTTTCTCCCCGAGTCCTATATAGGATATCTTCGAGTGCACGTCCTCGTTTCTTCCCATTGACTCTTTACCTCTTATCCCTTCATAACTCCAACCTCAAAAATTACCAATTGGTACTGATATCCTGAGACACATTTCTCATGTTTTGATCATGTTTTCCGGCGTTTGGCACCTTGTCTGAACACTCATCTTAGGCTTTTGCCAAGATCCATTGCTTTGTCCCCATTCATATTACCATGGACCTCTTCTCAAACCCCTACCCCATTTGAGGAAATCCCCAATCAACATGGCGCCTCGCATATTCTGGTTTGGTTCAGGTGGAATTGGGTTGGGCACCAGGTCATATAAGGCGTCTGGCATCCAGGAGCGACGGTGTTTTCTTTTCTTCTTTGCTACTTATTTTCTATTATTGTCTTGGGTGGGTCCATTATTGATGAGCCTTGCGGTTGAAAGTATGAATGCTTGCATCTTTGCTATACTTGTTTTGCTTACATTTCCGATCCTATGTTCTATTTGGGTAATGGTTAATGTGGATAGAAGTGTATAGTGCCGAATCATAAGATTTGTATCAATGTCTGCTGTCACGAAAATAAGCTCCATCTAACAAATGATCTGGTAATATCAAAACTTCCCTACACCGTCCCGTCCAACACTACTAGTGGAAGCCTGATAAACCCCCTTATATCCCTCAACAACACCGCCTAGCTCCTCAAAAACAATCTGCGCAAGCTTACTACCTCTGTAAAGAACAACGCCATGCGGATTCTTAACTTCCAGCAAAGCCCCCATTGCACCCTTATACCCAGCATCGACCACCCCAGCGGAAATGCTCACACCAGACCTCCACAGCGACGACCGCGGGAAAACACTAGCCATGCAATTGAGTGGGATTTGCACTGTTTCTTTGAAATCGACCAGGTAAGCGCCTGGTTGCAGGGTGATGGCTTGGTTGCTGTCGTATGGTAAAATGTATACTTTGGCTGCTGAGCGCTTGGTGTTGTCGAAGTCTAGGATTGCTGCCGAAGTCCATTTGGAGATTTGGTGCAGGGTTAGATCGATACCACAGGGTTGTTGTTGGTGGGTTAGGCTGCGGAGATTGCGAACTAGATTGCGGGTTGTTATTTCAAGGCCGGTCAGGATCATGGCTGTAAATGTGGACAGGATGATTGATACTGTTGTGGGGGTGGAGATATAGGGGGTTATGTTTACGTTGAGATAAAACGCGCCAATAGGTCATGTTCATCACACCGCTTATCTCATGGCGTGCTCTCGTATCCCTGATCTGATGAAACGAGATGCAGTAGTATAACTATAGTAATGCTGTTGGTATCAATTGACTTATATGGAACGGCCAAACGCCAAAATGTGCATTATACACGAGATGCTGATAGGACCGAAGAACCAAAATGCCACTTTCCAAATAACGCAAATCACATGTCTAATAATATACAAGAGAAACAATAGTCTCCAATGGTCGCCCTCAAGGTGAAACCGACAACTCAAAATGAGTTTACTTTTAATCCGAGTACACGATGGTACCACACCTCTTATCAATCTCATCCTCCATAGCACGGTACTTGCGACCCTCTTGGCTGATCTTTTGCAGTCTTCTAGCGTATAGATTGCTCACGACGCCCTGCGCGTCCTCGCCCGAGGTTGTCAGGGCTTTTCTGCGCCGTTCCTGGCACATCTTATACAGCCTGTTGCCTTGGCTAGCTGACAGCTCTCTGAGCTCGTAGTCAACCTCCCAAGTATCCGATTCAGTGAAGTAATAGGGCCGTTCAACAATCTTGTCGTTGACTTTGTTCTTGATTGACAATGCCATGGCAAAGATCTCTTGATTTGGGACTTGTTCCGTCTCCTTCTCCGGGGAGCTCATCGGTTCCAGTGGTGAGTCCGAGTCGTAAAGGGCGGCATGAATGGCGTCATCAGTATCTTTCTTTGCTGCTTCGAGTTCGGAGTCCTTCGGGGTGATATTCAACAGACGTTCTTGGTACTCGTCGATTTCTGCTGCGTTCTTGGTTTGGATGTCCTTGATCTGCTCCGGCGTGACAGGTTCGGCGAAGACGTACATGAATGGCGTCACCGCATCTCGGGTCTCAAAGTGGAACCGCAAGGATTGTTTGGGGAAGCGCTCGGTCGCTTGGTCAAGAATTTTATTCCACAATTTCAAACTCAGTTGGAACTCGGTGTCTCCCAGCGCGGTATTTGATTGCCCATGCAGCGCCTGGTCCATCTCGGGCAGACTGATGTACTGGAAACCGAAAATGCGCTCAACATTGTGATGCGCCACAAAAATACCGTCCATGCGACCAACGCGCACTTGCAACGAGTATTTCAAGAACGCAGCCCGAATCATGTCGAAGTATTCGCGCTCATACGACTCATATTCACCGAACCGTCTCTTGATCTCATAGCCCAGTCCATTTTCGAAGTTCTTTGCATCCATGCGAATGGAGACCACGGCGCGTGTCTTGAGATCAAACATACCAGTTCCCGGTAGTCGAGGGTCGTAAGCATCGAGCTGTGAACGCATGACAAAATCTCCTGAGGTAGAGAAGTGATACGATTCGGGAATCGCCTCTTCCTCCTCGGGCGTAATCTTATTTTCGCTGGACCGGCGGTAGCGCTCAAAGTCCTCCTTGGGCATGGTGAGCAGCTTCTCCATCGACTTGCCCAGGTTCATAAGGATGTTCGCCGAATCATACTCCTTATCCGCATCAATAGCGTACACGCCATCCTGGTAGTGAAGAAACATGGCAGCCGGAGCCCGGAGCAGACGAGTAAAGCTACGCAGCTTATCGGGGAATCCTTGCGAGATTTGGCGGGTATCGATAGGTCTCCAACTAGAAAGCAGATAGTGGAAGTGGGAAAGAACCGAGGTCATGCTAGAGGAAGAGCCCAGATATTTCTTTCCATTCTGAACAGCAACATCTCGGAGGGCTGTATCCTTGGATGAGGTGACATAATCCTTGAGGGTATTAAAGTCGAATTCTGTCACAGGCATGATCTCGCCTAGGTAGGGATCGAAATTGTAGACGCGGGATCGAGGGTCTCGTAATTGGTAAACGCCAGGACTATGCGGCGTTAGGATATCAGTACAATCAGCAAGATGGAAAAGATGTCTTACTTGAAAAGAACTCGATCAAGACCGAATGAAAGACGAGGAACGGGGGGAGTAGGGATATCCAATGCTGCGCAATGTTAAATTCCATTCAACCCAGCTTCCGCAATAAAAACTCACCCTTAACCTCATCTGGCCGTATTGATCCAGCATGGTTGTTTTGGATAAATGACTTGAGGTGTGCAAATTCCTCGCTGCTGGAGCCTTTGGACTTCGATTTCGGCTTCGATTTGGCTTTGCTCGTCTCTTCCAGTATTTGTCTCACCTGAGTGACCCCGCGTACAGATTCGGGACCTGTGCTTGACGGATTCTCCTTCGGCTGATCATCGTCATGTGGTTCATTCTTAGATCGATTGAAGCCGTCTTTGTTGCGCAGCTTTTTTGTATTAAGACGTTTATTGCCGGACTTCTTGAGACCCTTAGATGGCGATATCGAAGTTCCACCCTGAACAAGTTTGGAGTCAGTTTTATCACGGCCAAATAAGTCTGACAATGCGCGGCCACACGTACCTTCTTCGCCCAATTCGAATTAGCAAGCTGGGTCACCGGTTTGACCGGCACGTCCTCATTGCGGGACTCCGCCTTGTCTCCGCTTGATTTTGAGTGCAGCGTGGGCGTGTAGTGAAATCGGCGCAACGTAGATGGCGCGCCATATCGGCGGGTCAAGCAAGATAAGCAAACATGGTCTCGGGCAGGGTCTGCGACCGCCCGGAAAGAAGACCGAAGCATGCAGGCTAATTTATGATGAAAATGACATAGAACCAAGCAATTGACGTCGGGTATAAGACAGTTAGGGGGATTGCAAGGAGCTTTCCCTGACCGAATCTGGCACGCGCGTGCTTTTTTTCTGCTGGAAGATACCGCTTTTCGAGGGTCCTAGACACCTGAGGCATGAACTATACCCATGATACTGTATTTGGCGTTCACAAAGATCAGACAATAATTGTATGGAGAGTTACCTGCTCATTTGCTAGTAGAAGAAATCTGGACCTGATTGGGGCCTTGGCTGTCTAAACCGCCATATAATGGCCATGTTCTTAGCCTCCAGGCTAGTATACGTATTATATACAAGTCATGCCTCTCTGGAGCCAAGTGTACTAAATCTTACCATCCCAGCATGATTATGCTTTTAAATTGGAAATTTCAAGGAGCCTTGGAAAGGTTCTTCTATGTAAGTTCCTGTACCAACCAAGTACCTGCAGCGGCTAAAAGTAAGTTTATCGCAGGGCGGAGAAACTTCGCCGCCGGCAGAAAAAAAAGTATCCAGCAAGAGTCACACTTTTGACTGATCATCTATTCCCCCCGCAGTTGTTTCTCAGGTCTCTGAAGAGGTGAGTTTATAATGGCTACTTTTCTCTCCTATTGAGCATTTGATATGTTCATGTTATCTCCCACCAACTTCACATCCACTCTCTCAATTCTTCCATGGAGGGGTATTAACCCCGCGGTGGGCTCCCACAGTTCGCTAATTCCTCAATAGTCAGTCGAGACACTGCTGTCACAATGGCCCAAGAACAATTGCGTATCCTTATTGTCGGCAACGGTGGCCGTGAGCATGCTTTCGCCTGGAAGCTGAGCCAGTCGCCCCTTGTCGACATTGTGTATGTCGCTCCCGGAAACGGCGGTACTGGTCTGGCCTCGAGCAAGATCACCAATGCCAATGTCAAGGGTGATGATTACCCCGGCCTTGTTGCATTCGCTCAGAAGAATGGTGTCAACCTCGTTGTCCCAGGCCCTGAGGCCCCCCTGGTGGACGGCATTCAAGGATATTTCCAAGCTGGTAAGTTCAATCCATTTTCTTTCGACAGAACTTTTACCTAACTCGTTCCACTATAATTAGTTGGCATCCGATGCTTTGGACCTTCCAAGGCCGCTGCCCGCATGGAGGGCTCCAAGACCTTCTCGAAGGACTTCATGCAGCGTCACAACATCCCCACCGCCGCCTTCGGAAACTTCTCCGACTACGAATCCGCTTGTCGCTACCTCGACTCTGTATCGCACAACGTTGTGATCAAGGCTGATGGATTGGCCGGTGGTAAGGGTGTTGCCCTTCCCACTAACAAGGAGGAGGCTCACCAGGCTCTGCGGGAGATGATGCTGGACCACCAGTTCGGCAGTGCTGGTGACGAGGTGGTGATTGAGGAGTACCTGGAGGGAGACGAGCTGAGCATCCTCACCTTCAGTGATGGTTACACCATTCACTCTCTGCCCCCTGCACAGGATCACAAGCGCATTTTCGATGGCGACAAGGGCCCTAACACTGGTGGTATGGGCTGCTATGCCCCCACACGTATTGCGCCAAAGGAGGTTCGGGATGAGATTGACCGTACCATCATCCAACCCTCTATTGACGGCATGCGGAAAGATGGTTTCCCTTTCGTTGGTATCCTGTTCACTGGTCTGATGATGACCAAGAACGGTCCTAAGGTCCTCGAATACAACGTGCGCGGTGGAGATCCTGAGACTCAGACCCTCTTGCCTCTGTTGAGCAAGGACACCGATCTTGCGCAGATCATGGTCGCTTGTGCCGATCACTGGCTCGACGGTGTCTCCATTAAGGTGGAGCCCAACTTCTCTACCACCGTCATCGGTGTTGCTGGTGGTTACCCTGGTTCGTATGCCAAGGGTACCCCCATTACCCTGGACCCTGCTCCCGAGGGTACCCTCATTTTCCACGCTGGTACTACTCTGTCCGGCAACGAGCTCCAGACTGCAGGCGGCCGTGTGATCGCTTCAACCGCTACTGCTTCCACTCTTGAGGAGGCTGTCAAGAAGAGCTACGAGGGTATCTCCACCATCCACTTCGATGGCATGTTCTACCGCAAGGACATTGCGCACCGCGCATTCCGGCAGACCGCCGACACCTCGCTGACCTATGCGGCTGCGGGTGTGTCCATTGACGCTGGTAACGAGCTGGTGAACCGTATCAAGAGCTCTGTCGGCCGCACCAAGCGTCCCGGTACCGACGCCGTTATCGGTGGCTTTGGTGGTCTCTTCTCGCTGGCTGCTGCCAACCCCGAATACCACGCCCACTCGCCTACCCTCATCGGTGCCATCGATGGTGTTGGTACCAAGCTTAAGATTGCTCACTCCGTTGGCATCCACGACACTGTCGGTATTGATCTTGTGGCCATGAACGTGAACGATCTGGTCGTCCAGGGTGCCGAGCCCCTCTTCTTCCTCGACTGCTACTCCTGCGGTCACCTGGATGTTCCCACTGCCACCGCCTTCGTCACTGGTGTCGCTGACGGCTGTGTGCAAGCCGGCTGTGCTTTGATCGGTGGTGAGACCGCTGAGATGCCTGGTCTCTTCGTCGACGAGTCTTACGATGCCGTCGGTGCCGCTGTTGGTGCCATCAACACCACTGGTGAGTACGCCCGCCAGATCCTCCCCCACACCGACTCCATGCGTCCCGGTGATGTCCTCCTCGCCCTGGGTTCTTCCGGCCCTCACTCCAACGGCTACTCTCTCGTTCGCAAGATCGTCGAGCGTGCCGGTCTGAGCTACTCTGACCCTGCTCCCTTCACCATGCCCGGCCTTGAGGGTGAGGTTTCCCTCGGCCGTGCCCTCCTCACTCCTACCCGCATCTACGTCAAGTCCATCCTGAATGCGCTTGCCTCCCACCCGGCCGCTATCAAGGGTCTTGCTCACATTACCGGTGGTGGTCTGGTCGAGAACGTTCCCCGTATGCTCCCCGCTACCCTGACCGCCGACATTGACGTCCGTACTTGGGCCCAGCCTTCTGTCTTCTCCTGGCTTCAGCGTGCCGGCAACGTTTCTGCTGCCGAGATGGCTCGTGCCTTCAACTGCGGTATCGGTATGATCATCGCCGTGGACCCGGCTTCCGAGGCTGCCGTTCGCCAGTCTTTCGAGGCCAAGGGCGAATCCGTTTACAGCATTGGCCACCTTCGCGCCCGTGCTGAGGGTGAGGAGGGCTGCGTGCTGACCGGTCTGGAGTCCTGGGCATGAAATGTCCCGACTTTCAGTTAAGCGCGTCTTCTTTCAGTTTCAATTTGTTGATTTTTATCTTGTTTTCTTTTTCTACCTTTGAAAGGTAACAAAATGGATGAGTCCTGAATGACTTATGCCGGTCCTATGTGATGGATGAAATGATATATACTCCCCGAATTTCTATCAAGCAATGCAAATTCTCTAGAAAAATGACTCTCCTTTCGGATTACTATACGGTACAGCTGTTGTCTAGGGGTTCTCAAATTTGAAATCCGTCCAGTCTCATTGGCGCCCCACGGGTTCCCTTATATCATGAAACGAACCCTGCTCGGCAGGGAGAAGCGTCATTGGTCAAGTTTATTTGCACATCTGTACGACCTCACCACGATCAAATGGCAGGAAACAATTCGTTAAGCCTCGGATTCGTGAAATCTCCTCCTTGGCAACTTCGGAAATTTCTCTAAAAATAACCGTGGACTATAGGGCTGTGTCTTTGGGACTGGGGGCCTAAACCAGTGAGACAACCCCATGATTTTTGCGATCTATACATTGCGGATGACAGAGATCTACATGGCTTTTAACTTCAAACTTACCCACAGGTATTCTAATTTTGCTCTTCTGCGCCCCAATGAATGAGGCGTCCGGCAAAGGCGTCCCAGCATTATCCTGGGACTGATCTGGTGCCCAGACGATGACATCCGATTTGACAATCAAGTGCAGTTTTGCAAAGGATCGATGTAACTTCGTATCAAGTCCTAGACATATCTCAGTTCTACACGTAAATGTCACTTGCAATTCGCTATGTCCTCATGCACCTGACAAATATACTGAAGAACATGCTGAGGAACGTGGAGTACAAAAGGGTCAATAGATACCCTGAATACCATCTACATTCCCAATTCCAAACAGTCCAAACTTACCATACCTCGTTTAATACAATCAATTCCCAATCACGAAAATGAAGGCTACTATTATCAGCACTCTTCTCCTGGCTGCCAGCACCACCCTCGCAGCCCCCAGCAACCTCAAGCGTGCACTCCAGCCTCTGCAAATCAAGAACCTGGTTGGGAACCTTTACACCGAGACTCCTCCTACAAGCAACAACATCGTTTTTGCCCTCAACGATCCCAACACCAATGTTGACACTGACTGTGATGCTGTCTGGTATGTCACGTCCATATACTGGCATTACCCAGAAATCCATGTACAAGTTGGAGTCTTGAGATTGGATAGCTACTGACTGGATCTATAGGTCCATTGGCCAAGCCGGAAACCTGATGTTCCCCTGCTCCAATTCGGCTTACCAGGTTAACTTCCCCAACGGAATCTATAATATCGAAGACTTTGTGCTGCGGGTTTCTCGTACCGATGGTACGGAGGCGGGCCAGAATACAGTCTCGGGGGCTGATTGGGTGTGTACGACGAATGATGGGTATCCCGAGGAGTCGTGCCAGTGGGTTGGTGTTTTCAATGTTGATGTGACAGCGTCTTCTTAGTCTATTCTGGACCTTTGAAGTTGATACTGGGATATCGTGATCGCGTAGCTACACATAGATAGAAGATAAGCTGGTCAGTAATATAAGATCCTTGTCTATGGATGTTTCTATTGGTTTTCCACTTGGGACTGTGAGGGCTCATATCCATGGATCATGTCAATTTATACATCATCTGTATTTTGTACCCTCTTTTTTAGCTGTCGAGACCAAATACTTCGAGGCAGGGTAAACCCTTGGGAGCATACCTAGGGTTGATTCACTATGTAGACATCGGTACACAAGTAGATACAATTTACGGGAAATGAGCACAGCTCAAGACAATTTGATCAGAGATACAATAAGACTAGAACAGAAGGGCTAACGCGGTGTCAACTCCATGTACACACCTCCCGGCTACACCGGAGGCGCCGTCGCCCCCCGTTTTGTAAGTAAGCGTTTCATGAGGTGACTCGCGACAAAGAAGCTCAATTCGTAAAAAAAAAGAAACAATAGAAAAGGGAAAGCAGGAAACAGAAAAAACGACCGACTCTATTCCACTAAAATCGAGATTTCCATTTTCAGGCTATCCGCTTGTTAATGCGAGTCCAACAACGCTTGCTATCCACCAGTGCTTCCATCCGGCCTTTTGATACACCAGAAAAGTACGAGCGAAGACGATCAACGTAGACAAGTAGCTTAGAAGCACTTGCGGTGAACAATGGAGGGTCCGCTCTCGTCGTACTCCTGCTTGGAGATCCACATCTGCTGGAAGGTGGACAGGGAAGCAAGAATGGAACCACCGATCCAGACGGAGTACTTGCGCTCGGGGGGAGCAATGATCTTGACCTTCATGGAAGAAGGAGCAAGAGCAGTGATCTCCTTCTGCATACGGTCGGAGATACCGGGGTACATGGTGGTACCACCAGACTAATGCAAGGTTAGTGATCAACCGTCGGCAGAGAAGGGGAGGGCAAAAAACACATACCATGACAATGTTACCGTACAGATCCTTACGGACATCAACATCACACTTCATGATGGAGTTGAAAGTGGTGACGTGGATACCACCGCTCTCAAGACCCAGAACGTTAGGCTGGAACAGAGCCTCGGGAGCACGGAAGCGCTCGTTGCCAATGGTGATGACCTGTCCGTCGGGAAGCTCGTAGGACTTCTCGAGGGAAGAGCTCTGGGAAGCGGTCTGGATCTCCTGCTCGAAGTCAAGGGCAACGTAGCAGAGCTTCTCCTTGATGTCACGGACAATTTCACGCTCGGCAGTGGTGGAGAAAGTGTATCCACGCTCAGCCAGAATCTTCATCAGGTAGTCGGTCAAGTCACGACCAGCCATGTCGATACGGGAGATGGCGTGGGGCAGGGAGAAACCTTCGTAGATGGGGACAACGTGGGTGACACCGTCACCGGAGTCGAGAACGATACCAGTGGTACGACCGGAGGCGTACAGGGACAGAACGGCCTGGATAGAGACGTAGAAGGCGGGGGCGTTGAAGGTCTCGAACACGATCTGGGTCATCTTCTCACGGTTCGACTTGGGGTTGATAGGAGCCTCAGTCAGGAGGATGGGGTGCTCCTCGGGGGCAACACGGAGCTCGTTGTAGAAGGTGTGGTGCCAAATCTTCTCCATGTCGTCCCAGTTGGTGACAACACCGTGCTCAATGGGGTAGCGAAGGGTAAGGATACCACGCTTAGACTGTGCCTCATCACCAACGTAGGAGTCCTTCTGACCCATACCAATCATGATACTGCATGCAGGTTAGTATCAATCGTCTCTATTTTCGCGGTTGTCCAATTTGGTTGTTTGGACCGTCCGCAGCTCTAAAAAAGGGGGGGAAGAATTTACCCATGGTGACGGGGACGACCGACAATGGAGGCTATTCAGACTGTTAGTGTCATTGGTTTTTTTGAGAAAAAAATTCAACCTTGAAAATAACGAGGCCATAATTTTCAAGATTGTAGCAATACCCGTAAATACCGACGCAAGGGTTGGCGGGATGGCTTGCAAGGAGGGGGAGAGGCCTCGTTCTTGTGGGGTTGGAACTTACGGAAGACAGCTCGGGGTGCGTCGTCACCGGCGAAACCGGCCTTGCACATACCCGAACTACACGAATCGTCAGTAAATCAACCCTCAAGGCGTAATATACCATCATATCTGCTCGACTGGGGCGCTGGAGGGAGCGTGGGCTGGCGATTGGGACCCAATTTGCCGGGCGGCGGATAGGGGCAATGATGGAATGGACCGCGACCGGGGCGGTTGACGCCTCCCCCCCCAAACACAGCCCCCCAGCTCCCTGACGAGCAGCAATTCATCACATACCCATTGTCAATAACGAGAGCAGCGACTTCCTCTGTAAGTGATCAAATGAGTCAGCAATCAGATCTAAAATCTCCGGGGTTCCAAGTAATCCAAGCTGGGAAGTCAGGACCAGCTGGGTCATTGGGGGGTAAAGGGAGCCCAAGCGGCTAAGGTGGCCACAACAGGACAAAACAAAACAAGAGGAATTACGGACCTTCCATTGTGACGGAGAAAAAGGAGATGAATTAGAAAAGAAAAATGAAGATGGGGGAGTTGACGATATAAGGAGGAGAGGTGGAAAGGGAGGAAGGAGGAAGAAGGGAAGAAGTGGAGAGGAGGGGAGAGTTTGTGATGGTTGGGACTGGGACACCTGGTGTGTGCGCAACTTGGTCTCGACTAAGCCCCCCCAAATTGATCGACTTATCTCCTGGGGCATGTTTGTTATTTTAGATTTTATATTCCATGTCATTACTATCCAAGGCAGACATTCCAGTCCTCTTAATTTTTAAATTCCCCATGTCGGATTTCATCATCTGTCCCTCGTGGGGCAACTCTTGAGGAGCCTCCAGACCCTTTTTGGGACGGGACATTCCTGTCAGCTCCGGTATTGCTCCGAGTCCATCGAAAAGGAGATGCCTGAGAGGAATTGTTCATCTGGATACCTCCCCAATGCCCAGTGCCTAAAGCCCCCAGGCTCCGACATTCCCATATGGGCACTATTGGACGCATGTGGCGGGGGGTGTGAGTACCAGGTCACTTCTAAGTATAGAACGGGTGTGACGGTCACGCAGTGGTACGAAGAGGGTACATGTCCTTTATTTGGACCCAGTACTATCCAGTATATCCATCGTATTCGTAAAAAGACATTGTTACGCCCCCAATTCTTAGACTAAGTACAAGGTGGCCTTTCGCCTTACGCAAGCTGGTTACCGCCATTTGGGGCCCAAGGATTCCCTTGGATCAATTGGAGGAGAGAGAGAGTGAACCGCGGATCAACAGAAGACGGTGTGGCAAGTCACATGACCGATGCCACTAGAAAAGTCCAGTGACTTCGACGTCAGATTAGGTAAGGCTCCTTATCGGTTTATATCGCGATTCTTTCGCGCAGTCAAGAATACAGCGACCACCCCACCACCTTTTACCTTTTCGACCAAAGTACCCCTACAACACATATATTCTATCATGGACCCCCAAATGAACAAGCTCCTCAAATGGAGTGTCCAAAACTCCCAGCAACAGAATGAAGATGGCTCTTTGGCTCCCCCACCTTCCGCCGACTCAGCCGCCCGGACTTTGACTCCGGAAATGTTGAATGCGCTGATGGGAGGTCCGTCTGATGCCGATCTGATGAAAGCCGCTATGGAGGTCCTTCACTCTGATGAGTCGGACCTGGAGAACAAGCTGATTGCTTTTGACAACTTTGAGCAACTCATCGAGGGCATTGACAATGCCAACAACTTGGAGCCCTGCGGGCTGTGGACCCCGCTGGTCCAGCTCCTGGATGACAAGGAAGCAGATATTCGCCGGTATGCAGCTTGGTGTATTGGGACTGCTGTGCAAAACAATGAGAAGGCCCAGGACAAGGTACGTATTGTATCCCAGGCGATGAAAAAAAAAATTGTCGAAGAAAATAAAGAAACATAACTGACTTTGCTTCTATGAACAGCTCATTGTCCTCAATGCCATTCCTAAGCTCGTGACTATGGCCACTACCGACTCCAATGCGGCTACCCGCAAGAAGGCCGTCTACGCGCTCTCGTCGGCCGTGCGCAACTATCAGCCCTCCATGAATGAGTTGGTCAAGCACCTTCCTGAAGGCTACGCACCTGAGAAGGTCGACTCCGGTGATATGGATGCGATCGATGTGATCATGGACAAGTTGCGGTCTCACGCCGTTGATTCCTCATGAAGTTGCGTATAGCAACCATATTTTCCCGATTGGAAATATCACAAGGGCAGTCAGCTGCCCGGCTAAAAGAACAAAAGATGAATACGCCAGGATTCACCTACACTAGACATCAGCATGTCCTGCTCCGGCACAACGCAGCTGGATAACGCAGGCTGCTTCCGTTCCGATGCTTCAAGCCTATGCCATATGCCTTGGATTGGCAGGTTCTATTTTCTAGGTCATCCTATGAACATCAGGACTATGCTCCCGACTTGGCATTATAATCGACGCGTCACAAATAGGCAACCCCAAAATGATTTGGTTCTACTTGTACATAGTTACATAAGAGGCAGCTGCCTTATCTAGATTAATGAGACCCTGAATGATACGCCTTTAAAAGTTTAAACTATGGTTACCTGAAAAGCGACGCGTGTCAATCACTGTTCGGCAAATTTGACAATAATGTGAACATTTACTCAAACCGGGGTGTGTAAAACGTAGGACTTTCCATGATATATTTCGCTGCCTAGTACCACCAAGCTATTCAGATGTGACGAGTCCTGGTGTAGATCCGAGAGCTTTCGAAGAGCAGAAAAGAGAAGAAAACCTCAAAAGCAAATATAAATAAACGAATGAAAATAAACCAAGTCATTTAATTCATCTGATATCACCACTGCAACACAGGTAAACCCGCAGTGTACATCGGCCCGACTTTTATCCGGCCCAAGTCGTCATTGGATTCAACAGCTCCAACCCCAGCTCCATCAGCAACATCAGCCCGAAAACGCACCCAAAATGGACGTCTCCAGCAACCGACTTTTCCGCTTCTCCAAGCCCGAATGGCTGAACAATGCCGCCGTCCGCAACACGGGCGTCTACGTATCCGGTGCACTGGTGAGCCCTCCCAACCCAACCCACCCCGGACCGGGTTGTATCGCAATCACATTCGAAAGTCTTGTCGCAATACTCCATGCACTCAAGACTGAAGATCGGATAATATAAACACATGAACTCAGATACTGACATGCGCTATAGTTTGCTGCGGGCTTCTTCTTCCTTATCGATGTGGCCTCCTTCTCGCATAGCCCCCGCAACGGCTCCGACGTGCACATCAAATTCGTCGACTGGATCCCCGGTATCTGCTCGGCGCTCGGTATGCTGGTTATCAACTCGATTGAGAAGTCGAGGCTGCAGGCCGATAGCTTTAGTTACAGTGGAAGTGGAGTTGCCTGGAAGGCACGCTTTGTGCTTTTCTTAGGATTTGCGCTGCTGGCGGGTGGTCTTGCAGGGAGTGTGGTATGTTTCCCATCACTTCTACGGAGTTTCTGAGGGCTTAGTGATGCGGGCTAACCTTTGAGTGCAGACGGTTATGGTTCTTAAGTATCTTATCAAGGATTATCCTATCCAGACGCTTTACTTTGGTATCGCGAATGTGGTAGCGAATGGGTTGATCATGCTGAGGTGAGTCTTATGAATTATGTGTTGATATTTGTCTATATCATTGGCTAATATGAAATAGCTCTGTCGTTCTTTGGGTTTCACAGAACATGGAGGATGACTATACTTACAACCTCGCGCTGTGATTTTGATGGACTCGGCTTACTGGCTTCGCGATTTGGCTCTTTGTACTTTACGTGCTGATATTATGATTCTGCTTGGGTGTTTCCGCATCTCCGGTTGTTCGGACTGGAGCTTCTTTAGGTAGCATGATTGAATTGGACTAGATTTATGACTTCCATATTTTCCACATGATTTGACTCTATAGACTATAAATGAGGCTATAAATCATGCGCAGGACCGAAGATGCTTAAATCGACACCCGTAAATTGAAGACTTAACTGTAAAATGCTCAAGACATATTATGTATGCTAATATGCACCCCCCAAACGCCCAACCCGAACCAACAAATGCATCATTAGTTCATGAATCATAATGTAACGTAGTTGAAAATGGATCAAGAATCCTCGCAGAAAAGTCGAAGAATGTCATCGATGCGTGTCATGGCTTTCTCTTTCTCCAACAACATGGGCGCTTGACCCCCACTGGAGGCAGAATCTTTCAAATATTTCCGGAGTGCAAAAGCTGCAGCCTTGTAGGTAGCATGGTACATGGCCTTGAACTCGTCGTCATCAGCCGATGTCCCCGGTGCCGGAGTCTCCGCACGAAGCCCCTCAGCAGCCGGAGTTGAAGTCGAAGTTTCAGGCTCCGGATCGACGGTTCCAGAACCCGACTTGCCAGCCGAGGGACGCGTATTCAGGCGATGGAATCCATAGAGCCGCATGCAAGTCAAAATAGTGCGTGTGATCAGGTTCTTGTTTTCTGCAATGATGGATTCCGGGTTTTTGGGCGGAGAGGCTGGAATAGAGGTTCTATCTTCAGTAGATACCGGGGGAAAGCACTGCGACTGTATCTGTTGCGACGAACGTCGAGATTTGGAGTCTAAAAATGGGTTTGGTGTCGGAGCCCGCTTTTGAGGATCTGCGCCAATACTTGGAGTTGCGCGAGCACTGCGTGTACTTCCGGGTCGCTGCAAATTGGTTCCAATGGATACCGATCTTGATCTTCCGTTAACCAGTCGATCAAGGGTAGGAAGACTTGGTGACTCGTCTTCGGGTTCGCGCTTGACTCGGAGCAATTGGAGATTCTGTGATGACGACAAGGGCCGCGAAGGTGCCATCAACTGTGAAACTGCTTCGCCACCTTTTTGTCGTACACGACGATGGTGTTGTGCAGCAACTTCAAACAGTGTAGCTACTCGCTTCCGCTTGGGACTTGGCGAACTGATATCCGGAAGAAATTCAGCTGGCGTGGGCACGCGATCTCCGTCAGAGCTTGGCGGGGGAGACGGGAAGGACTGCGCCTGGGTAAGCTGCAGCGTTGAAAGTGGCGCTGCGTATATTCTCAGCTGATATGACTTGCTTGTCGAGGTATTGACACGGCCGTTGGTATCGTTTGGTGACGAATGTGGGGGAGTGGGTGGTCGCGTGCATGAAGTTGCGTTGGATAAGACACCATAGATTAAGAGGTCCGACGTGGCGGCGCCGGTCCGTTTAGATGAAGTTCCATCAACACTAACGAGCAGGCCAACAGGACACTGGAGTGATTGGTGGAGGTCCAGTTCCTCTTCGTTTAACCAGATGGCCCCAGACAGTTTGCGTCGTAGCCATTGAGATGTGTGTGAATTGGTGGTGTGTAACTCGAGGTTAGGTCCTGCTCGTGCGTGGAGAGGAATCAAAGCTGGATTGACAAAGCTGCGGAGACCCAGCTTTGTGTTTTTGGATATGTCGCATTGCCAGTGGGAGGTCGGGTCAACCAGGCGGATCCCTGATGGTCAGCGCGTTATGCAAAAAAGGCGCGTCAGTAGACTTACCTTCCAACTGATGATTTGGACCAAGCTCAATGGGTCCTGACCAGACATTCATATTCATGACAGACTAATGAAAACCGATCTCACCCTTCCATTTTGTGTTGTCTTTGCGGAGATCTGTGATCAACCTTTGACATCAATAGCGCGCGATGTGGGGAACGCGTCCAGACCCGTAGTCACGTGTCCCATTTAGACACCTTCGGAAGACAGCAGCATAAGCTCTAGACAAATGATAACAAAAGCTTTCAAATCTACGGGATGAACAAAGAAAGGACTCCTTCCAATCCGTTGGGAATCTATATATTCACCCTGATATAATACACCAAAAGTATCAAAGCCCAGAAAATGCTAGAGCCATCGAGCAAATGGCAGTCGACGCTGAGATCGCTCCCCAACAAATCATTCGAAGTATATCGTGCATAACGTCAAAACCAAACTAGTCGCGCAAAACAAATTCATCATAGGAGATTGGATGGCCGTAAAAATCCCGTGGATCAATAAACTCGTCTCGGAACCCCCGTACCCAACCTGGCATGTTCGATCAGAACTCTTCCTGTTCCTGGAAGAACATCGAGAAGCTGATGATGGTTCCATAGATCAAAAGACCACCGAGAATGGACATGATCATCGCTGGGAGTTGGATCTCTCCACTGTGCGCAAGGACAACGGGGAGCGCTATAAGCACACCGTGTTAGCATTGTAGCTGGTTTAAACAGAGCAAATTGGTTGAAATAGCTCATAATCAGATAGCAAGAGACAAAAGCCTTGAGTCGAATGCGCCGATGCCGTAGTAGATGCTATGATCTAACGTGAAGATGTCACTTACCAATACCAGTCAGGACGAGGAAGCCGGTCATGAAGCGCCCAAAGTCCATCGCCGCATTGGACGAGCTGTCCATGAAATCATCTGGGTTTGCACATCGTGAGCAGATCCAATTGGGGAGCGGCGCAATCACGTAGATAGCGACAACCAAGAGAGGCCAGTATTTGTGCCAGAGGGCGGAGGAGAGGATGACAAGGAGGAAGCCGATCGCAAGCACCTTAGTATAATCAGTAAGCTTTACCCAAAGTAGCCCGGCAATTGACAGGGGTGATCTTTGGATCTTTGCGTACAAACGAGAGTGCGATGATGGTCTTGATGCCGGCGGCCATGGTTGCGAAGTCGGGGCCGTATCTGCCGGTTCGAGGCGATAGGAATGTATTTGAAGGTGCAGTATTACTTGCGTAGATATCAGACAAGAAGCAGCTCAGCAGGTGTGGAGGGTCAGCGCCATAGAAATCGAGGGGAAGGAAGAGCTGTAAGAGGAATGAGTGACGTTGGGGCCTGAAGGTCACTGGATGTTGATGCCTCAGGCGTCGAGAGCTCTCACACCGCGTCACCTTAACTGCCTGCTTCAGCTTCCCCATCTGCCCCAGTTACTTTCCCTTGTCTTTTTGATTGTATCTTTCTTGCCTCCTCCTATCAAGACTGATCATTTCTTTTCGGCTTCCCTATATTCATCCTTTCTTTTCACCATGTTCCGAAACAACTACGACAACGACGCCGTCACCTTGTAAGATGTCCCCTCCCCGGCCGGTCAGCTACAACTTGCACCCAGACCCTAACTCGATGATAAAAGCTCCCCGCAAGGTCGGATATTTCAGGTGGAATATGCACAAGAAGCAGTGAAGCAAGGATCAGTGGTGGTGGGATTGGTGAACAAGACACATTGCGTGCTGGTCGGCTTGAAGGTTCGCTCCAACCACTCCAACCCTGCGTCGCAAGCTCGACCATGGACTAACCAAGAGATTGTTACCACGAAAACAGCGAAATGCCGAAGAGCTCTCCTCCTACCAGAAGAAGATCATTGAGATCGACTCGCACATGGCCATTGCCATCGCCGGCCTGGCATCAGACGCCCGCGTCCTCTCCAACTTCATGAAGCAGCAATCGCTCGGTTCCAAGATGACCTACGGCCGTCCAATCCCGCTGGACCGTATCGTCGGCCAGATTGGAGACCGCGCCCAAACCAACACTCAGCATTACGGAAAGCGACCCTACGGTGTTGGCTTGCTGGTTGGCGGTGTTGACGAGGCTGGCCCGCATCTGTTCGAGTTCCAGCCCTCTGGTTTGACCCATGAGATGTCTGCTTGTGCTATTGGTGCTCGTTCGCAGATGGCGCGGACATACCTGGAGCGGAACCTGGATAAGTTTATGGACTGCAGCCGGGATGAGCTGATTACGCACGGTCTGCGTGCCCTCAAGGAGACTCTGTCTCAGGATAAGGAGCTTACCGTGGATAATACCTCTGTGGGTGTGGTTGGTAAGGCTGCTGAGGGCGCCATGGGCCGGATTGAGAGCTTCAAGCTGTACGAGGGTCAGGAGACTGTGCCTCTTTTGGAGGCGCTGGAACGGTCCGAATCAGCCGGTGCTGGGGAGGGCGAGTCTATGGAGGTTGATTCATAATTTTTCTGTGATGTTTAATGATGCGCATAGACATGAATACTCCTGCCTGATGCTGTGGCCTCTATGCACCTTTTACACGTTTTGCACCTTTCCTGTTGGAAGCATGAGTCTCATTTCTATAATGATCTACGGGATATATCCTGGGTATCATGTCCCTTTAAGAAAAAAAACAATAATCCCGAGAACATCATACCAACCCCGAGCTCCGCGTATATCCTCAGTGCGAATTTCGAATCAATAACGCTCAAGGACAAAATCCACAAGAGAGAAAAGAACAAGTCTACTCTTCACCCCAGTTCAACTGCATCCGCTCACTGCTAACCTGGTACTCCAAAAGCTTGTCCCAAACCTGCTTGGGATCCTGCGTCTCAGCAAGAATCCTTCCATTCTCGGGGCTGATAAAGCCCTGCTGCACCGCGTTCTTCACCCAAGCTAGCACTCCATCCCAGTACCCATTGATATTCAGTAACACAACACCCACCTTGTGGATTCCAAGCTGGTTCCATGTAGTCATCTCCATCACCTCCTCGATCGTTCCGAACCCACCAGCCAACGACACAAATCCAGACCCAGGACCTCCCTCCAGCACCTTGGTCGCCATCAACCGCTTGCGAGTGTGCATGTCCGGGACGATCGTTGTAATTCCGTACTCCGACTCTGGAATTCCTTCGGTGTCCAGCGACTCCGAGACTACCCGCTCTGCGTCCTTGCCACTTCCGTTGGCGCTCTCGCCGTTGGGCGTGGCCTCGTCGTTGCCGTTGCTCTTTGTGGAGACTCGCACGAGCGCGCGTGGAATCACGCCGTGGACGGCTTTGGGGCCGGACAGGGAGACTAGTGTGCGAGCGATCTCGCCCATTAATCCCGTTGTGCCACCACCGTAGACTAGTTGGACATTGTGCTTGTGGAATTCCTGAGCCAGGGTTCGGGCTGCTTCGAAGTGGATTGGGTCTTTGCCTGCTGTGGCGCCGCAACTATAGGGAATTACATGTTAGTATAGATGTTTTGAATAGTGTCTTTGGTCTGGTGTTTCTATATGGTGCGTGGTTCTCTTGAATGAGGGGGAGATTTGGTGAGGAGTCGCGATGGTGAGGGGGAGGGGTTCTGACTCACAAGACACAGATAACAGCTTGCTTGTTTGGAGCCATGATGAATGGGATGAAAGGCTCGAGTATATAGTTTCAAGTAGTATTAGCGAAGTATGTACCACGAATTTCAAAGGAGAATCCTTGGGAGGAAAGAAAGAGACAAGGCGAGGAGCGCGGAATACTTGGAATTGCGACTGGAAACTGGTTCCACCACGATAAGATACGACCTCTCACGTTGGCCATTCTATTGGTTACAATTGCCCGTTCATTGCTTTTGTCTCCTCTTAGCTTCCTATTGCTTGCGTCTCTTTGGTCTAGCTTCATTTTTGTTAGGCCGCCTCTGACTCATGGTCACCATGCCTTGCTGAAGATACCCCGCGGGGATCAAATATCTCCAACCCGTCCGATGTAGTATAGACCGAGACCCCGATCCCGAGAGGATTACTCCAGAATAGGAAGATCAAGCTCATGGTTTGTTGACAATTACATAAAGAGCTTGATTCAATAGTCTCTGGACACCAAATTTACGAACATCATACTCCCCCGTACGGTATGCAATACCTACGGTTGACAGTTACTGTATGAAGCAATCGCAATGAGAAAAAGTAAACGGTATAGAAATCAAGCCAAGATCAATGCGTCACCCGGGGATGTACTGTATGTGTGGATCCACCGTGTCTATTGTGGCTAGAAAACCTTGAAATGTTTTGATATTCACTGATCGACATAATGCATTGGAAAACTGCAAATCTACCAAGAAAACGCCCAGATTGCCACCATGCAAAGGGTATCATAAAAAGCAAAATCAGCTAGCAACCCGGTTCTTCTTCCGCTTGCCTTTGTTCTCACCCGAGCTAGGTGGCGAGTTACTCTTCTCCGACGCTTTCCCAGGCGTATCAACCCGAACCTGCGGGGTGGAGACGCGGCCAGCCCCAGGTGTGCTGGTGGTTACACCAAGTGATGCCTTAGATGCAGCTGCAGTCTTGGCTGCGCGGTCGTTCTCACCGCCGACTCGTGACATGATGAACGAGCCCGGTTCACCGACCAATGGGGTCTCATCCATGAACTCGTCGCCATATTGAGTAAATAGGCTGAAGGACTCGGCAAGGCTCCGAGTATCTTGATAGCTGGAGTTGGTATTCGAGATCCCCAGTCCGGCTCTACTTGTCCCTTGCGTGTCGGCAGTAGAAGGTGGCGCAGCGTCCGGCATAGGCGTATTTTCTTTGCTTTGCTGTGACGCTTGTGCGCCGGACTCGGTGGTCGGCCGGGCCATGGGTGGTAGGTAGGTGTGTCCATAAGATGGGGTGAAGGTCGGAAGGGTAGAAGCAGTCTTCATGAGCCGTGATAACGATGTGACAGCGGAAAGCTGGAAGTAGAAAATGTGAAGGATTAGTCCAGTGATGCGCACCGAGAAGCAGTAGCAGAGCGTGGAGCTTACAATTCTGTTTCCCACCACACTGGCAACCGATGGTGCCATGTAGATGCAATCGCCGACAAGGAAGTAGGTTGAGATCACGGTCACCTCGTCGTCCATGCCAGTCCGCTTTCGCCGGTTCTGTTTTCGAATGACCCAGACATTGGACGGCTCGTGAGCAAAGCGCGTATCGGTTTGCGCAGCCGCTTGCAAAGGATCATACGCGACAATGAATTCCAGACCAGACATGGTCTTCAGCCGGGCCTCGAAGGCTTCGCGTGTCTCAACGAAGTGGCGGAACGCCTCGTTATAACTGGCTTGGATGGCGAGGGATGCATTGTTGGAGGTTGGGTCAAAGAAAGGAGACTCGGCAAAATAGAAAAGAACTAAGTACCCCCAAGTCGTTAGTAGCTTCACTGGATCTTCAGGTGCGCAGTAGACGAACTATTGTTGGAGTGGATGAAACCCCCCATCATCTGAACGTGCGGGGGAGACCGCCAGAGGATTTCCTCCATTGAGGTATCTTGGCTAGCCATGCCGGGCACCGACGGGTCCAATTGATTTCCAAATTAGGACAGGAAAGACCAATAAATCCTTGGAATAGGGAACAGAGCACAGTGAAAGGAATTGACGATTGGGAAGATCCAAAGATTAGAGAAGAGATTAGATACGCGGAGCTATCCACACATGTTTTGCTTGTTTGCATTGATTCTATACAGCCTCTGTACCTTGATAGATCGCAGCAAATAAACACAGTGAGCCTAAATTAGGCAGTAATAATCTAAATAAAAGTAAACGCCCCAGCTCCAGCGCTCTATGTTGAATTTTGGAATAAAAACACCCCCAAATGTGAAAGTATAGATGCGGATGTTGAAGACACGTTGAATGTGGTCCGCGATCAAGTTAATATGAACAGAGAAAGAATCAGGAATGATCAAGAGGGATCAGAGCAAGCAACTGCTCCTATTGTCCTTCGAAAGGAGCGAATATGTTGCCAACAGTACGCAACTTGGTGAGCATTTCCTGCCATTCACCCTCAGGTGTGCTGAGAGTCGTGACGGCACCACCCGCACCGATTCGCCAAATTTGCTCTTGATCTTGATCGGTAGAGCAGGTGAAGGCCATTCGAATCATGACCGCAAAGCTGCCACCACCACCCAGATCAAGGTAGCCCATGACCCCGGAGTATATTCCACGCTTGCGTCCTTCAATGGTTTTCAGGTGCATGCATGAGCGCTCCTTGGGCGCACCGGTCATGGAACCTGGAGGCAGGCAGCGCTGTAGAGTCGTGAGACCATGAACGGCCATGTTAGAAGACTTGAATTGGGGAATGTGGCGAACTGAATATCCTGGTTGATCAGGGCGAATTTTGCCCTTGACATGAGTGATCATGGAGTAGACACGTCCATAGTCTTCGACTTCAAGCAGTTTCTCAACATGGACTCCACCAGGTCCACAGATACCATATAAATCGTGTCGGATCAAATCGGCAATCATGAGGTTCTCGGCCATTTCCTTCGTTGAAGATAGTATTTCTTTGGCCTGGGCAAGGGTCATGTCCGGTGTCTTTCGGACCGTGCCTTTCATAGGCTTCATTTCAAGAGTAAACTCACGATCCCAGTCGAGAAAACATTCCGGGCTACTGCTCACAATTTTGACTGAGCCTAAGGTTGCGAACCCACTATATCTAGCAGGGTTGTACTTCTTTAGTCGCCTGTATAACTTCCAGGGGAACACAGCGCGGTCGGCTTCGGTTGCAGCGACTGGCAAACTGATGGATGTCTCGGCTGTGAGACATAGTTCATAGGACTCACCTGCCTCCAACTCGGCGTTGCAGGCTGCAATTCGCTCTTTATAATCCATTTCTTCGGGGAATGAGATGACACCATGACGGAGGATGGAATCCAAAAATTCCAAATCGGACTTTTCGGTATTTTCCACGTTTTGAGATTGGCCTTTGAGTAGCTGTGATGCCTCCTCGAGCCAATTGCCTGTCAGGTCATCTGACACGCGTGTAGATTGCACGACAACATTGCCAGTCTCATTGTCAACGACAATGCTTCTTTCACACCACAACAGACTGACATCTGGAAGGTCCTCCACATGTGGGCCAGCTGATGAATTTTCCACTGGGGGCTCGTTGGATGTAGATTTTTGTGCAGATTCCTTAGAATGAGGAAGACACGCGAGACCCAATTCGTAGGAGAAGTAGCCCAAGAACCCACCCCAGAAAGGACTATCCATACTGCCAGAGCTGACCTTCTTCATATCCATCAAGTATCGGAGGGCATCCCAAAGCTGAATCACTGCTAGACTCTTCTCAAGTATTTGGCAATCACCAGATAATTGGTACAAAGTTAACTTTTGCCGCTCCACACTGTATTCTAATCGCCAAGAGTTGGGACTGGGAATCGAGACAATGCTATATCGGCTGTCTGATTGAAAGACCACCGTTGGAGATCCCGGCTTGTTAAATGCCTCGCTGATGGTCTCTGCGGTCCAATCTCCTCGCTGAAAAGACCGATGGGCCGCGACCGGTGAAGTCGAAGAGCTCCATCTTAACATATCATATGCGATATCAGGAAAGGTGCTGGTTTCATCCTGAGGAGTGATGATAGTCTCAGGCAAAGCGCCATATGCTTCACGACCAATAATCTTGTTGAATGCGAGAGCCATTGCCCACCAATTTTGGAGCAGCTGCTTGCAAGCCTCCTTTTCCGATTTGCAAGATTCGGGATGGAATTGAACGCCCCAGAAAGGCTTTTGCCGATGACGAACTGCCATTGGTATTCTTTTCCTCCGAGCCGAACTATTCTCAAGAGATAACCAGGCTAAAAATTCCAAATCGTCGACAGACGGGACTTGAGCGTGACTCAACTTATCGAGGTTGGCATAGAGGGAGTGATACAACGTCACCTCTATATCCGAAAGACCACGGAAGATATCGCTAGAGCTGGTTGAAATGCGATGTACCTGGCCATGCAGTGGATATGGGAGACGTTCAATCGGAACTCCGTGGTGTAAGCATAGACTTTGGAAGCCCAGGCAAATACCGAAGATCGGAAGCAGCTCGGCATCTTGGAGATTCCAGATGTCTCTCATGATGCCAACATCTTTCGGCAGGTTGGGGTTTCCCGGGCCAGGTCCTAAAACGATGGCCTCATAATGGCGAAGAAATTCGTGCATATTGCCATCGGGCCATTCGGAGTCGATAGTCATCACGGTGACTTTCACCCCCAGTGTTTCTTCTAGCATTGAAACAACATTATATGAGAATGAGTCATATGCATCGACATACAAGACATTTTTGGATGGGTCATTTGGAGTGGTTGACAGGGTTGACCCATCCCAATCGCCTAGTAAGGGCGCCATGGTGGGATGGATGGAATGATGGCGGGGTGACAGATTGATATGGTGCGGGCTGACGGCGTGATAATCACGAGCATCCAATGAGTAAAATCGAGGAGAAACTCCGTCTTACGGTATGCGCTATGCCACAGACAAAGTTTTAGGAATCCGAGCCCGTCATGTCTCAATTCAAAGTGGCGGATAGAGCTTATCAGGCCGGCACGGTGTTTCCCGCGGGGGACGATACAGACGAATTAGCCTTTCAACGGCTCATGGGCTGATTCACAGACGCGGGTAATTAGCAATAGAGATATGAAGCTAACAATGTATTGTCCCGTGTGGCAGGAAAAAATTTTAAGGTTGGGAATGTGCAGGCAAAAAGCGGGTACCGCCGGAGAAGTTTGGAACACGCCACTATTATTTCTATGGAAATGATGGAGAGATCTACAGGCATAGCAACATGGGGTATTCGAGATTGAAAAGAAAACAGCCAGACCCGCAGATCAGGGTCCTGGTACAGGCTGGAGGGTGGCGAGCTTCGCGGCTACCTTAGGGAAGTACTGGGCCACAAATCCCTCGGTGTAGTAGCTGTGCGCAGAGCTGTGGTCCGCCACTAGGTTGTGTGCCAGCTCATGACACAGAATCACCCACCAATATACAATGGCATCGGTACGATCGGGCGAGGGACTTTGAAGCAGCGCTTGCTCCTGCAGCTTCTGGAAGTAGAAGTAGTTGCAAAAGATGCTGCCTGCCCGATTGAATGCGATGGTCTTGCCACCTGGATCGTAGAAGATGCTCAAGCTATCCGCCCGCATTGAGAAGATGGAACCAGAATCAAGAATCACCGATGCAAACATATTGATGCTGTTACGGTTGTTCGCTAGGAAAGCAGACCGCTCGGTGATGGTCTTTGTAAACAAGACATTGACACCGCTGGGGAGCGTCGCCACGAACTCTAAATCATGGCCCGGTCGTTCATCGCAGTATGATTGACTTGCCGAGATTTGGTTAGTCTCTGGTCGGCTAAAGACATTCGAGGATCCATGCGGGCGACAAGCCTGCACGGCAGAGAGAAGCTCTTGCTGCAGCCGATGCGGTGAATCAACTGAAACGGGCTGTTCTGGGCGTGGCTTCTGAGGATCCGTGGATGAATAAGGTGGAGGTGGAGGAGTATTATTGGTCGACTCGGGGAGTAAAGATTGTGATTGCTCAGGGTTGGACGGTGATCCTGAACGCCCGTCCAGACCAAAGCGTTTGGTGAGATTAGCAAACAGTCCACGGGGAGCTCGTTCTGGAATTGTGGGCTCAGAAGGTGCAATCTGCCTTTCTTCAGCAGACGGTTTGTTGTTTGGTGACTCGGGAAAAACGCCCGGCATAGTGACTTGTGACTGGGGCTCCGGTCTTTCCTCTTTCGCTCGTTGAGCTTGCTCGGCCGCCCAAGCAGCTTCTCTCTCTTGCAAGGCCTGCCTTTCTTCCTCTAATTGCTTCTGTCGTTTATCACTTGCCATTCGAGCCTCGTGAGCTTTCTGTCTAAGAATGCGCTCCACATTATAGCCCCGGGCACGAAGCTCTAAGAGGTCCGTCTTCAACAGCATTTCCAGGGTCAGGGTGGAATGAAGCTTTGGTCGTTTGAGAATCAAGTGAACAAGAGACTGGCTGATCTCATACAGGTCGAATTTGCCCGGGTAGATGCACAAGCCCCAGTTATTGGACAGACGGGCCATAATGGCTTTCCGCTTCTGAGTATGCGACACCCGTCTGCCTTTCAGAGACCGCGTAAGCGTAATAGAGGTGACCACCTGTACACTGAAATCATGTTCTAACCATCGAGCTCCGTGTTGAATGGCATCTGCTGGTTGGTCATGCAAGAAAAGCCGTACCCGCTCGAGGATCATCTTGTGCAATTGCACGGCTGGGGTTTGATCGGCCGCAATACCTCCGAATCGGGCTTGCTCTTCGACAAGCTTGCTAAGTGGAAGGGCACCAAGAGCCACATAGAAATTTTCTAACGTTTCCTCTTGGGGCGCAGCAAGGATATGCTCTTTGAAGAGATTGAAGCTTTGGAAATCGTCCACAACAACAATGTCTTTTGCAGCTGAAAGATCCCATTCTCGGATATCTAGATCTTCTTCTGCATCAGGGGCGTCCCTTTCAGTCGAAGTCCCTTTACCATGTTTTTCTGCCGATTGAGGAGGGATATCACGGCTAGCCAACAAAAATTTTGCTCTCCTCATGTCATTGAACAGATCTTTGTCTTTCTTGAGAAGCGGAAGGTTCTCCGCAAGAGTCCTCAGGAGCATGAGGTATTTATCGGAGCTTTGAAATGCAGATGAAATCCGAGCGGGTTCTTTCACAAGCATTCGTGCAATTTCGATCTTCGTCGGTTCTCGCCTGGAGCCAACAGCCAAGAGGAAGAAATTGGCTTCTCGTCCAAAATCCACAAAGTCAAAGATATCCTTGTAATCCTCTCCGTCACCAAGATAGCAGAGCTTAGGGGCAACAAAGCGGGTCCGAGAGCCTTTGTCTGATTGATCCTTTACCGCAATGGGGATAATTAGAGACGATCCAACTCGCTCGACATCCTGGGGGCTTATATCAGATGCTCTACTAGCCAGGTATTTGAAAACCACTCTAGCCTCTTTGGAAGTCGCCGGGGGTTGACGGATCAGGGTCTGAAGACATTCTGTCATAGGAGGATGGGGCTTGACGCCCAGCTTAGAAGCATGGGGATGAAGCTGCTGTCGGAGGATATGAAAGCCAAACAACGCGGCGCCGTCATCCGTGAAACACTTTTTTGGAGCAGCAAGAGTCTCGGAACCTTCAACAGGTAAAAAAGGGACTGTGACTGCATTGATATCGAAAGCGTCATAACCGTTGGTATGGTACTCATTTAGGAAGTACGACAAGGCCTTGGTCTTGCGAGCACTGTTCTTCTCTGCATCACTACTGATCATTAGACGCACGACCTCAGCTCCGGTGGGGGTGTCGCTTCAAGCCCATCATTGAAAGAAATTTCCCTTCGTTGCTGGCATTGTTGTAAATCCCCGGCCATTCAATTATGGGAAGTCCCAGAGCCCGGAGAGAGTCTTTCGGTTCATACAATTCAGATATTTTGTAGCGAGTACCAGACGAGGCGTGTGCATCTCCCCTGGTTTCGGCAGTGCAAATGCTTGTATCTTTGAGCCTCTGGATATCATTTGAAGGGATGTCATCCCGAACAGATGTGAGGTATCGAATCAAATCCACATGACTCCATTTCCGCGTCGAGGGGCTTTTTACATCACCGGTACTTGGGGGATTGTTGATGAGACGATCAAAGATAACTCCCAGCTCAACGGTCTTCCGAACTCCTAACGATACTAGGAACTTTTCCTTGACGCCATTCAGGCCATGTACAACCGGGAGATCATCAAACAGGCGCACGGAAGCAAAGTATGTTTGCTCAGGTTGCTTCATACCAAGTCTAGTTGGAATCACAGTTTGTGGTTGAAGTGTATTAATCACGGTCTGTTTGGATGATTGGCCTAGCGTCTCCCACTGCTTAGACAAAAGAGGAAGGACCTGTCCAGAAAACGAAGCACTCTGCGTGATGTCTTGCTCTGCGGACAAGAGGCTGCGATCCCCAGCATTCATCACTAGCCAGCGAAGCCAAGGGACAAGTTGCAATTCGACCCATCCCAACGCTTCAAGTTCTTGTTTACCCAGGCTTTTCGTAAATCGGAAAGGCATCACTGCTGATGGTATAGGGAGATCGGTTGTAATGCGCTGGGGATTCAGGAAGCTGGTAATGTCGGCGAAAACGATTAACCGAGTAGGACTCCCATCCTTATCTTCTTCATCATTCGCCACTGCAACCCGCAGAAGACTCTGAACTGAAAGCCTATCAAGCTGTCCAGCGACAGTTTTGCGACCCAGCCACGTCAGGAATTCAACAATCTGATTAGACCTTAGGGTACTAGCCTCCAGCTCCCGTTTGATGTCGGAAACCGTTATTTCCGTGACCAACCCAAATTCTGTTAGTCTTCGGACAAACTCTTTGGCTTGGAGGACGAATTCATCAGGTAGGGCGGGAATCGAATCCATGAAACTGAGATCCTTCGGAGCTATGCGTGTCTGATGGCTGGGAATTACGCCACATGTTGAAAGAATCTCGATGGAGGCACTCTTATTGCACATCCAGAACGCATCTTCGATAGTCTGACCAAGAACTGACGACGGCGTCGATTCGCGAAAAACGAATTGGTTCGCGGTATGGATCGCTTCTGGAAGTACGCCCACTATATCATCTTTGCGAATCTTTGAAGAACGCGCGGGTCCAACCTTGGCTGCCAGTTTCGATTTGATGGTACTCATCTCCGCAGACCACGCGATTCGACAGACAATTCCAACAGCTCGCAACATTTCAATATTCCATTTACTGATGTATCGAGTGTTGAGGTCAATACTTTCACGCTCAACTGTAGGAATGACGGATGGCGCCGAAACATGGGCATTCAGGCCGGTGGTTTGCGCAGTAGGAAATCCAATGAAGACTCTTCCTCCTTTCGAAGGTAAAATGGAAGCAAGAATTTCCGACTGTGATGTGGATGCCCCTGTCGCAACATTGGCATCATAGGATGGGGTCAAAATCGCGATTGTAGCCTTCTTAGGTGGTGGTTTCCGAGTGGCCCGTTCCAGTTCCTTGCTCAGACTTGAGCTGACTGAAGGCTGTATCGATGCAGTGTTGATATGCAAGAATACTGTTGCTTTCACAAAAGAGGTCATATTGCCCGATTGCTCAGGTTGCTGTATCTTCTGAGAATGCGAGGGTTTGTCAGACCCGCTCTGGCTTGTAAACTTCGAGAAAAAGCTCCGTAAGGAGCTGGTGGTATCTCGAAGGTTGTCAAGACTGATCAAGCTGGCATGCGGATTCCACTCTACAATTCGCATCCAGGCCGCATCAACTTGGGCAATTTCTTGGGTTATGCCAGTGATTTTCATAAGACCTTCTGCAGTCTTCGTTTCTATGTCTCTGGGTATGGGGACATTGACACCAGGGGCGGTCTTTTTCGATAATCGCAAGAGGCTCCAGTCGTCCAGTAGTAGCTCAATCTCTTGCAAAGCGACAAATGTCAAACTGCTCGCCAAAAACTGGCATAGCTGCAGCAAATGTGGAACAGGAGAAGAGTCGTTGCGATAGTCTAGCACAAAAGTGGTGTCCTGGCTCGAGGCCTCCCCCAGGTCCAAACGTCGAGTAAATAGCCCGTTGCCTTTCCAATAGAAGGCCATAGCATGGCTACCAGAGGACACAAATGGCTCCTCGCAGTCGTCAAAAACACTGTAGAACCCCACACCAAATGCTCCAATCTTTGTTTCGTCGGGGTTGCCATCTGCGATGCGTTTCAACCGCGCCCAATCCTTTTCGCTGAAGGGAAGACCATTATTTGAGATCAATAGACGCCGGAGGGTATGGTTGGCGATAGTGTGCTTTATTTGCTCCGTTGGGTCGGTTGATGACGGTGACGGAATTGTTGTAGAGGGAAGCGTCTCGAACTTGATTGTCACTTTAGTTGCGGAGGCATCGGCAGCATTCTGAATCATCTCTCGGAGAACAGTCCTGAAGGAAGGCGTCACTCATCAGTAATTGTAATAGCCAATGTATGACCCGAGAATCAACTTACCACTTCCCCGAGTACCGAGCTAAAACTTTGGAGATGAGGCCTCTGGTATCGACAGTCACTGCTTCCTCATCAGCACCGGACCCCATGGTCCGGGCTTTCAGCGCGTTGAAATCTATATTCAAAGCCATGTTTGATGTCTGTATAAATCTAAAGCAGTCCAAACATATCAGTGAGGAAGCCTATCTCATATTCCCGTAGTGTATGGGTTATAGCGGCGCTGGTACGATAAAGACAGAAATTATCTTAGAATGCCGAGGCAGACAGAATAAAGGAGAAGCCAAAAGAAGAAGAAAACGACTGAGTATGTAGTTGGTCAGCAAATTAAGGATTGCGGTCACCAGGTAATCAGGCCGCGGAGGTGGCATCGTCTTATCGCCCCTTATCGGCAGATTAGATCAGCATATGCTTATGTCATCGGTGTTTCCATCGCGGCTTCAGGAGCACCATGCGCTGAGCAGTTGATCTACGTGGTTTGAGCTTGGAATATTTTCTTGATTCTGGCAGTGGGCTCGGCGCCACAGCTTACACTTTCTTTTATACTTTCTCCACCACTCCTCTCCCTAAAGATAACAAGGTCTAGAATCGAACTATTGTGGATGCGGGCCTAAGATCTCCCACCGCCAGTACTCCGGTCTCTCTCAAATGACAGCATGGGGGTCGACCCGTTATCTCCAATTGCGCCTGTGCGCTTGAGGGCGCTTTTACTACCAATTGGACGAATTAAACGATCCCGCTTCTTGAGCTTCGCATCCCGGCTTCAAGCTGAAAATGTCGTGCGGTTAGGGGACATTAGTCCCGATGGTCGACCAAACCGAAGTGAGCAATAACCACGCTGTCGTAACGAGAAATCACGAAATGCAGAAGGATCAGGGTTGGAGGGCTGACTATCTTCTACAGACATGTTTTCCCCACTTGCATTTCCCACGGGGTTGATTCTATACGACCTGTCCTTCTCGGTTCCCCCCACGTCGCACCTCGAGCTATTTCCGTTTGAGGTATACAGGGAGCCTCTGGTGATCATTGCGATCGCGGATGGTACCGAGCTGTCCCAGAGTCCTGAATCGAAGACACAGCATCCCAACCCGGAGGAGCTTGATCAGCTATTGGTAGAGCTCGATGCAGTGAAGGAGAGGAGCCCACGTGCACTAGTGAACCAGCTGCTGGTCTTTGACTATGATGGCTTGGAGAAACTCACAAATGGCCCCGATAATGTACTTTGGGTGCCTCGTCCCGAGGCATCAAAGGCTACTACTATGAAAACGGTTTTGTGCGACATAACCTCGGTCTTGCTTTCGGAGTTGGACGAATTTGCGAAGACGATCCAAGCCATCCCAACAATTGAATCGCCTCGAACATCGTCATGGGGACCGTCCCGAAATCCAGAGTTGCGTCCCCGACCGGTTGACCGACTATTACACCGGATGACCCTGCCTGCACAAATGCCATCCAACCCCAATGGCACGCCAGACACCCCATTGTCCGACTCGGGCGCGCAAACGCCCAACTCCGAAACTGCAACCACATTTGACGAGATCACTCGCTCGATTCACATTACCCGCACACATTCTGGCAGCAAGAGCCCCTCAGTAGCTTCGCCCAAGGAGCATAGTCGGGAGCGGATGTCAGTCAGCGGCGTGAGTGCGACTGACAGAACGAAGAATCGTATTAAGGGACGGGCTGGAGTCGTCATTGGGACTCTTTTCCTGCAGGCAGGAAGATGGCACGATGCCTTAAAAGAGTTGGTTGAAGCGACGAACAATGCACGCGCAGGTAGTGATTATATCTGGCACGGTAAAGCGCTGGAGTCCATTCTTCTTTGTCTCATAATGCTTGGGTGGGCAGGCATGGATTTTCAGGTCTGTGTTTAGATGTCAAATTGAAGCAGACATTAAGATGACCACTAACTTGGAATCTAGATTCCCTCAGTTCTCTACCCGGTTGCCGACAAATCTTCAAAATCGCATCGAGATTCTGTTTCTGTTCCTACAGCTGGCAACCGCATTATCTCCCTTCAAAACCTTGCAAACCTGTTGCCCGATCTTGCAAATAACATTCTGAATCTATACAATCGAGCCGCCCACATTACAGATGAACCTCTTCCACAGCTGGTCTTCTCCGAAACAGTCATTCGGTTATCAAGACTCTTGGTGTCAGCTCGGGTCCGTGATGGCGCGCTGGATGACAACGCTCTGAAACACATCGTCATGAACGAACCTCTTGTTCCTATACTTCAACCAGAGCTTCCACGTGGAACAGTCCTTCTTCGCAAATCAGAGCTTGCAAACTTTTTGTACCGAGCTCTGCCGCTTGCCCCTAGTGCTGACTTGCCTGCCACCGATGTAGTCCCCATTGTTGTGGGCGTGATGTCCGTTCTCAATGCTCTAGATTTGCCTCGAAAGAAAGCTTTCATCATGCGCGAGCTTCTCACTGTCATGGTACCCAGCTTGGTACAAGCACGGAAAATTGGCGCCGCAGAAGTGGGAATCCACCCGGCCGCGGGATTAGCATCTCTTAGCGATACCGCCTTTGATGTGAATGCCCTTGACATTGGCCCAGGAAACATGGAAAGAAGTGTGCGTCTTTTGCTTGCCACCATAGGCGAAATATATGGAGTTCAGCCCTCGGCCTACTATGAGTGGGAGAAGCGACAAAGCCAAGCATCCGCACTTGGTGGATCAGAAGGATGTCCTGATTATGAATCGGTTGCTGGCATTGCAGAGCGATCTTTTCGACATGTGGTTCTTGATAGATATGGCGATCTCAATCTCAAGATTGATGTTCTCAAAGCTTGCATTAACTGCTGTGAAGCCTTACCCGACTTTGAAGGCGTGCTTCGTTTCACAGTGGAGCTTCTGCAGACCATTCGAGGGGATCTGATGATAGGAGAAACAAACCAAATGCCCCCGTATCTCCCCCGAGAAGAGCAAGTCCGTCTCTTGAACAACATCAAACGCACCGTTGGCGCAGCAAACCGGCTAGGTGCGTCTCATATGACAGCAGAGTACTGGGATGATTTCCTCGTTCGTGACGTACAGCTACTAGCACTACCGGATCCCAGACGACCTGTCCGGCGGTCCAAATCAGAGTTGCATGCTGTCACCGCTGGATCAGAAAAATCGAAAAAGGATCCTTTCCTATACAACCCCTTCGCGAAACCCAGCAGCAAAGCCTTGGAGATGCTGAGTGTGACAGATGAGCCTGCCTCATACCGGGTAACCCTCCAGAATCCCTACGAATTCGAAGTTGAGATCGAGCACTTGCGACTAGAGAGTACGGGTGTGGATTTCGAGGCTGTGGCAGAAAACATCATTCTCCCTCCATTTTGCCTGCAAGATGTCATCGTCCCGGGCACCGCTCGTGAGGAAGGAAACCTCACTATCACTGGCTGTATCGTCAAAGCGCGAAATTGCCGAATGCGAAGGTTCCCCATATTTAAAGAATTCTGGAAGCCTGAACCTGATGTCAAATTCAAACGCACAGGGCTGGCTTCGAAAAAGCCGCTATCAGAGCGGCCGGTGTCTTGGGCTTCAGAAACCTCCAAAGATGGAAAGACATCAGTTAAAAAGGGTCCTGAGGCAGTGACTTGTGAAGTTAAGGTCATCGGCAAACAGCCATCCCTTTTGATTGAATCAATGTCGCTCTCACAGTCAGCAATGATGGTTCTAGAAGGAGAGATCAAGTCATTTACCATTACCCTTCAAAATACCTCTTCTTGCCCCGTGGACTTTGTTTTGTTTACCTTCCAAGATTCGACCACCCGGCAACTTCAATCGGCTCTTAAGAACAGGGATCTTTTGCCAGTGGAAATCTATGAGCTGGAGCTGAAGTTGACAACTCAGCCGGCCCTACGATGGCGCCGTGAGGGTTCTAACTCGGAAGACCACTCTATCCCGGCGGGTCAAAAGGCTACTTTCACGGTGGATGTCCTAGGCAAGCCTGGCCTGCAGGATACTACTGTTCAGATCGACTATTCGTTCGTCGGGGCCAAACAGGCTGATCTGCCTGACATTTTCTATACTAGGCAGTTGTTTGTGCCGCTGACGGTCACGGTAAATGCCAGCGTAGAAGTTGCTCGCTGTGATATCTTGCCCTTCAGTGGCGATTTTGCCTGGCGAAATCACCTCGAACCCCCGTCGGACCCAATTGAGCAAGAAGATACGCCGTTGTCTGCCAGCGATCATGACCCATTCTCTCAGGTTCTTGCTCGTCTTGGAAATGGAACCTATGGTCCGGATCATTGTGTTGTATTGCTTGACCTCCGAAATGCATGGCCAAGTCCCGTATCTGTGCAGTTGCGGGTTGGCGAGCATTCCGCGTTGTCAAAGGACATCCATACTGGCCAGTATACCGTCGATGGACACCTTCAACCCGGCCAAACCTCCCGGTTTGTCCTCGTACTCCCGCGTGTCTATCTAGACAACCCTCATGCCTCTATTCCCGTCGTCAACACAGGCACTCGAAGACAATTTGTGGTCAGCGTCAACAAGTTATCCTTCGAAGCAGAGGCAGCCTCTCGCGAAGCTTTCTGGTTCCGAGAAGAGCTACTGAAGAGAATGTCCGGACACTGGAAGGAGGCCTCTACAGGCCGTGAGGGCACCATTGACCTTCGGAACATCCGCCTCAATGCTCGCATGGTGGAAGCCATGCGTCTCGAGGATGTTGATATTACATTTGCTCTCTCTTCGCCCTCTGATCCCTCCAACCCTGAAACTTCTCAGAAGGTCACTCAGACCGGCCGCTCCCGCTTCCGAGCTGAATCAGACGATCTCCTTACCTTGTCCGTCACCATCCGTAATCGATCTTCGCGTCCAATTCACCCGCTTCTCCGCCTTCAGCCTAGCTTGCGACATCAACCAAATAATATCGCTCTGGACCTCACACGCCGTCTGGCATGGACTGGAATGCTCCAGCAGTCCCTCCCAATCCTACCAAGTGGCGCGTCGACCCAGGCCTCCATCGGCGTGACGGTGCTTAGCCGTGGTGAATACGAGTTTGGTGCTAGTGTCGAGGAAGCACGCGTTCTGTGGCCCTCTGATTCCCCTAATAAACGGGAGGACGACTCCAATGCTCATGATGATGTCGTCAAGGACACTTTCGGAGCGGACGTTGTGAGACGACGCCGCATCTGGCATGCGATGGAGACTTGTGTCATCCATGCCCGCTAATAAAACCCTGTTAACACCTCTTGTGCCACCTTTTGTCTTTATGATCATGCCCACTTTGTTCCCTCTTGTCTGTTTTCTCACGATATACATAGATTCCATTGCATGATTCATGTCTATGCCATGTCCCCCCTATCACAAGCCTAATCTGGTAGGTTATGTAGTATGTCTCTTTTGGGTATACTTTACACTACATAGTGTCACCGAAGTACATACAGTACCTTGAATTCAATACTTGAAGATAAAGAGCTCACGTTTTAAATAGAGTGAAGGTAGTCTCTTGCTAGGTTTTAGTTGAGGAGCTTTAATTGAACAACACGAATGTAGTTGAACACCTCTCTAACACATTTAGTGTCCTGCGGTTATTGGAATTCAGACAAAAGACTATTGTTCCTGATTCTCCAGGCCTCAAGAAGCATATGGCGTCGCTTCATTGAAGCCAACATGCAACATAGCGCTTCATTTCGGCGGAGATATAGGCAAGAAACGGCGGCTTAGTATCATTCCTTGATCAGTGTCACATTCCGATTTGGCTTTGGGTGAATAAGTATCTAGGCATGTACTTGTTGAAATCACTAACACTACGTGGCGTTCAATTTGACATTGTTTCACTTCCCCTTCGAGCCTTGGCTAGCGCAACGCCTTAATTTTAAGCCAAAGGATTTGGTATCTTGCAAGGCCGAGTTCTCTGAAACATGGATCGGGTTTCGAGAGATTCGGGTTTCTCAGTCGATGCCCATTCAAGACCAAGCCTCACATGGTATGAGACCCAGTCATAGATCATTACCGGGCAGAATGGCCCGTAGGTAGAAGTCGGTAGGGGCGCAGCAAGCGGTACATGTAGCAAACCTGACGTGTTGAAGGATCGATCTACATACGCTTCATCCCGCATTGCTGCCAGCGTCATTGCCTTCAATCTGTGCAGATGACCTTTCACCTGCCCCAGGCTGTGTTTCCCCCAACGGGAAACTGAGATGTTTCCAATCCTCGATCTCCTCAATGATACACTTTAACCTATCCCGAATACTTTCAACAGCGTAGGTACCGAGAATCAGTCGTAAGGGAGGATAAGAACAGTGCCCCAGTTCCCAGACAAGGTGGGCCGCTTTCACCGCAGAAGCAGGCTGCTTATCACCAAGCCACATAAGCATGCGCCGAGCATGCGCAGCAGGCGAGGTCGATGTGTTATAGGGCTCGCTGGGCTTCTTGACCAGGAAATGACCATACAGGGGCAACGGCGAGGAGAGGTTGTGCTCGGAGGGATTGGCAGCCATAAACGAAGGCGAGACTAGATCCCCAATATCGTCACGCCGCATATGACCGGGCTCAACAAGAGTTCCCTTGATGTTGAAGCTATCCACTTCATACAGCATGCTTTCCATTAGACCCTCGACAGCATACTTCGACGCGCAGTACGGTCCCAACCCTGGCACCCCAAGCGCGCCGGACGTTGAACTGAAGATAAGATACCGGCCTGCCCGCCGTTCTCGGAAATGCGGCAATGATAGCTGAATCATATTCAAAGTTCCTGTAAAGTTTGTCTCGAATTGATTGCGGATATCGAACTCGTCTTGGTCTTCGCAGGCCCCGATCACGCCGTACCCGGAACAATTGGCGATCACGTCTATGCGTCCGAAACGTGCGATGGTCTGATCAATTACGCGCTTGACGGTCTCGCGTGCGCGTACATCGCATAATAGGCCGAGGCAGTTCTCATGTTCGTCTTCAAGCTCTTTCATGGCCTCCGGGCTGTTCTCGTAAGTGCGCCCTACGGCTGAGACTAGATCGTTGCGCGAGAGGGCGATTTTGACGAGTGAGCGGCCCATGTGGCCTGTTGCGCCGAAGATCTGAAATTATTGAAAGCAATTTAGCATCCAGATTCATTCGTATTCGCCCTTGCATTCAATTCGATGTTGTAGGTTGGGCGCGTAGAGCCAAAGTGGGGTTGGGGTAGGATAACCACCTACCAGCCATACGAGCGGTTTTGGGGGGTTCTGGGGGCCTGGAGGATCGGTAGTGGAGGGGAGATGTAATCGAGGCTCGCGAGAGGCAACCGGAGAGGTGGGACCTCCCCTTTGAGGGGAATTCTGGTCCATGGCGCACAGAGAGGGATATGGAGGAAGCAAAAGTGGGAAGGTCAATCTCGGTCTCCGCATTGTCCGGGGTGTGACCCACATTACGCTACAGATGTTATGGAAAGCTAAATTCTTGATCAAAGTTTATTGGGAGAATAGAGGTTTCAACTCGGTATAACACCGTTTGCCAATATACGCCCGGTTCCTATATATCACTTAACGTCCAACTTCCCGTCGGAGCCGTCCTGCAGCTGTCGAGGGACCGGGCTCTGGCCAGCTGCCGACAGCATCGTCGACCTCTTCCAGGAATGTAGTGCTATTGTGGACCATAGTGCCACCTAGGACAACGCGAACACCAGGAGAGCTGGCATTAACCTGTGCGACCATCTTGGCCTCCTCGTAGGTGGTGCCGCCAACCATGAAGATGATAATATCCTGAGGCTTGTCGCGAGTATGCCCGCTGCCTTCCAGGAATGGGTATTGCATCTCCTTCAGGCGGCCCTTTATCAGATTCTGAAGAGTCACCTCCAGTCGTGGTGAGTGCTGAGTGTAGACATTTTCGACACCCTTGAGACCCTTGAAGCGGTCACGAGCACCAGAGAAGAATGATGTAGATTCGAAAAGATCGGAAAATCCACCTGCGACTGGTGGTGCTTGCAGAGAGTGGTGGTAAGCAAGAAGCTTGGAAATAATGTTGACTTTATTAGAAGGGACGTCGCCTGCCGTCACAAGTAAGTCAAGCAAGACCGGTAGGGAACTATTCGGTTGCTTCTCATAGCGAAGCGCATAGAGAGCCACTAGACGTATCTTATTTTCAGCGGGCACGTTTGGCAACTGGATAATGCGTTGCAGCGACTGGAGTGAACAGGAAGGTTAATACAGCTCCGAAGCTTACAGAACCCGCTGTACATACCTTGAGGTCATTGGAGTGATTATCACTGCAAGCCAAGCTTTGCTCCAACTCACTCACATCCAGCAAGCTATCCTCGCCCACACGACGGCTTAGCTCGCCGACCAGGGTGACATGTTTGCTGACGTTGCCCGAGAGCTTGCGGAATTCTGGATAATCCTCCACAAACCGCTTCATGTCGGTGATAGATTCGATATTCATGTTGCTCTGCGTTTTAGTCTGGTATTGTTCCACGTATTCTTTGATATTCTGGCCAAGATCGCCGAAATTCTGATACATGTTCTTCTTGAAGAACGGGTCTTGGTCTTGAGCGAGCACGATTTCCTTGAGCTCCGGTCGGATCTCTGGCACGTCCTGCAGGTCCACTCGTCCATTTCGGATGCCAAGCAGCTCATGCACCATGGCCTGATATGTCCATTGCGTAAGTAATGGGGTGATGGGGTCATCGCGGCGATCCAAAATAAGCAGGATTGGCGGTGTATCCGTCCGGCGGAAGTTGAACAATTGCTCCTCCTGCGTGAGGTGGTACCGAACTTCTGTAGCGAGTTTGCGGGCCATCAAACTGTTCTTTTCGTAGCGAATCAATGGATTCTTTTTCAAGGACAGTAGAAGTGCCAGCACCCCCTCCGTGCCTCTTTGCAGCGAATCCGGATTCCATAGGTCGGGCGAGTGGCTCCAGAGCTTGCTTAAGGGGAATCCCAGATTCATAGAGCACAAGTCCGGATTGACCACCAGAAAGTCGGCGAATTGTTCCTGCACCGATTGAACGACCTCATGGCTATCAGCCTCGGCAAGGCGCTCGAGGGATGATTTGCGGATGATGTTGCTTAGGTGGATGTAATATTCACCGTATTTAGGGTCTCGAAGCTCATCGACTAGGAGCTGAATGGAGCTTGGGGAAGGGCGTACAAACACCAGACATCGCAGATGTCGCATTTTCTCGCGCGCGGCATTGTCCAAGCGATCAATGAGGTAGACTTCGTGATTAAGGAGGGCAGATTGGGTGATGGCGGTCGAGACAATGGGGACCTATCACCAGGAAGTCAGTAATCTTCAATCAAGGAAGCTAGTTTCATTGCATTGTGCCCACTGTCTCACTATCGAGAAGCAGGATCTTCATCTTGGCGGATGAAGACCCCGAGGTTGACTCGCCAGCCGTCACCATCTTGGAGATGTAGCCCGAGACGGCTGCGACAACATCCATAGTGGGGAGAATGCGCCCTGGCGCGTGGGGCAGCAAATAGAAAAGGAGTAGGAAGATCGGTGAGGAGCTTCAAAGCTTTAAGACAGTGGAATCACCACGGAGGTTGTTACCGTGTTGGCGTATGGGAAGTGGAGAAGTGATTTAGTTGTTGAATGTTGGGCGTATCCGTGTCCCACATGACAATTTCCAAGTTGATCCCTTGACCTTTTTTTTTTTCTTTTCTTGTAATTCTTCTCCTTTTTCCATTCTACCCATGAACTCATCCTGAAGATACGGCTTCATTCTTTTTGGGTCGACATCATGTTGTCCTTTATAGACAGCTGTTTGTGCTCCTCCTATTGAATTGGAGAGCTATAGAGCTCTCCCCAGACAACTGGAACTGACTTCTCCCCGCAGTATTCGAGATTCCTGCGCAACTCACAGGCGCCTCGGTGGATGAGCGTACGTGATTCTCCTTGGGCACAAAAGATGGTGTACAGCTTTCTAACTTGATTTACAGTCAAGCTGATCGGCTCGTTCCTACTCTCTTATCCACTGGCCGCTGTGCTGAAGCGCATCCCCGACGCTCAGCCGTGGAAGAAGAATGCCTTCATCATCGGTGCTTCGCTCTTTTACATTATCGGACTCTTTGGTCTCTGGGATGGCCTGCGCACACTTCTGTACAGCGCGGCTGGAACCTACGCCATCGCATACTATGTGGACGGCTCGCTGATGCCCTGGATCGGGTTTGTCTTCTTGATGGGTCACATGTCGGTCAGCCATATTTACCGCCAAATGGTGGATGACGCTGGGGTAGTTGACATCACGGGAGCTCAGATGGTGCTCGTGATGAAGCTGACTTCCTTCTGCTGGAACATCCATGATGGCCGCCTGCCGCAGGAACAGCTCTCCGACCCCCAGAAGTACTCGGCCATTGCCAAGTTCCCTGGCATTCTGGACTACGCTGGCTATGTCTTGTTCTTCCCATCGCTGTTTGCCGGTCCCTCCTTCGAGTATGTTGACTACCGTCGCTGGCTGGATACCACCTTGTTTGACATCCCACCGGGCACTGATCCATCCAAGGTGCCTGCGACTCGCAAGAAGCGCAAGATCCCTCGCAGTGGTACCCCGGCCTTCAAAAAGGCCGTCATCGGACTGCTTTGGATTGGCGCATTTGTTTACCTCGGTGGAATCTTCACTACCGACTTGGTGCTTTCGGATAAGTTCTTGACGTTCGGTTTCCCGCGCCGCATGCTCACCGTGTATCTTCTTGGCTTCACCTCTCGCCTGAAGTACTATGGCGTGTGGTCTCTGACTGAGGGCGCCTGTATCTTGTCTGGTCTAGGATACAACGGATTCGACCCCAAGTCCGGCAAGGTGTTCTGGAACCGTCTGGAGAACGTCGATCCCTGGGGTCTGGAGACGGCTCAGAACTCGTACACCTACCTTGGTAGCTGGAACAAGAACACTAACCACTGGCTGCGCAACTATATCTACCTGCGCGTTACTCCTAAGGGCAAAAAGCCTGGATTCCGTGCTAGTATGGCCACCTTCGCAACCAGCGCTCTCTGGCACGGCTTCTACCCAGGCTACTACATGACCTTCGTGCTCGGCTCGTTCATCCAGACTGTGGCAAAGAGTATGTACCACCTAATTATTATCCCTCCTCGCGCAGCGTCTCACTAACATGCTCTGCAGACTTCCGTCGCTACGTCCGCCCCTTCTTCCTAACCCCTGACGGCTCCAAGCCCATGCCTAACAAGCGCTACTACGACATTGCCAGCTGGGCAGCCACTCAGCTCACCCTCGGCTTCACTGTGATGCCCTTCGTCCTCCTCAACTTCAAAGACTCCGTGGCTGTTTGGTCCCGTGTCTACTTCTACGGCATTGTATGGACTATGACCTCACTTGTCGTCTTCGCCTCCTTCTCCCCAGTCAGGGCCGCTTTGGTCTCTAACCTGAAGCGTCGGAACCGACCTCATGTGATGCGGACCGTCAGCCAGGAGACTGTGCGTCCACCATCCCTGGGTCTGCCTAATGATCCTGAGCGTGACTTTGACGAGGCCGTGCAAGAGATCAAGATGGAGATTGAGTCCCGGCGCCGCCGGGGTAGTGTGGTCACCATGCCCACCGGTGAAGAACTGAAAATTGCCGTCGAGCAGAAGATTGGGCGTAAGCTGTAAGGATTTCATATAGATCTACGTTGCGTCTGTATAGACTTAAGTTCATGGTGTGCAAGTTATCATGTGTTGCTGCTGTTTCAAGACTGAGTGATTATACGTTTTATGTCTATTGTTTTATGTCTATTGTTGTGGATTCATGTTACCTTACTGGCATTACGCATTGCAGATGATAAACAAAAGTGATTTTTCCTACTTAAAGGTGCCTGTAATTGTAAATGCTACATTTGTCCTAAACCAGGCTCACTATTACTTTTAATTCAGTCATAGCCGCTATGTTTACGAGAATACCACAATCCTGGAAGAGCCAGCCCCCTTCACCCGTTAAGAAACGTCTGTAGAACCAGACTCTCGCGATTAAAGCCTGACTAAGCTTTTAGGACCCGTGGTAGATTGAAGGGACTTGGTCATTCATCTTTCTTTTTTTCTTTTCATCGGAACGTGGAGATTGTGACCGGGGAAGGTGACTGTGCGAGTGACAAGGCTTTGCTCCAGCATCTCAGCGACAACCCGATCAATCAACAAGTCACCGAATTCATGCACATCAGCTGAGATTGGGAGCAACCGAAAACACAGCTTTGATTTCAAACTTGTCTATCCAGGGAGAGTGGCTCTTAGCAAATGGTCTACTTTACTCGGATTCGGACTCGGGTTCGGATGCGTTGAATGTTCAATCCTTCCAGCCCATATGCTCTCGATACACTTAGGTGGTGTCTAGAGCTGTCTGGGAAGTGCACATTGGTTCTAAGCTAAGCATTCTCTGTCGCCAAGAAAGGGATTCTATGGCTGGTTCTGGCTAATTTGAAAGGAGAGCCACTGGTACGAACTCTCACACCGCCGTATAGTCATAGACTAGTATTATTTAGTTCCGTATATTTCTATGTGAACTAGGATGAACAGGAAGCCCGAGGACATGTCGGACTTCTGAAACTAGATACACTAGATGGGGACAAGGTAGGGGCTTGTTGTTATTTTCTAAACACCACCTTCCAACCTAGTATCCCTGGCAGCACCAAAACAGGCATTCTCTCCATGGCACCTTGACGCAGTCTCTACAACTTCAGGTACCGGCATTGATGATGCAGTGCCGTTACTTCGTAAGAGGTTGGATACACCTGGCTGACAATGGCAGGGTATGGCTAGTGTCTCAGTGTGAATAGCTCGCTAATGGCGGATGACTTTGCATTTTGACAAAAAGAACATAGATACGCTACATGCATCACCACTGGCCGTGGCCATGTGGGCAAGGAAAGGCTATTTGTCACTAGATGAGACGCTAACTCTTTGAGCGAGAAGGACCTTTAAGCAGAATAGTGGAATGCATTTTGTTCAAGTCGTTCACGCACGTAATTGGTATGAAGTGTGCTCAGGTCTACTCACTGAGCAAAAGCCGCAAGAAAGCACTATTATGATAGGGAAGCCAAAATAGAAATCTGTTACATAGAGGTAAAATGAAGTAGAATGTCAAGAATGAGATAAGGCAGCAGCTGCTGGGGAAGAAAGCTCTCAAATGAGAAGAATTCAAGTAGAAATATAGTCACAAACATTGAAGGGGGAATTATGTATGTGCGTACAGTCGTTTCGTGCAGTCGTATTCAATAAATGTCCAGCGAAGAGAAAGGATAAATCATGGAATCAGAAGAATGTCTGAAGGGGTTGGATAAAGTGAAAAATGGCCAAGGAAAATAAACACAAGTCTGTGGGTGTCATTGTAGCAAAAGTAATAAAGACGAGTCCGAGTTGGGGAATATGAGTAAACGAGGCTCCGAAATGGGATCAAAAGAAAGAAATGAGTCGAATGCAAAGACCATATGAAAGAAAAGGTCCGAGTCGTGAAAGCGTACAAGATCGAATGTTGGATCGTGGAGAGAAATGTATGCGACAGAGCAAAGCAAATACAATTAGAAGCCAGTGGTTTTACCAATAGCAGCAAGCGTGATCTAAAGACCGTTAGACATGTGGGGATACCAGGGAGTCAAAATCAACTTACGACAATAACGATGATCACAACTCCAAGAGAAATCATCCACCGGTTGAGATTTCGCCACCAACGTGTGTTATTATACCGTCTTTGTTGGAGGCCCATCAACTGAGACTCAAGAGCCATTTCCACATCATCGTCAGACTCAACCATTTCGGGTGCCATCTTTGGCTTAGGCGGCAAAGGAAGAAAAGCGGCAATGATCCAGGCGAGGGGAAAGATAAATCCCACGCAGAATGAGTAGACTTGGATATTCCTCCGACCAAAGATGGGTTCAGTCGTGGAGTCGAATGAAGGAGTTGTCCAGGCGCTGGCCGAGTGCTGAATGTTACGTCGATCAGTGAAGAGATGCGGCGACCAGCTGTGTCGTAATCGGTGACGATGTGGTCCAACCACTTCTCCATCCTCAGGTTCTGGGGATGCGACCCAGTGGGCGCGTGGGTCTCGGGGGTCACTGTCAATGCGTCGCTGAGCAAAGTGCACTCGTTCAGGCCGTTCAGGCGAGCGATGACGGTCTGGAGAACGAGGGCGAGGGACATTGAGCGGATTGGGCACGAGGTTAAAGACACTGGAGTTGCTGGTTCCCGGACGACCGGAGGATGGCCGGCTGGGGTCCATCATTGACAAAGTCGGGTGCATTCCGAGGGCATCTGCCCGGTAGTATATCTTCGCCCATGTTGGGAGAATGTGCATCAAAGTACTGGAGCCAGTGCCCGGGCGCTTGAGGCTACGCAGGCTGTTGCTTCGCAGGCTGTTACTTCGCAAGCTGTTGCTGCGCTTGGAGCCTGAAGACAAGCTATGCGGGAAGCCATGGCGAGTCGGGAGGTTTGTCAGGCTGTCCAAGTGCTCGTCATCATCTGCGTCGTTCACCAACCAGACAGTGGATTTGCTGGTCTTCGAATTCAGTGCCAAGGATGACGGGATCGCAGATGACACGATCGCTGGCTCCGAATCCGTGCTCGAAATGTCTGCCTCAACGGGTTGGTCCGCAAATTCCTCTGCAGACCAGACCGACGATACTCGGGACAGATGAGGATTCCAGCGGCCGGAAGCGGGACCAGGGGTGAAGTCGCGGTCTGAAGAGTCCGAAGTCTCTGCTCGAGAGCTTGATGATGGACCACGGATCCTGGGATATTGAATCGGAACACCACTATCCATAGCGGTCTGGATGTCTGACACCGAGCGGAGACTGCGCGAGGACGATGTCGCAGACCGCGATCGGCTTTCTGAGAGTCGCCGTGATGCTGTGCGGAACGATGCCACCGATTGCGTCGGAGGACTGGAGTGAAATGACGGTGAACGGGAGACGCTGGGTCGTTCTGACGAAGCTGCGAAGATCCATTGCGCTGCACCAGCATGTCTCACCGCGGTTCCTCGAGAGTTCCATGAGGAGAGCGAGTCAGTTCGTGGATCAGAATCTGGGTTGGAACCAGGGCCTCGAGGGAGGAAGTTGACACTTGAATTATCCAGGGTGACGAAGTTAGGGCTGGATGGAGCTCCAATGGGCTGGATGTTGGGACTTGAGTACCCCAATGTTGATACATCCTCCGGCTCGGACTTTGGAGACGTAGGTGGTTCTGATACAACCGCTTTAATAGTTGGCGTCGCGGTTGGCAGCACAATCAAATCGTCATCTGAGAATTCGGCCTCCGATCCATCTGAATTGAAGTCGTCCGGCTTGGCTGATGGGAAGTCCGGTAAGGAAGACTTGCTAGATGTTGGGTCTTCATCCCACATCTCCGGCGGCGAGTTGCCTGGGTCCACCGTTGATGTATCCCACTCGCCAACGGACTGCTCCCGCACGCTGCTTTCCGTGCCATGGCTGAAAGTCGGCGACCAGGTCGATGATGAAGGGCCAGCATGGGCATACCTCAGGCCAGTGTCTGCAATGTACTGCTGCTGGCCTTTGCCAGGAATTGGTAGTAAAATCTGCTCTGGTTTTGTCGGAAACGGTGTCGCCATATACATTTCGTTCACATCTTCTTGAGTCCGAACCCTATGCAGGGATCGAGTGGGCGATCTTTCGTTGGTATGAGCAGAACTGCGCTCTTCTAAAGCCCTCCGTCTCCGAGGAGGCGGGGAGGTTGACTGAAGGTGAGAAGGCATATCGAAACAATTAAAGCATAATCCAAAAGTCGAGAAAAGGACCCGTTAACGAAGATAACCAAGTCGAAGTCGAATAGAAAACTAGAATAAACAATGACGTTGAACCCGAAAAGACTGTTTGTTTTCCTGGAACGAATTCGGATGAAAAGAATGTCAGATCCTCTAGCTGATATCGATAACCGATCTATCCGGTTGAATGAATGTCGTTTGGTAAAGCACCAAAAAAAAAAGAGCGTGATAAAAGAATGACGAGATATCAGCGTGAGAGGGGGTATGAAAGAAAAAGAAGTCGTTTCAGTACATTAAAAGAGCGTCAAGCATGAACAGGGTCATTAAACAAGTTTCAAAATAACGACAGGCGCACAACGACCGAAAAACAACACAGGAGCAACATGAGACATTGAGGAAGATCAAGGGGGAGGAATTTTGTTGCCCAGCGGCGGTGAAGCGCCCACGAACGACAGAAACCGCAGCAAATCGCTCCGCCGCCTATCATCGTTCGCCAGCTCATGCACCGCTGCACGGCCCACCGCCATCATCACTCCTTGGGTTCCCCTTGACATCCTATATATTCTGAAGTCTGATCTGATCCTGACATCCTGAGAATTGTTCCATGTCCTACATCTCATGGTTCATGGCCGATCGAGCCATTGGTATATGGAGATCCAGAATGTCGCGATTCAGGCGGGTCCAGCCCCGGGTGGATCTCGATGAGTTGTCCCTGTTAGCGCCGCCGTTATGAGGGGAAATCCAGACTCTACTAATTGTTCGTTCCCTCGCAGATTCCAATTTTAAATTGTTCAATAGATGTCGGGGGATTTGTCCCACCTGCTATGAACACTCGTGAAATCGGAGAATTAACCCACGATCCCCTCGCATTGACTCAGGGAAATGAGGATGGGTTCGTACAGGGATACCCTGCAGCTGATGCATCATACGTACTCGTGAGGCGCTTGGTCCATGTGTTCTGGACGAGAAACCTTTGCCGTATTATCCAGAAATCAGGACCTTAAGAGGGAGCTACTAGAGTCTATTTACTGATCTGTTTACTTTGTATATAAATCTTGTTGCGATTGTTCCAAGGTTCAAATACCCACAATACTTGTAATATAACGCTGTCGTACCAATTCCCGCCCCCAACTCCCCACTCTGTCCGTTGCGATGCACTCCTGTTCTGTCACGTTCTGTCAAGGTCCAACAAAGACCGGTCGAGGCGTCGTCGTTGCCTTAAAATGCCAACTTTTTACAAACCTTCATCCTTACTGATCGCCTAGTTGGCTCATAACTAGCTATGGCTCCCGTCGACGTTATTGCAAGTCTGAAGAGCCTGTATACTAAACATCGGGGTGAGTTTAATTTGGGATTTTTCCCTACTAATATTTTTCTCCGCAAAGTTCAGACAGGTCAGCTAACCCCGTCCAGATGAGCCGTCTCTGTCGGTACACACCATCGCACTGCTCTCGGTAAATGAGTACCTCGATCAATCATTAGTCCCAATTTCTAACCTTTGGCACTATTCAGGTCGCCCTTACTTTGTCCTATGTAGTGCCTCTCTATTTGTCGCCGACCACGCGGCCATCTCCCAACCTTAGCCGGGATGCTCCATCGGTGATTCGCGCGCGGATTCGCGCTGTCACGGCCTCTTGTATCCTAACTTCGGTGGCTGTACTTTGGCTCACTGTCAGCCAGGGGAATCATTCCCTTGGTTCGGCTATCACCTTAATGGGCTGGTGGCCCATCAGTGTGAGCGACATTGCCCGCAGCTTGCTCCTGACGGCCATTTTATTCATTGGCCCGCTTTTTGAGCGAGGGATCGTGGAGAGTGAATGGCGATCCTGGTTTCGTCTCAGTAAACTCTCCGAAAGCCTAAGTGGCTGGATTGGATGGAGAAATTACATTGCTGTAAGTTTTTTCCAATTTCTATTATTCTTTTTTTTTTTTTTTTTTTTTTTTTCCTCTTGTTTTTTGGTTGTCCCTGTGGGAAATGAATGCATCCAAACGGTTCGATCACTAACGCATCTCAGGGCCCCGTCACTGAGGAAATCATGTTCCGCTCGGGCATCATCCCTTTGCACCTGCTGGCTCATGTCTCCCCAGGATACATTGTGTTTGTCTCGCCGCTGTACTTTGGAATTGCGCATGTCCACCATTTCTATGAGTTCCGTCTTACTCACCCGGACACCCCGGCGCTGGCCGCTCTACTACGCTCTCTCTTCCAGTTCGGCTTCACCACCGTCTTTGGATGGTACGCCACTTTCGTCTATCTGCGTACATCTTCTTTGCTGGCTGTTATCCTGATCCACAGCTTCTGCAATTGGTGCGGCTTGCCACGCGTCTGGGGTCGCGTGGAGGCTGGTGAACCTCTTGGTCCCCCGATAACCCGCGGTAAAGAAGATTCGGACGGTCGCTTTACGAGAGTTGGCGATGATCAATTGAGCATTGGTTGGACCATTGCCTACTATCTGCTCTTGGTCGCGGGTGCCGTGGCTTTTGCGCAATGCCTTTGGCCTTTGACCGACTCGTATCACGCTTTAGTTTCGTTCTCATCTACGACATCCTCGAAATAATCGACTTATTTTTTTTTTTTTTTTTTTTTTTTTTTGGCTAGGCATTAAGACCTCGATTTAGCCATTTGTCTTCTCTGTTACTTGTATGTATTCATGGTCCGACGCTGAGCGTCATGTGGGGAGTCTTTTCGGTTGTTGAGCCTGGGTCATGCAGCTTTTAAGAACATATTTTTTGCGCGAATAAGCAATTTAAATTGCACAGTATGATAGGCAGGCTAATGAACAAACTATGTTTTCAAATATCGTTAAACGCAAAATATCCATCTTGGTATTTCCAAGGTTCCAAGATTAGAACCGGTAGCCTGCATTGCTTGATATCGGTACCCACGTGGATATGCGTGGCGTCTCCGGGGCTTGCACCCCAGGTTTATATTTAAACGACTTGGTCATATCCACAAGTAATGGAAGTACCCATGAATTAAGATGTAGAAAGTATTCAAGAACCTTGAAGGTGAAAGATGTCCACTTCTCTGGGTTTGGATGCCCAGTAGGTTGATATATATATGCTAGGTCGATGCACCTGTGGGTGGTGATGTTGTGACTGGAGTGAAATTCACCCATTGCCCATGCAATCAACTTGAGTCTTACAATATATACTGAGGCTCAGACTGTAGAAATTATGACTGAATACCTACCTAGATACAGAGACGTATATCTTCAAACCAGGATTCATGAATGGGATCATAGTTACAATTCGGTGCCTGAGCGGTCGCGCGCGCCACCCGCCAATCAGAACACTCGAGTATTTGACTTCAGTGTACCAATTTATGGAAGCATGATTTAATCTTAGGTCAAGACATGTTCAGGTGATGCAAAATAGTATTAGACAAAGAAGGCTGTAACATCTACAAAATTCCATTTAACTGCAAATGCAAGACGACCAAAATCAAATTAACCAAGGGATGCTTAAAGAACACCATTGGACTTGGAACGCGAAGAGCGAATTCGAGAGTAATGATATAGGATTCAACATCCTTTGAGGCTTTGCGTCTTCAGCTGCTGCTTGCCGTACATTTATGGGTTAAATATAGATGGAGCACCTTGGGACGTCGACCTTTGCAAATGGTATCAAGCTCGCGTGGTGCCATGGTTTAGTCGGTATAACGGGATTATGGCTAATGTGGGGGAATATGCAGATCCCCGCAAACCGACCGAAGATACACCGATCTATGGAGAGCTCTGGCCGATATCACCAGGTGTGACACTCTGGATATACGGAAAAAACGACTCGGGAGGGAATTCGACCGAAATCGGCTCGGGAAGCCGGACGCTCTTTTCCTAGCGTTGACCCTTGCATATTCGTGAGGCTTAGGCGTTGAAGGTGGCTGCTTCAGGACTTGTGGAATTAGATTATGCTCCCTGCGTCGAATCTAGTGGTTAGATTGAGTGTGGGAAATCGATATGCTGATTTGCATAACATCTTCATGCGAGCTCCCTCGGGGCAACTTCGGGCCATCTAGCAAATGAGAAATCACGAATCAACATAGCTTGCTCACATCAAGTGATGGATTTCAAGTCCGACCGGAAACCCCCCGTGATAATAGCGAGACAATGATCATGTTATATTTGCAGCATATGAAGTCTCACGAGCCGGCTTGACTCGGATCTGGTTCAAAGGTACAGTTGGGCCATCATTTGTAGGTGGAAGATATTGTATCCATTGGTCAGAGTAGGCCTTTGTATGTTCTAGATGTAATTGTTTAATATCTATTCAAACTGTAGCCAACACATAACACAGATCTATTCATAATGGACAGTATTGACCAGCGTCCCAATCTTCTCAATCTCCACGCGAATGTCATCCCCGTGATTCAGCACCACCTTTGGATCGCGCATGGCACCAATTCCAGGCTCTGTGCCAGTCATAATGATCGTTCCTTCTCAAGCGTCGTTCCCTGGGAAAGGAACGATATGATCTGGGGAATAGTGAAAATCATCTCCCTGTTTTAACCCATATATTAGCGCTAGAGAATATAATAAATACGAATAAGTGTGTACCGTGTGTTCGAATCCTGCACCGTGTTTCCATTATGGATGGCTTTGATTGAGAGCTGATGGGGATCCGGGATGACCGATGGAGAGACCAAGATCGGGCCAATCGGACAGGAGTAATCGAACCCCGAGGGTGTCAGTTTGGAGTCCCTCATCGAAGAATTAATAAAGTACCTTTGGCGAATGACCATTGGCTGTTCTTCCACTGTTGAGCCCTCGCACTGACGTCGTTACTGGAAGTATAACCAAGCACGTAATCCATAGCGTCTTCTTCGGGGATGTCTTTCCCATCCTTGGAGAGGATGATGGTCAATTCGGCCTCATAGTCGCTTGTCCCATCCTGAGCGATCTTTGGCACGTTGATCCTCGCGGGATACGGGCCATTCAGAGCGGTGCGTGGCTTGATGAAAAGCACAGGCACATCTGGGATGGGCATATTGGCTTCCAATGCATGATCGCGGTAGTTGAGCCCCATGCAGCGAATGATGGGAACTTCCTCCATGCTGATAGGAGCCAAGATCTAACAAGAGAAATTAGTGATTCCCAGCCTCTCTATAGATGGTTGATTCGACCGTACCCGAGCGACGCTGGGAACCTTGTCTCGAACCACGCCATCAAAGATAGAGCCCTTGATCTCCTTGGCGGTCACTCTCTCCCCATTGAGTATGGCAAGTCCCACATCAGGGAATTCTGTCTCGTCCACTTGCCCTAAATGCACTTGTCCATCCTCTTCGGCAATGAATTGGATGAGGTGAGCCCACGTAGGTGCCATGTTGAAAATATTGATAGAGAAGGTTGAGCAAAAGACATTCTAGAAAGATGCAATTGAAATATATGTGAACTGATGAATCTAACGCGTCGTTACGATTTCGGGCAGAATGGTGCTGGTGAAACCCTATGAATGCGGGGAATCAGACCGAAGATAGTCCGACTCATCTAGAAGACAAACCATATGCCGTGAATTACGTCGACAAACTGTTAAGATAAAGTGTATGCTACTCGTCTCTAATATGAATCCAGTCTACGAGAAATCGCGCCAAAATGAATAGCAACAATCGTCGTATCAACTTAATGCGCATCGCGCATGTCTACTATACCCACAAGGACATTGCAAAAGCGAGCCAGTTTCTGGAGGACTTTGGCTTCCAGGAAGCGAAGCGTGTAGGGAAGAATATCTACTATCGCGGCACTGGCCCCGAGCCGTTTGTGTACTGCGCTAGACAAGGTGACGAAGATGAATTCGGAGGCGCGGCATTTGTCGTGGAGTCCGAGGAAGACCTTGAATATACTTCTCAGACATTGCCTGATGCCAGTCCGGTCACGGCGCTGACTGATGCGCCTGGCGGGGGCTACTATGTGACCTTCCGCGATCCGCTTGACCATTTCCCCTTCCATCTGGTCTATGGACAAGAGTTGCCCGACGGCAAGAAATTCCCTGCATCACAGTACAACCTGGTAAGTTGAATTTGATCTGAATCCTGTATTTGGCATTAACATGTCATAGCCAACAGAGAAATATCGATCGGTGAACAAGTTCCAGAGATTCGAGAAAGGTGAGTTGAAACAAGCGTGATGATGAATCCCCACTGATCGATGTAGGGCCGGCGCCTGTTCATAAGATAGGGCACTTTGGCATGTGCGTGACCGACTTTGCCAAGGCCTTGGACTTTTATACCACCCGTTTCAACTTCAAGCCCAGCGACGTGAGTGCTCTACCTTGTTGCATCCTATGCCTGTATTGATGTGGCAATAGCTGGTCTACGACGAGAACGGGCGCGATATCACCACATTCCTCCACCTAGACCGTGGATCCGAAAAGGTTGATCACCACTGCTTCTTCTTTTTCGAAGGGCCCAAGTCCCACGTTCATCATTCGTCATTTGAGACGCACGATTTTGACACCCAAAAGTTGGGACATGACTGGCTTCGCCACAAAGGCTATGAGAATTGTTGGGGCGTGGGAAGACATGTTACGGGCTCTCAAATTTTCGATTATTGGTATGGGTTCCGAAAGTCACTTGGGATTTGGCTGACTGGCCTAGGTTTGATCCCTCACGGTTCATTCTCGAGCACGACGTGGATGGCGATTTGGTGAATGACGAGTATCCAACCAACCGGTCGCAGGCGTCTCCTGATTCATTGCATGTTTGGGGTAAGTATTTAATCAATGCAAGTTATGCTACGGATGATCTAACCTTGACAGGTCCTGATTTACCACCCACATTTCTATTTTAGTTATTGTTGAACGCTGATGTCATTGGTATAATATGTGGCAGAGATGAGCCAAGACCATAAATGGCGAAGCTTAACCTTGAACTCGCTGTAAAAACACTTGAAGAGTAGATAAAAACCGATCTTCTTGGTTTTCGTGCTACTTAGTTTCTGAAACTAGGGTCATCTTCTACTTCACCATATATGCCAAGAAATCATGCGGATGTACTTAAAGATACATTTAATCTTCCCCTCCCCTAAGATTATTGAACCTATATCATATCGACCAATACTATAGCGTATCACGTTTCAAGTCTGGCAACGCTGAAGAGAGTCTTAAATTCCAGCCGAGGATCCTTTGATATTTACAGGACCAAATGCGCATTGCTTGGTCTAAAGACCAAATGGATATGAAGTTTGGAGATGAAACAATGCTATTGTACAGGTCTATTGAATTGATACAGTTTAGAATGGAGAATGATCAGTCGAACCGAGCGACTAAACTAGAACACGACGTTCATCAATTTGCCCTTGACAACAATGACTCGTCGTCTCTTTTCCCAGTCGTGCTTTTCGCGCAGCCACAGGTTACCTTCGGTAGTCTCCAAGACTCGATCGATGATCCAGTCTTGTTCTTCCTTGGAAGCAGCCGGGGCCTTGCCCTTGGATGAAGGGACTTCTTGAGCAGACGGCCAGCGTGGAATGGTGACCGCACAGCGGAGCTTTCCGTTGATCTGGACAGCTACCGTTTGACCACCGCGGGAGGATAGAGCCTCGGCTTGTTCAGAGGTGAGGAGAGCGGTAGGCCAGGGAGACGAAAAGACAGATGGCACGGGAGTTGCAGGTTCGGATGGCTTCATAACGGAGTCATGCAGTATTTCCCAAGACTCGGAGGCTAGTGCAGGGGCAATCGGTGCTAGGAGGCGGAGAAGGGCAGAGACAGATATGTAGAGGGCGAGGGGAGAGGGAGAAGGAGATGCTGAGGAAAGGGCATTGGTCAACTTGGTCAGATCCGAGATGACGGTATTCAGGCCGTAGGGGTTGCTCTCAATGCAGCCAGTGACAGAAGAGATGGTGTTGTGGGTTGCTAGGACAGCGTCCGCATCAGAGCTGCTCAGATCTTGGAGTGAGGGAGGCAGGGATATGGCGTGACCGGCAGAGTCCTTCAGATCGGCCACGGTAATGGCGAAGGACGCTTCAGCCAACGTTTGCTGTGTATCAAAGACAAGCTTCCAAAGCCGGCCGAACCAGCGCTCAACGCCGACAATTTTGGATTCGTCCCACTCCAGGACTTCGCTAACGGGAGCCGAGAAGAGAACGTGTGCACGGGTGGCATCAGCACCATACTTGGATGCACAGGTCGTAGGATCAACGCCATTGTGCTTGCTCTTCGACATCTTCTCGAATGAGATGTTAGGGGTGATTTGGGTGCCCGTAATCAAGGGCTTGTCAGGTTTTGTGAGATCAACTTCGTGCGGGAGTAAGAACCGACCCGTCGATGGCTCCGTAAAGGTCTTGCCATGAACCATTCCCTGGGACAGAAGCATCTTGAAAGGCTCTGCTACCGATTGCTCACCAGGTGCAGTGGCTGGGAATAGTTCTGACTGAGCGAGGAACTTGTAGATGAATCGGGCGTAGAGCAGATGCAGAATGGCATGCTCCACACCTCCAACGTAGACATCTACTGGCCGCGCGACGGACGGTGAGAATGGGGAATCTTTGTTTGCCGCGTCTAGGAAGCGGAGGAAATACCAAGAAGAGTCCACAAACGTATCCATGGTATCTGTGTCACGCTTGGCGGGACCTCCACAGCTGGGGCAATTTGTGTGAAGCCATTCCTCGGATGATTCAAGGGGATTTCCCTTCTTCCCCTTCAACCATTCACCTTGGATCTTAGGCAATTTGACGGGAAGGTCTTCTTTCGGCACAGGAACCGGGCCACACTCGCCACAGTGGATGATGGGAATAGGTGCACCCCAGTACCGCTGCCGGCTGATCAACCAATCTCGTAGCCGCCAGCTTTCCACAAAAGTGGCCTGTCCCTCTTTGCTGAGATCGTTGATAATCTGCTGTGCAGCCTCCTTGGAGTGCAGACCTTGATACTTTCCACACTGCGAGGTGAGAAAGCCCTCCTGCGTGAAAGCCTTCGCATCCTGGGCAGAAACCGCAGTGACATGTTCTTGAGATGGTTCTGATTCAATAACAACAGGAATTGACTCGGGGTTCGCGTTTTCCTTGAAGAACGCCATGTCTCTGGCGTCATGACCAGGCACACCCATAACTGCACCCTCACCATAATCACTGAGAACATAGGGCGCAACAAAGACGGGGAGATTTCTCGCCAATTGAGGGCTTTCATTGTCAATTTTCAGCAAAGGATGAGTTGCTGCAATTCCATTTAGGCGGTAACCGGCCTTGGAGTCGGGTGGAAGTAAAGATGCCTCATTCAAGAACTGGCGAAGGGAGGCGTCTTTCTCTGCAGCTTGTAGAACGATGGGGTGATCTAGTGATAGAGCCACATATTCAACACCGTAAAGGGTGTCTGGCCGTGTGGTGAAGACGTCAACGTGTACATTTGTGCCGTCAACATCCACAGGGAACCTGATCTTGGCGCCGTTCGATTTCCCAAGCCAATTCCGTTGCATGGATAGAACACGTTCCGGCCAACCCCCAGCAAGCGAGTCTAGATCCTTTAATAGCATCTCCTTGAAGTCCGTGATTCGGAAGAACCACTGTTTGAGATTCAGTTTCTCGACCTTGGCTCCAGATCGCCACGAGAAGCCATTGGCATCAACCTGCTCATTGGCGAGCACAGTCTTGTCGACAGGGTCATAGTTGACTAGAGCCTCCGCTTGGTACGCCAATCCTTTCTCATGTAGCATCAAGAATATCCGTTGGGTGTGCTCGTAGAAGTCCGGCGCACAGGTAGCAACTTCCTACGCAGAGCTCAAGAGTTAGTTGGTCGCATAAAAAGCCGCCGAGCCCCGCTTGGAATTTCACAACATACCCGATCCCAGTCAAATCCCGCTGATATACTATCTAATTGAGCCTTCATCTTCGTGATATTTTGCTGCGTCCATTCTGCAGGATCCACGCCGCGTTCAATCGCAGCGTTTTCAGCTGGCAATCCAAAAGCATCCCACCCCATCGGGTGCAGGACATCGTGTCCGCGCATCCTATAGAACCTTGAGAGCACATCTGAAATTGTATACACGCGAAGATGGCCCATATGCAGCGTGCCCGAGGGGTAAGGGAACATCGACAAAATGTATGACTTTGGTTTGGGCTCGGATGCGTGTTCGGTACTGCATGGCGGTGAAGTCGCGTCCAGTTTCCATTGAGCCTGCCATTTCTTGTCCAGTGCAGGAAGGTCAAGCTTTCGGGGGCTTGCAGTATTCGTGGCGAGGCGAATGAAGGCGTTCGTGGAGAGAGCGAATGGGCGCAGCCGGGGGCGGGCGTACCTCCGCGCCTGTGCGGCTAAAGGCGTCAATCGAATTCGGGAGAGAGTCTGCATAATGATAAATATCTCATTATGCTATAGCAAAGGTCGTACAATATCGGGCGCTCCAGCACCTCGTCAATGTTGGGGGTAAGTGTTGGTACTCTTCGTCTTCAAAACTTCCCCGGAGCCCGCACAGCTTTAAGCCCGATCGGGACTAGCGCCAGGTGCAATCAAGTCGGAGATCATCATTTCGACATCACGGCCATTATGTGCCCCCTCGAGGACTGAGATAGGGTATTTGCGTGCATGCTAGGGTGTGTCTGGTAATTTCCAGGCGGTTACGCCATTGCTAGAATCTCATTGACTCGCAAGGGTCGATTGAAGCGTTGTCTTGTTGACTTGAACTAAGCGCGGGTACCTATACAGTATGCTCTACAGTATACTCTTGAACACACACCCGAGAAATAAGGAAGCATTAATCCAGATAAACTGTAATATTAATGGGTTACTTGAATGCGGCTACCTTTAGCATATGTTGTCGGACTAATGTTTCTCATAAGATTGATCGATTTCCAAAGTTGAACCTACACGATCACTAAGGGAAGCCTTGCGGAGAGAGGTCTATTGTGATATCTATTCTTCTTCTTTTTGCAGATGACAATACAAACTATACAAGTACTAGACCTTTCGTCCAGCCTATAACCGCAGAATGTCCCCATTCCGGTCTATTCCGCCACGAAAGTGGTCTGCAACTACTCTGCCCCCAAGAATGGTTTCATCCACTATACCTTGCACATGCTTGGGCTCCACGCGGCCATACCAAATCCCCTTACCCGCCAGCGGGTGAGACTCTGAGCCTCCAATCGTCATCTTTGGTGGGATATATACAATGACATTGCCTGCGTATTTATGACCGCCAATGTGGCTGATCAGACCAATGTGGGCATGCTTGGGGTCGTCGATGGTTGTGCCATCGCTATTCGTGGACGTAAATCCTTGTGCTTGAAGCACACGCTGGAACTCGGTCTCAAGTGCGGGTGCCATGACACCACAGCGCATATCGCGGCCTCCATGTCCACAAATTAAAATGGTGGGCGAATTTTCAATGTCGATGATGCCCGTAAACTTCGAAGCCAAATCCGGGACCCGGGTCATATCAGCTTGCTTGGCCTCGGGCAAAGACGAGTGCATGCGATTTAGCTGCTCGGGAAGGAGAAATGCGCGGACAAACGTGGTCAAGTCGGTGGTGTTCGGAGAGGAGAGGATTTCGACTGGGATGGAGGGAATGTATTTGAAGCTGGGAAAGAGAAATGCGGAGGCGGTGGTGCGTTTGGTCGCAGCGGGCGCAATGGAAGTATTAGTGACAAGGACATTGTTGAAGGGCTGTATTGAGAGGGAGGCCAAGGTTAGCGACCGGCTTCAGCAAGCAGATCAGGGTATTCGCATACATCCAGATATGGGCCTCCGCGACCAAGCAGGCGCTTGAGGCCCCTTACGAGATCACCCCATCTATGGTTTTCTCCATCATTTTCAATGCGACTTGTCCAGTCTCTCTGTCCAGTACAAATCAAAAGCTGCTGCGCATATGCCGCCATCGTCCCGTTCAACACTTGCTCATGGTCGATCGGCAATCCTTCCGGCATAGATGGTGTCGACGGGCAGTTACATGTCGGTTCGGGGCATGCTTTTGTGACCGGGAACGGGGGAGGAATCTCGAGGCGAGCACGAAGCCTGCTTGGGCGGCATGAGGTGCTTGACAACAGGCGGGTCAAGTTGGGGATTTGATGGGCGCGCCCACTACAGCCGCGCACAAGCGACTGCACAGGGGTCGTTGATCGTAATCTCATTGAATAGGTGGTAATTATGGATGGAAGAAGAAATATGACATGGATTGAAAAGAAGAAATGCAATCTAATGTAAGAGACGCGACCTCGAAATGAAAGTCCGAAATCAACTTTCTCCGAGCGCGCGGAGCGGAGATTAGCGGGATTGGCAATCGCCGAGCCTGATTTGCTGCCCCCAGGTTTCCTTTCAACTCGCGCATATTCCTGTTCGCAACCAATGGATATTTCATGACATTTGATCATGATATGGATGACCATAAAATGATCTCTTTTTGTTCGCAAGGTAAGTGATGTATTGTGTCATTGGCAACCTTAGATTGACCATTTTCACGAGAGCGTGCTCAAGCCAAAATAATCTGTCCCCAGTATGTATAAAAAGTTCCTGCGCCTCGAAGAATTTATAGGGTGCATTTGGCTGCTCGGTTCAACGTCAATTGGTAGTGCTGGGCTCTTGAAACGAAACGTAGCGACGCGATCGGATCCATTGTATGGAGGCTGCCATATAGGAATCAGGAATCGATTAGTAGATGTGACCTCCAAGTCTGCAATGCCCCTCCCTTTGTAATTTTGCAAATGCTCGCTGGAAAGCCCAGGTCCTGCAGCCATGTTGTAGAGCGATTGGGCGATCTTAAGGCTTGCCGATCGGAGGTTACCAGCGGGGTAATAGTACCTACTCAAGCAGCGGGTCAATCATCAAAGATTAGCTATGATCCTCTTTGGAAAAAGCTCGCAAAATAATTCTTCCTAAAGCCGTGACCCTCACATAACGCGATTGCTAACAAAAGATCAGCCTGCGCTATGCAGCTTTCTGCCCAATGCGAATGATGGCCTAAAAAAGACAGAACTCATTCAGCTTCTTAGAACCACAATCGCATATTCCAGGAATGTCTGTGTCGTTTGTTTTGCGGCCATTAAATCGTATCCTGTATTTCAATCAATTCCACCACTGGATCGGACTCGCGAAAGCTCGGGGTTATCGCAGACGTCAAGTTCACTGATCGAAATCTCTGCCCATGGTGATTATCGATTTGGCGATGCATTTCGTGCAATTTGCGATTCTGCATTCAGGCGCTGATCATAGTAATAATGAAAGTCACTCAATGGGACGATCATGACAAGCCGTGCGCGCCCAATTCCTTTTGCGGAGAGGATCAAAACCCCCCTTGAGCGACTCCAAATTCTCCATCTGGTTATGTATTCCGCGGGCACAGCCTTGTCACGGACAGTGGACCCGTGAGGGTGAAATCCCCAACGCAACCACTCTCCTCACCGAAGCAGGGAATACGTGTCGCAGTGAGCGGGTCTGGAGTTGGAGAAAAGGCAAATGGCCGAAATTCGGCAGAAGCGCGGAAATGGTTCGGGAATCAGATCAGCCCCGGGGGAAGGGCATCTTCATGCAGAATCGAAGTTCTGTCATGATTGGAGCTTATGCTGACTCTGAACCAAGGTCCTCTGTACAAATGTGGACTGTTGGCTTGTGTTCTTTTTTTACTGAGAAGGTGAGAGCTACCCCTCATCAGTTCAGTAACCCCGCTGCGGGGTCAATTTGGGTTAGCGTCACGACCTTGAGGGCGTGGGCTGACAGTTGGAGGCGTTCTTGGGCATGTATACACCACTGTACTGTAGTGCTACTGCTATCGACACGGTTCCCGGGAGTGCTTCCGTCCGAGATCAGTCCTATGATAAGCCCACAAAGTAATGGTAGCTTGTAGTCCCGACAACGAGGTTCCCCGCACGCTATTATAGGATCATAGCTCAACTGCCTCCATCAGTCTTACTGTATCAAACAAACTCATGAGGAGACTAATGAAACTTCAAGAAGGTATCACACTAATGCAAGGATGACTTGGAACACGAGAAGCGCATTACAGTTCAGCCAGAGCACGAACCACAGAGTTTCCTCCCCCTCCTTTGTCCCTCATGCGGAGAGATCGGGACCATGAGTGGTTGAGTACCCCATCCGGCTACTCTCCCGTCCCGGGTCCCGCTTTGCTACACGGCGTGTTTTGGAATTGTGGCTTCTCAGGTAGATCTGTCCAAGCAAAAGAGGGGCTCGATTGGAGAAAGGGAAAATATATATAATACTTGTCCAAACCCGAGTACAGTTTGTCTCTTCTTCCATCTACTTCAAACTCTTCTCTCAATCCGGTACTTCTCATACTCGGGTAAGGATCAATCCAAGTGTCAGGGACATGTCCTGCATTACTCCCCCCACTCTCCCCGCTCAGTAGCCGGTTTACTCCAACCACTCTGACTTCATCGACTCAACCTTGTCGTTGATCATATAAAATGCAGTCGCTGACTTCCGTAACAGATTTTTTCTCTCTCTTCACATTTTCAATCAATTTTGATTTAATAATTCTTCACAATGGTATTTATTCGATCCCTTTCCCGTCAATTGCGACGGCCTGCCACCCAATTGTTCTCGGGGGCTTTTAAGCCTCCCGTCGCCAATGCCTTTGCGAGACCGCCAGGTGCCTTTGTCAATGCACGTACGCTAACCGCATCTGCCTCCCTCCAGGGTAAAGTTCTTTTGGTTCTGTACGACGTAAGTCAATGATGATCTTTCCATTATCCAAAATCCAGACGGCTGATTCATCTTTCAGGGCGGCGAGCACTCCAAGCAGCAGCCCGGTCTTCTCGGTACTACTGAGAATGAGCTCGGTATCCGCAAGTGGCTCGAGGACCAGGGTCACACCCTGGTGACTACCTCCGACAAGGAGGGCGAGGACTCTACCTTCGATAAGGAGCTGGTTGACGCCGAGGTCATCATTACTACTCCGTTCGCCATCCCGCAATCTACACATTTGTGCTCCATTCGTTAACACTTGATTAGCTTCCACCCTGGATACCTCACCGCTGAGCGTCTGGCCAAGGCCAAGAACTTGAAGCTTGCCGTCACTGCCGGTATTGGCTCCGACCACGTTGACCTCAATGCCGCCAACAAGACCAACGGTGGTATCACTGTCGCCGAGGTCACCGGTTCCAACGTCGTGTCCGTCGCCGAGCACGTCGTCATGACCATCCTTCTCCTGGTCCGTAACTTCGTTCCCGCCCACGACCAGATCCGCAACGGTGACTGGAACGTCGCTGCTGTCGCCAAGAACGAGTACGACCTGGAGGGCAAGGTTGTTGGTACCGTCGCTGTCGGCCGTATCGGTGAGCGTGTGCTCCGCCGTCTGAAGCCCTTCGACTGCAAGGAGCTGCTCTACTACGACTACCAGCCCCTGAGCCCCGAGGCCGAGAAGGAGATTGGCTGCCGTCGCGTTGAGAACCTTGAGGAGATGCTCGCTCAGTGTGACGTTGTTACCATCAACTGCCCTCTGCACGAGAAGACCCGTGGTTTATTCAACAAGGAGCTGATCTCCAAGATGAAGCCTGGTAAGTTACATTGAGATAAGATCGGTCATCATTCAACATCGCTAACAGAAAATCAGGTGCTTGGCTCGTGAACACTGCCCGCGGTGCTATTGTTGTCAAGGAGGACGTTGCCGAGGCCCTCAAGTCCGGCCACCTCCGCGGTTACGGTGGTGACGTCTGGTTCCCCCAGCCCGCCCCCAAGGATCACCCTCTCCGCTACGCCGAGCACCCCTGGGGCGGTGGTAACGCCATGGTCCCTCACATGTCCGGTACCTCCATCGATGCCCAGGTCCGTTACGCCAACGGTACCAAGGACATCCTGGAGAGCTACTTCTCCGGTCGTGAGGACTACCGCCCTCAGGACCTGATCGTCCACAAGGGTGACTACGCCACTAAGGCTTACGGTCAGCGCAAGTAGATTGCTTGACTGCTTGCATGGTAATAAAAAGGGCCCCTTTTGAATTGACGTGCGATGGTTTCTTTTCGATTGTTCATATCTTTTCCACCATGCCCTTCTGAAGGCATGGCAATGCTGAAAATATAGCATTTACGATACCAATGAAATTACATATCTTTATCAGATCTTTTTTGACCTTGTGATAGGATTCTCGTATCATTTGCTCACGTAAGATAAGTCTGTCGCCTCCAGTGATCATCGAGTGGGGCGTGGGACACTGTCGATCCCAACGGATTGACAGCTCCTAGGGCAAAACCGGCTGGAAGGCTTGTGGATCCCACGAATGCTTTATATTGTCTAGAGCTTAGATAACACATTTGGCTTGAATTTCCCCTTGGGAATCCCAATGGCTCCCCTTGCCTTCCTACTCACTACTACTTGATGTTGTATACCTCCCAAGTAAAATACTAAATACCGTCCTGTGTGCTGTGACCAATTGTCTATTTCCAAGACAAGAGAATGATTTGAAATCTAAGTGAAAGGCTATATGCATGTCTTGAAATCTCAAGAATCGCTGGTTATACAAATGATGAAGAAAACGCCGCCTATGACCGGGAAGCCGTAAATAAACCGATAGGTCTGAAAGAGACCTCAATGTCGATTTTCTGCGCCGTGTCGGCCCTCAGTGCTTTCATTGTCACTGTCATCCATAAATCCTTCCTCGAGCTCTCGACTCAACCGCGATTGGGTGTCTGCAGCGGTATTGCGATGGCGATTCAAGGCTTCCCGTCGAGCCGCATCCATGCCCATGCCGATCATGAGCTCTCCTTCGTCGTCGTCAATATCGATATTCTCATGGTCATCCAAGTGTGCTCCACGTCGCCATGATGATGGAAGAAAAAAGCGCATGACTGCGTCGGCCACGCGATCCCGGAGCGAAAGGGTGTGCGCAGAGATCGTGTGTAGAGGGAGGTATTGGGAGTAACGTTGGTGATAACGCCGAAAGAACGGAATAATCAGGAAGGAGAAGAGCAGATAGACCGATAGCGCAATTGATGCAGGCACAATAATAGTCTGTGAAGCAGTGTGGTCAATCAATTTGTTCCAGTGGTTGCCTTCGGGGGTGACGACGCTGCCATTCCATGCGGGAAAGGGTCCCGGGGATGTCAGATGCAATACTAACCTTTGCAAAACTTGAAGCAGAGCCCATGGTGATAAATGAACAGTCCCTTTGGAGCTGTCTTACGTGTGTGTGTTTTTTGCAGTTGAGGAATTCTGGGTTGAGCCCTCACTTGGGCTCGGGGATAAGATAGCGGAGATGTTTACCGGACGGTTTGGTATCAGGGGGCCTAAGTAGATCCTCCCGAAGTTTGAAAACCCCCGCGAAACAAAGAGCCCAATGCCAACAACCATTCAGAATTGCGCGAGGTATCATTCAATTGTCAAGCTCTCAGTCCCTTTCGCGCAGCAAAAAAATAGAAAACACCCATAAATCTACAAAAAAAAAAAAAAAAAAAAAGAAAAGAAATTAGAATACGCATCACGCGTATAGAAACCGTCTTGCCCCACAACCATCACCTGATGGCACGTGACCCGGTCGGGGAGTTTGTCCGAAGTGACAGGTGACTAAGCCCGCAACTAAGCCCCTAATATGCCTTATGAGATGAATCCCCTAATCTGCAATTAAGGGTGCCCGTGCTTTGATCGACCCTGGAATCGCCTGGTGCATACCTGCAAGTTTCGGTTTCCCCTCCCCTTTTTACTCTTCTCTAGTGAGATCCTTCCCCTCCACCCCATAGTTGCTTTATTTTCAACAATCTGTATCGGCGCGAGCTCCATAGCATCCAAAGCGGGTATACTAACGGGAACCCAAGGGAGGGACAAAAACAGAAACCACCTCGAACCGTTGTGAATGTTCTGGTCTTCGCTCACCAGAACTCTGGCGACCCGCCCCCGCGACGACGCTACATATTCGACTTGAAATAATTGCGCGTGACCTCTGGATAGTGTGCGAGGGGCGCCCTTGATGCTGCGCTCTGCCACTTCACACTCTCACCAACATGCCCGCGAATGCCGACAAGTCCAGGCAGACCTCGGCCGGAAAAAGCTTTTTTGGGAGGAAACTGTACAAAGACAAGGGACCGGATGATCGCTATGATGGGTATGGAGGATCCTACGACAGTCTGGCCCCGCCGGGCAGCGCCGCCGGCTCTCGCTCGTCCCGCTATTCAAAGCGCTCTTCAATCCAGTCGGTCGACATGACCCATGATTTAGACCCAAGTATCATCTCGTCCACTGCTGGTGTCATCACTTCTATCCCCTTCGAAAGTCTTCCCTCCGACACGAGAACGCCCATCCCTATCGACAACACAGCCCGACCTGAGTCCCGTCAGGAACCCTCACCCAACCATATTGGCAAGACTGGCGGCGATTATCATCAATACCCGGTATGGGCCTCTACTTCTGCGCCAAATGGCTCGTCCTCGCACCCTTCCGGCCCTCGTCCGCCTCCACATGGGTCGAACACGACTATGACAAGCAGTGCGTCAGGCGATCGCGGGGCCAGATATCAGCAATGGGGTCGCCCAGGCAGCTCGAATGCCAATAACGGCATGGGCCACAACTCGTCCATTGATTCTTCGTCAAATTCCCGAACGTCACTCGATCAGGCCAGCTTATATTCATCTCATTCTTCTAATACCCGCGGCTCCACCTACTTTTCTAATTCCGATGGCTCTGGCCGCACGCTCACGCCGTCGCATTCAAGTGATCGCAATGCAATTGCTCCCAGTGGAAGTGCTGGCCGATTGTCTAATGCACAATCTGCTTGGCAAGCTTCGCAAGCCTCACAGAATATTCCCGCAGCCGTGCCCCGGCCATCTGATCAGTACCTGACTCGGCCAAGAGACGATCGTATAGTCGACCAGCTGTTTCTGGAATTGATGAATAAACGAGGCTGGCAAAATCTTCCTGAACAGGCCAAGCGGCAAATGCTGTCTTATCCTGCCTCGAAAAAGTGGACCTTGGTTCATCAGGATCGATTGACGGAGTTGCAGGGAGAACAAAAGAGAAGGCAAAATGCCCGTCAAACTCACGGCCATGATGGGCTGTCGGGGCTGTTGGAACGTGCCGATGAAGAAGGAAGCCCGGAGTGGTATGTGAAGAAGGTTATGGACGACACAATTACTTCCAAACAGCTTGCAAGTTTGAGTGTCAGCCTGCGAACCCAACCGATCAGCTGGGTGAAAGCTTTCGTTGAAGCTCAGGGTCAAGTAGCTTTGACAAATGTCCTCCAAAAAATCAATCGACGAAAAGCATCTGGCCCAGTTCCAGCTCCCCCGACGGGCGACAAGGATCTTGATCGAGAATACGATATCGCCAAATGTTTGAAGGGTCTCATGAACAACAAGTATGGTGCGGATGATGCACTTGTACACCAGGGTGTGCTTGTTGCCCTTGTCAGCTCTCTATCATCCCCTCGCCTCAACACCCGGAAGCTTGTTAGCGAAGTCCTAACCTTCCTGTCCCACTGGGCCGATGGAGAAGGCCACCAAAAAGTTCTTCAGGCCATGGACAAGGTCAAGCACGATCACAACGAAACCGGCCGCTTCGATGCCTGGATGCGAATCGTCGAGGTCACCATCGATGGCCGTGGTAAAATGGGAAGTTTGGTCGGCGCCAGTGAGGAGTACCGCAGTGGAGGCATTGGCATGGAAAATCTCCTGATGGAATATGCTGTCTCGACGATGATGCTCATCAATATGCTGGTGGATGGTGCTGAGACTGACCTGCAATTGCGATGTCATATTCGTGCCCAATTCACGTCATGTGGAATCGTACGTCTTTTGACGAAGATGGAAGGTTTCCAATATGAGGCAATCGACAAGCAGATCGAACGCTTCCGTGAAAATGAGGCTATCGACTATGAAGATTTGCTCCAACGGGAGGGGAGCAGTATGAAGGATAGCGTTGAGGGCGAGGTCAAGGACATGAGCGACCCTCTTCAGATTGCGGATGCCATCGCGACAAAGATCAATGGCACTCGGTCTCATGACTACTTCTTGTCGGCTATGCAGCATATGCTTCTTATCCGGGAGAATTCTGGTGAAGAGGGTATGCGCATGTTCCAGCTTGTAGATGCCATGATGAGCTATGTTGCTATGGATCGCAGGCTTCCCGACCTTGACCTACGCCAGGGACTGAATTTCACTGTGCAAAGCCTTTTAGATCGACTCCACACGGATGCTGAGGCAAGGCGAGTGTATGATGAGTCGCTGGAGGCTCGCCAAATCGCCGAGGCAGCCATTGCCGAGCGAGATGAGATGAGAGCTCAGGTAGAGCTTGGTGCTGATGGTCTCGTCAAGAAATTGCAGAAGCAGATTGAGGAGCAAACCAGTATTATTGAGCTTCAAACACGCCAAAACGAGTCCATGAAAGCCGAAGTTGGCGAGATTCAGCGGCTACGTGCCCAAGAGTTGCAACGCAATGAACTAGAGACTCGAGAGCTTTATCTGATGCTTCGGGATGCCCAAGACATCGCTGCGGCAAACGCTCGAAAGCTTAACCAGACAGGCGAGGCTGATCCATCACAAATGCCCGGAATTATGGATCGGGAACGTCTCATGGAACGCCTGGAGCGCCAGCTGGAGAGGACCAAGACTCAGTTCAAGCTTGAGGGCAAGGTTTGGGGTCAACTTGAACACGGCCCGTCGGACCGACTGCGTGAGCTACGCGAGCGGATGGATGGCAATACGGATGCTAGCGAGGAATTCGCCGAGCAAACCCGTCGCACTATGGACTCGGGCTCCTTGGGGTCTGTCTACCGCAAGCGAAGCCATGTGCCTGAGATGGATCAGTATCCCGATGGTGCAGTGCCAACCATCGTGGAGGAGGGTGACGAGGCAGCACACGACCAGTCTCGTGGTACCATAGGTTTCCAGAGACGTCTGAACCCTGCACAGGCAACCGGTTTACTGGGCGAACTAGCTCTCAAGGTGCCCAAGTACGACGAGGATCCCGAGGGAACCGGTACTGCAGACATCGAAGATGCTGCCGCTGGAGATATCACCCCAACAGAAGCACCCAAGGCCGAAGACAAGGCGGAATCGGACAAAAAGGCAATGCCCCCGCCTCCACCACCACCACCTCCCCCTGGTGGCGCAGCAATTGCAATTCCTCCACCTCCACCACCCCCAGGAGGCAGTCCTATACCACCTCCACCTCCGCCCGGTGGTGCAAAGGGAATTTCAGTCCCGCCGCCGCCTCCTCCCGGTGTTGCCAAAGCGGGAATTCCTCCCCCTCCCCCCTCCTCCAGGAGGTGCATCCGGCATTCCTCCTCCACCTCCTCCGGGGGGTTTCTCTGGACTTCCTCCTCCCCCTCCCCCAGGAGGGGCCATTCGTGGACCCCCTCCTCCACCTCCTCCAGGAGGGGCTATCGGTGGACCACCGCCGCCTCCCCCCGGCTCCTGGAGCCAAAGGCTTTGCGCCTCCCCCTCCTCCACCACCCAGTGCTCCTCTGGGTGCTGGTTGGAGGCCCAACTATATGGCCGGGGACTCTGTTCCTGGTACCACTCATATGCCATTTATTCGTCCTAAGAAGAAGCTCAAGGCTTTGCACTGGGACAAGGTGGATACTCCCCAAGTGACTGTTTGGGCTGGCCACGCCCCAACCGCCGAGGACAAAGAAGAGAAGTATACCGATCTAGCGAAGAAAGGTGTACTGGACGAGGTTGAGCGGCTGTTCATGGCGAAAGAAACCAAGATCTTCGGGGCCAGCACTGCAGCCAAGAAACGCAAGGACAAGAAACAGATTATTTCCAATGACCTGTCAAAGAATTTCCAGATCGCTCTTTCGAAATTTTCCCAATTTCCTCCCGATGATGTGGTTCGCATGATTATCCATTGTGACAAAGACATTTTGGATAACATGGTCGTCATGGATTTCTTGCAAAGAGAAGAGATGTGCAGTATTCCGGAGAACGTTTCAAAGTTGATGGCGCCGTATAGTCGGGACTGGACTGTCCCGGGTGCTACCAGTTCTGAGCGGGAGCAAGATCCTACTGAACTCACTCGTGAGGACCAGATCTATCTGGCCACCTCCTACGAGCTGAACCACTATTGGAAAGCGAGAATGCGAGCTCTTGCGCTGACTCGATCCTTCGAGCACGAGTATGAATACATCTCGAGTAGGCTGCAGGATGTTGTCAATGCCAGCGAATCTTTGCGGGACTCCGTTGCTCTGATGAACGTTCTTGGTCTCATCTTGGATATTGGAAATTTCATGAACGACGCCAACAAGCAGGCTCAGGGTTTCAAGCTTAGCTCACTCGCTCGCTTGGGTATGGTCAAGGATGACAAGAATGAAACGACTTTTGCAGACCTGGTGGAACGTATTGTTCGCAACCAGTATCCCGAGTGGGAAAGCTTCTTCGAGGAAATCAGCGGTGTGGTTGGCCTTCAGAAGATCAGCGTGGACCAACTGTGCACCGATGCCAAGAAGTACATCAGCAATATCAAGAACGTTCAATCTAGTTTGGATGCGGGCAACCTGAGCGACCCGAAGAAGTTCCATCCCCAGGACCGCGTCAGCCAGGTTGTTCAGCGAAGCATGAAGGACGCTCGCCGCAAGGCTGAACAAATGCAGATCTACCTAGACGAGATGGTCAAATCCTATGATGATATCATGGTCTTCTACGGCGAGGACAACACCGACGAAAACGCCCGCCGAGACTTCTTCGCTAAACTGGCTTCGTTCTTGCTTGAATGGAAGAAATCGCGAGAGAAAAACATTGGTCTCGAGGAGGCTCGGAAGCGCACCGAAGCGTCTCTCGCTCGCAAGCGGATCAATGTCAATCTTGCCAATGGCGCTGCCCCCGCCGAAATCCCGAACTCCCCCGCCACAAGTGGCGCGATGGACTCGTTGCTGGAGAAGTTGCGTGCCGCTGCGCCTCAAGCCAAAGATCAGCGCGATCGTCGCCGCCGTGCTCGTCTCAAGGAACGTCACCAAGTTCGTGTGGCTTCGGGCCAACACCCGCCCAGCGCATCTGGTGCCGATGAAGGCGATGCGTCCCCTGATCAGCCCGCTGATGGCGAGGCCAAGACTGATGAAAATGGTCTTTTGAGCCCTCCGGTAGTCGAGGGAGAAGAGGGCGCCAAGGACGCCCAGGTCTCCGAAGGCGAAGACGTTGCAGACCGGGCGGCTAGCATGCTCATGGGGCTGAGAAGCAACTCTGATGCCAGTGGCGAACGCCAACGACGACGAAGAGAGAGTGCCGATGAGGAACGGCGCAACCGTCGCATGCGACGACGTAACGGAGCTACGACTGGAAGCAAAGACAGTGCGGACAGTGGTCTACCGCCAGTCCCTGAACCTTCATCTCCCTCCCAGACAGATTCCATCGGCCCTGAAGATCCCTTACCAAGCCCTCCCGCCGAACCGCCTTCTATTGTGGTTTCGGAGCAGCATGAACCGTCATCACCAGAACCGCATGATGGTTCCCCCGAACACCCGATTGAATTATCGGATTGAGACGTTGTCTCATTACTTCCTAATCTAATGTTTGATAGAACCTTCATGCCGTCTCAAAATCTTGTTCTTTCTCACCCCCATACTTTACATCCAAACCCCTCCCAATCCCTCGACTGTATAATACCCTTTCCCACTCCTTCACCTCATTTTCTTTCACTTATCTGTGATGAGCCAAGCATGGTGTCATGATACCATTGTCTTTTCTTTTCCATCTGTTCTCATGTGTTATTTTTTGTCCCCACTTCTTTATTCTTTTCTTCTGCTTTTTCTTTTTAGCTCGGTCGAGGGCATCTTCGCATACCCGCCCGCCTGATCTTGTGGACTTGCGGGCCTCTCTCTCTCTCTCTCTCTCTCTCCTTGTAAATAATTATCCTTGTTACTCTCACCCTCTGTCACGCTCTATTGTTCATGATCATGCGGCATGGTCATGATCGAGACTCATTGAATCGCATCTTGTGTTCGATATTCCGCACTCTATTCCTGTGTTCTCATTTTCATTCTTACCCATCGGAGAGCACTGATAGATGTATATATCCACGCATATTCTTTTCCTGTATTGTTCCAATGGTTTCTACTCGAGTTGAGATGTTGCAAATACGCTAGACCAGAGTCATGTAGCTCAAGAACAGAAAGATTGAGATTTCGGGAACGACAACACCATCTAACTCTATACAATAAACATTCTAACTGTCATGTAACCTTTCCTTCCGTTTCTATCATACAGTCCACCGATTCTATACCATTCAGATTGACTTCTAAGGTTGCCCTGCAGACTATAACATGATGCTTTTGTACATTTGCTTCGTAAAATGATCCACCCAATTGCGCTGGACCAGACAAGGGCGTACGATGTGCACGGGTCTGGCCATGTCGCCCTCTCTGTGTGGATGGGCGGATCATTGTGGCCGGTTTTGCGTCGACCATTGACGGGAGATTCAGACTGGTGTAGTTGCGATATTGTTCAAGAGGAGCTCAGTAGTGAGCCATGCGTTGCTTGTGACCGTTGTTGCTGTGAGGTGCGATGACCGTTTCCTTGTTGATCAAAGGATCATTTGGCTGGTGGTGAAGAGGTCTCATCGGACTTGCCCGCAGGCGCGTTGTATCCACCACGACCCATTGTTGGGATTGAGATTGAGATTGAGATTGAGATTGAGATTGACGATGATAGATGGTAGATAGTAGACTGGTATGCACAGTAGACAGCAGAGGCGAGACAGAGGAGATGCTCAAGTATGTAGACGGATATAGATATAGCTTGGAGCAAAGCGAGGTTTGTATAGATCTGAGCTGGGAATAGAGTAGAGACCATAGCTCTAGCCGATCCCCTTCGTCTTATATTTATACTTGGGATGAGCCCTTCAGGCCAGAATCTTCCAAGCTTCCATTACCCCCATTCGGGCAATGTTCTAGACGAACCCCCCTGGAACCATGTCTGACTCAGGGCAAAGTCTCACGAAGGGACTGGATTATTCTGGTTCATTGGGACGTAGAGCAGAGCCCGAGTCAGATCCACGCGGGAGGTAGCCAGTACCTGGGTGCGGGCGCACCCAGGCTTCCCGCGTGGGAAGGCGTTCGCAGGACGAGCCAAAGCCCAGGTAGCGGGTACCGTGCCACTACATGCAAGCTGAGCGCGTAAATTGCGAAGATGACATCTTAGTCGATCGGGGCCTTTTTGGCCTTTGTTCCGAATGATTATGCACGAGAGCCGATGTATTATTCATGCTTTTTCAGCTGGAACCTTGGCTTGGAGACATGAAACATGAAACATCATTCGGCTCAGGGGCCCCGGGTTGGCAGTTGACACCCAGAAACAGCTTATCAATGAAGAATGGAGGAACTGCAAAAGTGGTGGATTAGCATATCCCGAAGGTCAGATTGACGCTAAGAATAGATCCGAAGCTCTAGAAAACGTCGACGAGCTTGACGATGTCATCGTAGGATAAAGTACAGCCGCAACTATAAATAAAAATAAGATATTTTCCCACGTTGCGCCCCTGCATCTTCCATGTGTCTTTAAGATGATCATTGGGGGCGAAAAAGGCCCCCGGTGGTGGTTCATCGTGAAAGGTCCAACGGTGCTGCTAACCGCCGCCACACTATAGAGCGTGGGGGCCATTCCATGCTATCTTGCCGTGACGTTCTATGTTTAGGTCGCCGTTGCTAGTTCGCTGATATGCATGGGTTCTCCAACGGCATCAACCCCGAGATTGAGTCACCGATGATGATGATGATGATGATGATGATGATGATGATGATGCTATAAACAAATCGACCTCTACAATTCCCACGTCGACCTCAAAAGGGCAAATGAATCGGTCACACAGGCCGGGAGATATTCGCGATGCTGGTTCTAAACACGAGTTGATACGAGGTGGTAGGCTATGAGTCTTCAAGAGTCATGTTGGTAGGATCCAACCTTCAGTGGTTATTATTATAACTCAGGCCGTCCTGGTTGGCGGGTGATCGATCTCGGGAGACACAGCATACCTCCTAGGAATGCTGGAGTAGTCGCCTAATCAAGGGAAGCTGATGGAAATACAGTGCTACCTGAGGGTCAGGGATGATTGGAGGAGGCGGTGTTGATGAAGATGACTGGATCCTGTGCACTGGGAGCTTGGAAGATTGGACAGCCTGGTCGCCTAAGTCGTGATTGGGTCACTGGAGATTAATGCAACGGTGCCGGTGATCCAGATTAATAATTATTATATTGGGGATCTATGGAGTCTGGTCTCGACTACCAGGATGCACAGAAAACAAAGCAGAAGATTCTTCGAAACCACCGTCATCACGTCGTACGCCATTCACAGGCTGTGCAAGAATCCCAGGAATGCGGCACAAAAATAATAATAATACAGAAATCCATCGGTCCCCGTACACCCAGATGTATATGCATAGGTATCAAGAATATCATAAGAGCGGATCAAGGGGGACATCTACCGAGAGCGCCATTTCCACACCTTCCAGGAGATCCCGGTTCGTCCATCCCGCTGGTAGATGCGCCAATAGTAGACGGGAATCCCCGTGATAATGAATGCCACCACAATGAGGGTCTGGAGAGGCTCGGCAATGACGGCCCGGCTGAGGAGGAACAGGCTCACACAGCAGAAAATCAGGGGCGTGGTGATCCACGTGCGGTAGGGACGCTCCAGATGCGGTTCCCGAATGCGCAGCACGATCAGGCCCAGCACAGTCAGGAAATAGAATGTATATCCGGCAACCCCATAGAAGGTGACGAGGGTGCCAAACTCGCCCACGGCGATGTAGATGCCCGTCAAGACCGCATTGAAGGCCATGGCATTGATGGGCGTGAAGCCGAGTCGAGCATCGTCGCCCAGAACACGGGAGATGGACTTGCGGGCCCAAGAGCGGCTGCGAAGACGGCTGCCAGCGGGGGCGCCCTGGGAGGCGGAGCTGGAGAAGCCAATGCGGCCAAAGATGGAGGGGAGAAAACCTTCCTTTCCGGCCGCATAGACCAGGCGGCCACTGGTAAAGGTGGTTGCATTGAGGGCGCCGAAACAACTAGCGGACACCACGAGCGCCAGGACGAGACCGCCTACGGGCCCGAACACTTTACTCCCAAATTGAACCGCAACGGTGTTGCTGGCTTCAATGGTGTCATGGGGGAGGACGAGGAAATAGGCGACGTTGGCCATCAGGTAGGAGAGAATGACCAATGGCATGGCGGTATGGATCACCCGGGGCAGATCACGATTCGGGTTCTTGAACTCGCCAGTCACGTAGTTGGTCTTTCAAGTAGTTAGCAGATAAGTCAATCGGCTTATGGGAAACGGGCATCTTACATTATCCCAGCCATCAAAAGCCCACAGGCCCGCATACAGCGCCACGGCAAAATCAGAGATCTCGGTGTTGGTGCCCTCAAACCAACCGTGTGTTTTCCATTCCTCATTGGCCTCGCCCTTCACGGAAAAGCCCGTAATCGCGACCACAATGCCGGTGACGGTCACAAACAGTAATGCGACAAACTTGAAGAACATGAGGAGGTCGCCAATACGAGTCGCAATCTTGGTCGAGATGCAGTTGAACAGGGTCACAAGCATTAATCCTCCTAACGCAACACCCTTGTTGATCCACGGGTTGCCCATAACCACATCAGCACCCACGAATCCTCGCACAACATATTCGCCAAAGATGATCGCAATGATCGCCGCCGACCCCGGTTTCAGAACCAAGACGGCGCACCAGGTGAAGAGGAAGCCCATGAGATCTCCAAAGATCTTAGACAGGTAGACCTGAGCACCCCCGTTCAACGGGATTGCGCCTCCTAGCTCCGCATAGCTCGCTGCCCCCGTCCAGGCAAGCACACCCGCCACGGCCCAGACAATGAGTGCGGCGCCCGGAGACCCAGCATTGGCGTTGACTTGGCTGGGAGACGAGAAGATCCCAGAGCCAATAATCAGACCAACAATGAGTGACAGACCATTCAGATACGTCAAGGTCTTATTTCGCTCCAATGACCCATCCTGGCCTTGGCGGTCCAACGCCGGGGTGCCTAAGGGAGCATAGCCACCTTGTGTTTGCGAGAGCGGGAACAGGTTGCCACCAAAGTCGAATGCGGACGAAATCGAATACGACCGGAGGCCTCGTTGATGGCCTGATTCGAGGTAGTCATCTCCTGCAGGGCCTGCCAGAGGATCCTCATCCTCGAGCGAGAGCTTGCGCGACGACGAGATGCCGTCGGGGGACGACGATCGTGAGGAACCATCGACGGAATTGGGGGACGACGAAGCGAGTGAAGCCAGTTCTAGTGAATCGCGTGGAGCGGTAAGGTTGCCATTTCTGGACTCGTGGGCGAATGTATTCGACATTCTCTCTCTCTCTCTTATCTCCTTTGTACTTGGTAGATGGTTGGGGAGGGGCGTGATGCGATGCGATGCGATTTCGAAGCCGAACGCTAGACTGGATTGGTTAAAAGACAAATCTCTCCATGTCCCCCCGAGATCGTATCAAAATGTGTATATGGAAAAAGGGAGCGTGGGTGACGGAGGTGTGCGAAAGTTGCCAAGGGGTGCAGTTCATTCGGGGAACGATCGCCCAATCGGATTCCCCTTTGCGCCAAATCCCCGCGCTTTTCTTTTGTTGAGATCTAAACCACCTCCCATGAAGGCCTTACTCCCCTCCCGGCGCTGCAGCTGCAGAGCCATTCAGCATGCAGGTCGACACCGGTATGCTTCTACCTCTTCTACCTCTTCAAATACCTCCGCGACTGCTTCTCGGAAAACCCGCTGGTTGGGGGTTCTCTTCGTGACCGCCACGGCTGCTGGCGCTGGCGCCTATGTTCGATCACAAGGCCCGGGGTCGACGACATTGAATGAAGAAACATTCACCAAATACAGCCTCGTCTCCAGAGTACCGGTCTCGACGACAAGCAGCCTGTTCACCCTCCGACCCCGATACCCCAGCGGGGACAACTACGACGTCTACGAAAATGCGTGGCGCATTGGTGTATGGAGTGTGATGTTCAAGCAACCCCAACTACAGATCGGCCGCGATTATACACCTCTTCCTACGACATCTGCGACAACGTTGACCGTGGACGAGGAGAATGAAGGGTATCTGCAGTTTTTCATACGGAAAGATCCATTCGGAGAGGTCTCCCGATACCTGCATACCCTGAGTATAGGAGCAGATATTGAAATGCGAGGACCACAGATCGAATGTGTCATCCCTGACGAGACGAAGGAGATCGTTTTCATTGCTGGAGGGACTGGAATCGCACCTGCTTTGCAGGCTGGACATTCGCTTCTGAGCCGCCGCAATGACGAATTCCGACCGAAGATACACATTCTCTGGGCCAATCGATTGAAAGAAGACTGTCTTGGGGGCGTGAGTGATACACCCAGGGCTTTGCCGTCTCGCAGTTCCTGGTTCCCATGGTTTGGTTCCAAGACCATCACCCCTGAGCAGGCAGCGGCGGCACCACTCGACGAGACGGCCTCTCTCATTGTGAAAGAGCTGGAAGCCCTCAAATCACAGTACCCGGGTCAGGTGAAAGTGGATTATTATTTAGATGAGGAAAACCGCTTTATCAGGAAGGATGACATCTCCGAAGCTGTGAAGTCTAGTGGTCCAGACGACTCGCCTCGGAGTAAATTGATCTTGGTATCAGGTCCCGATGGATTCATCGGCTACATGGCAGGTCCCAAGGTTTGGGCCCAAGGACAAGAACTTCAAGGTCCAGTGCAGGGGGTGATTAAAGAACTTGATCTAAAGGAATGGGCTGTATGGAAGCTATGAGCACTGTGTCCAAGGTTTCATCATGTATCATTATGTTTTGTTTTGGGCATATAAGCATATACCATATATTGGGGAGTTATGTTGAATAGTGAAAAGCTTTCCCAAGACGCCTGGGCGTCTCACTCCAATGACCCAGTACTTTTCTCGCTTCGAATGCTCAGGTTGAATCCGTTCATGTATCAATAAAAATGGCACCAGGGTAGCCTAGTTGCCAGTGGCGAAATCATCTAGGTACTTGGCCAGCTTCTGCACATTCTCAAGGGGAACGGCGTTGTAGTTGCTGGCCCGCATACCGCCAACGCTGCGGTGGCCCTTCAGGCCCTGGAGCAGTCGCTTTTCAGCGCCAGCCAAGAACTCCTTCTCCTTGGCGTCATCTCCACCGTGAACGCGGAAGCAGATATTCATGCGGCTGCGAATGCTCTTGTCGGGAACAACCTGGTACACTTGCGGGTACTTGTCCAGGGCTCCATAGATGAGCTCGGCCTTCTGCTTGGCGACCTCTTCCTGTCCGCTGACCTTTTGGGCTCCGAAAATGCCCACCAAGTCGGCCATCACCTGACCGGCGATCCAGAGGTTGAAGATGGGGAGAGTGTTGTAAAGGGAGTTGTTCTTGGCGATAGTAGCATAGTCCAGGACGACAGGGCCAGGCAGGCCACCAATGTTCAAACGGTGCAGGAGAGCAGGGGGAGGAGTGGCAGTGTGAGGAGGAAGCAGATCCTTGCGAACAATAGCGAGAGTGATGCCAGTGACACCAATATTCTTTTGCGCACCGCCCTATAGAATTGGTTAGTCCAGCTTGTCCCCGGTTCATTCTCTGCTTTGGGTGCACTCACGAAGATCACGGCATATTTGCTGACATCAACCTTTCGGCTGATGAAGTTCGAGCTCATGTCGGCAACGACCAGACGCTCATCTTCCTCATCCTGGCCCTGGGCCTCCAAGGACTTGGGGAATTGCTGGAATTCCACGCCATCCACGGTCTCGTTGTCACAGAAGTAGACAAATGCGGAGCCTTTTCCACCCTCCTTCTTGGTGGGGGTCAAGGACCAAGTCTCCTCTGCGGGGATAGTACCGAACTTACCACCGTTGGCTTTCCGGGCGTCCAGAGCAACATTGACGTACTTGGAGCCCACCAGGCGGGCGGCTTCTTGCGAAGCCTTGAGCGACCAAGAGCCGGTAACCAAGTAATCCAGCTTCAGTTCCTCATCAACCTCTTTCTGCAGTCTCTGGAACACCAATTCATCCACCTGAGCCTTCTCAGCACTGGGATTGGCCTTCAGCACGTCGGCTTCGGCGCGGCGACGGCGGCGCTCGATCCAGACGGGGACGAGGTTTTGAACGACGGCACTGAACTCGCCACTACCACCAGCTTGCATAAAGAGAATCTCGTAGTTGTCGGGGATATCGAGGAGGGTAGTGAGGTTGGCCTTGGCGTCATCGAGGATCTTGTTGGCGGCGGAGGAACGGTGGGAGATCTCACCGAGACCGAGACCGCTATCGTTGAAGTTGACGAATGCCTGTGCACCAGCCTCAACAACGGAGGTGGGCAAGGGAGCTGGTCCAGCTCCAAAGTAGGAGACTTCTTGCCGAGAAGGCATTTTTTATGATCAGTTTTGGAGTGTAAGGGTATGGGTATCTAAAGGAAAGGAAACGGGAGAAAAAAAGATGCACGAGTGGACCGCAGGGTGGATCAACCTTAAGAGTCATCGCCGTCGAGTTAGAGTCATGATGCTTGAGTAATCCCTTTTTAATTTTTTATTAATTGTTATTTGTTATTTGCAATTATGAATTCATCTAACATTGCACGAAATATCTCAAGTTCCTTGAGCCATGCGCTTTGCCTACAGCTGTCCTTCGTGTTCATACATTTGGGCCATGGCGGGGTATGCTCAGGGTATGCAGAAATGTTGCGGGGAATTGACCATTTTCGATATTGGAACAATCTAGGAAAATAAGATATATCAAGAAAGATAGGTCAGTTCCTGTCCTCTATATGGCCTATAGTGAAGTCTAGGGGTATGTAATGTCTAGAGATCATCTCTAGGTATGAGCTCATGGCGGGGTGGATCTCCAGGATACGAAAAGTGAACAGCCAACTGCGACTACCACATACCATAGTGATAAGTCATCCGGTTCTGAGTTCTTCCAACAGTCCTGCCGTTCGTAAGTTGTAGATCCTGGACTAGAGTGCTTTGTACTTCCACTTGCACAGTTAAATGTTCATCAAAGCCGACATCGGACACCGTATCATCACGTGTCTGATATCATGTTTGCTGTGTTTGGTCTTATGATGTATGTTCAATTCTAATTTCTCTCTATTTTCACAATATCTTCTCCGTAGAGATGTTCGATACCCCTGTTCTCGCCTCTAGAGTAGTCTGATATGACCGCCATTTCCATGCTGGAACCTTGGCTGCATATATTTCATCAATTTCCACAAAGGTGCGGCCTCGTGTCTCCGGCATAAAGAAGTACACAAACACAATGATGGCAGCCATGCATCCCGCAAAGACGAGATAGGTCTTGGCTCCAAGATTGGCCGCATCGGTAGATGTAAGCTGAGGGACCACGAGAGTGGTGATCACAGCAGTCACCCCTTGGCAGGCAATGGTGTAGGACATCACGTAGTGGCGGAGCTTGGCAGTGGCCATCTCAGAAGGCATCACGTTGGATAAGGAGTAGAATGACGAGGCCCAGAAAAAGTTGAAAATGAAGCCCAACGCTGCAATGGCTACAGTGGAGTTCTGGCTCTTGGTGTCAAAGGCAAGACCACCGGCTATGACATCAATCACAAAGAGAATACTCATGCCGACAAATGCCGTGGGGCGTCGGCCCGCACGGTCGATCACCAGTGGGGCTGCAAGGGTGCCGGCCAACGTACAGCAGGATGCAATGATAGTCAATGTGAATGCATTTGCGGCTCCAATCTCGGTGAGGAAGACGGTTGTATAGGTCGTGGATAGGATGACACCGGAGATCTGATTCAGGGAATAGAATGACCCTGCCACCAGAGTTCTTCGGAGGTGATCTCGGCGGAAGATATGCCAGAATTGGACGTTGGATCGAAGCTCACGGTTATTCTTTTCGCACAGCTCCATGAGGTGGAGCTCTTCATCTACCTGCTCATCACTGAACCCCCGCAGTTTTCGTAGATTATGTCGGGCCTGCTCCATATTTCCCTTCGATACAAGCCATTCCGGGCTTTCGGGAAGCGGTAAGGTCAAAATGACCAGAATGACAGGAATTGCACACTGTATAGCTAGCGGGATTTGAAAGGATGGATGGCCGCCGATTTTCTTGGTGCCCCAGACCACAACCGTGCCGATCACTCCGGCTATGAGATTCAGAATATTGATAGAGCTGACACATCTACCTCGAATAGAGGCGGGAACCACCTGCTAGAATTAATATCTGGATTCCGAGTACATTTGGAGACTATTTCTTACCTCGGAGAGATATAATGGGGCGGTAGCAATAGCAATGCCAATGGCGACCCCATTCAAAGCTCGACCAGCTACAAAGGCCCCAAGATTCGGCGCAAAGACTTGAAGCAAGCTGCCACCTAGAGACAGTGTGTAGGATGCCACCAAAGGCCATTTTCGTCCCAAGTGAAAGGTCAAAGATGGGGCGAAAAGACTTCCAATGACATCGCCCACCAACGGGACGGAAATCACCAGGTTCTGGTTGCGAGCCGTCAGAACCAGGCTTCCGGCAGTTTGATCACCACCTTGGAACGTTTCCACCTGGAGGCCAATTAGTGTCAGAAACAAAGGCAGATTGACATACTGTCAGACTCACAAATGCGGGCAATGCAATGATCGGTGAGATGACCTTATCGTCATATCCAAACATGAATGACGCAGCACCAAATACTATACAAGCCACCACGAGAAGCGTATTGACTGTGCCTTTGTGATGATGCTTAGAGCGATCAACGTGTTCGATCTCGGCGGATCCAATTCCATGTTTATCGGTAGACATGGCCCTGCGAAGGGTGGTAATCCAGTGCTGAAGCAGGGCAATTGGAGATATTGACACGATGGACTCCGCCATCATGGCGGGCTTATATATCTGCACCCAGTCCAACGGTATTTATGTCATGATAGGGGGTGGGTAGAAGGTCCCCACAATTGAGGTGTTGGAATTTCCCCATGTTTTCGTTTTTTTGCCGCCAGGTTCGAGGTGCAGGTTACTAAGACAAGTTTCGCCGAGGTTTCCCAAAGCAGCAACCAAACGATTGCACCCAAGCATTGACGATTAAGGATATTATCACAGTAAACAGTACATACTGAATATGCATGTTAGCGGGGCTCCGCGATCGAAAGCGTGCCGATCCTGGGGTTTTAGTTCAATGTCAATTTCGAATTTCGCCGACAATAATCCGTCATAATGATGCCGAGCACATCTCCGACTAACTCCCGGAACGGGAAATCTTCCATGACCTCTTCATCAGTTATGTCGATTTAAATCAATTGATGATAGCCCATTCGTTTCTCCGAGTAGTCTCCTCAGTGCGAAGCTCAGGCCCATCGAATCATAAGCGGTGATATCAGTGCCGGGGATTTAAGATTCGACTCAAGTGCACCACTTCTTCCCTCGAAAAGTCATTACCGACTAGATTCAGTATGTCTGCTGTTCTGAGCGCGCCAGAAGTTGATCAGCTCCGTCGAGAAAAACATTTGCAGTCGTCTTGGGACAACCATGAGCGAAATATTCCAAGCGCATCGTTGAAGCCATCTTATCATCTTGCCGCCCCGAATGGTTGGATGAACGACCCTTGTGGTCTGGGATACGACCCTGCCACAGGCCTTTACCACGCCTTTTTCCAATGGAACCCATTTGGAAATGATTGGGGCAACATGTCCTGGGGCCATGCTACTTCAACCAATCTTGTTTCATGGGATACGTTCCCAACGCCCGCTTTAACGCCGTCGGCGAAGTATGACCAGTATGGTGTTTTCACTGGTTGTTTTCAGGCAACCAATATCCACGGAGAGCCTGGTGCTTTGACGGTTCTCTACACCTCTGTCAGTCATCTGCCAATTCATCACACGCTACCCTATACCACGGGCTGCGAGTCTCTGAGTCTGGCCATCTCAGCCAATGGCGGGAAGACATGGGAACGTCAGGACTGCAATCCCATTCTCCCGGGACCACCTGAAAACATTTCCGTCACTGGCTGGAGAGACCCCTTTCTGACCACTTGGACCAGAGGGCATGCAAGTGGCTCAGACTCACGGTCTGATCTGCATGGATTCATTTCAGGTGGTGTTAAGGGCCAATGCCCCGCCGTTTTCGTGTACACTGTCCAGCCTGATGATCTTCGGCAATGGAAGTATATCGGTTCTTTGGTCAATGTTGGCCTCAATTTCCGCCCTTCACGATGGTCCGGTGATTTCGGGGTCAATTGGGAAGTTGCAAATCTGACAACATTGACAAACGACGGCCAATCCCGTGACTTTGTCATCATGGGCGTTGAAGGTTGTTTGCGCCCGGAGATCACTTGTCAAAATGCCGGAGAAGCTCGCCATAGACGTGATCCAAGAGGTCTCATGTGGATGTCTGTCAAATCATTGGCAAACGCAAATGCCAGCGATGCGCTCACATCCTACAATTTCGCTGGGTTCTTTGATCACGGTTGCTTGTATGCGGCGAATTCTTTCTGGGATCCGGAGACATCCCAGCGGATTGTTTATGGCTGGGTGACCGAGGATGATCTTCCTGACAGTCTCCGTCATCGCCAGGGATGGAGCGGTGTGACCTCGTTGCCGCGAGTGACGACGCTGATGACAATACATAATGTCACAAAAGCACGCTGCTCGCTGCTAGAGTCGATAACATCGATTGACCTGGTCAAATCTTCAGGAAGCGGATTCACCATTCATACACTGGGTATCAGCCCGGACTCGCGATTGTCTCGTCTTCGACAAAAAGCTAAAACTGGCCATCTTGCAAAGTCGTCCTTGACAGCTCGGGTTGCCTCCGCTCCTGCGACCTTCTTGCCGTTGAGTACAAATAAATGGGAGCTACAGGCTTCGTTCTCCGTTGGCCAGTCATGTGAACGGGTGGGTGTCGAGATTGCACATAGCGCTGGTGAGTGAACGTCTTCTTTTTGTTCCTATCACGTTTACTCACGATACATTATCCTCCAGATTTCAAAAGCTGTACAAGGCTTTCTTGGGACCCATGTAAAGAAATATTCACCATCGATCGACCTCCAGTCGACCAAGAAATCAATCACGGGCAAGAGTCAGCCCCACACACTCTTTTCACTTATCTGGATGATCAAGAAGAGGTCGAGGAAGCTCTCAAGATTCATGCCTTTTTTGACCACAATGTACTGGAAGTGTTCGTGAACGATAGAACGGTCATCACAACCCGGATCTATCACCCTTCAGACCAATGTTTTGGTGTCAAGTTCTTTGCTGAGCCCGCCGAACAGCAGGACGGGAGATCCTCTACTGTACTTCTGGAGGCCGATGTTTGGGATGGACTTGGGATAAACTTAAACTAATGTAAGGTATCGTGCCATCGCGGCTTTGGAAACTATTTATCCTTAATACAGAGCATAATATCAGATACTTGAAGTTCATCAGGACATGTCTACAAATCATTTCTCTTATTTACACAAAATAGAACAGAAAGAAGAAAAAAAAAAAAAAAAAGAAAAAGAAAAAGAAAGACCAATGGAAAGTTTTGGATTTCATTGCTGAGCCCAGCCTGAACCCTTGCTCGCAGGAATGTGTAGCGAGCGTAGGTGGGCTTGGTACTTCTCCAAGTACGGATGGTTTCCACCCCGGAAGCTTCTGAAGAGAAGTAAGAAGTCTTCTGCCAATGACTGTGGTGTTGAGGATGGGGAGATTGATTCGGGGTAGGCTCCCAAGGGGGTCATTCCGGTACCAAATGGTGGGCTGATGTTACAAAGGATGTCGGTGGCCCCTATGGCGATATCATACAATTTCTCGGTCTGAGGGTCATTAGCAAAGATCATCAAGGTTCAGAAAGGATCGGTTGTACATACAAGGCCGATTCCATGGGCTTCCATAGAGCTCAGTCGTAATGATCGACATGTTTGAAGCGCCGATTCTGCGATGGTGACTGCGTAGCCGAAGGTCATTTCCGGTCGCTCTGGATTCGCTCGGAGGAGGCCGTGATACAGGCATAGAAGCCAAACACGGTTATGAATCCATTTCTGCGTGACGAACACATCTGCAGCTTGGGTTTCGCGCAGGCCGATGGCCAGGAGAGCGTTGCTGTCATTACCATCTCCCTTTGCTCTTTCGAACCAATCATATCCTTTATATCTTTCAGCTTGGCTAACTCGCGCAAGGCTGTCATGCATAGATAGTGCCTTGGCTTCGGTAAACTTTGGACAAAAGCCGGTATTGATGTCGCACCGTCTATTCCAGCAATGAATGAAATCTTCATCAATCGAGTCGAACAATTCCATCATTCTCGCAAGGCCCATCATGCCCTCGGCATCTTTCTCGTTGTGGACAATGATGCCTGAGACAAGACTATGAGTCGCATTATGTAGAAATTCGTGCACAGAACGCATGCTGAACCCAGGTTTTCCTGAAAACGTCACTGGGTGGAGTCTTTGAAGGGCATACGCTCTGCAATACACTGATTAGCACAAAAATTCAGTTTCAATGTTAACAAAGCCGAATCCTACCTCTCTGTGATGGACAACACAAGGTAAGTCCTTAAATGTTGACCTTTCTCTTCACCGGGAAGATCACGATATGAGTTGGGGTCATTCAAACCCAGGGTAGAGGCAAGATCCAAAGCTTCCCGCATCCGAAGCCAAGCGGCGTTATGCTGGTTGCTTCCGAATAGACAGCCGAAAAGGAAGAAGCTGGTCAGAACGGCCTCGATTGTGGGGTTTTCGCCAAAGTCAGAGCAGCTCCGCATCTTAGTGGCTTCGTGCATCATCAACCGCGCTTGAGTGGCGCGGGACGCAGTCGGGCGCTCGTTGATTTCAATTGGCTGGGTGAGTGAAAATGCGCATAGCGATAGTGTCATCGCTCCGAATTGAGGGTTTTTGCGATGCTCTTGGCACATCATGCGCGTGAATAGGGAAGCCCGGCTTAGCACTGGGACGGTGGGATGCAATCGGTCAAAGTACACATCAATCCAAGGGATCATGTTCGCTTCGTTGATCGAGGCAGGCCAGAACTCTTCACCCTCTAGGTTCTCCGACGGCAATGATCCGGCGGACCCGACTGCTGGGGAATAGATGTTCTGGTGTTCATGTGGATGTATGTTCATGGCCGGAACATCGGGTGTCTGGACGATGGATGGTAAGGATGGTTTGAGATAGATATTGCTTCCTGGGAATTCAAAAACGGGCACCTGGGCGCCCAAATTATCGGGAAGCCAGTATTCCACATCCTGGTGGTCATTCCAGCCTACCGCACTGCTGCCATGAGATTCCAACGATGCGTTCTCAGAACCCCAAGCGTCAACAGCCGGTGATGGCGCCAGGCCCGCAGCGCCGTTCACTGGTATCGCGACGTCGGGGGTCGGCGCCCAGGATGATCCCGACAAGGAAACGGGTTGGCCAGGTTCGACCGAGGAGGTTGGAATGTGATATTGGAACGCATCGGGTTTGCCAATTTGGTCCTGTGGACTATTCGGGACGAGATGAGTTTGCTGCTGTCGAATTTGCGACACGCGACTGAGCATTGGTCAGACCACTTCCAGTGATGCCATCATCGATCATGACTTACTGTCCGGTTGGACCGCGCTTCTTTTGCGGTTGCAGAAATGTACAATCGAATCCCATAGACTGACAGGCCTTGCAGGGTTGAGACAAGCTGCACTGTTGCGGGTTAGCGCCCGTTTCTCCCTGCGCGGTAGAGGGGTCCAAGACTTGGAAATCCCATTTACCTTGATCTTGCGGAACTTGCATTGGTCACACGCGCGCTTGGTGATGTTGGCGAGAGGTTTATTGCGCGTGCGAATCGCACCAGGTGCACCAGAGCTCGGCGACCCTGTTGTGGAATCCATGACCAGGGTGCCTCGGCCGCGCCATCAAGCTTGGAGACAATGGGGGAGGGGGGAAAGGGCTGGTTGGTGGTTCTGAATGGGTCGAGGTTGAGGATCCGCGACCCACATTCAGTTGGGAAATCGTTCCCCGCTTGAGCTGCCGTGAACGGAGACTCGTGCAATCCAAGTCATCAACTTGAGTACGTACGAGGATGGATTGAGGGGAAATCGCATCGATGACCCCAACGACCCCAACTCCATCAAATCTCCGAGATGGAAAAAAAAAAAAAAAAACAAATAGAAAAAGAAAATCGTCGGGGTTGCCGATTACTCGAAATGCAGCTATTCGATTAGACTGCACTCCGCTTTTCCCGTCCCCACTCAGTGATAACGATCACGGCCATCTTGCCGAGTCACTTGCTATTATTTTGATGTATATAAAGGGCCAAACATCCGAGGGGCTTAGTTGACAAAGAATCGTCATGGCTATTCAACCGCTATGGGAGCAGATTGTCTCCCAGAAACGGGCGATCAGAGATAAAATGCTGACTCCGTATCTGATCAATGTAGCAGATCAAGAGACTGGAGATCATGTTGATAAGATTCATGAACGCAGTCATGTGGATGAAGAAGTCCAAGCGATTACTGATATTGACGAGGTGGAAGTGTTGTTACAAAAGATTCAGACCGGTGACTTTTCTGCCGAGCAGGTTGTTAAGGCTTATATACAACGGTGAGATGCGCGTATCCCTCCTGGTATGAACTCTCAACTGAGCTTCCTAAATAGAGCGGTAGTGGCACACCAGTTGGTCAGTCCAGAAACTATCTTCCAATCCTTGAGCAAAGGAATTAATGAACAATAGACCAACTGTCTCACCGAGGTGGTATTTGAGGATGCATTGCAACAAGCCAAGGAGCTAGATCTGGAGTTCCAGACAACGCATCAGATCAAGGGCCCTCTGCATGGAATTCCCTTTACTGTGAAAGACCAGTTCAATATCAAAGGTGTTGACACAACTTTGGGCTATGTTGGTCGATCCTTCAATCCAGCGCAACAAGACGCGGTCCTGGTTCAGATCTTGAAGGACATGGGTGCAATTGTCATTGCAAAGACCAATTTACCCCAGAGTATTATGGTAAGTACTCTCCTGTCATCAATACCTTCATGCTTCTAATCCGTCCATTCATGTTCTAGTGGGCAGAAACTGAAAACCCCCTATGGGGACTGACTACGAACCCTCGGAACCCTGCTTTCTCTCCAGGTGGCTCCACCGGGGGTGAGGGCTCACTTTTAACCTTGCATGGCTGTTTGTTGGGATTTGGAACGGACATTGGAGGGAGCATACGGATTCCTCAATGTATAGCTGGTCTATATGGTTTGAAGCCCACGGTGAGTATACGGGACTAAGCAACCGGCCATGTCAACTGCTGACCCACGTGTAGAGTAGCCGGTTTCCCTATGAAGGCGTGCCAGTATCGACGGAAGGCCAAGGGCATGTCCCATCTGCCGTGGGACCGATGACTCGGGATCTCCAGTCACTCAGCTATATCACCAGGCTTGTGGTGAATGCCCGGCCCTGGGACTTGGATCCGCGATGTACCCCTCTACCTTGGAATGAAGCTACTTTCCACGAGATTCAGACTCGCCCTATAGTCATTGGACTGATCATGGATGACGGCGTCGTCAAAGTTCATCCACCAATTGCCCGGGCTTTAGAAGAGCTAACGGCCAAATTGAAGTCTGCCGGCCACGAAGTTCTGGTCTGGGATACAACGGATCATGCGGCGTGTATAGAACTGATGGATCTCTATTATACCGCCGATGGGGGAGAAGATATCCGTCGAGACGTCGCCGCTGCCGGTGAACCTTATATTCCCCATGTGGAAGCGTTGGTCAATCGTGGTAAGCCAATTTCGGTATACGAATATTGGCAACTGAATAAGCGGAAACTTGCTGCACAGAAAAAATATCTTGATAGGTGGCATTCGGTCCGATCTCCATCTGGGAAGCCTGTCGATGTTCTGCTGGGTCCAACGCTGCCACATACGACTGTCCCACACCGGAAGTTTCGATGGGTGGGATATACCAAGATCTGGAACTTTCTGGACTACCCAGCCGTGACCTTCCCGGTCGACAAGGTGAGGGCAGATCAAGATCAATTGGCGGCAGAGCCCTACATACCGAGGAATGCTTTGGATGAGTGGAATTGGAAACTGTATGACGCAGAGAAGGTAGATGGGTATCCGGTGAACCTCCAAATTATCGGCAAGAAACTGGAAGAAGAGAAGGTCCTGGGAGCCGCTATTGCTATTGAGCATATTTGGAAGAACAACACTGCAAGCCACATCTGAGAAGAAAACTTTGTAGTCATGGACGAAGTATATATACCAAAGATTTTTGTTCCGTGGAGCACAAAAAAAAAAAAAAATAAATAAAAAAACGTAATTCGTAATCGGGCACACCGATCGCTCGATTCCCTATAACTATCTAGTAGACACCGCCAACGCCAAAGATTATGCTGTAGAATATCAAATTGCTTTTAGATCAAGCCTTGGGAGGTTCGAAGAGCTCGGGCTTCATGTTGATCTTGCAGAGTTTCGAGATACATCCGCTCAACTGCAATAAGGATTGCACCCCGTCAAGAATACGCATGTGCGTGAACCCAATCTCTCGAATGAATTCCAGCTTCGAATGCTCTGAGAGTGTAGGAATGGTCTTGGTGACTCGGAACATAGTACTGATAATGTCGTGGGACGAATATCCCAGTGTCCTATAAAGCATTAATTACGTGCACACCACATACGAAAAACAAATGATCAACTTACCATAGTTCGTTCAGCCCTTCTAGGGCAGCATCCACTTTACCCTCCCAGCAGGCCTTGATCATGGCCTGAACCTTGACGGGGTGTGGGCTATCAACGACACGGAATACGTTGTCTCCGCTCACGAAACCAAATCCAGACCATGTACTCTGAACGTTGTTGATCGCTTGACGCATGTCACCCTCAGCGCTGAACACCAAGGCGGCAATGCCATCTTCGGAGTGCTCGACCTTTTCCGCCTCACAGATCTGCAACAGTCGCTTGACAACTTGGGCATCGGTCAATCGTGCGTAACGGAGAATAGCACAACGAGATTGCAGTGGCTCGATAATCTTGTTTGATTGGTTGCAGGCAAAGGCGAATCGAGTGGTGGTCGAGTAGATCTCCATTGTACGTCGTAGTGCTTGCTGAGCGCCGGGAGTCATACTACACTAGGTCAGCGAAACAATGCTACCAACAGTGAGAATACGAGCAGCAGTTACCTATCCGCTTCATCAAGGATGACCAACTTGTGACGACCTGGAGGCAGCGTGACCTTTTTCTGGGCAAAACCCTTGATCCGATTGCGCACCACGTCAATACCTGAAGCATACCTCCATCAGCACCTAGCATCGAAGCTAATGAATAAAACAAAACCTCACTAACCTCGCTCGTCACTTGCATTAAGCTCCAACACAGCCTCCTTATACGAGTCTCCAAGCAATTGTCGAGCTAGGCATAGCACGGAGGTTGTCTTTCCAATTCCTGGCATGCCGGAAATGATAACGTGAGGCATATTTCCATCCTTAGCGATGATTTTTAAACGTTCAATTGTCTCGGTGTTGCCGACAATATCATCCAGGAAGACGGGGCGATACTTCTCGACCCTGTTGTAGAAAAGTCAGCTACTAGGCCTTGCAATGGCTGAGTATCGATCGGAACTGACCAAGGAAGCTCATAATCTACAGGAGCACCTGCAGTGGAGGCTTTAACACCATTTCGTGCAGCGCTTGAGGAAGATTCAGCTTGAACCATGATGGGCGAGTGGGTTGGTAGGTAATTCGTGGGGTGGAAGTTGAAGACGCGAAAGGTGCACGCGTTCCGCGATAACTTATCGACTGGCCTGTGCACCAAACCTCTTTCTTTGGCTTAGACATGATCAATTAGTTGAGAGGATTGACTTGAGTGTAAAGTGCTGTATAGCATATCAACAAGAGTGTTATTGAAACTAATTAAATACATTCAGTGACTGCATTCCTCTCTGTTCAGCTTGTCAGTTTGGCACTGTAGAGCCGCATTACTGTCCGTCTTCGGCGTCCACCGCATTTGCATCCTCCAACTCTCATTTTTAGCTTGACGAAGACCCAGTCTACAGTCAAGCATATTTTTTCTTCTACACACTCCCTTATGACTCAATGCAGCACGAGCAACCTCTCTACAATACCTCCATCTCTTCGCATTCTCTTCGCATCTCTCCAGTCTGTGAGACAACCTGCGACCCCCTCAAAATAAACGGACCGCACACCTCAGCCCACCTCGCCCCTCGGCTGATAACACAATAATGAATATGGGGACATCTGTTCGACGGAACCTCTTTCACCAGAACCTGAGCCGTCGCCCTGCATCTGCAGGACCTCCCAATGGGGCCGTTCAATCGGGGAATAATGGCCTCTCCAACCGCCCCTCGAACAGGCTGAAGCCAACCGTGTCCGACTCCTCTACTCGAAGCACAAAGTTAGCAGAGAACAAGGAGATTGTGGTGCGTGACAAGAATGGAGGCTATAAGCTTGACATGCCTGCTTTACCGAGCAGAGGCGTTGGTGATAACGGGGAAGAGCTGGATGAGCTTGAGACTGGCGAAACAAGCTTTGAGTCATTGGAGATGGAACGGGAGAAAGAGAGTAAGCTCGCTCGTTGCAATAGTGCCTATTGGCTGTCAACTGATCGTTGTTTAGATTACGAAGCCGCGCTGGTCGAGATGATGATACGACATCGCAACAGACAGTCGAGCGGTGAGCCTGATGGTAAGTTGCGGTGATTCTACCTCTCTTGGTTAGGTAATAACATACTGTACTAGAAATTCTCAATATTGTTCATCAAAGTTTGCTCAAAAAGGCCAGTTCCTTGGACGACGACAACTGGATGTTCGAGCCAGAATCTCTGACGCGAGTCTAGAGGACGAATGGAAAAAATGCGCTACATGTACTTTCATTTTTCATTACACGGTCACTTGAACATGCACAAAGGGAGAGAAATCGGCCCGAGCACTCCAATTTGACTCTTTAGTCCAGGTCCATGTTCGATGGCGGCGCCTCAACCTTTCTCACAGCGGGCCGAGATGGGCCTGCGTTGCCTTGGCCTCCACCGAACAACATGCCGCTCATCATGTCAAGCAGGGGGTTGCCCTGCCGAGGGATCTTGATCCCAAAGTACTGCTCACCAATCTGTGCCAGAGTCTCGTCCCAAATGCCCACATCCCGAATCTGTGCCGCATAATGTGCAGTAAGCTGCCGGAACAGATCGGCACTTCCTCGCTGAACAGCCAGAAGCAACATGCTCAGGAAGTTGAGTAATGGGAGGGCAGGATACACCCGAACATCGGAGCTGGCACTGCTCACCTCTTGCACACCAAGAGACGGGTTTGATGTTGACAGACGAGTGGTGAAGATCAGCAACGCCTTGTTGGCACTGCGGAGGTTGCCCGTCGTGAGGTATGGGAAAATAGCGCGCGACGCATAGAGAGCTGCGGTATGCGGTTCATCATGGGTGTACCACTCATATTCAAGTTTCGCCAGAGTCTCCGCGGATTCCGATGTTCCTAGGGTCAGATGTTTCTCGGCCTCGTATGGCTCGTTATCTAAAAGGCGCTAGGTTAGATAGGAATGGCCACGAAGATCGAAGAACCAACCTTCTGCGTAGACTGAGCCAGCTGCATGATGCAGGTCCGGGTCTCCACGCTCTAGGGGCCCGTATCGCCCACTCCATCCAATAATTTCCTGAATAAACCGCTTTCTTGTAGGCTCTTCCGAGGGGAACTCGCGCAGAATCTCGATCAGGCGCTCTGTCATCACAACCAGTCAGCCATCTCTTCGGTAGTAGCCCCACGGAAATGGAAGAATTCAGAGACTACTCACTCTTCCGAGCCCGGCTCTCCGCATCGTCGTCACGTCCTGAGATCTCCCATTCTGCTTTATTGTAGACCTCGACCACCAGCATGATCGCCAAGTCTCCACCACTCGCCGAGGCACCCTGCTGGGCTCCAGCCCTCAGCAGAGCGGTTGCACCACCAGCCAGGATCTCTGCGGCGGCATTCCAGTTAGAAGCTTTGATATAGCGAGCTGCGATCACACGTAGTTGTTGGTGAGCTTCGTAGTAGGCACCAGCCGCGATCCTGTGCAGAAAGTGGGCTGTCAGTATGCCAATCCATTCTGTTTCTGGGGGGTGGGCGAATCAGAAGTCTCACTTTTCTTGCTGACGGGCAATAGTCTTATCAATTTTGGAAGTCATTATCGGAAGGATTTCCAGTGGAAAGCAAGGGAAAGGGGGTTGGAATCCAAGCTTAAGTTGGGGAACGGGAAAGCTGTTCGCAATCCAAACTTCCTAAAGTTTGGTGGGGAACGCGGCTCCGTGAGCATCCTGGATCCATTTTCCTCCCCACGACTCTCTTGCTTCTGCTTGTGTCCCAATCTCTTAGATTTATTTCCTTGGTCTACCTATACACTTGAGGCTTGCGACTATTTACTGGCGTTCTTCGCCCGCCTCTTCACTGGTAGTGAAAAGGTCCCTTGCAAACCCCCAAGGGCGACACGAATTTGATATCACTTGACCAGTTGACCCTATCATCAAGGGCCAAGTGCTTCTCTTGTGCCTGAATATGATACAGAATAGAGGTGTTGTCCTTGCAAATTAATTGGATTCATCACTATGAGCCATTCCACTTTTGACATCCAGCCAGTGAACCGCTTCGTCGGGTCCAATACGACTATACGACGGCCCAAAGTAAGTTCACGATGGTCTTGGTTCGCAAGGTGCCAAATGACTGATGACTTGAAAGGAAATCACTTGCTTCTCCTATGATAACGAGCGGCGATTCTCACTGGGAGAATCATCCCTGCAATACTACTATCCGCCCAGTCTGCCAGCTGATCTGAATATTGGATTCAACACATTCCAAAAGCTCAATGACGCTGGCGATGAGCATTTAGATGCATTACTTGACACGATCACTGCCCTAGAGAAGGATACGCAAAAGAAATGCGAGGCTGACATCGTCACCTGGCGCGGGATGATGACCAAGGTATGCTATGAACAAGTTGCAAGGATTTCACAAACTTGTCAGGTTGTATAGTTTTAATACCTTTTAGATCTTGGCAGCTCCCTACGATACGATGAATGGGTATGCACGCCTCGTAGAGGCCCACCAAGACTCATGCTCCTTGCTAATCATCATACCTCTAGCTTTGAGATGAACGCGACACGCTTCCAGGTATGATCTATAACTTCTTAAGAAGATTCATGTTGTCTAACATTGACTCAGGGTACAATGTGCGTGTCTTCAAGTTAATTTTAATCTGTGCTCCCTAATATTGACATAACAATCCCAGCTTCATCGAAGAGAACAACTCATACAAGAATGAACAGAAAGAAATCCAGAAAAACCAAAGGATGCCACCTGGCATGGCATCACAGGAATTGATGATGTACTGGGGTATGGCTTACTCTTCCGGGTTCTTCAATGGTCGCTGAGCTTATCAGGTTATAAATTCGAGGTCCTGTCTGTTATTCCCAAGCCGTGGGATCCAACAACCCGTGAAGAGATCGAAGCACGGCCAAATCAGGTCGTCAACAACAGTGCACAGTATTGCTCAGTGGTCAAAACCGGAATTGGGAACACGCGCATGATCCTTGGGGGTGAAGTCGATGCCGGTGAGTCTTAATCAAGAGGATGAGGGGGGAAACGGGGGAACATCCAGCTCATGTGACTGTTTAGTATGGGACTGTAAACCGGAGAGAAAGGAGGACCCTATCCACTGGGTCGAGCTCAAGACATCGGCCGAGATTCGCAACGAGCGCGATATGTTCAAATATGAGCGAAAATTGTTGAAATTCTGGGCACAATCCTTCTTGCTGGGTGTACCCACGATCATCGTCGGCTTCCGAGATCAGAATGGCATCGTGCATCGCTTAGAAGAACTTGATACAGCCAGTATCCCTGGCAAGGTCAAGAAAATTGGAAGAGGTTCCTGGGATGGGAACATCTGTATCAATTTTGCTGCTGCATTCTTGGACTGTATGGGCTTTCCCCCTCGCTTCCCCCGTTCATGAAGCTAATAGAGATTTCCCCAGGGCTCAAGCAGACTATTCAGCAGGATGGGGTGTGGAAGATTCGGAAGCGGGAGAAATCTTCCGTTATTGAGGTGATCAAGATTGAAGAGTCAGGGCATGGTGGTATACTTTCACCAGCATTCACAGCCTGGCGATCCACCATGTAGCTCTCCGTACACTTAATTCGATTCTGTATTTTAAACTTCTCGAGTCCTCAAATCTATGTACATTTCTACAAATTCATTGGGCATGATGCAGTGGTCAAGTCTTGTCAAGAATCAATTAAACGATCATGCTGCCATATTCGAAATGGCATAGATACGTGTGGAGGTATCTTCGCTACCCACTGCAAGATCAAACTTGGCTTTGCTATTTGCCTCTTCAGCTGACACAGGTCGCCATGACAGCTGTGTAATGGCCTTGGAGGGTGCCATGGTCTGATCAACAGCCACAACAAGCTGTGCTTCAAGAGTATCGGTGCTGATATGGTGGATTGAAACGGCACCGCTGTCCTCTCCCGCAGCCAGAATGAATGAATTTTGGTATGGAGCAGCTAAGAAAGCGATGGCCGAAACAGCGGATGTGAACGCAATAGTGGTCTGGCAGGTGAAAGTATCGTCTGTCTTTTGCCAAATCTTAACGGACTTGTCACGTCCTGCCGTGGCAAAAACGTACTTTGTAGTCACTGGTGCCCAGGCAGCTCCCAGAATCATCCGAGAGTGACCCTTGAGGTTCGAGGTGAAGTTGGTAAACACAGTTGGGTCTTGTTCACTCCGGGCGAAAACGGCCCATTGTCGGTCTCGACCCACGCTGAGGAGATATTGGTCGTTGTCGGAAAATGAGAGGTCCGCGATGGTCAAAGAGTGTGCAGTGAGAGAGGGCTTTATCTCATGCCAGTCTGATGTATCATATAGTCGAATCACTGCGTGGTCTATACTGGTAGCTTTGCAGGCAGTGGCAATGAGCCTGCGATCGTGGCTTACTGCAACCGCTGAAATCTCATATCCATGGCCATAAAGCTTTTCGTGCTCTGGCCACAGTGTGTATCGAGCTAATTGATCTTCCAATGGCGGGGTGTCAGTGTTGAGATTGACAGCAGGGGCAGATTGTGTCACCCCATTGGCTTCGTCCTCGTCCACTGGTGCCTCGTCTCCCTGTGCTTTGTTTGAAAGACCTAGAACTGGAATTTCAGCCGTGTCTGGGAGGTCACCCTCGATGGTTTGTTGAAACCCTGTGAGCTTTCCAAGCAGATCAGCGATCTGCTTTGGCTCATTGAACACCCGCAGAAGCTTTTCGTCGGCACCGGAGACAAATTGGGAGGGCCCCAGGGTGTCAATGCAGTTCAGGTCGTAGCCATGAATCTGAGGGCGAGAAAACTCGTGCCACGAGCGTTTTTCGTCACGCAGCCATTCGGCATGAAGACGCGTAGTCTGGTCTGCGCTGGTTGAGAGTAAATAACCACCGCTTGGATCCCACTGTACGCCATTGGCTGCACGTACGTGTCCCGAAATGCCGAACTTTTGCACCCAGACATCTGCCTCGGAGTCATGCTGCCATACACGCCAGCTGCCTGTGCGGCCCAGGCTTACCACTTGCTTGCCATCTGGCGACCAAAGTCCAATCCAAAAACCACCAGCGCTTCCAGTCGCGGTAGTTGATCCCTTTTGTACACTGATTTCTCCCATTCTTTCAATCGACATCCAGACTCCTGATACAGAGTCTTGCTCCCAGATGGTGACTGTGTTATCCGCAGACGCAGAAAGAAGCTGTGATCGGTTTGGATCGGGGTTCCATGCAGTTGTGTAAATCCAGTCCTCGTTTCCAAAAAGAAGCGCTTCAAAGGTGATGGAATACTTCAAGCCAGCTGCGTCAAATTCATGAGCTTTGTTCGACAGTGTAGGCTCCATGCCACCCAACAATGGATCGGCATCGTCAATGGGTGCAGGAGCGTTTGCTTCGCCCTGGCGCAATCTCCATAGACGAATGTATCTGTCCTGACTGGCCGATGCAAGCAGTATATCATTGGTGTTGCTCTGCTTGTCCACCGTGAACGACAGAGAGCGGACCCAGGCCTCGTGACCTGGAAGAACGGCACGGCGTTGAAAGTCTACTCTATCGACAGACTCTTCTGCAACGTATATTTGTACCTTCGTTGTAGTTCCCGCGACAGCCAGTACAAGTGGACGATTTGCGCCTTCTAGTACTCGTAGAGACAAACACAGTGGGAAGAAGCGTGGTTTCATAGTGATGGTTTCCATCATCTCGCCCTGCAATTCCAATGCATTGATTCTCCATACCCGGACAGTCCCATCTGCGGCTCCAGATGTAACGATGTTTGTCCCCTCAGCTACACCTATCGCATTGACTGATCCGGTGTGACCTTCGAGAGTAAAAGCATATCTGTAATTGCGAGTGTCGGTGGCATCTTGAAGCCAAACTCGGATGGTGCGATCGACGGAACCGGTGAGAAGCAATCTCGTCCCCGATGAGGGGCAGGTGTAAAATCTGATCACGCTGACTTTGTCGGAATGCCCAACGAGAAGCGCATAAATTCCTCGGTGAGAGTTATCCTTGCATAGCTGTCAGCATGCCAACGTGTATAATGACAGATACATTGAGCCGCAATAGACTTACTAGAGGCTCCCACAAGGCGACATTGTTGTCCGCTCCGAAGGCGAGCACGCCTGTCTGGACATCCCAATCTGCAGCTCCTGGGTGGCGGTTTCCACCCACACTGATATATTCCGATACAAGAGAAGCCATAGCTAGCAATGAGCCGAATGACCCAGGTAATATGCTTGAGGCGCGGACACTGGAGAACGGAGCTGTCGCAAAAGATAAATTGTGCAAGTAGCTTATCGATAAGAGGCTACCGCCTCAAGCCCCTCCTTGTCTTCTTTTCTTCCAATCCTTTGTCGAGCTTCGTCATTCTTAATTTGAAACAACATCGCCATCCTGAAGTCAAGTCCGAGTCAATTACCGCTGGAACCATGGCTAATACCGCAAATGGTGGCGTGGCCCCGATCCCTATCACTGTCGAATTCACGTACTTATATGTCCGAATCCCCGGATTCAATTTCCTCGGTACTGACTGCTTTCCACAGCGGCGGATTAGAGATTCTATTTTCCAATGAGCGCAAGCATAAAGTCACAGTGCCTGGCCGCCTGGATGATGGTAGCCAACCAAACATCTCATATTTACTTCGATACTTGGTCGACAACCTGATGAAAGACCAGAGGAAGGAACTATTTATTATGGAGGACAATGTGTACGTCACATTCAATCCCTTTCTCTTCTATGTCCATTCAATTGAGACTAACATTTGGGGCAGTCGACCAGGAATCCTTGTTTTGATCAACGACGCCGACTGGGAACTGGAAGGCGAGGAAGCGTACGAATTACAGCCAGGTGATAATATTGTGTTTGTATCGACGTTGCACGGAGGCTAGAGGGCGAACAATCACATCAATAAAAATAACCAAGGGATTTTGAGGCAACCGAAAAGGGCCACATAACTAGGTCAAATCAAATGAGCCTAGAGACATTGCTGGCCCTAAACAACATCTTCGACGTGTTGCTGGGAGAGCCTTTCAGGTTCACGTGGAGTGCGAATCCCACTGGGGGTTCGGTAGCCACTCTGGGGTGTCGCCAGACCATCCTGCGGACTTCCTAGCCCTTGCATCGGAGAGACAACCCCACTTGGGGGCACTGGAATCTTCAAGTCTTGGGGCGATGCAGGAATGATTTCTTCGGGGAGATCGGGAATATGGATCCGTTGTGCCTCGTTTTGGTAGCTCTCCGGGATAATCTGAATTATTCAAGTTAGCCATATAAGAACATAAGTTCGGTCTTCTACCATGTACCTCAATAATCTCATCACGAGGGAATTCTAGGAAGGGAATATCAGCAGCGTTACAAGCCATGAGATACCCATATAGGACCCTGAGAACGCTTTCGTGAGCAATGATCAGCAGATCGTTTTGCTCTCGCTCCAGTTCAAGAATGATCGGTTCCAGGCGAACAGCCAGATCGTGGTAAGACTAGTCAGTGTCAGTGTCACTCTAAGGCCTTTTCTGGGGCAAAAATTTGTACCTCAGCACGAGGATAGCGGTGGTGGTAAGGATCCAGCTCATGCTTGGAGACCTCATCCGCGAATTCGGCTCGGATGCGCCTCTCTGACATTTTCTCGCAGACTCCCGGGTTAAGTTGGCTCATTTGGGATCGCTGGCGGACCTTGTATCCTTTCTCATGGAGGTATCTCGCGGTCTCCACGGTACGGCGTCTCGTCGATGTCCAGACCTTCAAAGGCCGCAATTCGTTCCCAGACTCGCCCTGAGAAATCTTTGTCTGGTTTTCCGCCTCTCGATGAGCAAGCAAACATTCAGTCATTTTCTTAGCATAATCTTCTCCTTGTTCAGAAAGAGACGCATCAGCTTTGTAGGAATCTGCCTCTAATGAGACGCCAGCCTATATGTGCATCAAGTCAGTCTGATGCTCCCAATGGCTAGAGGAAAGTCACGAACCCGCGCAAAGTATGTGCGTCTAGATTTGATATGGAGGTTCAGCAGGTAGAAAACAATGCGGTTAGAAAGGTACCCGAAGCTGCGGTTGTTCACTATCAATCGCTCTCCCGCATTGATCATCTATAGGAATTAGCAGGGGGGCCCGGTGGTAATGATCAGAAAAGAATACAAACCTTGATGTAGTTCAGGTCCTTCTCCTCCATGGTCTGGAACTGGGGAATTCGAGAAGATATTCTAGTAAGATAATGCTTGACTGCATCCTCTGGGCTCCATGAAACATACTGGAGTACGGTTAGATATTTAATATATAAATACTAGACATCGGACTCACATCTGGAGAAGAAATCTTGACCCTTCGGACGTTCTCCTCAATAATTCGTTCATCATCGCACCAAGACTCAATAAACAGCGTCTAAAGATATAAGTACTTTGGCATCTACGTCAGATTGAAGAGTTTGATTTACCTCGATGTCATGTTTGGCAAACTCCTTGGCAAGTGACCGTCGTCCTGAGGCTAATGGGTTTACGGAGTCGTAGATCGCAATCTGGCCATTCTCATGGTTAAGGAAATGATAGATATCCTCTCGGCACTTCCTGACGATCTTTTGGCGGAGAAGGACGGACGAAGCGGTTGCTAAGGACCTTGTGAGCATCATTGGAATTCTTGTGATAGATTACTGCGCTTACCATTCACATAGAAATAATCATCAGGCATATCCTCACCAAATGGAATCGTGGCACGTCGGTAGTCACCCAGATGAAAGATCCTGGTCTTAACTCCAAGCCTGTAGCGCCTTGTTAGCGTGTTCCTGCGAGAAGCCGGAATGCTAGCACTTTGCAGCACACGGAGAACCTACCATCGAAGGTATCGTGCCAATGCAACAGAAATGTGTCTTTTTAATAGAATAATATTAGCATGTCCAATCTTGATTAGGTCGTTGGGTAATTGGTTAGGGTAGACACACGTCTTGCCTCTGGCGGGTAAACCCACGGTGATGATGACGATCCGGCCCGAGTGGAAAAGCCGACCGGATTCCGTGCTGTATAGCTGTGCCGGGGCAAGATCGGCCTTTTCAGGTAGATCATGAATTGCATCGACGAAAATCGAGGATTTGCGCCGGAACTGGGGCGAGTTGGCTACGATCTCTGCTGTGCTGGTTGACGTCAGTTTTAGAATTCCAAGGGTGGGAGATCCCCCTCAAGCCGACTTTCAGACGGATCAACAACAATCCAGATTTGTTGCTTCTTCTCTCTGCGCTTGAAGAAGCAGCATGATCCCTTTTCTCATGCCGGCAAATCCTCAAGCATCTGGGCAAGGAGACTTACAGTAAGGTATCCATGATCGCGGGGCTGCACCTAAATGACGCAAATATTCACTTTGGAACTTGGCGCCTCTGGGGATTTCTTTTTGAATTCTCGAATGGGAATAAACGGGTACTTTACGAAAGATATCCCCAGAAGGTGAAGTCTTGTGAAGAAGTTGGGGAAAGTTGGAAGCTGAGGCTGGACTCGGGCAAAAGCGGTATATGATAACGGTGAGAGTAGATATCGGGTGGAACCTTTTTTGGTCCTTGAATGTATTCCCTCAAGTAAACACTGCCAATGGTTAACCTCAACCGACTCGGGAGATACTGTACTTTCCTATTATCACAGGAGTACCATCTATATGTCAAGATTATTATAAATAGCCTAACAGCAGTCCAATCCTCCATTTCCTAATGACTCGAATGGTGTTCTCCAAAGCAATAAAAAACACAATCCAATTGGCCGCGGCGCTGACATAATAAAGGGCGGACGGCAGCCACCAAAGACGCCGACGGAACTGGCATTTTTCACGGTCAGGTCTTCAGCTCCATTTCCTTCATAGTCAACCCCCGATTCCCCCGTGAATCTTCAAAAGTCCAGACAGCCCTCCCATCTCCTACACCTTGGTCTGTGTCGTTCATTCGTCCCAGATCTTCCGGGCTGGTTTTTATCTTTTCTTTTTGCCCATTGCCCTTGTCCGCAACGAAATCCCATTGACCGGCATCGCGTGACGACACCGGTTATAATTCCACATCTCCAACCTTCAAAATGTCCGATATCACATCATCCCTCTCCTTCCTGACGGAAAACCCCGCGGCCGCGGCGATCAAGGATGCATACAACTCGTTCTCTGACCGGAGGGCGTTGCTCAACCTGCCCAACCCGGGTACCGTGGACGGCCTCGCCCGCGAGGTCCAGAAGGACGTGCTGTTGACCAACTTCATGTTCACTGGTCTCCGTGCCGACTTGACCAAGGTCTTTGGTATGTCTCCTCTGTTCCGTGTATCGCACGCGTTCGCGATGGGCGGATCCGGCAACCTGCCTCCCTACAACTTCTCCACTATGTACGGAAGCCCCAAGGTAAGAACCATCGATCCATTCTTCCTTCCTAGCTTCATCTACGGATGTTTTTCTTTGGGATGAGTCGCTAATTACGATGATTTGTCTATCCATAGGTTTTCATGCAAGGTAACCTAGGAAACGATGGCACCCTCGCCGCAGTCTGCAACTACCGTTGGAATCCGGCGCTGGTTACCAAGACCAACGCACAGATCATGGCTGGTGGCTCCCAGGGTCTTCTTCAGATTGATAACGACTACACTGGCGCTGATTTCTCCGCATCCCTGAAGGCCTTCAACCCCTCTACCCTTGAGGGTGGTCTGACCGGTATCTTTGTTGGAAGCTATCTCCAGTCCATCACACCCGCTCTTGCCCTTGGTTTCGAGGCCATCTGGCAGCGCCAGGCTATGAATGCTCGCCCTGAGACTGCTCTGTCCTATTGCGCTAAGTACAAGGGTGATGACTGGATTGGTACTGCTCAGCTCCAGGCTCAGGGAACCTTTGCTGCCACCTACTGGCGCAAACTCTCTGAGCGCGTGGAGGCCGGTGTCGACATGAACCTTCAGTTCGCCCCCAGTGCTGCTGCCATGATGATGGGTGGCCCCAGCCGTGAAGGAACCACCGCCATTGGTGCCAAGTACGACTTCCGCGCCTCCTCGTTCCGTGCCCAGGTCGACAGCGCCGGCAAGGTCAGCTGTCTTCTTGAGAAGCGCATTGCTATGCCCATCTCCCTTAGCTTCGCTGGTGAAATTGACCAGTCTAAGGTATGTTCTGAGCCCATTTGTCCCTAACCGAGTCATGACTCGATACTAACTCTCCTCTAGCAAACCGCCAAGGTTGGCCTTGCCGTGTCTCTGGAGATCGCCGGCGAGGAATTGATGGAGCAACAGGAGAATGCTGATCCCGCTAGCATGATCCCCCCTCCTTTCTAAGTTCCTTCACTCTTCACTCATCCCTCAAGTCTCGTGACGAATCGCGTTTCTTAGGTTAATCACCTTTCATCCTCTGTTTTAGTAGTCTTCTCGCCCCCCCTCCCCCAAATGTCTGAATTGACATGGCATATCACCTCCCCCCCCCCCCTTCGGTATATCCTTTTGAACACGGGTTGCTATTGCAGGCGGCAGTTTGGCGCCATGGATATTCTTGATCTATTTCCCCTGTTTGTTGTATAGATTCACACTCCGTTTCCCTTTTCCGATAACTTTCTTCTCCGCCCACATCTGATGCCCGCATCTTCGGCTAATGTCCTTTTTTTGGTCCGTGGTTTCATGTCTTGTTCTATTCAGTTTGATTTTCTTCCATGGCCTGGATAGTCGGGATGGCGAGGGGTTGTGCGGTAGGGCTGCACTGGAGAGTTGTGGTTATTGTCGCATCATAGACGGACCAATGTAAAACACTATTGTCGAGCCTTTGCGTGTATAGTATTCAGGGTAAAGGGGATATAATGTTGGCTAAACGGAATATAACCTCGGTGCGCCTTTCAAGCGATGTCTCCCCAAGGTTGACCCAAAAATGAGAAGCAGCGCATCTCCAAGGGCTATGTGCCGAACCATACCCGAGTTTCTGAGCACAAACTGATGCCTCCCCACAAAACCTAAAAGAGGTGCACGTCTCGACCTGTCTTCTCTGGCATCATATATATGGAATGCCTATATACCACCAAACTCAGTATGCATTGCTCATCAAGTGCTCAGGTGCCTCTGGGTTGGTATATGTTTTGTATTGTAAATTCGTAACATTTGGGACCGAAAGGCAACCGAGAAAATGGGATCCACTAGTGAGTGGGTGGACTGGAGAACTTGAACCGCGCCCTCCAACGAAGAGACTCCGGAGTGCAGATGTGGGCTTGGACTTATGCACCTTTTGTGGGAGCAAACCGTTCAACTCCATTAGCCCCCACTTGTGTCTCGGCGAAATGCCATGTTCATTTCCCTGCTTTTTTTTGTGGTTTCTTTTTGGGGGGCGTGGATTCCACTGGAGACCTATCAGCCAAGAGAGAGATGGCATAGCATAGCCATTGATCACAGGTCTTCCTGAACAATGTTGCGCATGCACACATACATATAGGGCTTGTATGTTCATTTCAATCCTCTTGCTAGCCTGTTATGAAAGTAGGGAATTCCAGTAGCATCGTTCCAAGCCCTACACGACATAAGGCTTTTGATCATCAATGTCCATGTGCATTAATCCCTCTCTATGGATCTCGGAAGTCGAAGTCCTCGAAATGCAGTTGACATCATTCCCCAACGGTCCCGGGTTAGTCGACATGCATCGGAACAATGGCAGGCCCGGGGACGAAGGCGCGGGGACCAAATGAACTGAAGGTCTCAACATTTACAGTTTGAGGGCGGGGGCCCGAGACCCTCCCCCCTCGGGGCTTATCCAATCAGTGGCGTCTGCTTGGATGCGTAAGTCTTCGTTTCTCCTCGAAATTGGCTGGGTCAAATGAGATGAGTTTTACGGCTAAGGAGGGGGAATCCATATCCACATGGGCGCGTATCCGAACTGGCACTTACTGTAGGCGACTTAGCACGAGTCGATGAGTTTTTTTTTTTTTATTAATAAAAAAATTTCTTCGCACTGGATCAAGTTGCATGGAGGTTTTTCTCCCCTTTCCTTTCCCTTCCAATTTCATGCATAAGGATGGGATATGGTCAAATTAGAACAAGAGTCACGTTGAGCGTCGAACTAATCCTTAGCTCTCACACTAACGGATGATTATTCCCATGGCTGGGGACATGGATACCTCGTTCCCGTGTCCGGAATCATGTCAATAGGCGCGTTGAGGACTTCAAACTAAGGCTATAAATTTGGATCGTCGCGAAAGGGTAGATCTCTCGGAACAACATCATCACGCTGATCAAGAGAGGATTTCATGATTCGCATAGTTTAGTGCATTCCTAAATCCCTAGGATCATCTCACGGTGTGACCTATGATTTGTTTGGTTGAATTTGTTTGTTTTGTTTTTTTATTTTTTTTTAACCCTCATAATGCGAGTTTCATGATGCTATCCACGTGTCTGACAGAGACATGGAATGTCGTGGCCCTTGCTTCCATGCCTTTGGACATCGGACCATTCCCGCCCCTTTCCATGGGTTCCATCTGCAGGAGAGATCAGGAAGTGCCGAGATGGGCCTGCCAGGTACAGGTATGTGGACCAAGAGGTTGGTAAATTGTGTAAAATTGCGAGTTCCACCCGGAGCCATTGGCGAGATTAGGATTGAAGGCAGGTAGATTGGTTCACGAGAATCTGGTACTGGGTCCTGAACCAGAGAGCGAGATCGTAAAACGAAGTAATATCGTTTCCGCGGATTCGACCCTTGGGCCGTGCCACCGTCTCGCCATTTGGTCTACGTCACTTCCGGATGACAGCGGCGTCGCCTGACAAAGTTGTGGCGAGGTAATATGCCACAGCCCCCAGATTGATCTGGTGATGTGCGATCTTCTGCGTGCTACCAGGGCGTTTGCACACGGTAATTTTGGTTTGAGGGTCGGGATTAGTTTCCTTGCAGACGTAAATACCGGTATGCCGCAGAGAAACTGTTCTGCCGGGTATCGTGGTACATTTGGTATGTGTACCGCAGAGCTTGTAAGCTTCTCAACCTGGAACCTTTTCAGCCAGGTGCATTACCATCTGCAGGCTCTGCATCGAGGAAATGGTTGGTCCTCAACGGCTGCGTTGGGGGAGGGGTTGCTGTGCCTTCTGTCATTCTCCCATGATTGGTGGATCTCAGAGTTGGGTGTGTCGAACACTCGATCTGTTATGTGAGATATGGCATCAGGGGCACCAAAGTGTCAGGAACCCGAAACATTCCTTAACGCCCTTTCAATGGTTCCCACATTCAAAAAAGAAATTGAGATGGAGGAGTCTAGAGCAATCCACCTGAGCCCATCCTTATCCCTAAAGGAGACAAGAAGAAAAAAGCAATTCGGCTTCTAGCCCAATCTTTCAGGTTCTGCAGCCCATTCTATAGAGATCTCCCTAGCTTCCTAGCTCCCCTTTTGCTTTTTTACACCCCCCTATGCTATCGTCCTCACTCAATACATGCAATTATGAGGCATTAGAGGGTTTTGACTTTTGAAGGGTTTGAATTTTCTCATCCCCGGCCGGAATCCCAATCATTCGGAGCCGGACGTCGGCTGGATGAGCCTTTCTATCTCACATGCCAAGGGAATCCCTGCACTGCGATACTCGAATGAGTCGGGGATCGACAGTTCGATGTTGAGCTGCCGGGTCCCGTTCGTGCCGTATCTCGCATGGCATGGCTCAAGCTTTGAAATTAGATCGACCGAAGAAGAAATATGTGTATCACTAAAATACTAGACCAGGGAGGAATCTATACCTAGTGAATACATAGTGAAAAGCATGTTAAGTGGTGGATTATGCAAGTCCCCACCAAAATCCCCAAACCCTCCCCCCAAATCTATCAGATGATCGAGAGCCATTCGACCCAGGTCAAGAACTTTAACTAGTCAAGACTAATGTTGTCCAAAGCTCCACTTGGTGGCCCAAGCTCTTTCTGTATTTCTTTCTATTCTCGCCTCTTCGCACCTGTATGCAGTAGTCAGCTGGACTCGATGACATGCTGGTCACGAGGTCGTACATCATCTAGCCAATCAGCGTCGTTCCCGGGAAAATCACGGCTGGTCAGCCGACACGGGACTCGCGGAACATCAGTATCTCCGTTCAACGTGACCTTTCCCCCTCCCCCTCCCAAAATCCCCTAAAATAGATAGAGAATAGAGAGACAGAGGTGTAGTATGGAGAGTGTCAATGTTCTGGACTGTGGTGAAGTAACTTATATCCACTTTTCGAGAGAGGCTCGGATATGTGTATCATTACCGGGTAACCCAGGTCATCCACTTGGACCTCCGTATTAATCGATGAGATCATTCCTGTAAGGTTGGTATCGTAATGGTAATTCCGTATCCAACCCAGTAATAAATGGATTCAACTCACACAAGCTGCTACATGAGAAGGCGGAGAATAAATCACAGGAGAGATGGATTTCGATTCTCGAGAGGAACACGATGTTGGCTTACAACAATAATATATATTAGAAATAAAAGAACAAACAAACCTATCGTCTCCATTCTTGCTATGAACGCCCTATAGATATGTCCTAGTAATATCTGGTATTGGACCTTGGGACTCTCCCGCCCCCTCTCTTTTCTCTTCTCCAGGGCCTTTTCCTTCGTTCCTTTATTAGGGGGAACTTCTTTTTCGTTTAGAATAATTGGACAGATTCCCCTTGTTTTTTATTTCACTTTTCCTGGTTTTTTTTCTATTTTATTCTGTCCCCCTCTTTGGCCCTTAACGTTGTTTCCTTTGAACTTTCTAAGCGTCAACGTCACCTTTTCCGAAGTCGCCCTGAATCCCATACACACCTTAACACCTTAACACCCCCAATACCCAATTTACCCAATTTTCTTACTCCCAATCTAACCCTTTGGATTTTCCTCAATTCGACATTATTGGTCCCTCCCTTCCTCCTACACACCAATTCATTCCACCTTTTGGGATTTCCTTTCCCTCTTTCCTGCATTCTTGGCACTCGAACCACCTATTCTTCTCATCTCGCCCCGTTCGGACCTTCCGCCCACCCCCTCCCTCCCCTCCCAGCTTGACTCCACCGATTACCACGCCCAAAACGGGTTCCTTTCCTCTTCCTCCATAGCACTCCCCGCCATGTCACAGAGTCGGCCTGGGTTATTCCCAAGTTTGCGCATGGGTGGTAAGTCTTGCCTCAATTGCGTTGTCGTCCCTCCCCTCCCACTGACGTTCGCTCTTCCCTCCCCGCTGCAGAGGTCATTCGCGAAAAGGTCCAAGATGGCCTTACCGGCGAGCACAAAGAGATCTCGTACACTCAGTGTAAGATCGTGGGCAATGGATCCTTCGGTGTGGTCTTCCAAACCAAGATGGCCCCCAGCGGCGAGGATGCTGCCATCAAGAGAGTCCTCCAGGACAAGCGATTCAAGGTAACAGCGGATTTACCCGGAAAAGGAAAAAGGCTGTCAGGATGATACTGATGATCTTTGTAGAACCGTGAGCTCCAAATCATGAGGATTGTGCGCCATCCTAATATCGTCGAGCTGAAAGCCTTTTACTACTCCAACGGCGACCGAGTAGGTGTTGAGATCGTCTCCCGCCCGGTACTCCCACTGACCTTTTTCCCCCCTCCATTGTAGAAAGATGAAGTGTACCTCAACCTGGTTCTCGAGTATGTCCCCGAAACTGTGTACCGTGCCTCGCGCTATTTCAACAAACTCAAGACTACGATGCCCATGCTTGAGGTCAAGCTCTACATCTACCAGTTGTTCCGGTCGCTGGCCTACATCCACTCGCAAGGAATCTGTCATCGCGATATTAAGCCCCAGAACCTCCTGCTGGACCCTAACACGGGAATCTTGAAGCTGTGCGATTTCGGATCTGCCAAGATTCTGATTGAAAACGAACCCAACGTCTCCTACATTTGCTCTCGCTACTATCGGGCGCCGGAGTTGATCTTCGGTGCGACCAACTACACAACAAAGATCGGTGCGTTCCCTTATCCATGATTCGATTTCCCTCTCGCGATCCTGAACCTAGGTCTGACTCTTATTCTTTTCCCCTCCAATTTAGACGTATGGTCGACTGGTTGTGTCATGGCGGAGTTGATGCTGGGACAACCCCTCTTCCCTGGTGAATCGGGCATTGACCAGCTAGTGGAAATCATCAAGGTCCTTGGCACTCCCACCCGCGAGCAGATCCGGACCATGAACCCCAATTACATGGAGCACAAATTCCCTCAAATCAAGCCGCATCCTTTCAATAAGGTACCTATAACTCCCAATGGCCTGAAATTTCGGATGCTGACCACCCAACCTTAGGTCTTCCGGAAGGCTCCCCCCGAGGCCATTGACCTGATTTCGGCACTTCTGGAGTACACGCCCACCGAGCGTCTGTCGGCCATCGAGGCCATGTGCCACCCCTTCTTTGACGAACTACGGGATCCGGCCACCCGCTTCCCCGATTCGCGCCATCACAACAACCCGGCCAAAGATTTGCCCGTTCTCTTTGATTTCTCGCGGCATGGTAAGTTCCATTACTATGACCCGATAGCGGGTCTCTTTTTTCCCCCTCTTTTGCTAACCCCAGATTCAGAACTTTCGATCGCGCCCGAACTGAACGAACAAATCGTCCCTCCCCATGCTCGTCCGGCCTTGGAAGCGCGCGGGCTTGACATCAATAATTTCAAGCCCCTGTCCAAGGAGGAGATGATGGCTCATCTCGACTGAGAGGATAGATACCTCAACGAGAGACATGTCTGTTCGTAGTGCTTTCCGCACAGCGCGTGAGAGATTCTCAGGACCTATCGACCGAGTACCATCATGTTTCGAGTGACGCTCTTCACTTGAGAGAGCACAGGCTTTGCTGAGTTTCCATACCTCTTATTGAACCAGCGGGCCATTGACGGGACTGCAACATCTGTCAGGGAGTTTTGTGGCGGGGGAGCGATGGGAAAAGTGGAAAATGTCCTTTTTCATGGCTGAGCAGAAAAACTGGATCTGATTCATTTGGAGGGGCATGGGAGGCTGATGATTGTCACGCAATGGTGGAAGGTCATGGCCTGGAGTTCTTATTTTTTGAGGTGTCTGCGACACTTGGGAGGAAAAAGTGATACCCTTTCTGTGCAAGTCTGCCGGGATTGAAGACTGCATAGCTTCATTCGGGGAGGGGAAGGCAAACCCCTATGCAGAAGGCCCTGATCTCGGGACCTTCTATACGCATCACCGTGGGTGACGGAGGCTTTTCGTTCAATTTTACCCGGGACTGTAGTCCCCCCAACCCCAACCCCAATTTACCACGCAATTCCTTCGACTTTGCAGCGCTAGAAACCACGTTTTTTTTTTGTTCTATGTCATCCTCCCTCGTTCTTCTCTTTCTCTGTCCTTTTCTTCCCTTGCTGTGTCATGTTTTTGATCCCCATTTCCCTTTTTGCAAATGTCATTGCCCAGCTTCTTGAAGCTTGGCTCGGCTTGTGATTCCTCCCCTGACCGGTGATGAAGCTACACGTTCCAGGTCTGAATCGGATGGGCTCCTTGTGTTAGGCGGCCCGTAGAGATGTGCCGTTGTATCGCAGGGGAATCCCCTATTCGGATTCGGTCATGTAAGAAAGGCATTCTTTGATAGCATTTTGATATAAGTGTCCGACCACGAAGCATTGATTACTACCCAGACCAGTTGACGTGTTTATCTAACCATACAAAACAGCCTTTCGAGGTACTGAATCACACTATATATGACTTTGTATAACTTGAGGTTCTGATTCTGACGCTTAGCTGAACTGGAGAGAGAGATTTGGCGTAGGAGGTAAAAGGGAACCGCTTGTTGACAGAGATGAGGTCCATGGGTGGTCACGTTGAAAGGAATAATATAGGTTCAGATTGAACATGGTTTCTTTCAAATGATGTCCTTGGAAAACTTGTCAGATATTGTCTCCTGGTCGCGAGCTACTTAAGTTTGACTTTGTTTGGATGGTTTCTCGGGTCGGATTTTCCCCACTTCCGAGCTGCCATTTGCATTTACTAGGAGCTCTGGACCTTCTGAACACCATTCTTCTCTCTTGAATCCCATTGTCCATTCCAGACTTTGCACACCATGGCTGATTATGAGCGCCGGAATCATGGCCCCCGGGGTGGTGGTGGTGGGCGCAAGCGCCGCTACAGAGGTGAGCGACATGCTCAGGCTTCCCTGTGACGATAACTGACAAGTTGGAAGACGATGACGATTTTGATCGTCGCCCTCAGAGACGCAGATACGAAGAGCCTTTGTTTGTTCAGGTCCGCCGTCAACTGCTGGCAATCGCTGAATCCGTATGAATCCACTGCCCCTGCATTGCGTGCTTTCTGCCTATGAGAACTATGGAATTGGAATACTGATGCGCAAGACCCATTGGATAGGCAGCCCGAAAAGTGGAAGATGATATTATGGGAATCGCGAAGTCAGTCGCGGAGAACTTTGATGATGAGGAGTTGCGCGACACCTTTGTTAACATTTCCTTGGACCTGTGCGTGTGCCAACCTACACCAATACTTGGAAGCCCGTGAAGATTGGACTGACATCACAACCTCTCAATGCAGTGTCCAGGAACAACCGATGAAAATCCCATTCGTGGCGGCAACAACTTTGGTCGCCTACAACCTCAAGGCTGAACTGGGTGCGGAGGTGCTGCAGAAAGCAGGCGAGATCCTGCAGAAACACATTGACTCGGGGTCATGGCGAGAGGTGAAGCTTGTCCTTCGCTTTTTGGGAGGCTTGCAGCCTCTTTTTGAGGGCGATGGTATCTTTTCGCTGCTGGAAGAGCTCTTCGCTCGCGCGGTTGATCTCCAGACGGCATCCTCGGAAGACGTAAGTGGGCTCTATCCCCAGATGGATCGCCCGAAACTAACAGTTTGGCGCAGCTACTCGGTCTGGAGCTTGTCAAGGTCATCCTGTTCACTATTCCTTATGTGATGTCCTCTCCTGCGACGGGCTTCGAGACTCAGGCTATGGGACTCCTTGAGAAAACGGACATTATTGCATCTACGCCGCACGCATTGGTGGACTTGGTGAATACGTTTAGCCCGGAAGAGAACAAAGAAGCCGCTGGACCCAGTGTGATTAGTCTTCTGCAAAGTCAACTACAAGGCGAGGCTAGCCGGGGCTGGGAGTTGAAGTGTCTCCCCCGTCCCTGGAAGGGCGTCCAGGAAATGGAGCAGGATGAACAGGATCTGGGTCAGAAGTTCTTCGAGCCGGTGAACAAGGTTTCATTCCCACAAATAAATGTTCCTAACCCGGTCCAGAACGGATCCCGGCCTCTCTTCCCCGAGGTTTACATTTCAGTGTATGCCAATCAAGAGATTGATACGGTGCCTCCACCTTCGGATGTCACGTCGTTGCTGCTGAGAGATGCTTTGGTGGATACCATCAATCTCCTCGACTTCAACCGCGTTGCTACGGCCAAGTATTTGATTGACGTGGATTGTTACTTTACCCCGGACACCTTCGTCAAGCGTGCCACGCCCTTTGACCGGATGCGTGATCTTGCTGGTCAGGGTCAGGCTTGGAAGCCTGAGGACGTTGCGGTGGATGCCGTGTTCTCCCAACTGTATCAGCTTCCCACCCCTGAGCATAAGCTCGTTTATTACCATGCTCTTTTGACCGAATGCTGCAAGATTGGCCCTGCTGCTATCGCACCTAGCTTGGGTCGTGCTATTCGGTTCTTGTATAACAGCCTAGAGACCATGGATCTGGAACTGAGCAACCGATTCTTAGATTGGTTTGCTCACCATTTGAGCAACTTTGGATTCACATGGAAATGGAGCGAGTGGTAAGTAATATGGCTTATCATTCATGGAGAATGGGCGAAGGCTAACCTAGATCCAGGGTGGACGATCTTGACCTTCCTGCTATTCATCCCAAGCTGGCCTTCATCCACGGTGCTTTGGACAAGGAGATTCGACTCAGCTTTGCGCAGCGCATTAAGGGCACTTTGCTGGAGCCTTATCTTCCCTTGATCACCGAGGAGAAGGAGAAGGATACCCCTGAGTTCAAATATTTCTCGGAAAGTACGTAAACTCTAGGTTAGGGCGGTTGCACACAAAGGCCTTGGCGCGCTGACCATGAAATAATAGTGACCCCGTACTCCAAAGAAGGACAGGAGATCATGCAGCTCATTCGAAAGAAAGCGGATGACGCGGAAATTGAGCCACTGATTGCGGCGATTGAGGAACAGGCACAAAGTCTGGGGGTGGAGGACCCCAAGGTCCCTTCAACGGATGCCTTGATGACCTCCATCTGCTTTGTGGGGTCCAAGTCCCTCTCTCACGTCCTCTCTTGCATTGAACGGAACAAGGAGCGGCTCTTGGCCATTGGGCCAGTCTCGCAGCGGGCCCGATGCCAAATTATTGCCTCCGTTATGGAGTACTGGGCTGATCAGCCCGGCATCGCCATCAACATCATCGACAAACTCCTCAATTACACCATCATCACCCCCTATTCCGTCCTGGAATGGGCGCTTTCGGAGTCTCTGGAGGCCGGAGCGGTGCTAGCCAAGGCCCATGTCTTTGAGATGATCTCCGCTACCGTCGGAAAGGTTACCAATCGCATGCGTCAGATCGTCGTGGCTCGTACCCAGCCTGGCTTGTACGAGCCACAGCTGAGTGTGCTAGAGGAGACACTGTCTCGTGAGCGGGGGGAGATGCAGACGCTATTCAGGTTCATTGAGGACTCAATTGTGTCAGTGGCTGCAGGCAGCAACGACGAGCTAATGGAGCGCGGTGATGGTAGCGGCGATCTGCCTGAAGACGCTCTCATCCGCCAATGGGGTCGTCGCTGGCTTCGTGTGTTCCGACGTAAGGTTGCCGTGGAAGAAGCCTTCATCATGGATTCTCTAGCCCACGCCACTCCGGTGGGCACCGTGATCCCCATGCAGGATGCTGGCGATAATGGAGACACTCAGATTACTAATGCAGATGGGCAATAGTGTGTCCTTGGGGTATGACAGGGTTGCAGAATGCAGAGTGGGGGGCCTGTCAGGATGGAGCACGCACGCAGCCTGTCACATTTACAATTTCCTTTTTTCTTTTCCTCGACTTGTTTTATTTATTTCCCACATTAACTAGGCTCTCTTTGCTTTTGGTCCAGTGCCACTGCACGAACTCGTGTGGAGAAAGGAGAAGATCGCAATCTCCTGTCTTACATGAACCGGTGGTACAAGTTCGTGCTCCCACGTCCACTGCAGCAAAAGAAAACATATGCATAGATCTATAATTCCCATGCATGCCATATACCGGAACGGATCTATCAGAACCCAGGAACCAATCCATTAGAGTCCTATCGCACGTTGTGCACGAACCTCGGAACTAGTTGAATCCTTCCTGTCCCTCGACTTGCCCAACTCCACCTCGTGTGGTACTAGGAGGTCAGCTGTCAAGGCAAACCAAGAACCCGGGCAACTCAGACAGGGGCAGAAGAGACGTGGTCGAATGGTCGAACCATTGGGAATCCGATTCATCACAGCAGAAGAGTAGGATCATCGGAATCAGAATCACTCCCCGAAACTTCTTTAAACTTTGCTTCGTGTACATAGCGTCCAAATAGAATACAATGGAATAACAAATACAAAACTCATAAATCATGTACATCTTGAACGCAGAAATCACCCATACGAAAACCCCATGAAACCATACTCATTCCTCCAAATAAACCCCCGGGTATATAGATCCAGATCGGAGGATCCGAAGCGCGCCATTAATCCTCACAGGATGACAAGAGAAAAACAAAGAAAAATCACAGGACAAAGGATCAGAGACAAGCCCCAAAATGAAAGTAGCCCAGGAATGTATAGAAACAGAATAAAATAGATTTCACCGCCGGTTCATCAAGTATGGGCCGGGTTCGTCTCCATCACTGCTGGACCCGCCCGTATACATGGACAGACTATCTTCATAGCTGCCTCGTCGGAGCTGCGAAGGATCCTCATCCGATTCCATGGACAGCATGCGGTGCATCGAGTCGCCTGTCATCGACCGCTTGGTGGTTAGGATCCGTCGGTCTTTGCCTCGGCCCTTGATGCCCTTATTGCTGTTCTTGTAGAGGGAAGCAAAATACTCCCATAGTTCGCGGTCTTGCGGATTGACGGTACCTTGGTCGCCGATTTGGGAGAATCGCATCGTTAACGAGCGGAGCGTGGATGCGTGGAACTTATTCTGGTGGGACTAGATCCAGAAGGAAAGGATGTGAGCCTGTTGAGCCGGAACTTGCCCATGGATCGTGGGCTCATAGAAGTCAGTGAATGTCTTACCTTCAGGTTCCCAAGTTGCGTAAACTTCTTCCCGCAGTCGTCCAGTAGGCAGGTGAATGGCTTATTCTGGAGATGGGTCGTCTTGTGGGCCCGTACATTGCCCCGCTGGGCGAATCTTTTATGGCAGATATCACAGGAGTACGGTTTCTCACCCGTGTGGCGGCGTTCATGAGTCTGGTAGAATGGGTCTTGGTCAGGCCAGGCTCTCTACTTTTGGGGGGCGAGGGGTTGCAGGACTGACCTTGAGGTTGCCTAGCTGCGAGAATCGTTGTCCACAGGAAGGCTCCTTGCATATCTGCACTGCATCAGCTGAAATGACCCCCGCCATGATCGAGCACGGTCTACTCACAAAGGGCTTATCACCTGTATGCGCTCGAGTATGGATATCCAAGTGTGTTTTCTGCGCAAAACTCTTGCCACAGTTCGGCAAGGTGCAGGTATACTTGCGCTTCTTGCCAGACCGCGACAGCTGGCCGTCATTGTTCAGAATACAACGCGGAGGTGACATGGGGTAGGTTGGATACCCTGGCGATGCGAGCTGCTGCAGTGGTGGCAGTGACTGCTGGGCCTGTGGGATCTGTTGAACCGGTTGGACTTGCTGGATCTGCTGGCTCTGCTGCTGCACGGGGGACGAGCCCGTCTCCGGTTTAGCCTGGATGGCCTTCATCAAGACGTCGACTTCGGTCGAGAACTCGAAGTTGGGACCACCCTTCTTCACGGCCACGGCTCCAAGACCCCGGGCATCGGGTCCCTTCGCCCCCTGGTTGATGGCATTCTTTGCCGGGCGAATCTCCGGAAGCGAATGCAGTGGTTGTTCGGTCAGGCGAATCGGAGATGCGAGTGGGGGCTGGCTGGCTCCGAAATAATGACCATATGGGTGTGCGGGCTGAGTGAGAGGGCTAAAGTTGTACGAACCCGAGGTTGGAGCATGATATGGGAGAGAGTATGGCGTCGATGTAGGATGATGAGCATAGTAAGGGAACAGGGGGGAGTCCATCCGACGATGGGCATAAGGGCCCATATGGCCATGACCCGAGAACTCATATGAAGACACTGGTTCGGCGGTCTCCATGTCTGTTCTTTCGTTGCCTTGGTCGTTTCTTTTTTCTTTCCCTTTCTTTTGGGTTTGGCGCGTGTCCCTGGCAGTCACAATCACACCTTGACGAAGGTCTTTCTTTTTTTTTTTGTTTTCTTTTTGCAATTTGGGTTCTGTCTGAAGGTTAAATAGAGAAGAAAGGGTCTGGGATATAGAAAGGTCGACCAGAGAAGAAGTACGGGTCAGGATTTGATCTATATAAGGATGTGTGCATAGATCTGTATGATTGCCCACAAGTGGATCACAGTTATATGACGTTCAGAGGGAGTAGTTCGAGGCTAGACGTGCATGGTCGATCAGGGATTCCGTGGAGACCTGAAAGCCCGCATAATGGGACGCATCTGATTTAATATTGATTTGGCGAGACTCGACTAGTGTAATGGGAAATGTGTAATAAAAATGCATCCCCAAAAAACTCGGTGTAGCAGAAATGTTGACAGCCGCGACTGGCGACTACTAATCCTCCACTCCACATGACTTTGCACGTCTGTCTTTCTGTTTCTCTTTCTCTTTCTCTCTCTCGCGCTCTTCCTCTCTCTCTCTCTCTCTGCTTCGTCTTTTCGTACCTTTCTTGGAATTGACAAGAGCCAAGGCTGCTTGACAATGATTGCCATTACAATACACGATCCATCAGAAAGGAAAAAAACAAATCCATCACCTCGAGGGCGGCCCGGGCCTTCGGGCTTTCAAAGTGGACCAAGGATCGGCGACGAGTAAGCCTTCGTTGATTGGGCCATCCGGATGCGCCCGTCCGATAGTCGCCAATAGCGTCCGATCTTCGTCCAGCGAATATCCCAGCTAGCCGCCCAAGGCCTGGGAAATTCACTCGATCTCTCAGCTCCCAGATCGTCGATCCCCGCCTCGTGTTCCCTGCCAATGGGTTTTTTCCCCTTTTCTTTTTCTCCCCTTGGTCGTTCTTGATTTGCTGCTGTGCTTTCCTGCACGTCGTGCGACTGTTCCTGCAGGGATGTTCAGAGCATGAGAGGCGAAAAGAACTAATAATCATCGATAAAAACAGGAAAAGCAACACGCAAACTCCCAGAGCACACGGGCCCTCTCGTACCTGGGCTCCACTCACGGCACTCGACATGTTCTATTGTACTACAGCTCGACCCATCCACTCGGTTCTTGTGCGACTCGTGGCCTCTTTACAGTGGGATATTTGCATTTTTGTTTGCGAATGGCATTATTCCAATGAAACACAGGGGAAGCAAAAAGGGGGGAAATACAATAATAACAAAGACACCGGCAAATTCGAATAGCCCAACCCGGCGTGCAAGTGGAATCCAAAATCCAAGCAATAAAAACAAAGGCGTCCGAATGGAAAAGATAAGACATGAAGGATGTCACATTGCGCCAAGACATCCCATTAAACACCCCCTTTTTTTTTACCGTCCAGTGTAGTTGGAGTATCTAGAGAACGGTCAGAATGAAGCTCCACGGGGATCTCGATCGAGTAGAACGTACCTCCAGATCCGTGCACGCATGTCTCCACTGCCAGTTGCGAACAGGTTGCCAGTTGGGGCTGGGGCAACGGAGATAACTGTATCCCGCGGAAAAGACTCAGGGTTAGAAAAGGCATGACACAAGCTTTGATAAGATATGCAATTCTCACTCACCGGAGTTCTTGTGGCCCTGCAACATCATCTGAGCATTACCAGTGACCGGGTCCCAGAATTGGACGCCACGGTCCTTAGAACCACTCATGACCCACTGGCCATCGGGCGTCAGGCACACGCTAAGAACAAAGTCCTAGAACAAGGTTAGTGGGGAAATGAAAAAAAGTGACAGGGGAGAGCGGGTAATAGGAAACAAAAGAAAAGAAAGAAAAGAAATTAGAAAAAGAGCACCAACCTTGTGGCCCTCGAACGTCCGCACACACTTGCCGCCTTTGACGCCACTGTGGGGGTGCAAGCCTCGCGGGACAGTCAATTCCCACAACTTGATAGTCTTGTCCAAACTGCCGCTAACCAGGTCGCGGCCATTGGGTGCGAAGGCAACCGAGTACACGCTGTCCTTGTGCCCATCAGGGTTCTCTAGTCGCTCCACCAGGTAGCCAGTGGTGGTGTCCCACACCCGCACGCTCTTGTCCAGCGATCCAGCTGCCACGTAGTGGCCATCGGGGGACATAGCCACCGTAGTAACTCCGTCCTCAATGCTAAGGGTGTAAACCAGCTTGCCGTCGAGGATGTCCCAGAGACGCACGGTCTTGTCACCACTGCCCGAGGCGATATAACGGCCATTGCCGGCAAAATCGAGCGAGTAAATGTCTTGTTCGTGACCGCTGAAGATATTCTTGATGGTACGAGAGGCAATATCCCAGACCTACATTCGGATGACCCGTAAGTAAACTGTGGAATTTTCAAGGCGGCCCACTTCCATGGGAGTGCCGGGGGATGGTTTACTTACACGAATCTGCTTGTCCTCGGCACCAGTCGCCAGGTACTTACCATCGGGACTGAAGCACACGCTGCGGATGTAAAGGTCACCATCCTTGTCGACGTTCTCATCCTGCAGGGTTGCCACATTCTGTCCCGTAGTCACATCGAAAATCTGCGCCGACCGGTTGCAGCCCGTCGCCAGGTACTTGCCATCACGGCTGAAGCGAACACAGCAGACTACACTGTCGTGACTGAGGTGGTGTACCAGCTCGACATCTAGCACACGCTGAACCTCAGGGTTGAACACTGCATACCAGTCTGTGCCTTCGCGCTTCTGCGACGGGGGAAGGTCCTCCGGGTTCCAGTTGGCCAACATGTTGCCGGGGCGATCGGAGCGAACAGCGGCGGTCGTCGGAGCACCTGGAGGGGTCGGGCGGATCTGAGGAGAGGCACGAGGGTCAGGGTAGGCGAGCTGAGTCGGTTGAGGGGTGGCTGGGCCGGGGGCTGCACGGCGACCCTTACCAGGGCCCGGGGAGGCGGTGGGAGGCGGTGGGGGACCGCCATAGCCTGTTGAATCAAACAAAGACAGGTTAGCAACTCGGCGTCAATTCCCTAAAAACTCTCACATACCGGTCACAGCAGCGCCCGGTGGATATCCTCCAAAGGAGCTCTGCAGGGGCTGTCCAGGCTGGGCGGCCGCCACAGGCTGTTGAAGGGCATGCGGGGGAGGCTGCTGATCCTGGGGAGGGGGAGGAGCAAGACCGGGACCACTACCTCCTTGGTTGGCGTTGGCCATAATTCCGCTAAACAGGTTGCTCGGGCCATGGCCGACCTGTGGGGGCTGACCTGGTGGAGCTGTATGCGCCGTAGGTGCGATGTGGGAGACGGTTTGAACACCGCGCGACTCGAGCTCGTGTCGCAGCATGCGGATTTCGGCTTCGTAGCTATTATGCGAAGATGGTCAGTACCAGACAAGAGCGATTTGCGCAGAAGGGGCACAAATGACCGGGGGGCCGAAGGTCTCACGCACTCTTGCTTCATCTTAACCTGGGTTTGCTCCAGTTGATACACCTTCTGACGGATCATCTCCATCTCCTGGAGTTGGCCGGTAACTGCATGATCTATCAGTTAGAAAACCATTCAGCGCATTTCGTGACCTAGAAGTCGTAGCCATGGACAGACTAGCGACTTTTAATGAGATAGGGGATGCTCCAGCGATGCGCATTTGAGAAGCTAAGCAAAGCGAAGGTCGAAGAGGGGGCAGAAGGATAGGTGATAATTTGCAAATTGCAGAAGGCAGACGGCAGATGGAACACATACACTGGTGCTCAAATTCACCGGTGCTGCGAGACTGGCTCTCGAATTCCTGGCGCAGCTGATCCAACAACTCCGTCAGACGGGAGTTGGGAGCGGGCACCATCCCGCGATGAGCGTTATACATGGTGAATCGACGGCGTTAAAAGGGGGTCTTGGGATGAGTCTCTGAAAGTGGAGTACACTTGGAGCTGATGGGAGGAAGTCGGATCAGCGACAGCTTTGCGACAACGGATCGCAGCTGGGGACAGGGTCACGAAGCCGATCACTGGGCAATTGCTGCTTGGTGAGCGACACCAGGCAGCTAGCCACGGCAATGATGAGGCACCAAGAAAAAGAAGTTGATTTCAGGGGAGAACAAAGGATGACCCGGCGGGTATTCCTTGTGGATGAGGGTGGATGGATAAGGTGTGGTTAGAGGGGGGAGAGGAGGCTGGGTTGAAGTTTGGGGCGGGCAGAATTGGGCGGCTACTGCCGTTGGCGCTAGAAGCGACGCAATAGGCGAGCGCATGGGGTTCTGGACTTCGGGAACTATGTCATTGGATTGATGAAATTTGATGAATTGGATTGGATTATAAAGAATTGAAGTCTAGTCAATTGAATTTAGCCCAATACGTCAATGGAGCAACCGAACTGGGTCATCAGTCCTATACATGAAAAAATGATAATAATGGCCATATTGGAGCCATTGACACTGTTTGCAGAACAAGACTTGGAATTACACCGAGAGCTTCGTGGCTGTACCTCTGAGTACGGGGATCAGGGCATTGGTGCCTTGTTGCCTTGTTGCCTTGGTCCCATGGCACGAACTCCCGGTTCCTTGCAGAATCCAAAAAGGGGTAAAGACGACGACCGACTACTCTGCCAGATTGCCCATATAGTGGCGCATCATCACTATCGAAGAATGGTATTATCTTTCTCGGTAGCATAATTACTAGTATGTTAGAATGATATCACTACTCCGGACTTATAATTTATAAGTCAAATAGTTAACTTAAGTTAGTTCACTTTTATCATGTTGGATTATTAAGGGGCCCAGCGGCAGAAGCCGTTCCGCGCTGGTGTGATGCGGGCAGAAATTATCATTCGCCCCTCGGACTGTACTTCTCCCTTTAAAGATTTCTCTCTTCGCCAATTACCTCCTCCCCCATTCTTCTTACGACCCGTGAGTCAATCATGGATATCATTCTAGAATTGTGGGACACCTTCATTGGTGATCGAATGTATTCCGCTCTTCTTCCCAACTCAATCGCCTCCTCCGTCTCCCTCCCGGGCTTCGTCAATGCCGCCAACAGCTCCCTCTCCTTGTTCGGGGCAGCCGAACCTTTCATCTATGAGCCAGCTACCCAGTTGATTCATCTCGAACCCTCCAAATATGCCTACCTTAGCGCGTGGCCGCGGAATAACATGTACCGTCAATTCACCAGCTTCTTCTTGATCACTTGGTATGCGCCAAAACCCCTGACGCCACCCGTTATGGTTCTTCATTAACGCAAGTCCAGGATTTTCGGTCTCCTCGTCTACTTCGTCGTTGCGACGCTGTCGTATATCTTCATCTGGGACAAGACCACCTACAATCACCCTAAGTTTTTGCGAAACCAGATCTCCATGGAAATGAAGCAAGCCATGGGTGCCATGCCGCCTATGGCCCTGTTGACTGCGCCTTTCTTTGTCCTTGAGGTCCGCGGCTACGCCAAACTCTACGACACCGTTGCCGAGGAGCCCTTTCCGTTTTACAGCATTCTGCAGTTCCCATTCTTCATCTTCTTCACCGATTTCTTCATCTACTGGATCCACCGCGGCCTTCACCATCCGCGAGTCTACAAAACCCTCCACAAGCCGCACCATAAATGGATCATGCCGAGCCCTTACGCCTCCCATGCCTTCCACCCCTTGGACGGCTGGTCCCAGAGTGTGCCATACCACGTGTTTCCATTCATCTTCCCTCTGCAGAAATTGGCCTATGTCTTCCTTTTCGCCTTCATCAACCTCTGGACTGTCTTCATCCATGATGGCGAGTACGTCGCCAACAGCCCAATTGTGAACGGAGCCGCCTGTCATACTATGCATCACCTCTACTTTAACTACAACTACGGACAGTTCACTACCTTGTGGGATCGTCTGGGCAGTAGCTACCGCAAGCCCAATGAGGAACTCTTCCGACGGGAGACCAAGATGGGTGATCAGGAATGGAAACGCCAGGCTAAGGAGATGGAAGCCATCCTGAAGACTGTGGAGGGAGATGATGACCGCCACTATTCCGCTGACCAGAAGAAAAACCTTTGAGACGAAGCAGGTCATGATACACGTGTTGCTTATGGCCGTTGAGTCTCGGAGTTGAATCATGGGTTTTCCTTTCTCGTGGAGTTTTGGGCTGCTTGCATAGGTTCATTTGGGGTCTCCGAAACTTCTTTCATCCGGGTGAACCCTTTGTTCCAACTACATTATTCTTAATATTGTGTTGTATATTTGTTTTTAATACTTGCCCAAAAGAAAGGGACAAGGGCTCAAAATAGCCTGTTGTCCTGCTTTCTGTACATACTTATCAAGCTAGAATGCACGTTCATGACCATTAATCTTGGAATTCCAGCCAACTTCTCATATGTGCATTACTAACTTGCGCTATATATGTACTTTGTATAGAGGACTCCGATACAATTATAGCTTCCCGGCTTGTCTGCCTTTTTTTGGCAGGAACCAGTCCATATACTTCCGCTGCAACGAAGGAGTGACCCCCGTGACGGGATGGGCTGGCTCCTTGCCTCCAGCACAATACTTCCGTACCGCATCCTCTGCGTGTCCCTGAACGTCATACCCATAAACATCCATCACTGTCTGTGGGTCCCCATACAGGTTGCTGCTGCGTACAAAGTACGTGCCTTCCAGCTCCGGGGCCATTGCTGTATCACGTCCTTGCTGTAACGGCCCGTCTGGCAGTTGCCAGATGGCTCCGTTGATAAAGGAGACTTGTTGTTTGGCATATGCTTTAGGCATGCGCTCTGTCTCGTAGATTTCGACGGCATCTTGAATACCAATCTTGCCCTGAACCACGGCCTCCACGCACTTGCCGAGAAAAGCACCATCTTCCATCGAAGTAGCTGCTCCTTGCGCCATGTGATTCACCATGGAATGCGCTGCATCGCCCATGAGAACCACGTTCTTTTGGGATGATGACCAAGACTTCAAGGGTCCAGTCACCATGAGTGGCCAACGTGACTAGCACAGGAATGAGTATTTATGTCTGTCATGTCTCTTGAATAGGTACTCACCACTTCCGGGATCATATCTACAATGCGCTTGATACGTGGGTCATAATCCTTATATTCCTCTCGCATCTCCTCGATGGGCACGTTGTCTTGAGTGGCACGCAGCTTTTCCGGCCGATGGTGTGAAAGTACCAAGTTAAACATGTTGCCGGCCGAGATTGGATATGTAATGATGTAAGACTGAGGAGCCATCCACACCTCCATGGTGAGCTTTTCGATGAGCTCTTTGGCAATTGGATCTTGGCGAATTTGGTCGTATGGGACCATGGCTCGGTATGCACAGTTGGTGGTCGGAGGCTCCGGCCGCACATCTGGGAACAATGTTCGACGGACAATACTATTGACTCCATCTGCGCCAACGCAGAGATTGAATGTGTATGAATCTCCTTTCTGAGTAGTCACAGTCACCTCCTCGCTTTCATGGTCGATCTTGACGACGCGAGAGTCAATCTTGATTGTGGCCCCGGCTTTGGCAGCGATCGTGGCCAAGCCCTCATGAAGATGCGCGCGGTGAACCACCCACCATGGTCTTTGAAGATCTCGTTCGATTGTGTCAATCTTGGTATACCCGACAGGCGTACCATCTTTACGCCGCATGTTCAATTCTTCAAATTGCACCAAGTTCTTTCCAACGACCTTGTCCACGCCCCATCTCTGAAGAAGTACGGACACATTGGGGGTCATCTGGATTCCTGCTCCAATCTGATATAAAAGGTGGCTTATATCAGCTTGCGATCCATCATAGATACAAAGATACATACTTCACCTAGCTCTTCAGCCGCTTCCAGCACGGTGACTTGGGCGCCGGCTTGGCTCATTGCAATTGCAGCAGCCAGCCCACCGATACCCGCACCAATAATGCCGATATGTACCGGACGAGAAGTCTCGTCATAGTTAGTGATATTGATTTCCCATTGTGAAGTGAAAACAGTGCAGGACCAACCATAATGAAAGGTTGCAATTGATGGATTGTCGATATACTGTATATAAATTGAGACGAACGCTTTTGCCAGGATTGTAGATGGGTAACGTCAATGGCATTTTATATGACTTGATCTAGCGGTTCCTGACATGCATTACAATGAGCCGGACCCACAGTGCATGACTGCCGAAGCAAGGCCGGGGAAATAGGAGAGCGGATGCTCTGTAGTGCATGATGGAGAGCGGTCGGGGAGTTCGGGAAGTCGTGTCTGGTTCACAACTCCGGATTTCCATCTAGCGCAGCCACCAAGAATGTGGGGATCTGCCAAGCATTTGAACATTCGTGGGCATCCAAGGTCTTTCCATGGTTCCCGATGGGCGAAAGGAGACTTGATGTTCAAACCTTCACCGCTGCCAAGGTCAAGGTGGAGCAACCCCATATGATGACTATCTCCCCGCTCTTCCTTTCTTCCCCGTATGCGCCATGCCACAGTCGGCCCATCCCCCTAAACGCCGGCGTGCAGTCTTAGCCTGCAATTCCTGTCGGCACCGGAAATCCCGCGTAAGTATGTCGGTTCAATTGCCGCTCAAGACTAACGCTTGGACAGTGCGACGGAGGTCGACCGTGCACACAGTGCAAGGAGCTCGAGTGTGATTGTGTCTATCAGGATGTGGGCACATCATACAATCTGACGGTGGAAAAAAGGTGATCCACCCTCCAGTGGGGGAATCATCTTACGACATGAGCTTCCTACTGACCGGCAGAACAGTTATTTGGCCCGACTCGAGCACCGAATCCTTGCCATTGAGGCATCTATCCGTAGACTGGAGCATAATCAAGGTAATGTTACCCCGTCGGCACCAGCTGAGGGGCCTCTGGTGGCCGATCTGGCAGTAGGACACGGAATTGAATCTACCTCGGCCAAGTCGGACCTCCCGGGACGCTCCTGTCACGCGATGAGTCTTCCAGGGAGGGCCGAGTTTGAAGAGATAGATGCATCGGAGAACTCAATTGATGGGATGGGCGCCATCAATTTTGCAGATGAAGAGGATTGTGGATTTTTCGGTAGGGAATTCATTCCCTCGTGGACATGTGTAGGATGAGTCTGGCTAATCTTTTCAGGCCCGTCATCCAACATTGCATTCATGCGTCATATTTCTCGAGCTATTGCAAGGGGAAACCCACACGGTGGCCGTGTTCCATCTATATCCTCCCCGGCACCAGCCGGTGGTGGGATGTTGAACGTGTCAAGATCTCGTCCTTCCCTGGACGATCCTCGGGGTAGAATGCAAATGGCGAGCGAAAATGGGATCAACATTTTTGCTTTACCCTCTGAGCAACGCACTTGGAGCTTGATTCAGGTTTATTTTGAAAAAACTGGACAGCTCCTGCCATTCATCCACGAGGCATCATTTTGCGAGACATATTTTCGAATGCGCGAAGAGAATTTCAAACGAGTGCGCCGGACATGGCTCGGACTGCTTAATATTGTTCTGGCTATTGCCACGAGTCTTCATACAGAAGGTGACCTACCAACCGGCAAAAGGATCCAGGAGTCGGATATATACTTCCAGAGAGCGAATGGACTCTGTGATAGGGATTCCAAACGAAATGCAAGTCTAGAGATGGGTGAGTCATTTCCTGCAAACCATGGTAATTATTATACTAAGGGGAGGTATAATAGTACAGTATCTATTGGTCCTGGGTCAATATCTTCAAGGGACCCAGAAATCCGTGCAAGCGTGGACCACGCACGGTCTGGCTATTTCAGCGGCTTTCCAACTTGGATTGCATTCACCCGAGGCCAACCGGCGCTTCTCGCCTGTGGAAAGTGAGATTCGCAAGCGAACCTGGTTTGGTTGCATTCTGCTGGACAGGTAAGGACCTAGATCATGGAATTCTGCGCGGAAGCACTAAATTGTCAACCCAGAACATTGAGCATGACGTTTGGCCGACCTTGTACCATTCCGGAAACGTACGTGAAGCTGGAGATGCCTGTCAAAGATATGCAGGTTTTGACTAGCACACCAAAATCCGAATCCTATCCTCAATTGGATGGCTGGTTCTTCACAGCAGCCATGTTAGTTCAGACAGAAAGCCTTCTAACCGCACAGACTAACTCATTGGCTCAGAAAACTATACGTTGTGATGTTCAACGTCCTCGACAACTGCTACTGTCAAAACCTAGGATTTGAACACCCCTTGACCCCCGCAAACGCAGTGCCTCAAATCCTTGAGGGCGAGCGTCAGCTTGAGGAATGGCGTTTTTCAATTGTGCCTTCTCTCGGTATCAGACTCTGGCATGAGCCTTTACTTGCCGAGGATCTAGTGCATTTGGACCCAGAATCCACGATTCGCCATCGATTTGGCATTGTTCTCTCGGTCCGGTACCATAACCTACGTATTCTCCTCTATCGCAAATTCCTTGAGTGTTTCTTGGATACATACAGTGCCGATGATTTGGCTTCCCAAGAAACCAACCTTGTCCACCAGATGGGCTTCACGGGCGTGCAAAATTGCATCGAGTCTGCCAAGTCAATCATTTCCACCGTTCATACCATCACTTCATCAGGCGGCTGGCACCGAGGCCTTCTTGGGGCCTGGAATTATTCGCTTTATTACAGTAGGTCAACAAATATGTCTTTCAATGGCTCTACCGCTGAACTCTTTCCCAGCCTTTAATGCCGGTCTTGTCATCTTCGGAGCCCTTCTCGTCTCGTCAAAGGAAAGTCAGTACAGCCCAGACCAATGGCGCATGGTTGAAGATGCCCGGCCATACCTAGATCTCGCTGCGGACGCTTTGCGTCATCTAGATTCGGGGAATCTAGTGATTGAGCGCTGTGTCGAATATTTGGCCCAGTTGTCTATGATCCTCAACGCCACCAGTGAGTTTTCGATGCTCGAATGAAACCTTCAAACATTGGTACTGACCGTTGTAGCTTCCGGCGAAGCGAGTCACCCCCATGCTCCTGTCGGTCCTCACATACCACTGCCTGTCCCGGAGATACTTTCCACGCACGATACGGATGACCCAATCTGGCCCAATGTAGATCTCGGCGAATTCATGATGGATAATGATCTGGACTTGCTAGGCCGCATGTTCAATTTCAGTCAATCCAATGGCACGGCAATCTAACCAGTATGGCAAGTGGAGCATGGGAAGATCATGTTTGCTCCCCTTCATATTAGGAAGCTACTCTCAAAGCACCTTGTTCAATAGCTACGCTTTTTTCGTGGCTTGTATATAGATTGGCTAGCTTTGTATAGGCAGAGAACCAACGATCTCTAATATTATGCATATACTATCTCACCCTTTGAATTATCACACATCGTGATCCATCATGGGGGTGGAAGCCGTTCGCCGCCAAATCCTGCTCCGAGCTTGGCCAAACTTCCATGGTAAACCCTTTGGCCTGCTCCGTAGTCATTGTCTGGTACATGGCAACCACTCGGTGCGCCTGCATGATGTCCCCGCACTCAAGAACGGTAAGCTTTGCTTGTGATTGAAGGGAAAGAGTGAGAATCCGATGGTAGAAAATATCTTCCATATTGCAATCTTCAGGCATTGCCGACTGAGGAATACTAGGCGGCACCAATGCCAATCGCGGCTCAAACCGCCGAACACTGCGTGATGTGGTGCCATTGCGGAAGTCCGCGGTAGATATATAGGGCGGATTGGAGATCAGTAAATCACATTCAAATTCCGATGATCCACCGGGATTTCCAAGCCGAGGGAAGTAATCCTGCAGGACCTCCTGTGTTGTCGGGACAGGTGCGGATTCGTCTCCCACGCCAAGGACGTCGGCGCGATGGAAGTGAATTTGGGTAAGGGCGCGGTCGGTTAACAAGGCCCGATGCATATTATGTGCCAGATTCCTTTGGGCTAGCTTCAAGGCCGTTGGACTTATGTCAATGCCCAAAATCTGCATGTCTTGGAAGTTTGGAGCGAGAAGCGCATGCAGCAACAGTGCGATGCAGCCCGTGCCGGTGCACAGGTCCAATACCCGGAGGGGCCTCCGCCGGCGTGGTGACGGAGTGTCGTTCTTGCTTTCTAGAGCCATTTGACGGAGTCTCTTGGCGGCTTGAAAGGTGTATGATTCAGTATCAGATCTGGTAGGCGACGTCAGCAATCTTGTATGGGAATGGGGTCCGGAAAATATCCAACCTTGGGATCAATACACCCCGCTGGCAAAGAATTTCCAAATCTCCAAATGGTTGATCCCCTAGGATGTACTGGAGTGGGACCCCTCGGGAGCGCTGTTGACACATAGATCTTAGACGCGTTCGCCATCCTGGCGATCCCAGTCGCGAGGACTGGCTATCACGCAGGGCACGCTCCCGGAGCCACCGTAGCTCATTTCGCGCAGAGACTAGCGTACGGCATTCTTGAAGCAGCAAAGGCAGAAGAGGGGTTTCTTGATAAGCCTTGATAAGTACTTTGGTTGGAATACGCGGCATTCTGGTGTGAGAAGATGTTGGGGTGATAATGCCAAGCTTGACAGAAATGATTGCTACGAGAGGGAACTTTTCTTTTCCTCAACCCAACCTGTTGAATCATCGCTATGGTTTACTCGTACCCGATTGGACATGGACGATTGGTCGTTTGAAAAAAAGAAATAGGTATATATAAAATTCATGACACATGAGAAGAAATTATCAAACCAATAGACCCAGGTATGTACCTCAAGCCAACACCAATACACCAATTTAAACATGCAAAAAGATCTCAAGTGAAGATGGAGTCATGATATGTTCACTTCCCCTCACAGAGCCAGCAGAGCCGCTCCGGCCAGACCCAAAGCCATGTGATTGGGCATCCTGGTTGGGCCTGGGGCAGCAGGGTTGCTGGTCTTGCCGTTGCCCATTGTGATGACGGCGGTGCTATCACCGGTCGGGCCTCCAATGCGTGCCCCGTCACTTCCAGTGGCTGCAGTAGTTACTGCGTTGGTAACTGAGGTGGCCCCCGGCACCGAATTCGAACCGGTGCCAATCTCCTTGATGTTGTTGCTCGTCGAGTCAAAGTTGGTGTTGGCCAACGAGATCTCGTTGTTGGCCAAATCGTATACCACGTACGCGCTGCGCAGGAACGTATCACCCAGCACCGAGGTGCTTCCTCCGGATGGGACAATGCCAAAGGTGCAGGCAGCGTCACCATTGCTATAGTACGCTTCTTCCAATTCCAGAACCAGCTCGGCGATCCCAACGGTGATGGTCGGAGACGAGAAGGTGTACGAGATATTGTAATCCTTCTTAGCGATACTGCAGGGGACGAAGCCATAGCCGTCCGACGCTTCGTAGGTGACATCTAAATCTTCAAAGATCTTCTCGACGATGCTATCCGGGAGATAGGTCAGGGAGCTACCGGAATCGAGCAGAACGGCAGCCGGAAGGGCGCTGGAGGAGTAATTGGTGGTACCGGAGGAGTTTGTCAAGGCAACTCCGGTCAGGGCGATGTAGAAGGCGGTATATCCGTCGCCGGTTTTCTCGATCGGCAAGGTCTCGAGGGTTCCGTGATACTTGTCGGTATTCACACCGCCGAACAGAATCGAGCCTTCGCTGGCATCCAGGTCGTTCAACCACAAACTGTATGCATTGGAGTTGATCAATCCCTTGTTCACCATGGCCTTGGGTAGGTTAGCATAGGATTGCTCCCCCGCGGTGCCCACCTGGGCTTCATTTGTGACGTATCCAATTCCCAACACACCCTCTGAAGCGAAGAAATTAGATTCGGGTCTCCAATCCCTGCGGTTTGAGGGGATGTAAACTCACCTTCCGAAGACGAGGTATCGCCGATGCCGAATTGGAAGTCTTTCAAGGTAGTGTCCCCAATGTGAAGCGTCTCGGTAGCGTAGACGCCGGCGGCTCCGGAGCCATCGGCATAGGTGATATTGAAATCCGAGGAGACATAGGAGTAGGTGGACGATGCACTGGAATCATAGGTACCGAAATAATCACAGTATTTCGAGTATTCTTCACAGAAGGTGGAATTGGGAGCATTCACCCATAGATCACTGCTGCCGGTGTCGATGACCAGACGCAAGCTCTGTTCGGGGGTACCAAGAGTGACATTGACCAGATAGAGGAGTTCCTATACACTGATGAGTTTCTATGTGTTTGGCGGTTTTTGCTTTTTTCTCTCTTTCTTTTCTTTTTCTTGTACATACCTCGTTATCCAAACCCACGCTGACTGTATCCGAACGCTTCCGCCTCGCTCGATCTCTAGCGACGGGATTCGAGATCTCTCTTCGTTTAATATCGAAGCCAACGACGGCCGGAGTGTCTCGCTCGTGCAGTGTTAACCCTAGGACTGGGAGTGCATAGGTCGCTAAGAGAACCCAGGCATTTCTCATTTTAACGGGTTTTGTTCCGCTTGCGTTCTTGTACGTAGTTTGGAGGGTTTTTTTTTGGAAACTTTCAGGGGGACGGTCGCAAATATAACAGATATAAGACGGAAACCTAGGGAAATGCCGAGTCTAAAGGGAAAGAGAGAAAGAGGGAAAAGACCATCAGGGTCTTTGGGGAAAAGAAGTGGATGCGACGATACCACTAAGCCGGAGGGCGTTTTTTTACTATGTATAAACGTACATCGTACCTCCTTTTCTCGGTTCCAGGGAAATCGGGGGAATCATCGCCCCCAACACCAATGGAATAGACGCTGATTGGTGTGGATCAAGTGCTGCCTTGAGAGTATCAGCCTGCTGAGCCCCACTGAGTGGGCGCGTCACCAACCTCGTCGGTTACAGTCTTCCGAGAATTCGTCATTGACCTTGTGGAAATGGTATATCGCATGCACATCGCATATCGCATATCGACTATCGTAGTAGATCTTCTTGTGCACCGAATGTGTCACGGAAAAATCAGATTGCAAGCATACGTATGCACAGTACGTAGTTTGGTGGAAAACTGATGACGCGGATGGATGACGCTCCCACTTGCACTGTTTCGGGTTTAGCGTGCGGAAAAGCTTTTTAACGCCACGTGAAGAGTATATAACATGAGTGAATCAGGCAACCTATTCTTTATCAGTATATGTGTATTATATGCATAGACATATAATTGTAAGATTTCCTTGATCATGGAACCTATTGGTACCTACTATGATATAGTACCGTAGTGCCGACACCCGGAAGTCATGAATACAGTAGACCCCAAATCGCCCAGCCATGTTTACCCGTGGCATGAAAATACAATATATCGCCCCGTTATTAATAGATGGTGGGTTGGACCCTGGGGTCCGAGAGAAACCACCCAATTGAAGATTTTATACACAGTCAGGGGTCTAACAACCCCCCCCCCCCCCCCCAAAAAAACTCCTGCTCTCTATCGTACAGATTCGGCGTATCAGGATATTTATCATAGACCCATAACATCCCGGACCTCTCGCATGGTCTCGTTCGCATTGGCCTGAGCTACCTCCGCCCCTTGCTGGGCAACCGTGTCCAGGTACCCGCTCTGATCCTCCATGATCTCAATGTATCGTGCTCGAATTTCTTGGAGATGATGCGCGATCCGACTCGCAACGTGCTCCTTTAACGCGCGGAGACTGGCGGACTGAAACTCTGCAGCGAGGGTGGCGCATGGCACCCCTTCGAAATGGCTAAGGATCTCAATCAAGTTGGAGACCCCGGGTCGACGGGCGGGTTCATAGGTGACCATCGGCTCCGAATCCGTCAGAGCAACCTTGACCTTTTTCTGAATCTCCGAGGGAGAATCGGTCAGCAGAATACGGGACCGCTCATCCGTATGGGATTTGGACATTTTGGCAGTAGGCTCCTTAAGTGACATGACGCGTTTGGCGGGAGCTGGATTGGGTTAGCCGCTGTAGATAGGACTGGATGAAGGGGTATTACAGATCAGGGCCTCTGGGACGGGAAAGATGGGCCCATAGAGATGGTTGAAGCTATTCGCAGTATATCTGGAAAACTCCAGGTGTTGTCGTTGATCTTCACCAACTGGCACATGAGTGGCTCTAGTGGTATGTTAGCTTCGGGAAACTCGCTCGTAGCCGGGGAGGAGGGAGAACTGACTTATGGACAAGAATATCGGCCGCTTGAAGGACAGGGTATGAGAAAAGTCCCAGACGCAGCTGGGCCCGGGCTTCCGAATGCTCCAGGGTTATATTCTCAGGCAATTGAAGCTTGCTCTAGGAGCCCATTAGCTTCTGGCACGGTAAGGTCCAATACGAGTCAGTTCCGCCTTACCTTCCACTGGGTCATTCTGGAGAGATACCCCATGGAGGCTACAGTACTGAGCATCCACATCAATTCTGCATGGGCCGGTACCTATCCAGCAGAGATTAGCCTCCTGTGCTCCTATATCATGGATTGGGTCCCTTACAGCGGATTGATAGAAGACGGTAGAGCGTTTGGGATCCAGCCCCACTGCAAGTAAAGTTGCGAATGCCTCCCGTCTCCATCTTCTCAATTGCGCTGCGTCTTGCGGAACAGTCAATGCATGTAGGTCGACGATGGAAAATAGCAGTTTGGTCCCTGGTTTCGCATTATTTTGTAACTTCACCCACTGATGAAGGGCCCCCAAATAATTACCCAAGTGGGGCACTCCTGTTGGCTGAATTCCAGAAAAGATAACGGGCTCCGGAGTGGTAGTCGAAGTGGTCGAACTGATAGATCGATGCCATTGGAAGGGTTGCCGACGCATCCGCGACAACTGCCCCCCCACCGATCTTACAGAGGCACGTCCATGATGATAAACTAAAGTACGCATCTTAAATGAGATATACGCCACGACGGTTGTCACCAAACGGGAAGGAAGGACATTCGTCTTTCCGCATCTCCGCGCCAAAAAAAAAACATCCCATTTGGTCACGTGATGGATGGCTGGAGACAGAGTATCTTCCAAAATCAACATTATTCAAAACAAGAAGGGTCGAGTAAGTCTTTTGTTACTATGGGGGAATACAGCTTAGATCTTTACTGCGGCATCATGAAAAGTGGAAACGGTCGAGACAAATCTCCCAGATTCGTGACTTGGGATTGGATGTGATGGGAAAATGTATACAATACACGGGGGTTGGAGGGCCCCACAAAGATGAACACGATGTGATAAAACTACAGGACGCCGAGGGTTTCTCCAAAATGCAAAGCTCAAGCACGAGTCCAACTTGGAACCAGCGTTGCTCTATCGGCTTTTGCGCTCGGCAAATCGGTCACTGTCCAAAGTGTCGAAGATCGAGCTCTCCGCGGAATTATCCTTACGCTGACCGAATTGGGCGAGATGCGAGCCCAGAGCCTTCTCAATCTCCGGAAGAGATTCGTCCATCGATTTGCCAACATCTGTGAAGGGTTAGTGCCTTGAGCTGGTAGCAAACGGGGTTGAGGAGTCGTACCAAGGCTGTCATGCTCCCAGACGTTGGCCTTCATGCCGACACCATAAAACGCGTGTTTCCGTAGGAAGGCAAGCCAGGCTTGCACTGCCTTTGGGTTTCCATCCTTAATTTGGATTAGCCGGCGGAGGGTGATCCGCTCAAAGTTCTCCTGACTCTTCTTGTGAACGAAGTTGCTTCGTGGGACGGTCCAGCGTTCAACGATGCGTGGGAGAGGGACGGGACCGGAGACGGGGAGGTTGAGGTAATAGGCAGCCCGGATGGCAAAGTCGGCGAAGAATTCCACGTTCTCGACGCTGTAGGATCGAAGCTGGAGATCACAAACAGGGAGGCCATATTCCGCCTTTCTCCGGAGGGGTCGCATATAGATGGCTTGCACGCTTCGTGGCAGTCTGGTGCCCTTACCCAGGGCTCCCAATCGCTCGGACCTAATCGCCAGTAAGCATAATGCTTGGTCTCTCTTACTGGGCGCACTCTACTGACCATTCTTTGACTTGTGGTTCGGATGGCTGCTCCGGGGTTGACGTCGATCTGGATTGAGAAACCATCAGTCACTCCGCTCGAGTCAAATAGAGCTGTTCGGCGTGTTTCGTGGGGCCTTACATAGATTCAGAAGCTGTGGTCGCGGCAGACTGGGGTGCTGTCTCCTGCGTTGGGGTTGGAGTTGGCGCAGTAGGTTGACTGGAGGATGATAGCGAGCGAATGGGCACGGGTACCTTGAATTATTCAACCCCGAGCTGGTCAGCGCACGAAGATAGATGAGCAGCGATACAACATACCCGTAGACGCTTTCCAGCTCCCAGTAAGGAGCGAGTTGTGCTTGTGAACATTGCGTCAATTGAAGTCCCTATAGTGAGTGTTTGGCGGGTTTCATTTTTTTCGTTGGAGATGCGGCCTGACCGCCTTTCCCCAGGGACCATGGGACCGCACGGCAACATCCTACGGCTGATGTGGTTTGACCCAGGGATCACCTTGTTTACATAGGTTCGCATGATTGTAGAGTTATAGATGTCAAGTCAAGACATAGCTTTGGTGTTTTAAGGAGGAAGTGGTGGGTTTGCCTCACACGCCGACGCCGCAACTGTCGTGAACTATTGTCGTATATATGTCTAGTCAACCATGGGAGGGTTGGTTCGATCTTATCTAGTGAATAATATCCTATATTCTGTATTTTGAGATGGCTCATCATTTCCAAGGATAACCGTGACTGATGATCCTTGTATATCGAACATGACAAGACGATCTGTGTTTGTTACAGACACAAACTCGGTTGACCAATGGAACCGCGCGACTCCGCAGTATCAGGAGATTCGTCGAGATCCACTCTGCTTGGACTTTTCTTCCCTACCTTTCTACAATAGCTATACCTTTTAACAACACTACAAATCTTGGAACATGGCGTCAACTGAGCTGTCTGCCCTCGAGCTGGCCCACGAGGCGGTGCTTTTCCTGAATAGCCGACTTCCCGAGGGTCTGCAAAACCCAAAGGTTGCAGTCGTCTGTGGCTCTGGATTGAGTGGCCTGGCGGACACAGTCCAAGCAGGCCCTCGCATGGAATTCGACTACGCCTCCATTCCTCATTTCCCTCGTCCAACCGGTAAAATCTGCCAATTCAGTTGAAATGATCAGCGAGACTAATAGCATTAGTTGCGGGACATGCGGGCAAGCTGGTGTTTGGGCTCCTAGGCCAGAAGATTCCCGCGGTATTCATGGTTGGCCGTGCCCAGTGAGTCCAATCCAAACTCGTCGAGGTATTAAGGCTCATGGCCATATCAGCTACTACGAAGGAAATTCGATGGATCAAGTGACATTTCCCATTCGCGTGTTCAAGCTCCTAGGAGTGGACACGGTCGTGCGTGAGTCCGCGCGGATGACTCAAGATATCTCTACAAGTACTAACGATGAGAAACAGTGACCAACGCGGCTGGAGGACTCAATCAAGATTTTAACGTGGGTGATATTATGCTACTGAATGACGCAAGTTTATCTTTGCCCATCGACCAGACAAGATCTGACTGACATCCGGCGCAGCATATCTTCCTGGCAGGCCTCGCTGGAATGCATCCTCTAAGAGGACCCAATATCGACGATTTCGGGGTCCGCTTTCCACCTTTATCGGATGCATATGACCTCGATTTGCGTCGACATGTCCACCAGGCGTGGAAAGAAATCACCCCTTCGCAACCTACTCGAAAATTACACGAGGGAGTATATGCTTTTGTCGGAGGCCCAACGTGAGTAGAAAAGCACCCTCTCCCTACCCGCACATTCCTGACGATGTTGTAGTTATGAAACAAGGGCCGAGAGCCGCATGCTTCGAATGCTGGGTGCTGATGTGGTAGGCATGTCCACCGTGCCCGAAATTGTGGTGGCAAGGCATTGCGGCATTCGTGTGCTCGCATTCACCCTGGTCACAAATTGCGCAGTCTTAGCTCCTGTTCCTCGGGGAGATGAGCAATTGCTCCAAGGAAAAGACGCCAGTGAGCTCAATGCAATGCTGGGCGAGGGCAAGGCAACACATGAGGAGGTCCTGGAAGCTGGCCGCACAGCGGCTTTGGACATGCAGGTTAGGAGTCCTCTTGCATACTCTGACCAGAAGATCCGCAGCTAACTTGGGCAACAGCAACTGGTGAGGCAGACCCTTTTGAGAGTATTTGGCCACTCATAGACAACAGAAGGATATATATTCAAATGGATTTGAACATGAACCTGTGCCAGTATGCATGCCAGACGGTGACCGGCAAGAGTGGTGATCATGGTTGGTCAAATCATCTTTGGCCTGAAGCGTCATGATCACTTAATCTTCCGGTTTCGCTGTGCCCGTAGGTTGTTGTAAAAGGCCTTTTTCCCACTCTGCTTGGTGGTTTGAATGTCGCGATACTTGGACTCGAAGCGTCTGGTTTCCCGTTCCTGGGCCATGGCTTCTGCTACAAAGGTCTTCTTGCGGTCCTTCTTGGCAATGCGGCCGCTGAAGAACTCGGTGGGACCTTCAATGATGGTTCCGACCTGAGAGAATTCAGGCAGTTTCGCCTTTCCATTCTCTTTCTTGTAGTGCCTCTTGGGATCCAGCACAGAGCGCATCCGCAACAATTGCAGATCTCTTTTGAGTTCGGTAGTCAACTCCGTTTTGGGGAGGTCGAACCACTGGGGTCCAGCGGTGGCCTTTTCCTAAAGAGGTGACAGTTAGTCCGAGTCCGCAACTGTATGCTCTAGGAATCACAGAGAATTTGTGGAGTTTGCTCAGAGTAACTATGAAAAATAAAGCTCTCACTGGTGCAGCACAGCCCAAGACGGGCTGGTTACGCTGCATCAAGCGCTTATGCGTTGGGAAAATTTTCCTCATAGCAATTTGGGTAGGTTGGACGAGTCGACCAGGGGAAGACAGAAGACAAGGGAGAGCATACTTTACTAGGGGTTTTGGCTTGCTTAATCAAGTGTATGGAATTGGCCAACTCCTTCTGTTTAGGATCGACCAGCTGGGCCGAATCGACAGTGGCAATCTCATCGCCTTGGCGAACATAGGGCTCAAGGGAGGTGCCTGAGGATAATTTGGGAATCCTGTTTAAAAAAGAAAAATCAGTTCTGTTTATAAACTGATTCATCAGTCGAGGACGAAATATTACCTTAAAGACGCAACGTCGGAGTCTGGGGCGAGTTGAGCGCCAGAACCGCGAAGACGGCCTTCAGCTTCAAGCAGTAGCTGTTGAATTTGATCATCGGTCAAGTCCATCTCATCTTGAGATTGCACATTGATCTCCACACGAGTTGAATCCATCCCTACCGATATGGGTAAAAGGGAAGGAATGGAGGAGTTTAAAAGAGCTCAGTGAAAAGTAGACTTTATAGGTTTTTTTTTTTTTTTTTCCTGTTGTTGCTTTGCTCGGAACGGACAAACTTCTTATCCGCGACAGCATCACATGATCATTTGGCACTCTGGGATGTAAGTACCAGGTACCTGTAATTACAAGTTACTGACTAGTAAAAATAAGTACTGAGTACCTTGAGATATCCAACAATCGCGGTTGTCGTATTCTGTGAGACAAATCTTGTAATTGATAGTGATCAGTTGTCATAATGGTGAATGATTTACTTTGGAGCCGTGGAATAGCCCCTTCTTTGTCCTGGTAAATCAATATCAGACGTTCAAAAAGCGGGGGTTGGGAAACCCGAAAACGTCAGAACAGCTGAGAGCACCCTTGGCGCGCTTCCTTTCCTTCAATTCAAGAGTTATCGGAGTCTCTCCTCCCCAGGTCAAAGTTGCTGCTTCTTGTCTATTTGCGTCTTGTATCTGCAACATATCCCAGAAGATTCTTGAATCCATCCTCTTACCTCATCTCAACTTCGTCGGGCGCGAAACGCGATCCGAAATGGAACCAGCTCCTCAGGGTACCGGCCAGCAGGGCAGACAGCAACAGGGGCAACAGCAAACACCTGTATATGATACCAGGAATGGTGGACACTATGGTAAATGAGCACCGTTTTATCTTAATTATTGGGCGTCGGCTTGGTAGCTATGGACGCGGTCTCTGACAGGCGCGCAACCGAGGCGTCCTTTTTGCATTTCGTCGCGTGAATATAGGCTAATCTTTTCTGCAGGTGCCAGCGCACAGGTATGCTTCTAGAATTGAGCCGAGCCCCATACTATCTCTCGAATAACTGCGTGGGAGGTCTCGGAGTCACTGCTAATCAGTATCCGAATTCGATCAGCTCTCCGCGCAAGGCTATGCACCGCTAGCCGAGTTGTACACAGGAACCTGGGCCAATGTAAATTCCCTGCCGCGTCTGATCGTTACCCAGCTCATACCACATTAGGTGAACCAAGGTCTGCAAGGGACCGCCCGCGACATCTTGACGACCTACTGGCAGCATGTCATCAACCATTTGGAGGGCGAAAATCATGATTATAAGATCCATCAGCTGCCGCTTGCTCGCATCAAGAAAGTGATGAAAGCCGACCCGGAAGTCAAGATGATTTCCGCGGAGGCTCCGATCTTGTTCGCTAAGGGGTGTGATATCTTCATCACGGAGCTGACCATGCGCGCATGGATCCATGCGGAAGACAACAAGCGCCGTACTTTACAGCGCTCAGACATCGCTGCCGCTCTTTCCAAGTCGGACATGTTCGATTTCCTGATTGACATTGTTCCCCGTGAAGAGGCAGCCTCACACGCCAAGCGATCGAGCCAGGCAGGCGCTCCAGGACCGTCTGTTGCCCCGGGCCAGCTTCCACCATCCCAGCATGGTGTTCCAACACACATGGGCCCTGCGGACTACGGCTCTCTCGGTCAGCATGGAATTCCCCAAGAGCAGGAGTACCGGCCACAGCCCGCGATGTATCCTGGCCCAGTCCAATCGGACCCAACTGCAGCATATGGTCAGCCTCAATCCCAAATGTTTGATGGGATGTATGCTCCATACCCGCATCTTCCTCCCCAGCAGGTTCGTGAAATTGCCCTCTCAAGTTTTCCGCAGAACTAATCAAGCGTAGTGAGTTGAACTCCTGTGGGGACAGTCAAACTTTTTTATTCTGCTTCTTCTGTTGTTTCAAGGGCTTACGCGCGTTTCCTGGCGAATCCTGTGCCTAATGGTTTTCTCTTTCTGGATTTTCGTTACATCCTCTATTCACAAATATATGTCATATGCAAGACTAAGGGCCATGCTGCGACTGGAACGGGAACTAGCGCTTTGTTTAAGGGCGTCAGTTTAGCATTGTATAGACCATACAGCCCTAGAAAATCTCTTGTAGTTTGATCATATTCATATACATAGCCCTATAGCGGACACTTCCAGTATGAAAGACTTAAGTTGATGAAGTAAATGAATTCCCAAGAATTCTAGCAAGAACGTGCGCCCCTTCAAAAAGGGTCTCTATTATAGGAAGGACTACTCCACTTCCAAGCCCTCAATTCTTTTGATTGTTGCTCATGAATGTTTCGGATATCGTAAAAGGATGGACATTTCTCTCAATACCCGTGGCCACATGACCGATGAACCCAATTTAAGAAAAAGAACGAAAGGCGGCTTACATTAAAAACAATGCAAGCAATCAAGCTACTAATTTTTCTTGAAACGAGAAGAAAGAGTGGTGAATTTATCCACCTTGCTTGGGGCTTGAACCGTCCTCGTAAGTCTAGAATGGGTGAGTTTATGTCGCATGGCCGGGGAGATTCTCAGAGGGAACATACTTTTCAAGCAAAAGGGGCCCCTGCATGGCGTCCACTCGTCCGTATTTCTTGTTCCGGGTCGAGATATCATAGAATTCATCCGCATTATCAGCTTGCATCAACTGCACGGTTTGCTGGAGCTCATCGAGATTTTCACGTAGAATAGGGACGTTAAGACTGTCCACAAACTGAGCCAAGTATTCCACGTCCTTGGCCAATGCTATCACGCCATTGGGGTTAATGGTCCTGACTTCCGGTGCCAGCGGTTGCGCCTGTTTGTACCTTGTCAGCCTGATCTCGAGCACGGGGTTGAGAACATTGGTCAGCATAAGGCGCGTACCAGAATCATATTCGCCGCATGACTGAGGGCGTCGAAATATATGAGCTCTTTGATTTCGGTGGGCAGTCCCAGCAGCGTAGAGTTCATGATGTTCGAAAGGAATCGAGTCAAAGTCTGCATGTAATTACTGGGTTCGCTTGGGGGAGTGGGAGACATCCATTCGTATTCTGCTGTTTCGATAAGATCGTCAATTTTGGAGTTCACGACCTCAAAAATGCGTTTTTCAGCTGATTTTTTATTGCTCCGGAACTTTTCAGTTGCCATTAGAGTAATAGATGTGCCCGTGGAGTTTTGAGACCTCGCAGCCGCAAGAAGCAACTCGAGCTCATGACAAGCCGATTCAAAGTGCTCCAGGTTGATAAGAATTTGAACAATCTGTCCCAGGTACTGCGAGGAAAGACGCTCGACTAAAGTATCACAGACCTTGCGTGAAAGGAGATCATCCAGCGCCTATTATTTACTTAGCATCAAGTGAAAAGGGTCAAGTCCCGGCGGAAAGCACCTACATCCTTTAGGGTCTCATCAATGACATTTGGATGCGAAAAATCATCATTTGCGAAGAAGTAGAATTGATTCAAAAAGTTTCGAATGTCGATGCAGCACAGTGGATACATCCTTGAGAATGGCAGGATACAGGGGAAGCTACGCCCATGGTTAGCCGAGAGATAGAAAGGAACGGGTCGAGTAAACCTACACTTGCTCCTCGCGAGACTTGTCGGGGCTATACCAGCTCACATTAAGCACCTTATCGTATTCTTCCAAAGTTTGGATTGGCATAGGCATGTAATCGTCCGTCGAAACAATCTATGCATGTCATCGTTTAGCTCTCGTGCTATGACAATAAGTGGGTAACAAGGAAACAAGGGCAATCGTACTTCTTGAAAGTCGTCGCTAAACCGCCGCTTCAAGAGCTCCGCATATTTCTCAAAAAGCCTTAAGAGGAAGTCATCAAAGACTCGAACTGGAAAATTCCAAGTCTGCGCAGAAAATCAGCATTGGAAGCATCGAGTAGGATTAAGGGGGACCAACATTCATGGTCTGCATGAACAAAGCAATTAAGTTCTTGATTTTTAGGATATTTTCCGCGTTGTCCACCTCGGGAAGAGCCTTCGATATTACGCCCACTGCAGCCTGGCACATGGAGTCCCAGAGCTCATCGATCTATTCCCCCAAACAGGTTAGGTCATGTCAGACGGATTGGGCCAAGAGAAAGGACAACGGGCATACATCAACTGACGATCTCAAATCAGGCACTCTTTTCATCGTGGCCCGTTCGACAATGGCAAATCCTGCCATTTCCTCTAGAAGATTGTGGAGACTGGCCCCATCTTCATCTATGAGAGTGATGGAGGGTGGCGTTAAAAGATCTTTTTGGCGGCGACGAGTGTTGGCATACTCAATTCGAAATTTGTCTATTTGCCCCAGGGATTGGTGGATATGCAGACACTCAAACAAGGGAGTGAACTCCACCTGCAAGTCTTCGTTCTCGAGTAGATCATATTCTTCATCCTCGTCGGCTACCAGTTCGATGGCAGTGTTCAAGTTGAAGTGCTCGAGGTATGGAATCTTCTCCGCTCTCTGCTTGAGCCGTGATTTGCGCTGATCTGTGTGAAAAAGCGCAATCTCCCCCAGGTATTGTGACATCTCGCGGATGCGATAAAGCCAGGTATTTAGATCCGACATGACCGCCTCGGCGATTGCGCGCTGGGTGGCCGGCACCGAGCGCTGAATCATGACGGCGATCTTGTATTGGGTCACTCCCTTCAGATGAACATTTTGCAGCTCTTCTAGAGCACGCAAGGCCGCATAGTGATTCTTTTTTGCCAGTAGGTCATGGACTTGGTTCGCGAGACGAAGCACCTCCAGGCAATCTTGGATTGCCCTCGAAGTCTCATCAATATTCTGGCGGTGGCCCCGCGATTCTACCAGTGCCTTTTTTTGTTCAGCCAGTCGCTCGGTGCTCGTCTGAATTGATTGATTGAGGTCCAGGATCTCCGCTGTCAAGGATACAGTGCCTTCCCGAATTCGAAGTAACGAGTTGACCGACGAGACAAATTCCTGATGATTTGTGTTGCAGATCCTCTCAATCTCCGCCTCCTTATCACTTGCAAACCTGGACAAGGACTGGAGTAATTGGGGGGTCCGATTGCCCACGCTGTATTCGCGAATGGAGGGGATCAACTGATCAAGGTAATCGGTGTCGGAAGGCGAGATGATGATCTATGTTGGTTTCCATCAGTGAAGTTACCAACAATTGATTTGGAACTACTCACCTGGTTTAGAACATGCGGATCTGCCAGGGCAGGGGCCATGGAGGGCATCGTGTTGTTTCGAGCTGTGCTCCCGATGCTGCCAGGTGATGACCCCAGTCGATGTAATAAGTCCGGCACGTGTTACCGCCTAGCACACCGCCTTTGTGGTTCAATTAAGCATATCGCGCTAGTCACTAGCGTGCACGGATCACATATCAGATGTACATGCCTAGTATGCACAATAACACAGGTTAGTAACATGCTCAACCTATTGACCAGCCGTTGTGCATATGGGAGGTAGCTCCTTAACACATCAGCTGCATAGACTGGACTAACGTTCTCTGATAGCTACATACTTTGCACTGATCATCTGCTCCGTTCACAATGCCAAAATGATCCAGGCTGATAGTGCCTTAAGGATTCCCATAAAGGCCGAGAATGCCATCATATAAAGTTCTTCAAAGCATCAGTAACTTAATTTTGTCGTTATCATGATGTTCAAGCAGAACTATTCAGCCTTGGGAGATGGCTAAGGGAAACGAGGTGCGATGCAAACCAGCCGTAGAGTCCTTACATGATGGACATTCGAGTCGCAAAACCCTCACTGAAAGACTACCTCGACCAACCGCCGACTAAGCACCTCATCGTCGACTAAGCGATGATCACCGCGCCGACTAAGCGTGGTTTATTCCCAAATCCAGGCTTCGTTATGATTCACTTAATTGAAATCTCAAACCTGCAACTCTTCTGCGCTCCTTCATCCGCCTTACTTTTTCCTTCCCCGCCTGAACCCCTTCCATAAAAAGATCATCCCCGCTTCTCGCTGCACAGTGCCCTTCTCGAGAAATATGGCCGATCCCCCAGTTCCCCCTCGTGGGAACTCGTCATCGGCTCAGTCTGGCCCACTGAAGTCTCCTGGTACTCAACTGGCTACTTTTACCTCGAGTTTCACCGAGTCGGAGTCCCAAGGTTTGCCTTTGGATTTTCCTCGCTTGAATCGCATGGACTGTGGAACTCCGTAAGGCACCCCATGACTTGGAAAGAAAAAAAAAAACAAGAATAAAAAAAAAAAAAAAAGAGAAGACTTGCTAACATTAATAGTGTCCCGTATCCTGCGTACTCCTACTCGGGAAATGGCTTCAATCCAGGGTCATTTCCTCGACAGATCAAGCAGGAGGATTTTGATATGGTGCAGGATGTCCCGCTTGGAACACAACATGACTCTCAAGCTTTCGGTCCCGTAAATGTCAATGCCCGGGCACCCAATTTTCAGGCCGCCAATTTGGGTTCTCATCATATGAACCCTTTGCAAGGCCAGAAGTCCATCTATCCTGCTGCCCTGTTGGCACCCATGCGCCCCATGTACCCGGAGACGGGCCTTGTTAACCTGGATCACCATGTTCACCCTGCTCAGTCTCTCTACTCCGATCTAGCCCTTCCAGATCAGACGATTGACTACTTGGCCTACCCCAATCACCCCTTTAGGGTCACGGACACTCCACGGGGCCGCAATGATATGGGAAACTTACACGCTGCCAACCCAAGCCCGGACTTTGGACTCAACTTGATCAGTTCCGGTAACTCAGCTTCGCCGACTCAATGGCCTACTCCTTCACTGCAAAATGTCTTCCGAGGCAACAGATCTGCTTACTTGGGAGCTACCATCCAGGCATCTTCTATCATGCCTCGCGTGCCATGTCAAAAGGACATACGGCCCTATGACCGTCGATTTGTTGTGAAAAATGTGGACACCAATACGTCTGTCATCTATATTCTGGACTATTGCCAAAATCAGGTCAGTTCATTATTGATACTAACCCACCCTCATCCCCACCCCCCGTCTTCTCACTTATTCACCCGATGCAACAACAAAGAAGGAAGACTAACAAATTAAAAAGGGATTTCAAACCATGCTTGGTCCTACCTTCCAAGACTTACGCAACAAAGGTCAATTCTGGATAGGTTTCTCCGACATGCGCCAAAGCCAACGGGCCATGAACCTTATTGCCCGCGACCACCCAGATTGGCTCATTGAGCCTGTCGGTGATGGGTACTTTAGACATAACGCGAGGATTACACCTAGTCACTCTATTTTTGACGACCAAGTTTTGGTCATTGTGTACTGCGGGCCCGGAAGGACCGTTCCTGCCAACGATCTTATGTCGACATTACGGGGTGTACTCGAGCTAGCAGGACCTGTCGCCGCAATGCGCCCAGTCACCCTTGAAAGCCCCACCGAGGCGCCTCGGTTCAGTATGCACGGATTTGTCGTGCGTTACTACGATGCTGTACATTCCGCCAATGCAACCAGGGCTATCAATACTATTGCGACATCGGTATGTCTTTCCCCAATTTCCCTTTCCTTTTGATTTAGCAGTTACTCATGTATAAATTTTCTTTTGCTTATCTTTCAGAACTTCATCATCGAGGTCCTCGTCTATCAACGTGACATGGAGAATCAGAAGGTTCGCCACTGGAACATTCAGGAACAAAGCAGGGAGGTCCGAAGCGGCCATCCTGTGAACAACGATTATTACTTGTCCCCTGATGAGAATCGGGATCGGTCTCCTCGAACTCCTGGCCGCCAGCATGTCAATGATGAGCAAGTCATCAGCCCTGAAAAAATTGCTCAAGGCAAAGACTCTCGGTGCACTGTAAGCAGCATAGCCTGTCGAATTTGGATTTGTGACGATTACTGATGTTTCTCCCTTTCTCCCAACAGGTCATGCTTAAGAACATCCCTAATGCGCAGACATGGGTACTTACACACTTCTTCTCACCTGACATGGAGTATACAGAGACTGATATACCTCACAGGATCAGGTCAAAGCGTATTTGGACGTGACATCGGCAGGCGCGTTTGATTTCTTGTACTTGCGCATGGGTAAGCGTGATCCGCTTGTCATTATGAATGGCTATCAAACTGACCGTGACTCCAAATAGATTTCGAGCAACGTTTAAAGTTCGTGTGAAACTTAGAAACGATTAACTTGCGAACTTTCTAACCAAACATCACTTTAGCGTCGGTTATGCGTTTATCAATTTCGCTTCGGTCGGTCGATGCTATTCCACATTCCAGTCATGCGCTAATGATTTATTTCTTCTCTAGCCCATGGACATACTTCCGGTATGCTATCAGATCTATTTGGAGTTGTCAGAATTGCTCATCCTTTACTTAGTTTTTCACCCGGCGTAATGGAACGAAATGGTGAGTTTGAATCACTCTTCCGACCCCATAGATGGCACTAATCCATGGCCTCTAGGCCGACTTACAATGAGGGCCGACCCAAAGTGGCCGAAATATCCTACGCAAGTAAGTCACTTCCTCTTTCCCCAGTCTCTCCTGTTATGTTGACATTGAAACCAGCCACTCAAAGCTACGCCTTTCTGGTTGAGAAGTTCCGGAACAGTCCGGTCATGTTGGATTTCCCGGATAACCGTCCCAAGGTGAGTGTCGATCTTGAAACGTGAGCGCTACATACTAATACGAACGAGTTGTTCTACATCGGAGGACCTCACGCTGGTGAAGAGGCACCCTTCCCGCCGGTGAACAACTTCTGGACGCTTGCAAAGGGAGTTGAACGCAGCAAACAGACTGGTAAGGTCCTTGCGGTCTACGTATGAGTTCTGAAATAACGTGTCACAGGGCTGTACAAAGGTGGCCCTCGGCCAGTCCACCCCAGCGATCGACGACGTTCCGGCACTTTCGAGGCCCTCGAGACGCCCGTCCGCAGCCGACGCCGCGGTCGAGAGCGGGAGCGCACCAAGTGGGGAATCCCCGATTCACCCAGATATCGGCATGTGTAGACATGGAGCCAATACGACATCTACTCGACCTTTCGCCGCGGTTTCCTTGATTTCAACATTTTACCCCCCCACTCATTCAGGACTTACAGTTCCACACCAGCCACAGTTTACCCTAATACTCCAACCCTTCGGACTCCGTGTTTACGTTGCAGATTCTCGATTTCAGCAGTCAGACTCGTGTTGGGACTACAGCTATCTCTGGAGAGTCCATACGCGGCAGGAAGGGCTCACTTTGTTTTTGATTTTTTGATTTCTTGACCTTTTTGCTTCTTTTTGTTTTTGATGTTTTTGACCTTTTTGCTTTTTTTTTTGTTTTTGATTTGTTCTTGACTTTTTTGATTTGATTTGATTTGATTTGTTTTGTTCTTAACTTTATTATGTGAATTGATCGCGTTCTGTGGCTTTTCAACCCGTGTAGACGTTAATAATCAGACTTTATCCCAATTGTGGGGCCCGCAAATTTAAATTTCCCCGGACTTTGATCAATTCACCTTTCACTTATCATTTTTTCCCCATCATGGACCACCACGAAATATCGGCAGTCCATACTGTCCTGCATCTGATATATCATCGCAATAAGAATCAACACCAGAGGGCTAAATGGTGGAAATGGCTGTCAACTTTAAAGCGTACCACATTGGATCTCGGATCCTTGGACTCGGCCGCAGTCGAGCGCTACCAGCAGCATCTCGCCATGCATCTAATACCCCGATGTTACCAGTAGGTTCATCTCTAGACCTGAAGGAGACAGGTATTGACCCGAACAGAGCATTTTCCACGGTGGTCGCTGAGAACCAATTCGCGACACTAGGGATCGCGCTTCTGGCCGCTTTGGCACGTCTGGCCAAGGCCACTGGGGCCGATCGGAAGCTCAAATCGCGAGCTCGGCTGACAAGCAAGAAAGCGACTGCTCCGATCCCGGTCGAGGACCGGGGAGAGCGTATTCGTCGCGATGATGCGCTGCCTGAACCGAGTCAGCCCTCCAGGACGAAGTCTGTGAAGAAGAAGGCTGCCAAGCCCAAGACCACCAAACGCAAGAAAGATGCCATTGATGATCTTTTCAGTGGTCTCTTTTAAAGTGGCGTCTCTTGCTTACTGGGCTGGGCCACGGAATTTTATGACTTGGAATTATGTCTATGGCTTGATTGATTAAACGACTTATTATCGCTTCCAAAGAGTAGCAAGGCCAACTCCACCGAGCAGATTTACCAGAACATGGTTGGCCGTTGCCCACGCTATGGAATACAGGTATTTCGGGGAGAAGACGGTCCAGATGAACAGATGGGTTCGCAAAGCCGTACAGGCCGCCATCACCGAGACCAGGGACATAGCTGTGTGAAAAGTGAGCAACGCGGCCGGCTTATGGGATCCTATATTCTTTCGCGATCGGAGTAGATGACCCATCGAAACCCACCAGATGGGGCCTGCCCAGTTGCTCACAAAGGTCAGAAGTCCCACCATGAACACGCTATAGCTGCCGACTCCGTTGTAGGCGCTGGACAAATCCACGGAAGATATCGCGTTCGATCCACCAAACGCAAAGAAAGTCATGTACTGCATCATTAGCGTCACAACGGTCACCTCAACCCCACTCAAATTCATCGGGACCAAAATGAGGGCTTGGATGCGAAACACAAGAAAGGCTGGAATGTTGGTGGCTCTGGACTGCGTCATCAGGAACAAATTAAGCGCCTCGTGGGCAAGCTTGTTAGACGCTCCTGATTTAGGTCAGAATCCTCTCCACGAGTGCCAGGGGGGAAAAAGCGAGTCAATATCTTACCGGGCGCTGTCTTCGACCGACTTGACGTGGCAATTGCCACAAGAATACAACATACAACCCCTCCAAAGACGAGTCTAGCCTGTAAAACCAATGGCATGATATCTAGCGACTTTTCCGTCCATGATAAAAAGGAGTCGGCCAGCAGTTCGGGCGAGTCATTTGCCACAAAGCTCAATTTGAACATGAAAGCCAGGGCTGGCAGGACCAAGACAGCCACTCGTAGGAACCGTGTCGGCAAGCTCAGAAACAGACCCCTGCCGGCATCGACGTATGTGAGGATCACCAACGCCCACAGACACAGAGGATGTCGAGGCAGGAAACTGCGAGCGATGTCTGGCTCGGCCGTAAACTTTTGGCCAGTTTGATTCCACCGTCGAAGGATCCGCTGGGACACGATCAGTCCCAGCGTGGCTATGCTGCTCCAATTGAATGCACCGCGGTGCGTGCGCGGAGAGCGGGTCGATCTGATGTGTAGATAAAAAATCCACCCCGAGCAGATCCAATACCAGAACTGCTGCTCTTCTTCAACATAACTACTCGCAAACATCATACCACCATACCCCACCACCAGGAATGCTAGAAACCCGCCCGTGTAAGCAGATTGGGCACAGTCTTGGTACACAGCTGGGAAAACAATCAACGCCGCGACGCCTGTGATCAACAACCCTAGACCAAGTCGGGAAACATTATAGTCACTAGCAGTGCTGCTCATCACATCTTGCGCATTGCGCGAGAATCGCTGTAAAGCGGGACCGAGAACGGCGAATGCATTCTCCCCCAACGGTACACGGGAAAGTTGGTGGATCTGGGACCACGCACACTGAGCGCCTTCAATACCAGAGACTGCACCATGGGAGCAGCTTGAGGCAATGTCCTCTGGGTCGAATGAAACACCTGGAAAAGTAGCCTTGACCGTATTTAGTAATTGCCGAGCATTGCGACGTAAGATGTCTAGTTTTTGTGACTCTGGTGAGAAATCGTATTCAGCATGGTCCGCCAGTTTACCTCCGCCATGAAGCAGATACGTACCGGATTCCCACAAGTTCAGAAACTCGGGAATAAACACCCCCAAGCTGTTCAACGGGATCGGTAGGCCGAGAAGGCCAGCTAGAGTTGGAGTGATATCTGCTTGTTCAACCGACCGGTAGTACTGGAAATCGTCGGAGGCTTCCACGGGGCTTTCCAACGTATGACCCATTGCTTCGAACTTTGGCGAGAGGAACAATAATGCGGGAGACGTTTCACCCGCGGATGAGCCCCCATGGTTCCCAGCATCATTCATGCCATGATCGCCACACAAGACGAAAAGTGTGGACTGGAGATGTGGCTCTTGCTGCATCGCCGTATAAATATCTTTCACTACAGCATCCATTTCCTGCTGCTTGGATGCCATGAATGGGCTAGTCGAGTGTCAGGCATATTGGTTTGAGGATAAGATGACAAGCATAGGAGGGTATTACCTTCTCGGGCCTGCTTTGTGGCCAATGTGATCGAGACCCAAGTAATGCATGACCAGGGCGGACCAATCGCTTTCCGCAAGCTCAGTGGGAACATGGCGCGTCACGTTTTGATCTACTTCCACAAAGTCCTACGATGGGGGAAGGGGAGCGGGGGTCTCAGTTTGAAGGCTTCGGTAGTGAGTCATGGAGGGAATTTACTGACAGAGACAAAGAAGCTTGTGGTTCCATCCGATCGCTCGAACATCCCCGGGAATAGTTTAAGCCACGTATCATCGCCATACATGACAAGCCGATCTCCTCGAGCCCTCAGCTGAGCGAGCCAGGTGTCCTGATATGCGAGAGTCGATGTGGTATCTGACTCGGCGATATTCAGGATCACGTCCAGGAACGAAGGGACAGACCCTGTGGTCATTGCTTTCAACCGTGGCATGGTCACCGTCGGAGAACTAGCATGGGCAGTAAAAGGCAGCACAGCACCCGCTCGAATCAGACTGCTCCAGAGTCAACTTTCAGCTTCTTCAGAGAGATCACACGCCTAACCTTTGTGTGAACAAGAACTCGGAATCATTTGAGTAGACAAAATCACTAAGATACATGCTTAGCAAGCGGTTTTTATCTAATACATTTCAATTCATACCTCCTTAGCGCATCTACCACCATAAAGATAACCTTGTCAAAGACTGGCGAGACATCGAAGTCGGTCTCATCGAAAATAGCTAGACCCGGGAGTAGTGGTTTATAGGGGAAAAACCCGGTGGAAAAAGTGAGAATGCCCAGCGGCACCAGGAGATTGGCGAGTACAGTTGCCCACCGACCTGGAACGATTGCCATTGCATACACTCGAAGGGCCTCGTAGCACGTTCGGAAAGGAGAGGACGCGATGATGTTTACAATGATTGGCGACTACACCGCCTTTGGGTTATCGATATGGGATTCTATCGCCACAAAACATGTGATCAAACGAACCATCAGGAAGTAGTATATAGTATGTGTATATGTATATATTGATGTATTTCAGATAGGAACAATGCACGAGGGAAACAGGAGGGTGAAAAGAATCAAAGATTAAAAAAAAAATAGAAAAAAGTAAACCAACGGCGTATGATTTGCACTTCAGACTCCCTAACTCCAAGTTTCACCCAATTCTGTCCCTAGCTCTTATGTCACAGGCCTCCCACTAGATACCTTCATAACTCTTTACTGGCAGCATTGTTTCACTTTCTCTTCGGGCCTTTCTTCGCCTTGGACGGATGAGCTTTAAACACGATGTTGTTGCGGGGCTTCTTGCTCTTCTGCACCCGTCCTTTCTGGTGTCTCTTGGAAGATTTGACGTCAATATCCATGGCTAGAGATGAACAATTAGTTATTTCCATTATTTCCAAGCCCTAAACCACCAGAGTAGCTCCTTGCGTACCTTCATCAGCGGGGGCTGCTTTAGCATCTGAGCCTTGACCGGCTGCCAAAAAGATTAGCAAAGATCTCTGAAAGCGAAAACTCCAGGTCAACCGTTCAACATACCAGAGTCATCTGAGTTCGATTCCATATTTGAATTTTCGGGGGCCTTAGGGCGAGGTTGCGATGCAAGTTCTTGGAGTTTGGCGGCAAGTCGTTCAGTGCGGGCGTCAACGACGGGGCCAAACACCTTTTTGCGCAGATTGGCACGATTGCGCTTGGAGACACTGGCTCGGATACTCTTGGCCATTTTGAAAAATGATGACGGAAGAAAGGTGAAGGTAGAAAGAAATGATAAGAGAACTGGGGTAAAGATGGTTAAGTAAGTTTTTTTTTTTTTTTCCCTTTTTCCTTATCGCCGATACCCTGTCTTATGTCATCTCCTCACAAACCTCCCAAGTTGCGACGACAAAAGTTCGAGACTCGACTCTCTCTAGTTGCAGGTCTGCAGCTTGAGAGTCGATTGACATGCATCTCTGTATATCGCTTATATCTGGTCTGGTACATCTTACCTGAGGCCTTTCTTTTCTTCAGGACGCGATGGCGTCCGGCCAATCCTCCGAGCTTCCCAACTTGGTGAACCTCATCAAGACCCTGACACTGCCGCAATTGAAAGATCTACTACGAAATGAGGGTCTCCCAGTATCGGGCTTGAAGGCAGCAGTACAAGTGCGCATCATTGATTGTCAGTTTATCCCTTTGTTTCTGCCTCTATTCCCTCTCCGTCCCCCACCCACACCCACACGCGCGCGCCCTCCCTCTCGCGCGCTCTCTCTCTCTCTCTCTCTTTCTCTCTCTCTTTTTCTCTTTCTCATTCTCCTCTTTCTCTCTATCTCCCTATCTATTTGGCTCGCTTATGAGTTAGCATGGTAATTGCTTTCAAAAATCACCATATCTATATCAAAATTGAATACATCATCCGCAGTACTGACCGTTGCTATCAAAATTTCAGATCTGGAACGTCTTTGCCATTCAGAAGGAAACAGCATCCGATATGATACCCTAAGACATCGCATTCTTCAGACCGGCCTGCCTGGATCTACGGTCTTCCAGGCCAACCCCAATCCCCAGTTTCAACATCCGCCTATCTCACAGCCATCGGCCTCCCAACCGCAAATTGCATTGAGTGGCTCCATGTCACCTCATCCCCATCCTTCTGGTTCGGTAAACAACGCCTACCGTGATTTTCTCAGTGACTGACGGTTCACCCAGGTCCGATTGGCTTCAAAGAGAGTCCCTTTTTCACAGTTATAAAATCTCTCACACCGGTCGTGGAATGCAAGGGTAAGTCCTTCCATGCCCTTTGAATCAGACTTGGCTTCTGATATTGGCCAGTTCGCGAACAAACCAGGGATAGTGTAGAACTCAAGATTTTTCTTTCTCAATCCCACATTGCCGACTTGGAAAAAGATGCCAATATACGGGTGATGGTCTACTGTACAGCCGACTCGGGGCTCAAACAGTATACCAAGTCGGATATCGCATTCCCCCACCAAGTGGAGCTGAAAGCGAATCTGGACGAAGTCAAAGCCAATTTGCGGGGTCTGAAGAATAAACCCGGCACCACGCAGCCTGCAGATGTGACGAGCTATTTACGCAAGAAGGCCAATTACCCGAATAACATTGTAATGACTTATGCATTGACCCAAAAGGTAAGCCTGCTTGAGTATATAAGGCCGCAGAGGGGGAGGCGGAAGTTGAGCGCGTTCTGCAGATCGAGGAAATATCTGACTGCTAACAATCTGATCAGAAATTCTTTGTGCTTGCCAACATGGTTAAGCAACACCCGGTAGAGGAGCTTGTTGCTAAATTAAAATCACGCAAGCTTATCTCCAAGGAGCAGGTGCTACGAGAGAGTAAGTGGTGACTGTAAGGGCGGTCTTTTCTTGTTTCTAACTGATACTATAGTGAAAAACCGCGCGGATGACTCTGACATTGTCGCCACCTCGAGCATCATGTCTCTTAAATGTCCCCTATCAACCCTACGCATCCAGGTCCCTTGTCGCTCCGTGGTATGCACTCACAATCAATGCTTCGATGCATCCTCTTTTCTGCAATTACAGAAACAAGCACCGACCTGGACCTGTCCCGTATGTGCCAAGTCAACCAGTTTTGAGTCTTTACAGGTAGACCAGTAAGATACGACCGTGAATTTTTCGTAAGCGATAGTTCATTTGCTGACTTATCTGGACAGATATGTGGACGAAATCCTTCAGTCCACCGACTCCGAGGTGGACCAAGTCGTTGTGGAGCCAAGCGGCGCATGGTCTAAGCTCGATAACTCAGAGACCGTGAAGCTGGGTGGAGTGACTCCAGGAACGGATGATTACGATGACGATGATCTGATTGAGATTAGCGAGTCGGGGGACGGTGCAGTGAAGCAGGAGCCCATGCTTTCTAGTACCCTACTGGAGCGGACACCTGCTCAGTCCCGAGAAACGTCCACTCCGTCCTCCATGGCTCGTGTGTCCAGCAAGAAGCGCTCTGTCAGCCAATTTATCGATCTGACCGGTAGTGATGATGACGACGATGAATCTCCTGCCCCCCCGCTGAAACGACCAGCATTGAGCTTTGCAGTGCGAGGAATTTCATCGCAAGATCCCCACCAACCCGTTGCCAGCAGTCCTCTCAGTGGCCGGTCTTATCCTCCATCGCACTAGCTGCATCCTCATTTTATGCCCTCTACTCTATTATTCTAGTTTCCATCTGCCCCGAATGTTTTCGCATACATGCCACATGGTGTTTTGGCGTGGTCTTGGGGATCTTTGTTCGGAATGTTCTTTACTTTTTAGGGAATGCAGAACATGATTATTTTTTTATTATATCATTCCCAATAGTCTTGTTATGATGATGATTAAAACCAATGCGTGGAAGGAAGACAGATTCTAGTGAAATCAAATGTCCGACTAGAGAAGAAAACACTCCGCCTTCTCCATTTTTGGCCAAATCCACCCCTCACCAACTTCCCCCCAATTTCACCATTCTCACCAGTCTCACCAATCCTCATCACCATGTCTTTTGATGCATCAGCTTCGCTGAATGTCTCTGATCCGAATGCTCGGGCACTCAGCTCCTCCTGCTTCGACTTTCTTCTCATTGAGCTGGTCCCAATGGCTGAACGTCTGGCCAAGGAGCTTTCAACTGACGAAAACGGACCCGAGGAGGAGGAGGTTCGGGAGACCACATACTTTCGCTTGGAATCATTAGGGTATCGGGTAGGACAGGGTCTGGCAGAAAGGTGAAAACTCTCGCCACGTCTACAAAGGACGTGCCGATGGAAATGTTGATTGGTCACTAACCTTGGCCGCAGGTTCTCCCGTGATCGTCCTCGCTTTACCGATAATCTCGATGTCATCAAGTTTCTTTGCAAGGATTTATGGACTGTGCTATTCAGGAAACAGGTGGATAATCTGAAAACCAACCACCGAGTATGTTCGACCCAGAATTTATCGGGGCGTGTACGCTGATGTGAACTTGGAACAGGGAGTCTACGTCTTAACCGATAGCGCATTCCGGCCTTTTGCGCGAATGAGTATGACGGCGCGAGGCGAGGCCATATCCATGGCACAGGCGGTATGAACAGCTTAGCTCCCTTGATCCCGTAGACCTGGCTGACCCGACTTGATTTCAGTATCTATGGTTCCCGTGCGGGATCATTCGTGGTGCATTGGCGAATTTGGGCATCAACACTACGGTGCAAGCGGAGACATCAGATCTTCCAGGGGCAACATTTCAGATCAAAACGGTCCAGGCTCGACCATGATCAAAACCTCCTGGTTTCACTTCCTTGCCCCAGCTGGCCTGGGCATAGGGCAAATCTCCATGAACGCCATGAGCTTTCTTACGAACTACCCTGTAAGACTAAGGACATTAGACAAATGCGGTTGGCTGAGCCTAGATTCATTGTTTGACCTCTGCTATTATTGCGAGTGAAAAGCTAGTCTGACCACATCAGGACGACCTTCAATCTCTTTCATAATCTCATATCACGATTAAAGCCTATCTTTCCACGATGACCATGGGTTAGCAATGCTCTTCCTTGGGGATGAGGAAAGCCGATGGGGTTTCGGCAAATAGGTTGGGAAGGTGCAGTATTACTTTGGTGGTGGGTTCTTGGCGAATTCGACACCCTTTTCAATGTTTCCCTTAAGTCCGGCAATACAGGCCTTGAGAAGCTCTTGCTCCCGCTCGGTAACACCGTCCAGGATGTTGATGGCCTTCTCAGCGCCAGAGACCTATTCAAAAGGTGTTTAGTAAGAACGTTCTGTGATGTTGGGGAATAGGCGATAACTTACGCCTAGTTCCACAGGGGTAGAGAAGAAGTCAACGCCAGTAGCCTTGGCAATGGCCTCACCACCGGCAACACCGGGCAGGTAGACGAAGGTAGGCTCGACAATGCCCTTCTCACCCTTGGCAGCCTTGATCACAGCCTCGGCAAATCTATATTGAGTTTAGTGGTGTAATTTGATGAGGAAAAAGGGTTGACCTATACCTGAAGCCAGCAAAGGCCATGGATAGGGTGGCGGAACCGGCACCATCCTTAGCCTGAACGACCTCGTCACCGCCAAACTGAACGCCTGTAGGAAAGATCAGTGAATACACTAGGCAATGGAGGAGGGTGTCGCCACGTACGGTTGACCAGTTTCTCATAACGGTCCGCGGGGATCTCGAAGCTTGGGGAAACCTTGCTGAACAAGGGGACAATGGTCTCGCCGGAGTGGCCACCAATGACCGGCACGGTAGCCTTAGAGGGGTCCTTGTGGCCCGAGAACTCCTGAGTGAAGGTCTCGGCACGAACCACATCCAGAGTGGTCACACCGAAGAGGCGCTTGGGATCAAAGACACCGGCGGCCTTGAGGACCTCGGCAGCAATAGGGACGGTGGAGTTGACGGGGTTGGAGATGACCAGAGTGAACGCCTTGGGGCTGTGCTCAGCAATGCCCTTCACCAGGTCACGGACAATTCCAGCGTTAATCTTGAAAAGGTCATCACGAGTCATACCGGGCTTGCCTGCAAGATTGTTAGTTGCTTGCCCGTTGTCTTCAGGTTCTCATGAAGAGATAACTAACGGGGAATGCCAGCCGGGATGACCACAATGTCAGCGCCAGTCAGAGCGTGCTTCAGGCCATCATCCTTGGGGAGGTAGCCGGTGATTTTCTGTGGGACCAAGGAGTTCTGTCAGCATGGGGTTTTCCGAGAGGGGTAGTGCGGGAAAGGGAAAGCATACGGCCACAGAAGAAATGTGAGAGAGGTCAGCAGCAACACCGGGGGTGTTGACCACATCGTATAGGGCAAGCTCGTCAATCAAGGGGGATGCCTTCAGCAGAAGGGAGAGAGGCTATTCCACAATTATTAGCACAGTCCAGTCTGGGGGGTGAAACCAACGGAACGAACTTACCTGGCCAATGCCACCAGAGGCACCAAGAACAACTGAAGATGATTAATGAAATGATCAAAGACCAGTCAAGAAACAAACTTACCAGCTTTAACCATTATGAAGGGTGTGTATGAGGGAGTATGAAGAAGATGAAGGGAAAATTGACGGTGGAAGAAGGGGGGAAGGTTGGTTTAATATGGTGGGTGGGGGGAGAATGTGAAAGAGGGGCAAGGTACGAAGGTCAGGAACCCCGGAATTGACCAAGTGGGACCCTTGGAACTAGGTATAGACTCAGTATTATTGGTGTTTGATTTGGAAAACTCATATATTACAGCAGACACTACTGAAGGTCGACCATATACATTATAAAATCAATGCACCGTGAAGAAGGTGGTCGTGAACGAAAACAGATTCCCCATCGAAGGTTTCTCCCACTCTATACCGGTGCCTCAAGTAGGTTTAGACTGGACTTGATTCACATCCCACGTACCTCACGTGTTTTTCTCCATGTATCAACTTATTCGCACCCGAACTCCTATCCGATGATTCTCGTCGTGAATTCTTCTCCGCCAGGTTCGGGAAAAGGCGGGACTGGGGTTGTTCGTACGTCACGGAACGACATCATTCCTCTGTTTCCCCACTGGTCCAGACCCGAGGCTCAAATGCGTATACATTCGGCCCGTCGGTTAGTCTGTTGTCGGATTGCATCTACATCCCGGGAGGTTGAGACCTTTTCCGCCGTATCCCGATAAAAACTGACTTGGAATGGTGATGATGGAAGAATTTATTGGTCTTTCATTGGTTTGCGCTTCTCCAGCTTCCCGCATTTTTTCAAAAGTGGAGAGAAAATAAGAAGAATTAGAGAACAGTACTCCTTTCCCAGGAAAGGTCACTAGTTTACACGCCCTCACTGATATTATCCAGCATGATGGCGGTCTCCAAACGCCAATTGGATTCGTCCCAACCTGCGCTCTCCCAGTCTTTCACGCATTTGCTTTTTTGGAGGACGGATTTACTCGTCCTTCTCGGCAGCCTGACGGGCCTTGACGCTACGGGGCTTGCGGGCGGGGGTCTCCTTCTTGGGCTTCTGCGAGCGGCGGATGGCGCTGACACGGGCAACGGCCTCCTCGCGGAGATCGGCACGGTAACCGTTCAGGGCAGTCTTGGCAGCAACACCCTTGTAGATCCTGTATCTGATCAGTATCGCCCCCCTAGAAGACAAATGGCCTAATGCATATGGTCTGCTCACTTGCGGGTGGAGGTCTTGGGGCCGTAGTTGACGGTGACCTCGGCCTGGCGAGGCTGCTGGGGCTTGCTGGGCTTCTTGGTGATCACGGTAACACCACCATCCTCAGCACCCTGGACACCGATAGCCTGAGAAGAGGGGATTAGGACCGGTAAGGTAGCTTGTAAAGTCGCAGAAATTCATACCTTGTTGTTGACAAAGCCGGCGTACTAAAAATAACGATAAGAAGCTTGGGTCAGTCCGCGATTCCAACAAAGTAGCTACCACCAAAAAAAAAAAATAGAATTGTGGCGCATGAAAAATCCACTCCATACCTTGAAAGAGTGCTTGTTGACCAGGTTGAGGGGGTCCCGGGAGAGCTGGGAGCCACCACCGGTGTTGCGGCGGACCAGATAAGCGTTCTGGTTGCCTGTTCTCCAGCGGATCAGCCTCCGACAAAATTTCGAGGGGAGAAAAACATACGGGCGATCTGCCAGATCAGGTCATTGGAGACATTGGTACGTTCGGCGGCCATGATGACGGATTGGAGTTCAAAGGGATTGAGAATGATTCCAAGGCCCGTGAGTTTTGGTGTGTGAAGCTTTCCATGAGCCTCGCTAAGCCCGCCATTTCCGGTATAGACTGAATGCCTCATATATCGGGCATGAAATGACGATTGTCGATCTGTTGCCGCCTTATAGAATAGGCCCCAATACAACGATGACGAATGCAAGATCCCTTCGGATCCGTGGTCGCTGATTCTCTCTTTGAAGCGTAGATCCAACTGCGCGATCCACTGATCTTGTCCACCATGACCTACACTCTTTTTTATGCGCTCTTATTCTCCGTAATCATCTTCGGCACAGGTAGGCTCCACTTCTCTCTTGGTCCAGATCTGGTAACTGACCTCTCCAGCGCTGTACCTCACCAGATCCCGATGGATCCCTCTACTGCCGGTCCCAGATTATATCTACGATCGCCTCCCCTCCAGCTTCACCGGGGATCTGGAAGCAGGCCTGAGTTCCTCGCATTTCGATATCACAGCTAACCTCGCCGACGGGGACTCCAGAGCAGGCCTAGACCAAAGAGCAAAGCAAGAAGTCCGAAGGATCATGAAGAGCCGCAAGGTGGATTTTGATGAAGCCCGGCGCATCTATACGGAACAGCGGTTCGCAAGTAATAATATCGGACCCGACGGTCGCCCCCGGGATCCCAAGTTCGTTTCGTTTTCTTGAGTCGCGCGACGCATCTACTACAAGTCAGATCTTGACGTCTATTTTTCTTTCTGTCTGTTTCCCCGCTTGGTGCTTCCATGCCTGCCGATGCATCTCCCAAGTCTACACTCCCCAGCGAAGAGATAATGGTGGTATCAACATCCTTTGTTTTAACGTCCATTCAGGCTTGGTCCAGAGCGTGGCAAATCTCTGTTTTCATTAACTAAGCTCTCTGTCTCTTTGTCTCCCTTGTCTTTTCTGCGATTCGCCCGACATTAGATAGAATTGCGATCTGTGTGTAACGTATGGTCACTTTAAAGGAGATATGCTTGTGCCTCCTAGCTTCACTCTCACGACTCATAATTCTAGGTAAAAGTGCAACCCATTTCTCCATAAGCCGAAGGGAAAGGAAGCATTCCATCAAGGGATTAAGAACATTCTCGTGTGGATCACTCGATCGTACTCCCAAGTGCCATGGTAATGTGAATAGACACTCGGTTGGAGAAGAGCAAAGAAGATGGAGGAATGGATTAATGCTGGTCAGACCGATGATATTCATCGGCCCCCTCCATACCCCGATTGCTGAAACCCTGGTGGCAGCGGAGGCGGTGCACCAGGTGCACCTGTCGGCGGTCCAAAGCCTGGTGGGGCGAATCCAGGCGGCGGCGCACTCTGTGGTGCAAAGGATGGTTGCTGGCCTGTGCCATTGAACCCAGGAGGAAGGAAGGATTGAGGACCTCCATATCCAGCTTGAGATGGCGGCGGGCGGGCAGGTAAGCCAGGCGGCGGGGTAGTCAATGATGAAGCAGACGGGCTAGGCCGGGTTTGTGGAGGGGGCACGCTTTGGTAACCCATGGACATAGGTCGACTCATGCTAGGATCAGATGCCTGGGGCACGGTGCTCACCGGTCGAGAACCATCGCCATTTGGGATTGTAGGCGGTGCAGCACCCGGACCAGTCCCGAGGAAAGCCGACGGAGCCTGCTGGGTTGGCGGTCGAACATTGTGCTTCCGAGCCTGCGCAGCTAACATTCGTTCTGCTTCGTCGCCATGTCTCTCTCCTTTACCGTCCTTCTTGTAAGCGTACTGCGCCGAGACTTGCTTGTTCATCAGATATTGGCCGTTCATATTGGCAATCGCAGCATCAGAAGACTCAAAATCGGCGAATGACACAAAACCATAACCTTTGGACAAATTATTGTCGTCGCGAGCGATCTATGATCCCAGTCAGCTTGTTCTGAACACACGTTTTCACTCTAAACAGAAGATATCTCTAACCTTGGGAAGATTGATAAGGTTTCCAAAGCGGCTGAATGTATCATAAAGAACTTGCTCAGTGACCATGGGATCGAGGTTGCCAACGAAGAGCTCCGCGCCAATCTCCACAGACTTCTGTTTGTCGGCGGACGCCTTGTTCACGCGAATTGGTTTTCCAAAAAGACGAATTCCATTCATAATCCTTGAGGCGTACTCTGCATCTTCTTCACTAATGAACTCCACAAAGCCGTACCCTTGGTGTGACTGGGTGACACGGTCTTTAGGCAAGTGAACATTCACGATGCGCCCGGCCTGGAGCATGAGCTCCCATACTAGACTATCTGAGGCGCGTTCATCGAGGTTTCCAATATATACAGTAGCCTCCTTGTCCTGTTCCCTGTGCCTAGTTAGCCACGAGATCCCAGCGCCGGAGTCTAGGAAGATCTTACCAATGCCTTGCGCCTGACATAGCGCCAACGAGTTAGGAAAAGGCCGTCAGTGAGACAGGAATGTTCAAGGTTCCAGGTGCAAAGTATTATTGGAATGAAATTGAAAAGGTAAATCTGAGTGAAGTAAAGTAATAAGACTGGGGGGTGTGAAGTGGTAAGGTAGAGGGGACTTAGGTGGTTGAAAGGAGGAGAGGAAGCTCAATCTTGAATCATGTTCCGCGCCGAAAACTTCTGAACGCTCTCTCCCTCTCTCTCTCTCCCGCAACCACGTCTTTCTTCTCCCTCCTCTTGTTCCATCCGCCTTATCCATCGAGTTTGAGTTACAAGACTTTGCCAAATTCTTTTGGATTCTGTCTTTTTCTTTCACTTCTCTGATTTCTCTTTGATTCGTCGCGCCATCCTTCCTACCGCCAACATGGTTCAATTCTCCGAAGAGACCAAGGTTGGTTACAACCATAGAACCTGATTATGAATCCTCTCCAAGAATGCTAATATTTTAATTTCATTCCTATAGGAACGTGTTTCCAAGGTCATTGATGTCTCTCGCGTTGCGATTCACTAGTGAGTCGTTACTCGCCTTGAACTGTTCAATTCATCGGCGACCGAACTAATCTGGTGATCAGCGGCTACTTGCCTCTTATTATCTACCTGGGTACGTGTCGCTATCATTGTTTAGGGGACGCAACTAATCTCAAGGAAACAGGCTACTCTTACAGCGAACCCAAGCCGTCTCTGTTCAAGTATGTTCTGCGTTCAAATCCCCGACCATGCTCGAATTCTCCCTCAGCCATCCCCCCTCCAGGCATGAATCTAACCCAGTGTTAGGTTGTTCTCGCCCTTGGCTTAAACTCACAAGCCCGGATCTCGACAGGAGGGTCTCTAGACAGGACCTCATACCTCCCAAGAGAGCTTGTAGCCCTCGGGTGACTCCGTGGCTATAATGCGGTCGGCTTATCATCCGGCTGTAAATCCCTGTATTATTAAAGACGATCAAATCGATTTGTGCAATTCATCATGTCTCCCGTAGAAATTCAAATCATTTGAATCTTGCGTCTTAGACCATCTATGACGCTTGGTTCTTCTTCTCTTACCTCTCCGCATCCGCGGCAGAAAACCGGCGGAAACCTCGCGAAAACTATTACGTTGGCCAATTTAACAACTACAGCCTTCACATACTACTACGTTACCTCCTATCTCATCCTTCGAGCTTGCAGGGTTCATGACGGGCCAAGATGGCTTGTCGTCATCCTTTGTGGAGACCGTAGCGGGTTTCACTGCAGGGGTGGTCTCAACGCTCTGCCTCCATCCACTTGATCTGGTAAAGACCAGACTCCAGGGTATAATTCGCGTTCTTCAACCCGTTTTCTTTCTTTCATCTAACATTCCTGGATTGTTTAGTTGATCGCAATGCTACATCTCGTCTCGGCACTTCATTGTACATTGTCCGTGATATCTCAAGGTATGAAGGCGGCTTTGCCGCCTTCTACCGTGGACTAGCTCCGAACCTCATTGGTAATTCCACAAGCTGGGCTTTGTATTTCCTCTTTTATGGTAGCCTTAAGAATGGCATATCCATATACCGAGGCAACTCTTGGGCGCTCACGTCCTTTGATTACTTTTTGGCTTCGGGCACAGCTGGTTGGTAGACCAAAATACCTCAAAAGGTTTCCTCCAGTTTCAACTAACACGGTTTCCAGGTGCCCTGACATCTCTCCTGACGAACCCAATCTGGGTCATTAAAACCCGCATGCTTTCAACAGGCTCCCAATCTCCCGGTGCCTATGCTTCCTTCACATCTGGTATAAGGCATATTTACCGTACCGAGGGCGTACCAGGTTTCTATCGCGGCCTTGTGCCTGCATTATTTGGGGTCAGCCATGGCGCTCTTCAATTCATGGCTTATGACCGATTGAAAGTTCTACGGTCTCATCCGCTCCATAATTTTTCTCCTCTAAGCGAGGACCATGAGAACAAGGCACGGAAACTCGATAACGTGGACTTCCTTGCCCTATCTAGCCTCTCGAAGCTCTTTGCTGGATGTGCCACATATCCATATCAGGTGATAAGGTCCCGGTTACAAACCTATGAAGCCCACCTTCTATATCGTGGTGCTACCGATGCTATTATGCAGGTCTGGGCTCGTGAAGGAATATCTGGCTTCTATAAAGGTCTAGGCCCTAATCTCCTACGTGTTTTACCAAGCACTTGGGTGACCTTTCTGGTGTATGAGAATATGAAGATTTTGATACCAAATTTAGTCGCAAAAAATTAGGGATTTTGGTTTCCTTGACTCTGTTATATTGTGCTATTGGGTTATAATTTTTTGGTTTTTGTAGTTTATAGTTTTAAGTATAATTCTAATTGAATATAATAACATCAGATAAGGATAAACAAACAAATTAAATAAATATATAAATTTATTATATATATAATATAATTCCTTTATCTCTAAAAACATGATATTAAAATCTATCTATCTATGAATAGAACCTATATAGCTATTTAAGGCTAAAGGGTTAGTAATATACAATTAATAATGATTATTACATCTAGAGCTTAACATGCGCTTATATTTACTAGTAGTAGTAAAATTCATTGGCCTAATCTAACTTGCCTCTAGGTTATCTACTAGTACCATAATACCATATATAAGCTGTAAGTGATATTATAGTAAGTTATAGAGCCCTATACTCTAGACGTAATCATAATATCCTTGATATATTCCATCTACTAAACTTTATTAAGTCTTATCTAAAATTTATAACCATTAGTCTTAATATAATATACTAAATAATATCCTTTTTTATTATTTATCTATATATTTCAAATTTACTATATCTAAGTATTAATTTTAGATAATAGATATAAGATATTAGTCCTAATCTATACCTTTAATCAAATAGGCTTTTAATAGAGAAGTATAGAATATTCCTTTATATTATAATATAGCTTTAAGAAGATTTTAGCTAAGATTCAAGTATTACACAGTACTAACTAGTCATAGAAAGTATCGCTTAAAGTAGTGCTTATATATACGTCAGAGCTCGTCTGTAAGTCTTAGTCATAATCGTACTATTGCTAGTTAGCCTTACACGGACTTAGATCTATAGAGTAGACTTTTATTAGGTAGTACTAGATAGTAGTTGTTACGGATCATTCCTAGGTCACATGATCGTACCGCTTAGCCAAAAAGACCACTATATCAACCCTCAAGGTTGATATGCCTAGGACCAATATATATAGTAGCGCATGTAGTTTGTTACTCCTTAACAGTAGTAATAATAAGTACTAAATTTAGTCTAGGATAGGATACTTATAAAATATTATAACCTAATAATAATTCATATATATTTTATATAGAATAAGATAATAAGTATTATAGAAACTTAGATTTAATATATTTTAAGTAACCCCTATGATATAGTAAAGATATAAGTAGGTCGCTTCCTTAATATATATAAAAAAGTTACTAGATTATTATAAAAAAGCTCTTTAAGATTATATAAGCTTTTTAATACCTAAAATATAATATAAAATAAAAGTTCAGCTATTAGTCCCTTTATTAATAATTATTAAATATTAAAATCTAATATATTTAGAAGCGTAAGGATATAAAGAAGTAGAGGGAGAGTTATAAGATTCTATAGATAGCTAATGTAAATTACATATAACCCTATAAAAATCTTAGTAGATAATAAAAATAATTTAAAGTATAGAGAGAGAATTAATAAAATGATATATTAAAATACTTAATATAATAGGTATAAAAGGTATAACGCTAGAAAAGCTTAAAAAGTATAAAAGTAATAATTTAGTGTAGTTTAATAGTTTAGTATAGCTAAGTAAGATAAAAGGCTTAGTTAGTATACTATTAGTAGTCAAAATTTATAAAAGTTATAAGGTAAATTTACTTTACTTTTTCTTTTCTTATTGATTAAAAAACTTTAAATTTAAAACTTTTATAAATAATTTCTATAAAGACTTTTTGTTAAAGATTATAATTAGCTATATTATAGATCTTATTTATAATAATATACTAAAATAGTAATTTATTAATTAAAATATAATTAAAGTAAAATTGAAATTATTATACTTTATAAAATAAAATCTTAATATATCTATCTATACTATTTATAATCTTATAGATATTATTATTCTTTAAGATAGATAGTATATAATCTTTTATTCCTATCTATAGGATAGGACTATATATGTTTAATTACTATATCCTACTTTTATAGGACTAATATCTATAACTATAGGTCTTCTATAATTTATCCTAAAGTAAGAATCCTATAGGTGTTTTTAAAGTCTAACTCCTTTTAATCTAAAATAGATTTTAATAATCTTAGATAAAGAGTAATTTTCTATTTAGCATATTCATATATCCTAAACTAATAAATAAATTAGCTTATTTAGTAATACTTAGGAGTTATATTTTAAGTCTTTAGGTACTTTAGTATAGTCTTTTACTAAATCCTATATATAGAAATGATAAATTCTTTTTTTTTTTTAACTATAGTAATCTTAGAATAGTTCAAAGACCCTTTCTATATTGGAATTGAGCTAGGTTAATACTAGGATTATGAAAGATCTATCTTAGTATTTTATCCTAAGACTAAAGGTTAGGTAATATATATAAACTAAAACTTAGATATGATCTTTATTATCTTAAATCTAATTTATATATTTTATTTATTTATTCTATTATGATATAATAATAAAGATAATAAAACTCTTATATAAAGTAAATCTTATATATTATTAAGTAAAATTCTTTAAATAGAAATATACAGTATTGAGGAATAGAATAGCTAGGTAAAAAGAAGAGAATAATAGCATTAAATAAAATATTTTTATACTAATAATTAAAGTAGAGAGGAAGTAAAATAATTCCTATTGCTTTTAGATAAGAAATATAGTTATATCCTAGATAATAACTTTGATTAATTTTAGTATTATGATATAATAAAATACTTAATATCTTCATGTATCTTTACTTGAACTATAACTACATTAAGACTTATATACTAAGTTAATCTTATATTAACTAAATAAGCTAGATAGATTAAAAAAGTTTATTATAGTATATTATGATCTTTGAGTAATAATATAAGAGCACTAATAAAATTTTGATGAATATTATCAAATAATTAAAAGGTCTTTATTATATCTTGTTATTTAATACAATCATCTTTATCAATCTTAATAGTAATTATTAGACTTTTTAAAAATATTAAATAAAATTTCAGAGGCTTCTTTTAATTTCTAAGCTATTCACTTGAATAAGATTCTTGAAGAATATGATATTAGTATTTAGATATTATATAAGTAATTCAGCTATCTAAGTGGCCTGGCTACCTAACTAAAAATGCGGTAGTCGATTAGATTATTAATTAATCATACTATATATCTCTAATTATCTACTATGTTACATTTACTCTTAATAATGGTAAAAATAAATAGAATAAGAAGATTAGGTCTTACTTACTATTTAAGCCATTTAAAAATAGGAAAATTTATTAATTTATAATATAGTATATTATATTATAATTTAAGCAGAAATATACGAATTTATTTCAAATTAAGTAAATTAAGTTAACTAGAAGAGAGAACGCTTAAGAATTAGACTATATCTTTTAATTTTTATAAAGTAGCTCTAAGATCTACTACTATTTGAGAAATCATAATTCTTCTCCTTATTACTTAAGATATTATATTATCTATTATAATTAGCGAGAATAGATATACAGATTGATATCTTAAGCTTTGAACTTAACTCTTAAGATGATCTAATTATAGATACGCGAAATATAAGGATCTTAATATAGTTTAAATAAGAATACAATTACTATGGATTCTATATGATAATAGGAATAATTATATAATAAGGTTAATTATAACTATAAAAGTTATACCTAAAATATAAAATAATAATTAGCGTACTCTTTTATTATCCAGAGATTTTAGAGAAGTAATTTTTACTAAGTATATAAGTGTGTTTAGACTTAGCCTTTCTATAATATCTATCTTTAAGGGGAAAATTTTTATCGCTAATTATTACACGGTGCTAACTAGTCATAGTGAGTATCGCTCGTATGGTCCTTTATATATACGTCGAGGCTCCTCCTCAAGTCTTAATCATAACTATATTATTACCTACAGGCCTTATATAGACTTAGGTCTATAGATTAGACTCTTATTAGATAGTACAAGATAGTAGCGCCTAATTAAGCTATACTTAAGGTCTATATTAAGTAATAAGAGACTAAGTATACCTCTCCTATTAAGGTAGTTATCTTATATATAAGATAAATATAAAGCTAGAACTATAGGTTCTAAGTAATAATACATAATTAAACGCGAAGAGCTAAATATATATATATATAGTAATAATCGTTCTTATATCTAATCCTTCTATTCTTATTAATATAATATATCCTATTATACTATTAGGTCTATTCTATTCAAATAAATAGGTTAGTGCCTAATTACTAAGGGTTAGGCCTTATATAATCCTATTCCTTATAATACCTTATTATTAAGGTATAGTTTTACCTATTATACTAAGGTGGCTAGTTTCGGCCTATTACTGACTTTCCTATAGTATAATAGAGTAATTATTATATCGATAAGTAGTAGGCCAAAAATAGCCTTAGGCGATGAGCTCTCGGTCCTATATATATAGGTATATATATACTGGATTTCCGCTAACTCTATTATTTCGGGTTATTCTCCTGCTGAGCGCTCACCCTTTAGTCACTAAGTATATAGTGTTTACGTGATCGTCGTACTTATCCCATTCCTAGGAACTGGTTAGCTCTCTATTCCCTAACTACGTTACGGGCTAGGTGGGTCCGTAACACTAATTAGGTAAATAGAATTTTAAAAGACAAGTACTCTAAAGTTAGCCTAAATAGATATCTAATAAAATTAGGCTTTATTAGCTAGTGAAAGTCTTTCTCCTTCTAAATTTCTTAAAGACGAAAAGGAAATATTACTTTCTTATTCTTAATACTTATAGAAGTTATTTAAATCTATAATTTAATAACTTTACCATAAAAGGAATATATTTCTAGTATATGTAGTATCTATATACTTACTATAAATTTTATAACTTCTTAATGTTAATTATAAGCTAGATAAGTAAATTAAGTTAAAGATTTATATCTAAATACCAAGAATACTTAAATAACTCTATCAATAAGCTTCTTTAATTAAAGAGTTCTTAAATTAATATTTGAATAGCTTATAAACTGAAGTGTATCAAAT